GGCGGGAAGCATAGGGAAAGCGGGAAGCATAGGGAAAGCGGGAAGCACGGGGAAAGCGGGAAGCACGGGGAAAACGGGAAGCATAGGGAAAGCGGGAAGCATAGGAAAAGCTGGAAGCATAGGGAAAGCGGGGAGCACGGGGAAAGCGGGAAGCACAAGAAAAACGGGAAGCACGAGAAAGGCGGGAGGCACGGGGAAGGCGGAAAGAACGGGGAAAACGGGAAACACGGGGAAGGCGGGGAGCATACGGAAAGCGAGAAGCGCGGGGAAAGCGGGAAGCACGGGGAAAACGGGAAGCACGAGAAAGGCGGGAGGCACGGGGAAGGCGGGGAGAACGGGGAAATCGGAAAACACGGGGAAAGCGGGAAGCACGGGGAACCGGGAAGCACGGGGATAACGGGATGGAAACACGAGCGGGGGGCGCAAAGAAGGCGGGGGGCACGCACGGGTAACGCCGCCGGCGGCCAAGCCCCAGGCGAGCAGCTGCCCACCACCCTCCCCCGGCGCCCTCCCTCTGTTCACGAAGGGAAAGCCGCGCCCCGGCACCAGGTAGCTGCCCACCACCCTCCCCCGGCGCCCTCCCTCTGCCCACCTCACGACGGGACCGGCAGAGGGCGCCACCGTCCGCCGTCTCTGTCTTGGGCGGTGCGCGCGAGGGAGGCAGGCGGGGGCGGGGCAGATTACTGCATGCGAGCTGACGCGGGGGGCGCCGCTGTTGTCCGGGGGTGCTGGGGGAGGGTCAACGGGATCGGGCCCCAATGGGCCCGGAAATAAAAAAATCACGAATCCCAAAAGAAAAACGAAAAAAAAAATTTTTGCACTGCCACTCTATTGTGCCAAACCACTCCGCCGGGGCTCGTTCGATAGGAAATCTGTAGGCCCTAAAATAACGCCGGGGCTTTGTTAACAGGCTGCGGACCTGTGGGCTCCGGGGCTTTCGAAGAACTGCGCCACATGAAATCGAGCGCGCAACTTTTGTTCGGGCAAACACAACCTCACCGAAAAAACAGAAAAACACCGAATAAATTTGCGCCAAAAAGTTGCTTTCTTTGCGACATGAGTGCGACACGGGTGCGACACCGGTGCGACACGGGTGCGACATTTTTCGGCTTCTTCCTGAAATCCCTAAGAAAAAAAAAACCACGGCCGAAAGCCGATTTTTTTTAATTATTTCAGATTTTTTGTCGCAACAAAGGCGATTTTTTGTCGCAGAATTAATTGGCCACTCGCCCACCCAAAACTTTCCCACCCAGAATCCCTCTCCCATCCCGAAGCACACACCGGCAACATGGGCTCCCTCTGCCGGCCCCACTCCAATCCCTTGCGCCCAAGCCTGCTTTTCCCGCCCAACCCACAAACCCAAGACACACAACCAGAAAAAGAAAACGCACCAGCGAGCGGCTGCAAGAACTGCAAAAACCCTGCGAAAACTTAAAAGCGCGAAAATTTTCCGGCTTTTGTGATTTTTTTGCTTTTCTGACTACTGGGGGCCGATCCCGTTGAGGAGGGTGGTAGGTGGGCCCCTGCGCCTGGGGGGCAATGAATGCCCCGCCCCGGCGCCCGTGCTGCCTCCAGCCACGCGCGCGGCAGGGGCCCCCGCTCTGCAAGGCTGCGCGCGGGGGAAGGGCGCGGGGGGCACCAAGGCGCGCAGGGGCAACCGGGGCACAAGAAAGGCAGGCGGCACGAACGGGCCACGCCGCAAACGCGCGGGCATGGCGTCACGCGCCAAAGCCTCGCATGGCGCGGACTGTTCCCCTGCTTCCTTCCCCCGTCCACTGGCGCCCGCCCACTGCCGCGCTTTGCGTTGTTGCTTGGGCCTAAGACTTGCCGCCAAGCAAATGCGCGCCCCATGCGGGTGGGGTCCTCGCGCTCGCGCAGAGACTGGAACCACGGGCGCCATAGCGCTCCGCCTTCTTTCTGTCTGTAAGAAGCGGCGCAGATGCCTGGCCCCCCCCTGCATCAAAATTTTTTTCCCTTGCCCACCCTCTGGCACTTTTCTTTCCCCCCTGTCCACTCGTTCACCCTCCCACTACGCGACATAAGCTGCGGCCTTGTAATTTCGTTGATCATCTACTTCACCACAACTGAACCAAACAACCGGTAGATAACGAAGTTGGCCAGTAACCGACAAGAGCAACCCACTAGAGGTGTCCCCGCCTTCTGGAATGAGTCACATTTGTTTCCGCTTCGTATTGTGATTCTGGCCTAGTGACCTCTGAATTCTCAAAAACAAGTACGGTGGTCTGAATTCCCAAGAACATGGTCTGAATTCTCAAAATAAAGTAGATGGACGACATGACATCAAGGTTCTTGGGCTGCAGCTCGTGCAACAATGACATGCAGCTGGCATTCCATGATCCCTCCGCGACTAGACGCCTGACAGGGTCTGGATCAAGTATTGCGCCACCGTGAATGAAAAGATCAGTTTTGGTCCGACCGCGCCGCATTTTGGAACCACTCCCTTGAAAAATCCGGAAGGTCCCTCCTCTTTCAGCAGTTCCTTTGCAATCGTGACACCGTTCTTGTCGGCCGAGAATTTGCCGCTCTGAATCCGGGTTTTAATCACGTCGCACGGGCAGGCCACGACAATGGACGCCAAAGACCCACAGGTGCTCGTAATTGCGGTCTGCAAAAAGGTTGGTTTGTTCTTGTTGATGGCCTTCGCAGAAGATGAACCGGAAGAGGTGGGTGTGGACTGCGGCTGTAAAAAAACGCGGTCGCGCACGGCCGCGTTAACCCCGAAAAGGGCGAAGGAACCTGACAAGGATTATAGGAGTTCAAAGATTGGAACCGGTATAATTGCGGTTGGGATTACCGAATTGAAGTAGAAGATCCCAGAGAAAATAATAAATGACGTTTTCACATTCGGAACAAGCACTTCTTCTTCATGAAAACTGCATCCTGCCTACCTGGAACGTTCCTCATCACCGTCCACTGCCATCCTGCATATAAATTTCGCAGGCCCTCTTGTCGAAACACCGCCACAAAATTTCGCCCGCGATACGTGGGGTTTGTCTGTGCCTTAATCTTCAACACGTCGAACGGTAGCAGGAGCACCTCTCCAGCACCCATAAAAGCACCGGCAACGCCGTCGCACAGCAGGCCGCGGCGAACCGGATTCGTTTTTTGGTCGGACCCGAAAAACCTGCAATTCTAAACTTACTGTTCATATAATGAAATTCAAAGTTACAGAGCAGCCTGAACTACAACAGCTCGGGCTAGGATGATCACTAAAAATCACATAAATTCGTAATTGTTCTGCAATCGTGCTGCCTGAGCTTGGTTTTAATACTTTCTACCTCTCATACGGGCGCCGCACCAAATCCTTCACGAAGGGTTGGCCGCCGAACTTGTAGCTGCGTTGGGAGATCTTGTACACCGCCCCGTACCCCAAACCCGGAAATAGGGACTTGACCCGCTGTTGCATACGGGCGAAATCGACGAAATTCGGCGCCGTACCTAAACCTCCTCCACCCCCGCCCACCGTCGCCGCGGCCGGTTCGTGAAACAGAACTATGGATCTGTCAGGTTTGAAATCGACAAAGTTGAAATAATTAAATATGCCATGCATAAAATGGATGCCAGTTGAAGCCCGGTTTCTAAGTGGCGCATGACAAATTTGCGTAGAACCTAAATCCAGTTTGTCATGCTGTTTGGGTAAGGGCGACGCCTTTTGTCATGCTACTTTAGTAGCTCTATTTCTACCTCTCAACAGGCTTACAATATGCCTCCCTTGCGTCCTCTGCAACAGAGGCAGATTTTGCGTTGTATTTTATGCATTACAAACTATTTCAACTTTGACGATTTCGATCCTGACACATGCATATGAACCTCGCCGTAATTATTCACAGACAGCCGGACCGGACTGGCCATCAACCGTTTCGCTACCGTGTCGATATGCACTGCAAAAATGTGTGGGTCTGGAAGGACGCGAACTTGTCATGCTAAGTCTGGACAGTACAAAAATTTGCGTTGCAAGATCACCAAAAACTGTCCACTTGTGAACAGGTTTAGAGGCAGTTTGTCATGCAGGCCAGACATGAGAGAGACTTCGCAGAACCTGTCATGCTAGGTCCTGCATTCCAGACCTCACGGGGCATGGAAAATATGCATGACAAGCTTGCAATCTCCCAGACCCAGACATTTTTGCGCTTGATAGTCGACAGGGTGAAACAGCGCAAGCTCCAGTGCCCCCGCACACCCGGCGCCCAGAAAGCGGGCAGAGGTGGTGGACGCTGGCGTGGAAGATCCACTGCTGCTAGTAGTACTGGCGGTGACTACAGTCATCTTGGGTCAGGTTGCTTTCTGTGTAATGATCTTAGAGAAGTGATTGTTGTTCTAGAGCGCACGACACAATGACAGTTGTGTTGATTTCTTTACCGTCATACAACTTTTGTGAATCTTATTTTCCTCATGCGAATCGACATAGAAGTGCGCATCACTGGAAACACGAAAAAAGATGATCACAAAAACCGAAGGTCGGATCGCGATCTGATCTGTAGTACTGCCATGCATCGTCAACGTCATCCAAAAGCAACCAATAAAACAAGCGACAAACGACTACTGTATTGGAATCGAGATCACGGATGAAGAAAAGCTGCATGTGAAAGAACAAAAAGTAAAGTTGAAGGATCGTTGGTAAGCGGAACCAGAACACTTTTGCGGTCAGTTCGCCGAAGTTCGTTGGCTTCCTGGCTACAACTACAGAGATGGGGGCCTGCTACAATGCTAGTTTTTGTTTTTTATTTTTCGGCATTACTTTGATAAATTTGTAAAAAATTCTTCCGAGCACGATATCAGTCGCCCGCGGACGGTAAGCGCCTCCGGGTGCTGCAGCTCCTCAGGCGGTGCTCTGCCCCATGGCGACGACACCAGCCGAAAATTATCTAGTACGTCGAACTAGTTGGTCGGCTTGAGCTCCGCCTTATACCTTTTCACCGCGTCCACAAGCCACTTGAGCCCAGGCTCGATACCGACATTATGCAGCGCGTCCGAGGGGCTGATATGCGGTTGAGGTTGTCGGGTATCGTATGTACTATCAGCAGTGGTTGTATTTCGAAAATTTACAGCTGCGAGACGAAACCACTCGCATCTTTGGTGTCTGACATCTAGATACACAGGATCACGTGATGATCGGGTGAGAAGGGACGAATCCAGTTCGAGAACGACAACAACTAGCAACAAATCAAACTTACAAGATGTTCCAGGGTCGGTCCCGTATGGTCTCCAGTGTGAGCGCCTTCATGCACTCCAGTGGCTGCGCGGCTCCTGGGACGTCCATCTTGTTTGCAAAGACCAGTATTGGCACCGGTCGCTCTCTATCAAATGCAAATATGTCTGAGTCTGGAAGAATGCAAGATTTTTTGTCATGCATATTTGTCATGACCCATGATGCCTGTAATGCAGGACCTAGCATCGCAGACTTTTAGAGGGCTTCCTGATGCACCTTCCGCATGAGAAATGCCCTGCCCGTGTAGCACAAACGGCGCCCCTTTTTCTGGTCATGCAATACAAAATTTTTTAGAGTCCAAAAACAGCATGACAAGTTGCAATCTTCCAGACCCAGACACTTTTGCAGTTGATACTCTCGAAGTCGGTGGTTGTCTAGCAGCGTGTCAAGTTCGTCCTATGCTGTGCAAAAGTAATATCGCACTCGTACTTAATTGCTTTTATGCATTACAAATCTTTTTCTTAAGGCAAATCCGCATTACAAATTTGGTTTGTAATGCTGAGAGAATTTGTATTGCAATTTATACTAGTACGATACTTTTGCAGTTCATACGTCCTTCGCTACGGCAAACCGCAACTTGTCTGTCGCATCGATCACAAACACGATGCCCTGAAGAAGTTGTATTTTTTCACTTTAGATTAGAGTAGATCTACATTTAGCGCCAGTCTTTATTTTCCACATTTTTACCCCACGTGTACTACACGGAGTCATGTTTTTATGCGTCCTTACTTGCAATGTGTAGATACGCCAACATCTACTACATCGATGCTATGCAACACATACTATCAAAATCGAACTACCTCGCACTCGTCCACCTGACTTTCCCAGAGGTTTCGATACTTCCCCTGCCCCGACATGTCCACTGCCGCGATTTGTACGCCGCCCTTCGTAAAAACTTCCTCGCTGTATCCCACGGTTGGCGCGGTGCTCAGGGAAACCTAGGTCGTGCGGGTACTTATTTGGGAAGATCATGGAAGGTCACTCAACTACAACTATGCACGAAGCCGAGGAACAGGAACAGATGAAAGAGCTGCTGTCTCCGAGAATCAATGAAAGAACTGCTGTTTATGGATGAAGACAGAAACGATTGCAATTCATACACTAAAATTAAAACACACCCACCTTCTTTGGTTTCATCATGTTCAGAATCGTCGTCTTTCCGCTGTTGTCCAAGCCGACCATGAGTATCTTCACCTTCGTGCCCTCGAAGAACCTCCCAAACAGCCGCGAGAAAAACCCCATCTTGATGCGCAGTGTGGAGACACGGTTCAGCTGCTGGTCTGGCGCGGCCCAACAGCGAAGCAACGAGTCGTGAGACCAGTGAGTTCTTCTTGGGTCGTGAAGCAAGATCGTCACACGGTCCCGTCAGGCAGTAGCATCTTTTTGGCGGGTTTCCGCCTGGGCCGGCGGGAGATGTAGTTGTGCACCAACTACCTACAGCGAGGTGACGCCTTGCGTCTGAGATGTTCAGTGTGCAAGAAACATCGTGTCACTACGCGTGTTTCCGTTTTTCCTGCGGCCCTTCCCCCATCGCGATGCTCTTTGCAAAAAAAAAAAGAAACGTTTTCCACTCCTCACTCTACTTGAGCGTGACAATAGCGATTCTCACAAACAATCAAACAGCAACCAAAAGTGAACAACATTCAGACGCGATCAGTACTGCTACACGCATTGATTCTAAAATTTGGCTTTTCATCCACAGCAGCAGTGAGATATTTGGAAAAGAGGAAACATTGCTTGTCATGCACAGCAACACTGCTTGTCTTCGGAAAAGATAATTTTGTTCTGATATCAATCAACGGTACAGTACTAGAACTAGTGTTCAAATGCAGATATCAATCAGCTCCAGCAGAGCACGAGATTAGCGTTCTGAGTCTGACCAAAATCAGCGGCCCAGCCCCGCCAGCATGCCCTGCAGAGAGCGGACCACCTTCTTTCCGCCAATCGCGTTCGTGAGTGAGCGCACCGCGTCGTTGGCTTTGCCCTCGATCGTGTCCTGCTGCCACCCCGTGGAGCGCGACAGCGCCGCGGCCGATTCCTGGTACTCGGGATTGGTCATTTCGTCCTCACCATCCTCCTCTCTCATGTACTGCCGAAACGCGTTGTCCGGATCTTCCTCTGTGGAAAAGTTTATCTCGAATAAGCATCGAACGTCATCTATCATAGAGTGCCGCGTTCTTGTGCGGCTTAGTAAGCGAGTCAATCTGAAATTTATGCATCTTCACGTGCTGCATGTATAAGTTCAATCATCTTGTTGAAAATGAGAAAATCCACATAATCGGAAGTGTACGTGGGGCCGCTAATCGTGCGCGCGCCTGCTCCTCGGCCAGGGCTCGTGACCGCTGCGCAGCTTCCGCTGCCTCCTCCGCCCGCCGGGCGTTCGCCTGGGCCTCGGCCTCCGCGCGCGCCTGCGCTTCCGCGCGCTTGTTTTCCGCTTCCAGTCGTTCTTCTTCTGCCGCCGCCCGGGCTGCTTCCTGCTGGTGCAAGTGCACTACCGCCTGATTTGCAGCTGCGGCCTGCGCCAGTTCGCGCGACCGCGCGTAGGCTTCACCGACCGAAGTTGGTGGTTGTGCGGTGGGAAGGAAGGGTGCAGCCACCTCTGGTCGCCGCGATTCTTGATTTCCGGTAGGGGTAGATGAAGCACCGGTGTTGCTAATGCCACTTTCCTCAGTGGCGTAGCTACTTTCCACCTCTGCAGCTCTCGCTGACGCCTTGTTGGAAGTTGCAGGTGGCACCGTTCCTTGTCCTGTTTCCTGCGCTGGTTCGGGAGAGAGCTGCGCGTCTGCTTGTTCACCCCGACCAGGAGCTCCTGTAATTGGGGCTGCTCTGCGAATGCGCTTGCGGATCAGGCGCAGGTCGGCGAAGACGGACCGCCGCTTCTCGTCGAGCTCCTCAAGTTGGTCATCCAGGGCGGAAAGCCGGTCCTCGTCGAGCTCTTCCCGTTTCCGCAGGTCGTTCGGGGGATCAGCTTTCTGGGTGGTGAGTTCTTGGATTTGCCCTTGTACGAGAGAAGTTCGGCCTCCTTCACGACCGCGGCCACCGGTCGAGAGGATGCGTGCAGCAAGAAGCCTACTGTCCAGCAGAAGGCCCGACAACGCGAACAACAGAGAACAAGAACGACCCGGAGTACGAGCTGTCACATGTTGTGCCATTCTACCGAAGTAATATGTCTTCCGCTATTCTTAAGGCGAACACGAGGACACCCAATACATTATGTGAGTGGACTTTGACGACCCTGCACCGACCGAGAAGTACCACGCACCACCGGATTGTTGTAGCAGCAGAATGGCAAGCTAGTTGTACTTACGGACTTTCTAGAAACAGAACTTGTGAAAAATCTATCTTCCAATGTATGAAGTCACACGCAAGAACAAAAAGATAGTTTATATATAGATCATGGATAAGTACGCTTGTGTAGAGGAACCGGCCCCAAATGGGCCGTGCGCTGCACTCCCACTCCTTCCTACGCACTACTTAATAATAGCGCCACACTAATCAGCGCTCGGAAAAAGACAAATCGCGACTCCGGCGCACACCCACACACACCGACGGATACCTCTAAGCACCTTGATCGCCAACCCTCCATCGGTACCGCTCTCTCTAAGTATCTATCACTCATGATGATGCCTGGGCAATTTACATAGGGGCGCGCAACAGGTTTTGCCTCGAGAAAAACTAAGCGTGCCTGCGGCTGCGGCAACCTGTCGCTGTCTGCTCGCATGAGAGAATGAACATGAATCCCAGGAACAGGGGCTAACACTACGCCTACTATTATCCATGGAGACCGGGAAAAGCAGATACAAAAAACATGCCAAGGGCCCTCCACAGACGGCTGACAGCGCCGTGCCCCACACAGAGCCGCGCCACGCACGCAACCCAATGGATGCGACAGGCGAAGCGGCGAGGCCCCCAGGATATATCAATCCGGGCGCCGAACACTGGCCCGGCCCCCACTGGGCCACAGACGGAGCGGGCCTGCCTGCGCAAAACGCAAGGGCGGTGGGCCGCAAAAACGAGCACACTCACCAGCATAGCGCTCGCAATTGGCGAGCAGGCCACGGAGGGGCCCTCCGGCAGTGCGGGTAGCCCCCCGGCCCCAATCCACGCGCCCAGGCCCTGGGCGCGCGCGGGCAAGACTGTAACCGCGCGCGCGACGCGCCCCCGGCCAGCCGCCGGGCACGCAAAATTAAGACGCTCACGAAGCCAAACAGAGGCGCCGCAACAACGCCGAAACGCGGCAAGACATCACACCGAGCGCAAGACGTTTCGGCGACGCTAGAACTGTAACACAGTCGAAGGCCGCTGTCTGCCGCCGGTGTTACTTCCTTGGCGATTCTCCCCCCGGTTGTCTCGCGTAACCACGGGCCCGCCCAAAGCTTACCGACTAACCAACACCGACGATCGAAGGCGATACGCTGGCAACCTGACTCCGTCAAGTGCGACGCTCACCGGCAAGGCGACTAGGGGCCACCGCGGGCCATGAGCTGCCTTTTCACCTCTTTACCCAGGCGCACGGCGCGCGCCTCGGTCGGATGATGGGCTCGCCTGCGTCTTTTCGCAATTCTTCCGCGCTGAACGCTCACACCCGCTGGCCGCGCGCCGCGTCTGCCAGGGCGCTGACACGTGTAACCGCGGCCACGGGACTGGGAAAGAGAACACAAGCCGCGCCGCCGTCAAAGCCTTTCCAGTGGGTGTGCGCGCTCCTCGGCGCCCCTTCGTCCTGTAGTTGCTGACGCCCTGTAAGCTCGTGGCACACTTTCGCAAGCGGACTCGTCTTCCTCTCTACGGACGACATTCCAAATCCGGCCGGTAGCGCTCGCCGCATGGTCCATCTTGTTGCCAGGAGCGCAAATGTAGGAAAAAACCTGCAAGAACGCGAAGAGGACCGCACCATATGCTGTGTAGTAAACATAATTTCCGAACCATTTTCGCCACACAAGTATTTACGACTTGTAGGCGGGGCGCTCATGTCGTCAACATATGACAAGAACGAAGATCTGATGCACAGCACACTCTTCTCCTCATGTATGAACGGATAATGCCAGAACTCTTCGTCTACTTGCCGTCTATAGTCATCGCCAGAAAAAGAATCACCCCCAGTTGCTCTACCTCTAGTATCACTTCACTCGACTCCAGAAATCCTTCGTAGAAGAAAATCGTTGAACAGAATCCAGGCACTCTTTGCGAAAAAGAAACGAAGCGGATGAGTAGACAGCATTTGCACTACTTCTGCAACGGGCACAGCCAAAGGAGGTTATTCAACATCGCAGATGGATCGAAACGACTACCCATCCAGGAGAAAAGACGTTCTCGACTCGAGCCCGTCTGCAATACAGAGATCTAATGCGGGTGGTCGTTGGCGTTGCGAACAAGGGTCGCGACATCCTGTACACTGCAGATGGAGATACAACTTCTTTCGATTCTCGCAGGCGTTAGTTTGTCCTCGTGTTAAAGCTCTAAAGTTAATCATCACGCGAACTCGTAAAGTACGCTTTTTTCATAATGGATCCGACGCGCACTACGGATGTGTGGGATTTCGGAAGGGTATGTTGACACACTGCGAGTGCGACGACCCCGACCGCGAGGATTGTTTCATGGGTGGGGCTTGTTCATGGTTCTCCCGCTCCCCCACTGACGGATTTTTGACCGGCGGCGCCTCGATTTGTAGTTGATCCGTCATTCTTTCCTGTGCAACCACTTGTAACCCGGTGTCCACCTCTGCTTCGCCCTGCAGGTTCAACTGTACCTGGACCACACCCAAAACTTCTTCTGACATGTCTTCCTGGAAGCTTGTGGCTGGTTCAGATTCCGTAATTGCTTTCACATTGACTGGTTGGATGGGCACGGGCGCAACCGAAAGATCACGACGATACAATTCTTTCTTTAGGCGGTGGTCGTGCGAAGGTGTTTTTCCACCGCAGTTCCGCATATATTCGCGCAGAGTGCCATCGCAGATGCAGCAACAACACAAACACGAAACTTCTTTCGCGAAAGGTACCCGAGACATTGTGGTGGCGCTTCCGCTTGTTCTTTTATGATAAAAGAAAGACTCAAATCAATGAAAACCTCGAGCTCAACATTCGAAACATAAGTTGCGCTGTCTCTGCGAAGAGCAAGAGGGATAGAAATAGATTCAGCTACCCGCCCGCTACATACCTCCACCACCAAAAAAAACTCAGCCGCAAAGGGAAATCAGCAGAACGAAATGGCAAGCGATTACGATAAAGGAATTTCCTCGCGTTACTGACATACCATTTTCACAGTTACAGTGGTAAGTGCGCCGGTCGCGCACATAGACACGACAACCCACGACAGGCCAGGGCGCGAGCGCCTCATGTAGTTTTTCATCACCTCGTTTGGAAACGATGCCCTCTGCTCAACGAGTAACGTGTAGTCTGTAGTGATTTCGATGGACCAAAGACACTAAGGTCGACGACACGACGATTGGCAGTATTCCTTGCACAACTGCGAGGTGAAAGCGACAAATGTCAATGATGGTTCACGAGAGTACTTCAACTTGCATCGAAAACTACGAAGCGTAGACGACTACGACAATACGACGTACTATGTATAATAAGATTTAAAGAACAAAAACGCTTTCACACTGACCGCCAGCAAGCGTCGTACGTAAAGCCGATACTTACGATTGGTATCCTTGTAGTTTATGGAAGTATTTTTCCGTGCGCCGGTTCTCTTCCTCTTCTGCTTTGAACTGGCAGCATAAGTGTCAACTCTTACTACGTGGCGCTACTATGAATTGCGTTTTAAAAACTTTGTCGCGGTCGCTATCAGGAGTGTGTCAGCCTCTGACTAAAGAAAAGTGTGTTTGGAGCAGGAGCGTGCACCCACTCCGATTACGGATCAAACCCTCTAACCATCCGCAGAATCTCCGCGTCACTGAGGTTTTGCAGGAACCGCGAGGGCTGCTGTGGGCGGATTTGTGCCATTGTGTCGCGAATGAACTGGTTGTCGCGGGTCTCTTGGTCGGGCTTTTCCAATGGGTGGTTGTCAGAAGAAGCATCCTTCTCGGTTGGAGCGGGCAACTGCGACTGGGCGCATGCTACGTCTGTTCTTGTAGCAGGTTTCTGTAGTTCATCCTCAGCTTTCGCAGCTCGAGACGAAAAGCTGTTGACGCCTCCGGCCGCATCTTTTCCATCCACATTTGCATCTGCTGCCTGGAACCCGCCCCAGTCATTTATCTCTGCCGTCTCATCGAGGATGAAATCTTGATCCGCATTCGTCGCACCATAAGTAGGTTGTTTCCTACACGTCGCATTGGCGTTGTAGTTCTCGGCCGCTGCAACTTCATTATCCAGACTGTCCGTGAAGATACCGCTGAAAGGTGTCGTTACAAACGCTGCGCGTGCTCGGAGGTCCTGCGCAGCTTCTACTCCCAACGGCGATTCATTTTCCTCTCCAGAACTGTAATCTTCCCCTTGTACCAATTGGCCTTGCTCACCGCCCGACACATGTATTTGCAGCAAGCCGTCCTCCCCCGGTGAGAGCTGCTCCGCGCTGGCGTCGTCACTGGGGCTGAGATTTGGAGTGGAATTTGGTGTCGCCGTACTTGTCCCTGCTCCGACCAATGTCGCGTGGTCCTGGGTAATATTGTTGTTGAAGAGCTGCATGTTGTTGAGGTTCGCTGCAAGAGTGTCAATTGGCGTGGTGCTGTAGCTGTTGTTCATCTCGTCGTCGTAATTATTTTCAAGACCGTCATCAGGAGCACCATCAGCATCAAAATCTCCATCTACTCCGGGTGACAAGACCGCATAGCCTGCGTCGGCAGGGTCTATGAAATTATCATCCTGCTGGAGGTGGTGGTCCTCGTCTTCGCTGTTCACATTTGCAACTGTTCTGTTCGGGCTGCAACTACTGTTTTCCAACGACACAACGTGACTGTACTCGCGGTCGAGCTTCTGCAGTTCGCGTGCAACAATGCGATCCACCTCCTCGGGCGTGAGACGCCTCGTTTCCGTGGGATCGTCTTGTACTTGTGCGGGTACCGGGGTAATAGCGGCCATGTTTCAACAAAGGTATGCGGATGGGATCTCAACACGAAATAAATTTGAAAAAAGGAACAAATAAGTACGCAACCGGAAGGAACGTCTACTTCGTTTTGTTCACCTTGGCTTTTAGTTCTCCTAGAACTCGCTCGGTCTTCAAAAATCTTTAATATGTGTAGACCGATGAGCCGTACGATCTAGTTCGCTGACGCTGCCAATGCAACAAACTAGCCAAATCCGGGATAGTGAAAACGCGCAGCGGACTTCACGGCGGGCATGTGGTTCATAGTGATAGTTTGCATTTATTGTTCCAACATCCTTATAAAAATGGTCATCCAAAGTCGGAAGCGGAACTTAAAATCTCCATGTACAGACATTGGTGTCTTTAAGTCGAATAGAGCCATCTCACATTTCGTGATCTCAACAAGAACGGCAAGTGCATCATGATCCCAACAACCTCGAATTTCATCGCAACACAAAAGAACTGGGCAACATGAACATCTTGCTCAATGACATGATCTGATATGAACAAACAGTTAGGAGAGTTGGTAAGAAAATGTCGTGGAACAATCGCAGACGTGGTGGCCTGCGGTCCACCTCAACCTCCGGCTCATTTACTTGGCCACACACACGCCCATACAGAGACGGCAGGCCCCTCAACAAGGAAGATGCGGCGCAGACCGGCACTGGCCGATGACAAACAAGCACGCAAGCTGCGCACACAGACCACAGCCCCTCGGATGCACAAACGGCACGCAAGGGCCGCACACTCCCGCCGCAAGCGAGCAGCGCCGGCGCCTGGGGTGCGTGGCGCTGCTAAGAAAGAAAGCCCAGGCAGGATGGCCCCGGCAGTTCGGCGATAACAAACCGGAAACGCAATATGCACACTCCGGCCGCCCGAAGCCACTGAGCCGGCCGCCGGGTCGATCGCACGGCGCGCACGCAGCATGCGGCAGGGGCGTGGGCAGGCCGGCCGCCCGACGCCCCCGGCCGGGCGCAGCCACATCAAAACAAAGAAAACAAACGAGGCGCCGCGCAGCGGCGGCGAGGCAGCCAGCCAGACCCCACACGCAAAACCTGCGCGAGTGCGGCGCTTCCTTGCCTTTTCTTCTGCATTTTGTCATAGCCAAGGCCTGGATGCACTCCTGCGGCAGCGATGCATGCGGCCACGGCTCCCGCGGCTGAAGTCCGAACCACCCCTGTCCTCGCGCGCAGGCAGACTGACGGCCCAGGCCGCCGGCCGCCTCAGATCTATCACAGGGCCCGCCGGTCGTTTCCCTGTTGCTCGCGGCCGGGCGATTGCGATCGCTTTCGGTCTGCCGGGCTGCCTTTCGCCTTTTCTGCGGGCGGCGGCTCCCGCAAGGCTTCCACGGCCGGCCGTCGCGTGGCGCTTTGGTGCATCGTGGAAAAAGACGGCCGCCATCCGTGGCCTCTTCGCCTCTTCTGCCACATCAGGCACGCTGTGCCGCGCCGCGCCTCAGCATACGTGTTTTTCAGACGCCTCCTGTGCATCTATCCTATGCCAACAGATTAATGAGTAGTTGGTTGCGTGTCATGCAACATCAGCAACATGCAATCCCCTCAGACAATCACAGAGATAGGCATCGCTCCAAACCCTTAGTACGTCGGATCATGACTCTGCTCTTCTGTGTTGCTGTCCTAGCGTTATTTATTTCTCTTCTTCTCTCAAAAGCCGTACACGCTTGGCGCTACATGAATCTCGATGGAAGGCCCGCCGCAGGAGAACACAAGGAAGCGACTCAGCACTGCAGCTGTACTACCTCGTCTTCTGTCCAAGCTACAGACCTCGTCCCGAGTTAGTTCTTCCAACAAACTGAGCTGCTTTGCGAGCGACTGATCATGTGGTCGCGGTCGCGAACGCGTAGGCGTAGATGCATACTACGTACACGGCAGCTACAGCAAGATGCGGCGCCGGCCGGCTGCGGCACTGGCCGCTGCACGGTAAGCGCTCGTGCTGAGCGCACAGACCGCGCAATGAAAGCCGGCACACAACGCCCGCGCACCAACACCACACACGAACCGCGCCAAAGGGCTACATAGCCCAGGCAGACGGGGGGCGGCTCGAAAATAAACACAAACAGGCCAGCCACGGCGGACCGCCCGGCGCCATGGGCTCGGCCGCCAAACCGGCCGCGCGAAATGCGGCAGGGGGGGGCGATGGCGGCAAAAGAAGATCGGTTCACAACTTTGCTCACAAAATTGCCGACACGAAACCGATCCTGCGTCTCCTTCCATTCTGACTCCGAACCTACAAAATTACTTTCACTATTCGACGAGCTGATTACTGGGATCCGGGCCCCGAGGGTTGGAAACTCTCCCGCACCGGAAAGCAGATATCGCCGAGAGCCGGGGCGGGCGGCAGGATGGACGGCGCCGCCGGCCGGCCGGGCACAATCAAAATCATGGCGCCCCCAGGGGGGGCCTGAGTTCTCTGCTCGCCAGCCAGCCTCTCTTCGGCTCGTGCCGCTCGCCTCCGCCAGCTTCCCGTCGGACGTATCTCCACTGACTGAGCCATCCGTGCCTCCCAGCAAATGGCCCAGCGCGTCCAGCTGTTGTTCCGCCCGCACACCGACGACACAAGGGGCGGCCGCTGTCTTGTCTAGATAGACCGCGAGCCAGTTGCGCCGCGCCTCCGTCCGCTGCCATAACCAACGTGGCGCCAAAGAGAGCGTAGCTGGGGCAGGCGCGGCCGCCTGTTTAGGTCGCGCCGTCACCTCTGTTGCTGGGTCATCGCGGGGCAACGCTCCGCAATATCCATCATCTCTTGCGAGTCTCACGCCTCAGGAAGTACTTGCATCTCTTTCTCTACCTATCTGACTCTGAGTCTGACGCAACCAAACAAATAACTTTCGCTCCAATCACACGACGCAGCATCAGCAGCAGACGCTCCTGCTCTCAGGCCATCTTACAAGTAGCATGGCTCCACCAGGCTCGCAATACATACAAGTGCTGTGTTTCCTTCTCCGCAACCACTCTGCTCTAACTTGAAATGCTGCTGTACCACGCATTTACTTAGATTATCTGCATCTCTCACTCTCTGTGTCTGTCCCTTTGCGCTCAGAAGAGTTCAATGGAATAAAGCCGTTAGAGAACATCATAGGTGACTTCTTCTACAGACTCATTTTATAGTAGCTGATCTTTTCGTTCTATTTCCAAATACGCACCTCAGTCCGAGTTATTGTAGTTCTTCTAACAAACTGAGCTGCTTTGCGAGCAGCAGATCATGTCGCGGTCGCGGACGTGTAATAGTGCGAAGTGTCTGAATGGTCACACAAATCAACTCACTCTCTGTCGGGCTCGGGTGAAAGTGAAACTATGGCATTGTGTTCGCTGAAAATAACGGACCTCGAAACTTCACCAGGCAACTTTTTACTACCCCTCAAGCCTTCATCCGTTTGACTTGGCTTCCGCTTCCCTCCACCCCGGGAGCTACTACCGATTTGCTCCTTGCAATAAGGTCTCGTGCACTCACCGCGGACAGAGAGAGCGAGTCTTTGAGTTGCAACGCGGCGCTGTCGATTCTTTCGCTTCGCGTTGCCAGCCCCAAAGAGAAGTAGTTCCACCTCTCATACGCGGAAAGAATCGGATTTTGATGGTCTATTCTCCGCGTTGATGTTGATGAATTACCCAACGCATTATAATTTCGATCGCGCACAGAAGTGCTACTCACAACTCCGACGCTACTTGCACCTTGTCTGTGGACCTGCTTCCCCGCCAGGACGAGGTCATGATGTTCGGCTTCGGGAGGTTCATTGGCATTGTCATCCGGTCGTGGTCTACTACTTCCGAAAGAAGAACTTACACCCGGCGCCGACATTCCACGTCGCGTCCGCCTGACGGCCGGAATAACAACTGCCCGGTTGTTCAACAGCCGCTCCCCAGCCAAGGCGAATCCGTAAAAGTTCAATTGGTCCTCGAAGGTAGAATTGTAGTAGTTACTACTCCCTGTCCCTCTAGAAGCTGCTGCTCCTGCTGCTGTACTTCTACCACGAGAAGCCATCAATCCTCCTGCTCTCCCGACCGCGACACCATTCGCCAGCGCCAACACTTTTTCCCTCCCCTCGCCTATATACTGAGATAGTAAAAACTTCTGCTCCAGGTCGCGCCGGCCGAGGAACGCGCGCTCCTCCGAGGCCTGCGCAAAGGAGAATCGCCAATCCTGGTACTTTGTCGCCCCGGCGTTCACGCGGGCGTCTAAACCGAATTTCAGCGTGACCGGGTCCGGGTTGGGGAAATCCAAATCGTTTGCGAGTTCCGCAAAGTCCGGCGGCACGGCGTACATGTTCGAGACCTCCCGAGGCTCCGCGCTCATCCACGCGGCGGTCGATTTGTTGTAGAAAAGCGTGCCGGAGGACGTGGCCAGGAAGGATTTCGGATCTCCTGTGGAAGAGTACGTTTTGCTGGAGCTGGTTTGGGTTTCCAGGCACACCACCCCGGACGGTAAAACGTAGATCTTTTTCGGCACAACCGGGAGCGGTGCGGTGATGGTGTGCACGCGAAGGTGGAAATCGAGAACAATGACACGCTGGACCGGAGGGAGAATAAGTTGGGACAGCATTGTAGTTGTGTCGGCCGCGGCGATAGTCTGTGCAGAGTGGGTTTTGGGGTTGTTGTAGCACTAAGTGCAAATTCAAGAAACTGACACTTCGTTCAATGATCTTCGTAGCATACAGCTATACACAAGTCTCAATCTTCATGTCGCTTCAGTTACTTCTCGTCAAGCTCAACAAGTCGTGCAGATGAACCCTATCAAAAGGAGAACAAGCGATAAATGATCAAACTTTACCGTACGAAAAAACAACAACTATGTACCTGCTCAGGCATCCCGACCGCAACCAAAAACGCCGACGTTTTCGACACGGAAAGCATTTCGACCGGAAAGGGCAGCAGCACCGGCGGCAGGCAGCACACGCCGCTTTTGAAAAGCCCCAATTTACATGCCTCGAACACGACAAATGCGAGGGTCGTGTTCGGCACCCGGTGGATGAGAGTGACCAATTGTAGAGACGGCTGCTCGCGGTAAACCAACTCGTTTTCGCTACTGACGGGAAACTGTTCTTTGCTCGCAATGCCGAAAGAGTAGTAGTAGAGGGGGGACGTCGTCGAGAGATTGTTCCTCCGGTGGTCCCTTTCGAAACTAGGTGGTGACGGGACGAGACGACCGGCCATCACTTCACGGTTCATGGAAGTCGTGAGAAACGCCATCGCGTCGTTCTCCTGCTCTTCCACGGTGTCAATCTCATCCGCAAGCAAGGCCACCTTCTGTTCCTCCTCAACTATGAGCCCGGGCTTCGTGTTCGTCTGCACGGCGGAACGGTCTTTTTCGTCCTGCTCATCATTGGTCGTTTTGCTTCTCTCTTTGTTCTCCGAAGACGGAGAAGTGTTGGTCGAGGCAGGATTTATCTTAGAAACAGGTCCATCTTGCTGTACCTCCGATGCTGAAGGGAGCAAGATCCGCGCGTAATAGTTCGCGATCTCTGCTCTGGTTGTCGCGGAACATTCGGGGGTCGCAAACTTTTCCAAAACATTCCTTATAACGAGTCCCTGTTTCACGGAAATCCCTGGTCGTGCACCAGTTCCATCCTCCTGCGCAGTTGCGATGTAAGAGGACATGATCTGCGGGCTGTCTGTCAAGGTGAGCAGGGCATCGAGCAAGGGTTCGGGAAGTCGGTGGAGGACACCTCCAGGGTCCTCGGTTTCTTCCTCTAGCTTCTTGAAGGGTTGATGCTGTCGAGGAAACGAAGGTAGTTGTGCTGGTACCACCACGTCAAGCACTTCACCTGATGGTCCCAAAAATGTAGGAATGGAAAAAACTACAGATTTATTGGATGCGTCGGCGCGAGGGACAATCGCAGGATGAAACCGGCGGTTAATCGCTTTTTTATGTTGCGTCTTTGCTAGAGAAAGCCCGGCCGGAGTTCTACTTGATGATGCCAAATCTTCCAGAAGCGACTCCAACAAGTGGAGCTCGTCCTTAGACAATGAAGCCGCTCTGCTTTGTTCAGGTGCGGAGTTTATTTTGCTGTGATGTTTCTGGGGCTCTTTCACGGAGGTTTCCATAATGCCAGCGACAGGAGATCCGCCAAACAGCGCGTCCGCCAGATCATTCACGAAATCGAAATCTATATCACCGGCCGCATTAAACAAGCTGTCGAAATTCGCAGTTGCTTGGTCCAGATCGAATTCGATTGTGTTCTCTGTCACTTCTCCTGCGCTAGAAAACATGTGGTCAGTGTCATCTTCACCTCCTCCTGTAACAAGGAATTCCCGACCAATCACATTACCCGGCGCGCGCTCACCTTCTTCCTCTTCGCCCACCGCTACCTGGTCATGATCTTCGGTACCACTTCTATCTTCCTGAAAAATCGCATCCACGGCCGCTGCGAACTCTGTCGTGTCATTAGTGAAATTCGCCTCAACCATCGCCCGATGCAGCTGCTGCTCCGCTCGGTACTCGGTGTCGTTTGCGAAAAGCCGCGTCATCAAGACCGGCTCGACTAGCTTGCCATGCGGAGAGGACGCTCCTGTTGCGCGACTTCTGAGCAAGGCAGAAGATGTTGACGCACCTCCCATTGCTCCATGACCAAAGTGCTGATGTTCCTGCAGTTCGGGCTGTTGTAACATTTCATTTTCATCGTAAAAACCCCCAACCACAGGAGCCGCACTGCTATTCGAAAGCGCCATGGCTTGTTCCTTCTCCATTTCCTTCTCAATGAAGTCGGGCGAGTGGATTTTCTGGAAATATTCCACGTTCACGTTCGTCGCTTTATTCAGCCACCGGCTGCTGCACCGCAAAAACGCGCAGTAGCCGTTGTGCCCGCAGAGGAAAATCGTTTGGCAGTCGTTGGAAAGCAGAATGTCCTGGATCGGGCCCCACCGGTCGGGACAGAGTTCGCTGATGGTCAGAAGTGGTGCGTCGTTGTTGCTGCTCCAGATCGCCAGAGCGTTGTTTTTGTTCGACACAGTGAGCAACAAAGAGACGGGCTCAAACTTTGCGTTTTCGGAGATAGTGGCGGTGGTGGTTTTTCCGAGAGTACTAGTCTTCGTCTTGTTTTTATTTCCATCAGGAACAACAAGCTGCTGACCACCACCTTCTTTCGAGGACGTTGAAGGAGCGACTACGCGCTGGCGACAGAGTGGTCCGTGCACGACGTGCGAGATCCGGTCCATCGCACTGGGAATCCGGATTTCTGCCAGCGCCTTCCCCCAGTCGTCGCGCGAGAAGATCGGGGCGTAGTAGTTCGTTTTGTCCGGCAGCCGCGGGTCAATGGTTTCCCCGTAGGGCAAGACACAACTTGCACCGAGCGGGTCCCAGCTCGGCCGCGCCGAGACCTTCATGCGCGCCCGGTTGCGCGCGCTCATGTCCGGCCAGGTACCCTCCGCTAGTTCTTCGCGCAAGTGCCACTTGGATGAAGAAGAAGATGCAGTTGCAGCAGCCTTCTGTTTAGACGTATGTTTCTTACTGGTGTTGAACACCTCCACCCGTGTCCACACGAAGGGAATCACGTTCCCGTGCACGGACTCGTGCATGCCCACCACCGTTCTCCCCCACGGGTCGAGCTCGCCGCCCAGCCACTTGTCGAGGCCGTCCTCGAGGTCTTTGATCGTCAAGTCGTTCAGCCGGCTCTCCGCTTGTTTCAACAGGTAACTCGCGGACTTGCCCCGGTTCTGGAACAGATTTTCGTACTTATTCTTGCTGGAAGAGGAGGATATCCCTTGAGGTCCATTGATGTTCATCATCTCCAAATTGTTGTCCACTCTGGATGAACCAGTGTTAAAGTGCGCCTGCATCTCCCGGGCCTCCCGCCGGACGCGGAACATGTACTGGTATTTGCTGATTGCCGCGTCGTCCACGACAAATTTGTGCAATTTTTCTCCCGTCGCGACGTCCAGGAGGTGCAAGTCCGCGAAGTCCGTCACGACAAGCAGCTCCCGCGGATTCGCTTTGTTCCACGACAAATCGACAATGCCGCAGGTCCGGCTCACCGTACTGGTAAACTTGAAGGACTTGACCCGCTTCCAGTTTCGCATGGGAAGGTGCCGCAAATCTTGTGCTTGGCTCGAACGGGTGCCGGCGCTCGCACCAAAATGATTCTCGTCATTCGCCAAACCAGAAGGACCACCAGAACTCTGATCTGCCTTGTAGGTGTAACTACCCGGCTTGTAGAGGAAGACGTGGCCGTCCGCGCCGCCACTGGCAAGCACCGGCTCGGAGGGGTGCCACCGCACCCGCTGCGCCGCGTCGTAGTGCTCGGTGAGACAGGACAACTGCGTGACAGAAAAGGCGTCTTTCGTCGCGTGCCACTCCAACGTGTAAATCCGCACCTTGCTGTCCAGTGTCCCCGTCGCCAGCATCTCCGCCGTCCGGTTTTGGCAGGTCGTCACGTCCATACACAAAACCCGGCGGGTTTCGTCGGTTAGTTCGGGAATCTCGCCGACAGTAACCTGCCGGGACTCCTCCTGCACGACCGCGTCTTGATTTGGTGCTTCGACGAAGGAGGTCGTGGGATCATGTTCTTGCCCCAGTTCCTTACTGCTTGTTTTCCCGACAATTTTATCACTTCGCGCGACCGCGACTGAAACCGCCGTGGCTTCTTTCACCTGCATAGTAGTTCTAGAGTTCTTGTTGTATCTTTCCGCCTGTTCTTGCAACGCGACGCTGTCGTCGGAATTTTCACTGTCCGAGTCAAATTCAGGTTGAAAAGTCACCTTTTTCGACGTCGACGAGCCTTTAACATTTGCAGCCTTTTTTTTGATGTTCTGCCGAGCTCTCGTACCAAAAACTCCAGCAGAACTGTTGTTCTCCACCTGGTCCTCGCCGGCCTCGGCGTCGTCTGCAGTGGCAGTTGCAGCAAACTCCAATTCGCCAGCTGCCAGAAGCGCTTTCAGTTCTTCGCGTTCGCTCATCAATGGTGCGTGATCAACGAGAAGATCGGTTAGGAGTGTGATCTCTTCGAGAGACAGGTCGGAGACAAGAGACTTCAGCACAGAAGATGTGGTCCTCGTCTCGGATATGGGAGAAGGAGATGTAGTTGCTGTTTCGTGTTCGTCTGATTCGCGACGGGCAATGCCAGTGCTCCTGTCCAGATGAACGTTGGCTCCCGTCGCACTATTGCGGGCGCCGGGGGAATTATTCGAGATAGAATTTTCACCTGTTGTGGCAACCGCGACGAGAGTGGTGGTCAAATCTGCAAGCACTTTTTCCCGGTAATCTCGAGGCCCTGCCAAAACGTTGGAGATGAGTTGAAGCTTTGCATCCTGCTTCAAAGCTGTCTTGACCTCTAACAACCAGGAGCTACTGATCTTTCTGGCGTTGTGGTCGAATGTGGATGATCTTGACGCGGCTGCAAAATCTGGCGCGTCTGTTGTTGTTCTTGACGAGGTGTAAAGATCTCTTCCGTCCGTGAAGATGAGGTGAGAGTCGTGCCGTCCTGAAGGTGAAACTGGTGGAGAACCACGTCCAGTGGCTGTGGTTTTCTTCGTCTTCGACTTCTTTTTATTCTCCCCGTGAGTCTCGTCAGGGTCTTGGTGAAGTAGAGCAAGCCCCTCCTCAGTCGCCGCCGGTCTGGAAGATGTTGAAGCTGCAACATTTACTCTCGCGGACGAGGAGCTGCTTCCTCCCTCCTGGAAAAGCTGAAACGCAGGCAAAGGCAGCTGCAAAGTGGAAGCTAGTAGCTTTGCCGTTCTGGGAGATATGGGCCCAGAAGCGGGTGTTGCTGGATCGTCTCCTGCTTCATCACTTCTATCCGCAGCGATGCTAGAAGCGGCCTCGTGGCCCAACTCCTGTGCTGCAGGTGCACCAGGAGGTTTCTGATCATTTTCGTCGTCTTCATCTTCCGTAGCGTCATCCTGAAGCGCTTGTTCTTCTCTCGCTCGAGTGATCGCAGCCTGGCACTTTGCGCGAAAAGTTGTGAGGACCGCATGGTTCGTGTTGTTTCTGGCTGGGACAGCAGGAGGCCCAAGCGGCCTGTTGTCGGTCGGCGGCCGGCGGTCGTTGTTGTAAAAGCGAGAATTATGGTTGTAGTAGTTGTCGTTTGGCGGCCGACGGCCGTATCCGTAATTTGAGCCGCGAGAGTTGTAATTGTAGTTGTGGTCGTAGTCGTGGTTGCGCCCCCGGCGGTGGTCGTTGTTGTAACCGCCGCGAGACTGGTTATTGTAGTACTGCTGCGCCATGATGAGGGGATATCAAACTCAGGAATGGCTGGAGAAAGTTGTTCTATGTATTTTTGGCGGGGAAAGTAGAACAGAAGCAGATCTACAATCCACCATGAATCCGAAAATAGAAATACATGGCGGTAATCTTCTTTTGAAAAAGCGTAAAGAACTCATAGTGAGTAGCTACAGTGTAAAAGCGTCGCTGAATTGAAAGGGATATAAGCCTTACGTGTACTGCGTGACCCGCCTGCGACAGGAAATAAACGAATAAAACTTTGTTAATGGAAGTGGGTGGTTGACAAAGTTTCTCTCGAACCAAAATATCAACAGGATCGCACGGAATGTATCTGTATGTGTTGAGGAGCGTTTGTGCTGCTTGTGTGTTTGTTCTGAACGTGAAGATCTTGCCATGACTTCGTTTCGTCACCACATCTTGTTCAGAACCAGGAGTTCACATAGTACAGCCTACGCGGTACTTTGTCTAGAAGTACGGCCCTCTTAGCATAAAATCTATTCGGGCCGGACGAACTGTGGTGTGAAGGGCGATCCAGAACGCCATCGAAGGACTTTGAACTAAAACGTCGAACTCGCTGACAGGAGCAGGACATATTGCCTCCCTGCTTAAAATGTAAACAAGGCACGGCACCAGCGATGCGCAGGTATGTAGGTCTTGTTTCTTGTGATACAATTTCGGTATGTGAAGATTTGATGCAAGATAGAAAGACTCGCTTCATTTCTTGTTTCTATATGTGCAAAGGTGAACCGATAATAAGAGGGATACAAACAATTTATGAGTTGCACTAGACGTGTGTAAGTGATAAACAAAGATAAAATCCAAAACATAGCTACATTGCTTGAGAAGGATATCCTCGTAGCTCCATGGGCATGAATTCTGAATCTGAATACCATACGTGGAAGCGGGCATACAGACAAAATTTCCATTAATTGCATGTGCACGGCTAAAAATTTCGCCTACTTTGCGGCACGGGATACGCGTCGCGAGCGCACATAATGAAAGAGAAAGAGAAGACACACGAATGAATGCCAAGAATGGCGATAAAAGGACAAAATCGAAAAAAATTCCGTACACTTTTTTGATTTATTCTTACCGCTACAATAAATCAGAACCAAGTGGCCACAGAACCACGACTCCAAGAATTATTCCCATCGCTCACACGAGTTCCTGTTTCACGTCTGAGAGCGCGTAATTCTCTACTTCTTCGCCGTTTTTCCTTTCGCCGTCAAATAAATACCGACTTACCTGGTCTCGCTGCCGGGCTTCGTAAAATTCGTCCCCGTCTAACCCGGCGGTGAAATAGTGGTGTCGAATTCGGTGCACCGCTTTCTCCCACGTCTTCTTGCGCTTCTCGACGCGCTCAGCTTTCGTGAGAAGTTTGTTTGGTTTTTCGTTTACCTTTGGTGCCGACGTCGTGCTGTCAGCGGTACCAATAGAAGTGGTCCTGCTCTCTTCATCTACGTCAAGAACTACACGACCCCCGGTGCTGGCGTCTTCACCTTTACCTTTCCCCTGTAGTTCTTGCACCAGCTTTGTGCCCCCTCGTGAAGACGTCGACACTGTTGAAGGTTCCGAATTCCAGATCGGACTAGTGTGGTAGTAGAGCAAAAAGAAGCTCTGCACGGCGCGGCAAAATTTCAGAAACCCCGGATTCCAGCGCGGGCCGTCGTCAGTGGTTGGACCTGCTGGAGGTGCATTATCGTCCTCGTAGTCAACTTCATCCTCCTCCCCCCCTGATTCCCCGCCTGTGAGGTGGTGCACCTCCTGCTCGTCCAAGGTGGGGACCTCCTGTAGGGACCTCCTGGAGGTGGTCGTCTTATTTTTGTTCCCTTTCGCGGTTTGGGTCTTGGATTTCGAAGAGTTCGACGCAGCAGGGCGCTTTTTCATCTTTTTCGGGTCTTGCTTCGCCGGCGTCCCGACTGGACGACCATCTTCAAAGTGGTGGTCTTGTTGCATCTTCTTTTTAGAAGGCCCCCGTTCTGCTGCACGATTTGGATCATCATTCTGGTACACGGCTCCGTGGTCTTTTGGAAACAAGGGTTCCAATTTGGCGAACGATTGTTCAAATTCGCGCGCAACTTTCTCGTTCGTCAGCCTCTCCAGCGCTTTTCCGTCCGGCAAGATCTGGCGTAATTGCGTGTACTTCATCCGCAAATCGTACACCAAATCTAGCAGGTGCGACGATTGCAGGCTGGCGAGTAGATTTTGATTTTCTAAGTCTAATTCTACTACTTCCGGGGAATTCACCCCAAAATGATTTTTCTTCCGCGGTTCGTGTGGACCTTCTTGCGCAGTTGAAATAATTTGGAGATTCTTTCCCCCCAGCGCCACAGCAGCTCCTTTGGTTTGGTCTTTGCTTTGGTTTGCTCTTTTTTCGCTTGTTTCGGTTTCCATGAAGACAGTGGACCACAGAAGCTGCAGTGGCGAAAAAGGCGTCAGCGGGAGGCTAAAGAGACTGCTCGCTTCCTCCAACAGCCACTGAATATTAGCCGTCACAACTTCTGTACATGTGGACGATGTTGACCCAGCACCATTACCGGCAAGAACATTGCTAGTACCAGATAATTTTTGCTCCGGAAGATGATGATGCACAATGCCGCTCCGCTCGAGCAAGCGTCCGGCCTCCTCCAGCAAGACTGACACTCTTCGTACCACCAAAAGGTGCTGCCGCGAGAAGCCCTCGAAACGCGGGAAGCCCGCTATCAACTGTAAAAATGTCTGGGTCTGGAAGAATTCATGTTTGTCATGCTTGTCTGGCATGACTCTTAAGTCTGTCATGCACGTTACCCAAGAGCTCCGTTTTTCTGTGATGCAGAAGCGCAGTCTGTCATGCAGAATAGGCAACACCTAGGAGCTCAGAAACTTGTCATGCTGAGCCAGCATTTGTAGCCTCATCATGAGACGCCACCCAGCATCACAAGTTCCCAGACCCAGACATTTTTACATTTGATACCCGCGGTGTGGAGGCACTCGTCCAGCTCGTCGGCAAGTTTGTGTTGCTGCAGTTCCAGGTATCCTGAGTAAAAACGTACCCACACCAGAGTCAGAATGGGGAATCTGCTAGACAAATCAGCCAGCTTTGGTTGTTTGGCATGACAAGTTTGTCCGCGTAGTGTAGTGCTGTTTGAGCTAGTTTAGCAGCATTACAGATCTAGTATCTCGTGCTGATTGGAGCATGACAAATTTCAAAACCGCATTAGAAAATGCTTCTCATGGGGCTCCGCATGAGAAACATTTTAAGCATGCAGAGTTGCATGACAACTATGGTGTGGGTACGTTTTTACTCAGGATACCAGGGCGAGGAGAGTCTGTTTCATTTTCACTTCTTCATCCTCGGACGTCGTGGTCCCCATACTGCATGCTGAAGTGACGTTCTTTCTACTGTGGTCTACAACTTCGACCTCGGCCTCGCTAGTACTGTAGATCTCCAGCCAGTGGCAGTAGCTAATCGCCCCCACTTCTGCCGATAGGGCCTCGCGAGCCTCGCGGAGGTCGAGTTCCGCCCCGTTATGGTAGTTGTTCATTTGTGGGTTCTCGTCTAGCTTTATTTCATCAACGACCATGTTATTTCTTGCGGTGGGCGAAGACTCCTTTGCGGGTGACAGACTTGTAGCCTTCGTCAGCGTGGTCATCGGTTCCTGGCTTGACACCCCCGTGCTCCTCCTCCCAAAAGCGTCTGAGACCTCTGATGTGTGCGCTAGAATGAAGGAATGAACCTTGCCGCAAAGGTAGCCGAAGGAGAATAATGCGCACAGAGACCCGATCAGAAGCGCAATCACCTCGTGAGGACGCCATGCTATTCTTCTAGTAGGTTTGTTTTCATCCCCATGATCATGACTTTTTGGTGCCGGCGTTTTTGCCGGCTGAGCTCCTTGATCTAAAGGAGATTCGATGGATATGGCTTTCATTTTGGAAAATCAAAATGCGAGTGCGTCGTGTAGTACCTATTTACTGTGAAAGTGTGGAGTAGAAGTAGATGTACTTCAGGGGACGTAGGATCTCCCAATTGATGTTTTTTCAAAAGTGGCACGGGGTCTTTTTTATTCTTTTTCGCCTGGTGTGTGGAGCTGGAGGTTAGTTTAGCCGTGTGATGTTCATCGTTGCTCTGCGTCTGCAACTGCGCGCGAACAACATGTAGCTCTTCTTATTATACAAAATTGCACGACAAACGGACGAGAAAATACTGGACGACACGAAACGATAACGAAACAAGTACGAAAATATGAGACGAACCTCCCTGCACGCACGAATTCAAACGAGGATAGGTCACCGAAAAATGAAATCAATGTCGCGAAACGCAAATTATAAAAACAAACCACACGACAATGCGGACAAATTTAAGCGCGTCGCTGAGTTTTCAAGCGTGCCCGTGCAGCTGCAGCAGCAGCGACAGCACCTCTTCGTGTACAGTACGTGTCTGGTTTTTCGGTTTTTCTTCTAGTACTTGTCGAGAGGCAACAAAAAAGGACAGCTGGTTTTTCTTCTTGTCTAAAAGGAACAAAAAGGACAATCTTCGGCAACATATATCCTTGCGGCACGGGGCAGGGTTTTTGCTTTTGGTTGGGCCGTGCGGCAAAAAAACGCGAGTACGACCTGCGATGCGTTTTCGAGTAGAATTTAGCAGGGCCGATGGGCCGCGCGCGCAAACCCACGCGCCCGCGGCGCCACAACGCGCTTGGGCCGACAGTGCGGGCCTGTATGTTCCGCGGAAGATAGGAGGTAAAGCGGGGGGGCCGGCACAACATGGAGCAGCCCACGGGCCTCGCTACTTGGTGACGGCGCCCGGAGCTGACGAAAACGAGCCCGACCGCCGACGGCCGCCCCCTGGGGGGCGCGCGCCGCCACGCGGACACTGGCGCGGCGAACGTGGCCAAGGGCGCGGCGGAATGGCGCCCCCTCCAATATGCTCGGGAGCTCGCCCAACAGGCGGCCCAGGTCTGCGCCCCTGTCTTGCTTGCTGGTTGGGTGGTGCCTCACGCAGCAGCCCCGGACTTCTCTCCCCACCTTCAGCGTGCGAAACTTGAGCAAGCCCGTGGGCATCGCTTGGAGCGGTTCCACAGCGTATCCCCCAAAGGAAATGCCCCAAAGAATGCGCGGGGCAGCGGCGCGGCGTCTCACTGCTGCGCCTTGAAATTGACAGCAAGGACCATGGGCGCCGGCAACGTTCGCGCTTCGGGCGTGTGCCGCAACGAGTACGAGCCACACGCCCGAGGGGAACAAATAACAACCCCCTCGATGGGCTTTCGTTTCCACAATCCGCGACGCTGAGGCGCCACAGTCAGGGAGCTGGGGCGCCGGCACGCGCCTCCTCCAACGCCTCTGGTGTGACTGTGACGGACGAACTCGCTGTCATAGGTCGGATTCGTGTTGCACTTCCGGCACCCCGCGGCCGGGTCCGTAGTATGCAAATAGCCTGGCCCGCGGATCGGCGCACCCCGTCGAACCGCCGGCCGCGCCGCCCACGCGGCATTTTCCACAGCAAAGCCGCCCGCGACCACCTTGCGCCCCCCGCCCTAGCCCTGCAGGCTTCTCGTAGAAGCCGCCGCAGCCTGCCGCTACACGGTAATCTGGCGCAACCTGCGAAAGCTCCCGCCTACCGCCCTTCGACGGAGCACAACTCGCCGCCCTGTGACGGAATGCGCACGACAATCACGAGAAAAGACAGCGGCCCGCCGTGGCAGAAACAAACCACCCCCCCACGCACGGCGACAAGCAGCGTGGCAACGGGCCGGCCCGCCCCGAGGCATGCCGTGGCGCGCTTCGTTCCTCGCGCGGAAAAGTCCCAAGCCTGCCGCAGCAGGCACAACGCCGGGCGCTGCGGCGCCTTCCCTTCGGCGGCGCGGCCGGCCGCGATTCCATTCGCCACAAGCGCGGCGGCCTTTCGGGTACCAGGCAAACGATGCCGCGCCACGCCCCCCGGCCCCCATGAAAAGCAACAATCAACGGAGAGCACGAATGAGGGGGCGACGGCGCGGCTCCTCCTGGTCGCGCACGGAAGCGCTTGCACATTGCGGCCCCCCTTTCCCGCGCCCAGGTCCGCCGCGCTTTCCGCCGCAAAGCCGCCGCCGGGGGCCTGGCGTCGGCGTAGGTCGTCCTTGGCGGGGGTCGCACCCTGCGCAGGTGCTTCTCGGCCGGCGAGAGGGTCTTCCAGCCGGGCAGACAGGCGGCGCGGCGCGGCAGGCTCTGCCGTCCGCGCTTTGCTCGGCCCCACTGCCCAGCCGCTTTGCCCACAAACGGACGCCCCTAGCTTCGTGCGAGGCACTTCCGGGCGCGCCGCCTCCGAGCTAGTAAACCACACGACAGCGCGGACACGTTTAAACATGTTGTTTTGGTGTCCTTCGCCCAACGGACAAGTGAACGCAAAAGAACAGCCCCAGATCCACAGATTATTTCATCATATGTGCCAAAAAGTGCGAGAGGACTCCGAGGCTCGGAACTTTTCACGTTCCGATTTTTTTTCGGGCGTTGGTTTTGATGTTTTATGAATTTTTTTTATGAAATTTTTTTCGTGGGTCAGAAAAAATGGAGTTCGTTGCGAAATGCGCACGCTTATTAAATGCTGTGGGAAAAAAGCTATGAGTAGAGTATTTCTATGCGAATCGAGGGCGTGATGTGATGTGGCAGAAGCGATGCAAAGACGACGAAGCCTCTTTCGCTTGGCGAATTAGCTGCGTCGTCGAATATGAGATTGGAGCACAGAATGAACCTAAGCCAAATTCTGAGCACAGCAAAGCTGCACCCAGGATGAAGCTTTAGCTTTCGGTTCGGGAAAAGAAAAATGCAACAGGAACCTTACTGTATGGTGGAAAAGGTGCAGCTTTTGGTATGGCACTACAATTACAGGTTGATGTAGCAACCTTCTTTCTTGCTATGAAAGAGAACGCACTCCTTCGACAGGCTACGTACTACATCCAACGACCATAAGAGAAACCTCAACTAGTTGTTCAGTTCGTTGTTTGTTCAAAAAATTGCAAACAATAAAAAGGTGCGCTCTCGAGTTCTTTTGTTTGCAAACGAGGAAAGACAAAACTACTACACCCACCCCTACAGAAAGGATAGAAGTTCATCCGGCTGCTCGTGGCTGTTTGCATACCAGTGTTGTATTTGCGCGTCGAGTTTATTTTCAATGTACGGGGAGAAGACCAGGACCCGCCACCGTGGAAGAAATCGAGAAGGAGCTCTATTCGTCTAAGTGGCGCTCTTGGATGAAAAGACGAAGCCTCACAAAGGTGCGTCGGTGTATCTATTTACAACAATGCGTGGATCACGAGCAACACCATAGCGTATAGTATTCTTGTGGGGCGACAAAATGACAGTGGTCTGACAGGAGCCATGGTGTTGTTCTTGACAAGAATCATAGCTAGACTTTATTGTGCCGGCCTCAGAAAAAAAAAATTGGCCTTGTGTTTCGTGTTGTCCCACTTGACCACCTCAGTCGGTGGTAGCAAGAAAACAGAAGTATGTCAGAGAACGACTTCGATCCTGCTCGCTGTCGTTATTTTTACTTTTACTTTACATTTCTAAACGGCGGAAAAATTTTGTTGTTTTTTGTCTTCCGATGTTGAGCCTAACCGTCTCTTGGTTGTCGAGGGCCTCATGCAACCACGACAAGAAGCACAAGACTCCTCTCCAGAAGAGTTAGACCATAAATCAAACTTGACTAGATATACTGTACGGGTGGTCGTGCAGCAGAGAAGTGGTTTCTTGGAAACTATGCGACACTGACACTGTACTAGTCATCGAATACAGTAAAATCAAAAGCTTCTGTTTTCGCCTAAAACGGAGCAGGAGGAAACAAGTTCTACTTTGAGGTTAGATTACTATGCCGACTCTCTTCACGATGAAATCGCGAAGCAAGATCATGCTTGCGCATTCTCCTGAAGTAGTAGTAGTACATGAAATAAATATGAGAAGTTGAAAAAAAGTACGAACTCCTCGTAGCACGGTGTGCTACGTGTTCGTCGATCTTGCCGGATTAGTGTTAAACTGGAAAGTGACAAGAGGTGATCAAGATACCATAAAGATATTTATCGGACACAAAGTAAATGCAAAAATTGTTAAAAAAAGCGGATTATAAAAATGTCTAGGTACGACCACTACCTAGGAGCTAGTCGTGCCCAATGAAAGCGGAAAATTCGAGCTCCCTGCGCTGCCTGGCGTCATTGCGAAATTCGATGTGGATGCGGTGGTCGGGGTTCCTTCACACGGCGTCGCACTATCAGCCGCCGACCCGCATTCCGAACAAGCAGGAATTTCTTGCATCAACGCGGTCGTAGAAGTCTTGGACTATTTTCGAAAAATTTTATTGAGTTTGATATTCGAGACAATTTTTTGATGCTGGATTTTATCTATCATGCGCCAGACCAGGTGAAATGAGGATGTGCTTTCTGCGATAATATTTCTACTTAGACACTTCCTTCTTCGATTCTGAAGACACAATCGAAATAAGAGCTCCTGCCACAAATAATCAGATTGATGTCAGAGGCAGAAGCAGAACTGGTCGTGGTCGTGCTTCAACCAAAAATAAAAAAATCATACCCGAAGATGCTCCCCCGGCGCCCCCGTGGCACGTCCCTTTATGCTCCCTAAGAACATCTCGTCGGAGGTTGCTTTGGAATTATAAACTGAAGAACACGACGACGATGATGAATAGGCCGTGTTCATTCCAATCGTTCCGCCCACCATCTGTAGTTCCGCATGATCATCTTGCGGCTCCTTGGACACGAGAGAAGAAGAAGAAGCGCTCGCACAGTTACTAGTACCGGTTGTGGAACTACTAGTTGCATAACTGAGTAACTGCACCCCGGTCGGCCCCAGTAGCTCGGTCAACAAGTCTTCTCCACCAGGGTGAAGACCGGTCCCCTCCTGCTGGCCTGCGGGAGCTTTGTTCATCGCGCTCGTCGTGGTAATGGCATCAGCAGCAGAGGCTCCTGTCATGGCTTTATTGTGGTGCACGTCAATGTCCTTCACGATGATGTCGTCGAAGACATCCTTGGTTGTTTCATCTGCTCCGACCTGCCGCAACCATGCACACAAATCGGTCTCCTCGCCATCAGCTCCTTCGTGGATAGTACTAGTAGTACCATCACGAGGACGATAATTATTGCTGTCCCGCCCGCTGAAGGGGAAAGGACTGCTCTTGGACGTAGCCTGTGTTGGATTTGTTCAATATGAAGTTTTTTTGCTGTACAAAAGAGACTAGAGCGGGATGGTCAACCACTAGAGCGGGATGGTCAACATACATGCGGAAAAAGTAAAAGAGCAGAAAGGAAGATTGCGCAAATAAATCCACCATGCACAAGTAGTATACCCTCATTTCCGTTACTTCGTCCCACACATCCGGTGACAAATCCAGCTTCGGAAAACACTCCGCCCACCGCACCAAGGCGTCCGCGCCCCGCATGCCGAGCCGCTCCCAGACCTCGTTCACGCTCATCACCAGTGGTCGACGCATCCGAACGACTGGATTTATTTTGATTCCACAACGATTTCAACAAACTCGGTTCGATACGTGGTCAACGATATTTTTACGGTTGAACATTGAAGAAATTCGATTGACGTAGTGCACGGTCTACTTACTACTGCGCCAAGAACAGAAGAAATTGAAATCATCCAGAAGATGCACGAAAAGCCCCGGCCGATAGGCTGAAAAATGTAAATGTTTAAAAACTATAGACAGACAGTACATTTGACGTAATCCCAGAAGGCGTGGGCATACTCGCTGACCCAGTGCGATACGACCGCCAAGGCCCGGCGCGACCGCGGGTGCCGGTTTTGGATCCAGATGGTGAGCTCCCCGCTGGCGCAGTCCAACCAGACGCCGCCCCGGTGGGGGTAGTCCAGGAACTGCCGCAGGTGCTGGATTATGCATTGCAAATAAAGTATCGCACTCGTAGTACTCGTAGGCATACAGCTTCACAAATCTTATTCTTGAGGTCGCAAATCCGCATTGCAAGTTGTATTTTTCACGCTGCGGTAATCTGTGTCTGTCATGCGATTTATACTAGGGCGATCATACTTTTGCAATGCGTATGGATCTGCACAGCCTTCTGGTCCATGAAGAACGGCAACGCCTCTCGGGGAATGAACAGCACATCGTAGTGGGAGCACTTGTGCTGCAAAAAGTGCGGGGTAGGCGGGATGAGGTACTGGTGCGGACTCCCCCCCGCGGACACGATCGGGTTAAAGCCCCGGTGGCCGTGATTGTTGCCAAAACTCATGGCCGTGCTGATCGGCCCGCGGTCGCCGAAACCAGTGGAGGCAGAGCCTGAACCTTTCATATTTCCGCCGCCAAGAAAGCCCCCAGCCCGACTGCTGGCGTTGTGTCCACCTCCCCGTGTGGCGGCGGAGGGAACAAACATCATGCCGCTGCCACGGTGGTGGCTACTGATCATGCTCCCCATGCCGCCCACCCGGGAGCAAGAACCTGCTGGTGCCCCTCCATAGGGTCCACCTCCGCGAGACGACATCCGAGTGGAACAATTGCTGTGACCACGCTCCCCGAGGACGCCAGCCTGGTGCGGAACAAAGCCGCCCGCGGTACTAGTACAGCCGGCAGCCCCTCCTTCCAGCAACTCCAACCGCTGCAGATCAGCGAAAGTAGTCGGTTGGCCGCCACGAATTATGTGCTTGTTATTTACTAGCGCGTTCATGGCGGAAAGCGGCATCCGCCCCCGCGCAGTGAACCCGAAGCTGGGCATGAAGGGAATCGCACTGGAGCGAAACCGGCTGTAATCAATCTCGCCGTACATATTTGTGTTGTCCAGTCGGGGCTTGTTTACGTTGTTTCCTGCTTGTTGTTGTTTTCTCCCACCGCTGCTCGCATGATCAAAAATATCAGGGACCGACTTGTTCATATCTTCACAAGAGGTCCTCGCTGTCTTTTTACTACAATTTTCATTGTTTTCGCTTCCCAGCTGCGGCGGCCCTGTTTCTTTCATCACGTCGATCTCGCCCGCTTTTCCTTGTTTCGTTGTAGCAGCTGTATCTTGCACGATTTGGATTTTATCCTGGAGTTCTTGTTGCCCATCCTCCTTCATAAATTGGCCGCTGCCGACGTTTTCATCACCGCGATCCCTATCAAACCGCTTGTCCTCGTTGAACACCACCGGACCCCTTGTATCTTCGTCGAAGTCCATGGGAAAATTGAACTTGTCCACATCAACTTCCGATGCAATCTTCGACCCACTGACAGCCCCTTTTTTCTTCTTCGCAGAGGACGCCGTTTTCTGCCGCTTGTTGCTACAGTTATTTCCTACCGTTTTCATCGCAGGAGCGGCTTCAGCGTCATCATTCTCTTTCTCCTCCGGCGGCAACACGAACTTGCTTACTACGGGAAGATTTTTCGACCTTTTGTTCTTCCCCCCAGTGTTAACGATGATGTGCTGGTCCTGGTGCTGCTGCCCCTTTTTGTTTTTACCATAGTTCTTGTAGTACTGGTCGGTTTTATACAGGTCAACATCTACTTCGTGCTGCCCACCTTTCTGATGTGGTCCTTTGGGATTGTGAAAGTTTTGACTTTTTCCCGCCCCTGATACAGTAGTAGTCTTCTGCATGCTGATGTTCTTGCCCTTGTCCGCAACTTCATCCTCCCCATCTAGGTTGCAGCCGTTGTCCCCATGCAGTACTTGATCCTGGTCGTAAAACCAATGCCCTCCGTCGTCGTCCAAAATACCTAACTCCATGCCGTCGGGAGATTTGTAGAGCCCCGCTTTTTCCTTGCCAAACCCGATGGGCGACGGTGCGTAGGAAAGCAAATCATGCGCAATAGGACAATGCTCGTGCTTGACAGCATCTGCATCCATCATTTCTGAAAAATCGACCGTGTTTGAGTTGTTTTGATCCGCGAGGTGGATCACTGACGCCATGTAGTTGTTCCCTATCCCTGCTGTAGTCGATGATCCGAAAGTAGCAGTACAAGAAGTACCGGCTTCTTCTTTAGTCGACGGCACACCACGTCGTGTCCCACCTGCCATCGTCACCTCAGATGTTGAACTTCGGGTAGTAAGAATCTCCTGGGACGACAATTGCTGTGGATTCGTAGAGGACATCGAGGAGCAGGAAGTATAAACAGGCGGTGATTTTGTCGTCGTCCCTAGCAAGTGCGCCCAGTGCGGGTCATCCTGGTCGATTTGAATGGTTGCGTCAAGCTCCGACTGCAGCTCTGAGGAACTACATTCACTACTTCTTCCTATGTTGTTGCCCCCCTTTAGTACCCAGTTGTCTTCCGCTCCACCAGAGGAGGACTCGAAATCAAAAGACGAGCAGGGACCAGCACTTCTGGGGCTGCTCAACAAAGTCGTGTCGTGGTCCAAATTCAGTGCCAACGCGCTCGGCTGCGAGAGTAACTCGGCGTGGTCCTCCACAGGAGGTCCTCGTGGTGTGTCAACTACATGCGGGGTCGACGACGTGTTGGAGCTCTGGGTCGTGATCGCGACGTCCTTCGTGCCATCGATTTTTCTTTGACTCCCCAGCGGATCATGCTCTGGTGCAGCGAAGAAAGAACCAGGTTTAATATTATTCGTTTCCTGGTGCTCGTCCCGCGACCATTCTCCTCGCGGCGCAATCTGCTGCGCAAAGAGCTCCTCCGGAGAAAGCAGAGCAGCGCCCGTGGTCGGAAGGATTGGGAGCTTCGGTGGCTTATTTATCAGTGTAGAAGGCGCACTGTTATAAACGCCGGACGAGTTGTAAGTCAAGGTCGTAGTCGGCCGCGCGTGGCCTCGTTCCTGCAGTTCCTGTTCCACCCCCGCTGCCCGAGATGTTTTTGTACTACAAGTCGGAAGATCGTCACTTTCCTTTCCCTTGTCGCCGCTGGTGCACGAACTTTTACAACTAGTACCCTCAATAACTTCTTCTCCCGAACAAGAACCTCCCACCGGGGTCGCGGAGCAGTAGTTGTGCTGATTATCATACGGGGTCGCGGAGGATAAAAAGCACTGCAACAGATCAACATCCGGAGGTGGATTACCCCCTGGCGGTCCAGCAGCAGATGAGATCGTGGTTGTAGTTCCAGTACCCTCCTCGGAGAGGAAATTCCCGCTAAGCGCGCAAGAACCGCTCCCGGAGCAGGTCGAGGCGGTCGGCGTTGCAGAGGTCGTAGTGGTGCTGATGTTCAGCCAATTCTCCAGCTTGTTGTGTAAGTACCAATCTTTATCCTGTTGTAGTTTATTTTCCATCTGAAAATCGTGGTCTGCTGGTGAACAAGCAGCACCAGGTGTCGTCGTGAAGGAACTACCTGTAGGTCGTGGAGCTCCTTCCAGGATCGCCGCCCGGGGGTCGACCAGGACCACGTCGTCGCCCGGGGGTCGACCTTTGACAGCCGTCTTCAGAGAGGTGGACTGCGGCGCCGGGGACGAGATTTTGATGTCGTCGATTTTGCTTATTTTTTCCACGGTGCTGCTACCTGCACCTTGGATCATTCTTCCGTAGTTCCTGTCTGATGCAGCACTCATCTTTCTCAATATTCACGACGTGGTCCTCGGAAGATGACGCTTGGTTGGCTCTCTAAATACAACTTGCTTTGGTTTTATTCAAGTACAACTACTTTGATACTTTATTTTACTTATTTACTTTTCTATAACAAGTCGTGAATGAGTGTCCTCAGCTTCGAAATTCCTCCATATATTAGGCATACATCACTACATTCATTGTAGTTGTACTCAGTTATTACAGCTTGGAAATAAACCCAACACAAATCAGAGCTGGGTATGGCAATGCAAACGCGGGCCGAAGGATCGTCGTGGAGATCATACGAGAGGAGAGCATCGAGTCCTCGACGCGGCAGCAGAATGTGTAGGCACCAGAGACGGAACTTTCCTTCTGAAGCTCTTCTAACAACAAAGCTGACACAGGAGCCAACAACTTTTTGCCGATCTTTCCGTTCTTGCGTGCCTACTTACGATAATGTTCTATTGCAGGGTATAAGTAATTGAAGAGGTTCTACTCCTTGGGGCCGAAGTCGAGAAAAATGTTCTCGTCGAGAATAATTACGTGAAGATCACGAACTGCGTCGCTCGATCAGGTGAGGATCAACTGTTATTTTTGGATTGTTGTCGTGCTAGACTGTTTTCTACTGGTGACCTGATCAGGAATATATAAGCTTGATCCCTACGACTATCGAAAATACGAAATTATGCAGCTTTTATAGAAACTGCAAACTCAACGAAAAATGCTGCTGGTTCATCAACTAGAGAAGGAGCGCGTCGAACTAAGGCGAGCAAAAACTTGAACTTTACTAAACTCTGGACTAATACTTCAAAAACGACAACTTTCACCGGGAGAGACAGACAGACATTACATATAGAAATTCGATACAGATTCACTTTTTCATACCAAATCGAATAGAGTGAAAAACCAAATTGAATCGCCTAAATGCATCTGTGGGGGTAATCTCAGGAAGATGTTAAAAAGGATCGTCGTGTTCAACAGGCATCAATCTCGTGGCTGATTACCACCTTCACTCAGGATCATCTTCATCTGCTATGCGCTTTACAAGAAGCTCAGTAGAGGATCATCTTCATCGAGCACATCGTTGTGCAGCTCCGCAGGACAGCATCTATCTTCAACAAGTTGTTGGAAAGACTAAAACTACAACTGAGGAAGTAGCTGCTGCACTTGGAATAAGAAGTTCTTGTCCGCACAACTCGTGCGGATCGAGCCTGAATCGATCCCGACGCCTCCGTCTGATGCACGTATCGAGTTAGATATGCGAGGTGACATGGTTGGAAGTAAGTAACCTTGAAGGACCTCTACTGTGTCCTCGGTCATTCCTTGCAATATGAAACACTGGCTGTACAACTATATTGAGACCCAGTTCACCGCTGTCCGATCCGTTTCTGTCCTAAGAAATTTAGGCGCGCGCGGTTGCAAGAATTGAGGTCTTAGGATTAATACTTATTTTCTACGCAGCAGTCGTAAGCGCGGGTATAATTGATCTGGATCGGATCCAATCAAACGTGGCCAAATTATACCTGGCGCCCTAGCCTTGAATCTAAGTAGTTGATCGACTGATTCTTAAGTGGCGTCTTTTAACAGCATCCTTTTCCTGATGCCGTCGCGCTTGAAGATTTTCGTGCCTGGTTCGCCGTACAAAAAAGAAAACGCACCGGCTTCTTCTAGAAGGTGGAGACACTTCCACGCAGTTCTTGACGCATGTAGTGCGTACGAATGTTTTTCACATTTTATCGCCAGCATTGTTCTTTCGAAGTAGATGCAGAATGCAGTCGACGTGGGGTTCTTGCTACTATAGCTCATTGTGGTCGCTGTAGTTGAAAATACCAAACCGCGTGCTCCGTTTATTCTTTTTTCACGTATCGATGGAGTCAAAAAAGCAGTCGTGTGCTCGCTTCTTACTTTAGGCGAGCGATTGAAGACAGTGATACTGGCTAAAAATTGACGAAGCCCTGAGACCACGAGCAAGTGGCTCCTGACAAGCTGGGGTCAAAAAACCAGTGCGCCTCGTGATCGGCCATGATCGTATCGACCATGGGCTCCGCCAGGTGCACCAAGGGGTTGGAGCCGTCGCGATTCTCGGCCAGCAGAAGCGACAACAGGACACTGTATCAAAAGGAAAAATCCCCCCTCCCCATATCGAAACGAAATTTCTGATTTTGGATGGCTAAGGGCTGGGCGTCCCTGTTTAGACTATACCTAAAAAACTTAAACCACATACCCGGTAAACTCTAGTAGGATTATTTGGACGATGTGATTTCTACCGAAAGACAGCAACAACAGCTCCTGGGAAGGCGGCATAGTGAGCTGTGTTGTTATCTGAGTAGAAATAACTTCGTACAAATGTGCCCACTAGCACCGAGGAAATTTCTGATGCTGGATTTGCGTACACAAATCAGGTCTGTCTTGCTGGAGAGGACTGCAGGCATATACCAAGCCTGGGTCGAGAGGTTTTGACGTAGGGGACTAGCATGACAGACGTCGGCCCTGTAAGCCCAACAGCATCACAAACCGCCGGCATAATGCGGCGGACTCTAAGGCTTTGCCTTCTTGCAAGACAGACAGGATTTGTGACCTCAAATCTGCATCACAAATTTTCAGACGAATGCGTTTTCAATATGGGGAGGGGGGATTTTTCCTCTCAATACACTGCAGGTCTTGCCCTCCCCCGGAATGTGCTGGGTTCGGTTGTGCGCCTCCCGAAAGGGGGCGGGCGGTATCACGTGTTGCCCGACGAAGAGGCAGCGCGCGGCCTCGTTCACCGAGTTCATGTCCCATTCGACCACCCCGTTCTTGTCCGGCGTGCACACGACCTTTGGGCGCTTGAAAAAGAACAGCAGCTCGTCGGTGCGGTCGCACAACACCTCTTCGCCGACCCATTCGTCGTGCCGCGCGTGGTGCAGCGTCTTGTTCGGGTTCTTCAGAGAGGAGGAGAGCCCGTTTTCTTTGAAGACACTGGTGTGGTATTTGCTGCGCTGGGTGACCTCTTTCACCTTCTTTCCGACTGGATCCTCCTTGCAAAGGTAGAGTTTCCGCCACTTTTTCCCGACCCCGAGGATTCGCCCGGTTTTCGCGTCCACGCAGCACGCGTAGGGGTGGGTGGTCACCGTTTTGGCCAGAAAAATGTCGACGAAAAGCTTGATCGCGTCTTCCAGCGAGCTTTTATTCTTGGCCCCCGTGCTGTCCGGGGGATGATGGGAACTGCCGGACACCAGGAGCTTCTGGACCTTTTCTACTTCGCTCGACATTTTCTCCTCGATGACGCCCACCATCTAGTACTAAGTACTTCCTCGGTGGACGTAAAATTATGTTCGTGCTGCAGTTCTTGTGATGGAACTGGATTCCGATAGATCTTCACGAGATACAAAAATACTAGCACAACTAGAGCATTTATAGTCTATCATTTTTACAACGACAACCTACAGCAGCTCTCCTGCAGCTGGATCAACATTATACATAGACCCATGAGGTATGATGAAAAAAAGCGTCGTGTCACAACCACCGACGAGTTGGGGAAGTTATTTTTCCCTTCAACAATCATCACACAACAGCAAGCAACACCACGAGTAGTAGATCATCTTCAAGAGAATACTTATGACATAGCACGGACCACAGACAAGTACAAGGCTCTTGTTTTTTATCGAAACAAAGGCATAGAAGAAAAACCACGCACGACATGAATAAACCAAAGCCGAAGACGGCAAAAAAAAAGACACCTTGCGGGTTTTCGGTCCTCTTCTCTTCCTCGGCGGTTCTTGAGTCGGCGCTGGGTCCGTGTCCTGTGGGTCGCGAAGCAACATGGCATGTTGAAAACAAAACTATTTCTTCAGCCCAACATTTCAGATCCTGTCCGCAATCCAGTTCTCCTTTTCGTTTTTGATGTTCTTTGAGTCGCCAATACAGCACTGGTTCTACTGGTTGACCGTGCATAATTGCAAACTGCAGCAATATCTGCCCGTGTTTCGTTACTTTAGCTCCGGTTGTAACATAGATTATTTACGAGGCAAATCATTTTCATACGAAAACAATAGACCTTTCGATATTGAAATAAAAGAAAAAGCCCTAAATTGATACGAAACAATAAAGCGCATGCACATACATCATGGATTGCACTGTTCTAACTTGATATGTTTCCGGGAATGTTTCTATTTTATCTCAAGATCTATGTTTCTTCATCTTTGGCTTTACTTTTCATAATTAACCCCTAACACGCGGAAACAAGCAGAATTGTTTCCCAGCTAGTACCGCCCCAGCGCCCGTCCATGCCGTGAGACTGACACGCGGCCGCGCTGAGTAATGCTAGTGGAGTTGTGTTTTTCTACTTGTCGTCGCACAAAGCTAATAAAAACAAGTACAAGCGAGTTTCTTATAAATTTTTCTGCAATTAATATTATGGTGCAAAACTTTTCAGATGCTATTTGGACTCGTCTTCTCCGATTTTTGTGAAAGAATACGTATCTTACCTACTTCTTCATCCTATGCTAGTAGCCGTGCCAGGCTCATCACGAGACCACAACAACTTTTCCGGTAGAAGTAAACATAGAAATAAATAAAGTCGTATTATAGGGGTAAGTAAGTGCTAATATCTCCACCTCGGCGCTTCGAAAAACGACCGGAGGTCGAGTGATTGATAGATAATATTAATAACGGGAGGGCCGTACTAGATAAGAAAACCAAAACATAAACTGACAGAATGAAACCTCCTCACAGTCAGCATGTTGTCATGTGGTTGGTCTTCTGATAAGTGATACCAAAATGCTTGACAGAAGCCTGCATTTTTCGGCCAAAACCAGAGAGACCAAGTGCTGCAAGTTGCCCCAGAGGACACAGACACACTTGCAACGCATAAGAAAATATGTGAAGAAACAGGCCTAGAAAACAGCAATTTTGCTGTCAAACTAGCCAGGTGATGCTTCTACGCGCTGCGGGAAAATTTCGATCAAATAAAAATATGCTATCGGGCGCTCGTAGTACAAATTGGGTTGTATTATTTGTTGTGGTATCACGGATCAGATACAACACAATACAATGTGCTTGTATCATGAACCTATGATCATGCTTTCTTTTTCTTATTTTCTATGAGACTTTTTTTACTATCTCGGGTTCTTTGTTTGTCAGTGAGACCTTACTCCGTCCCGGCAGCGACACTAATCAATGGCCTGAATTGTAGCCTGCCAAGGGTAAGTTCTACTGTTACTTATACTATCAAGCTACAACAAAAGTAGTATTCAACAAGTACGAAACTACAAGAAAGGAATTTTGTTGCAAAAATACGTACTTATTCTTGCTTTGCAAAATTAATTATACGTACCTACACACATTTGTGTTTATCATGCCGAGCCATGTTTTTGTTTTCTTTGTTCTTCATCTTCCCACACGAATTCTACAACATTGAATGATGACCCCCTACTTACTCGTGGGAACGATGCCCACATCTTCGACTACTAGTGACCCGTGCGAATGGCAAAAGACGATAGAAGAGATATACGGAAAGGTAAAATATTGAATCGAAATCATGATGAGCGCGGTTGCACTTTGACAACTCGAGAACGATTCGTTGCTGCAGGTGCTCGTCCCTTCTCATCCGTAGTGCAGCTCTGCGCTGAGAGGTGGAGTTATGAAACTGAAACATTTGTCATTTACATTTATTTCATCGAGTTCTTGTACTTTTACACTTTCATATTTCTTGTTCGGGATCGACTCCGTCGCCGACGGCATCTTGATAGCTGCTCCGCTCATATGCATTGCAAATATGTCTGCGTCTGGGTCTGGAAGAGTGCCAGAGTTGTCATGCAGGTTTTCCAGATACCATGGCTGATGGCACTTAGGATGAAGGGGGCAGTCCTCAATCAATACACATTGGAAGAGGGGACCCCAACCTCCTGGGGGTGAAGAATCGAGGGTGGCATTGACCTACAGAAAATGATCAGCGATCAAAAATCCGCAGGCGAGAACGGGAAGGATCTTTTCAGACACCGACCCAAATCCTCTGCCAACCACTTCCCTCGATTTCACAAACCTCTCCGCCGCGACGCAAGCGAAGCAAACGGGAGGACCCCGGCTACCCTTCCTCACGACCGAATTCCGAGAGGGATAAATAGTCCCCTCAGATTAGACGGAAGTGAAGGCATAGTCCCGGAGGGCAAGAAGGAATGCTCCCCCACGCCCTGAAAGCCTGGAAGGCAGACAGGGTGCTCAACTGTGCATAGTGGTTAGCACGAAGAGCTAGGGACGTGAGAGACACCGCGACGCACAACAACCCGACCAGGTAACCCAACACGCTCCGCCTCGAGAGCCCGGGGACCAGACAGTTGTGGCAGCAAAATGAGGAAATGCCAGACGACAAGTCGTCAGCAACGCCAAGTCATTACCAGCCAACACAGCAAACAGGGACCAGGGGAGCCAGATAGCCAACTGACACACAGCTGGGGGGAAGGCTGAATGAGAGCGCACCGTCCAAACTGACGAGAGGCCAACAAACTCCAACCCGCACCTGAAACCCAAGAGAGCGGCCCAGACCCCTGAGAGCAGCGAAGACCTGAGCAGAGCCCAAGCAACAACGAGGCGCCCCATCTACCCATCCTGACTCCTGCCGGTGGCGAAGACGCTCCAAAGTCAGAGCATCCTACAACGGGAATTTCCGACAGAGGTCAATCAACGACAGCACGAGGTTGAAGGCGTGCGGGCTCTTGGAGATAAAGCCAGCGGTAAGAGGAAACCAACATCGTATCGGGGGAGGCCGGAAACTGAAGACCACGATTCGGAGCGGCCGCGCGGATCCGACCTCGCATGCACCTCAGCCACCACTTCGCTTGCAGCATCCATCCCGAAGAGCGCCACCGTGCGTGTGCAAGCCAGAGGCCACCGAAAGAACACACATATCCCGCCGCAACCGCCACCACATCCACCTTGGAGTCGCACTCCGAAATGGGCAAAGCGGGCGCGTCCCGTCCTCAAAGAGGTCTGGTATGTAGGACATAGCATTACAGATTTATTTGTGAGAGTTCTCTCAATCTCATGCCTATCCTGCATGAGAAACACCCTCTCGATTAGGTCAAAAGTGGAAAACTTATGGTAATCATGCAACACAGATTTTTACATGATTGTTCAAGTTCAGATTTAGCATGACTAGTTTCTTTGTTCCAGACCCAGACTACATATTTGCATTTGATAGCTCAAAAATCGGTCCTCGGCTTCTCGTAGAATAAATGCGTGCTGACTTTGGTACTTAAAATGAATCCTGCTTTTCTATACGTCTTCACTGCAACACAGGACTTCTTCTGAAAAATGGGAGCTGTTGTAGTTCCGGAAATATCTATTTCGCCCGTCAGGTCAACATCTCTTTCTCCGACTCCGCAGAAAGTGGCTTGGAGAAAAATCCGCCGCGGCGAACAAGAAGAAGCAGGAGTACAAGATGAACTTCTTGTACTACGTGACGTATCCGTAATATCCAGGAGGTAAAATAATATGCTGCAAGAAAAAATCGGAGACCACTAGGAGCGCCACAACACAACAACCTGCTTTGATTATAGGCGTCGTGGCTTCTAGAAGAAGGTCTTCGAGGAGATCAGTGCAGCTGGTTTTTTTCCCTGAAGCTCGTCTTTCGAGATGATGTCAGGTTCGCAAAAAAAGTACGTGGTATTTCTGTTATTCCGGTCTTCCCTGCCTGTTTTCGTTGCAAATGATCAACACCGCGAAGAGCACGGAAGTAGTTGTGTCGACGAAGAAATGGTAGTAGTTTTAACTTCTCACATTTCTACACAATTTCTCACAAGTCCGCGAACAATATCCACTATGGTTTTTTTTTTCCAGATTTTTTTTTTATTTCAACGGTTGGTGCTGAAGTAAATTCATAAAAATCCATGTAAGTATGTTCTTCGGCCGATCAAATTCTGAACCAGCCGAAGAACACAAGTATCTGTGAACATAATTAACGCAACGGAAACAAAAAAAAATCTCCAGCAGAAAATAGATTAGGCTTTTCAGGAAATAACAAGACCGCAGCAAAACCAGCACACCAAGGCACAAGAATAACGAGGCCTTCTCTTTATCTTTAGGCACTTGCACTTCGCTCAGTCCTCACAAAAAAACAACAACTGGCAACAGTAAGCGCATACTAATAAAATCGGCAGATAAAGTAACATGTTATATAAGGGTGGCCCCACACAGATGCCACGGACACAGATGCCCGGATGACACAGATGCCGGATTTTTGACGTCATGCAAAATCGGCGACACAAAAGACACAGATGCTGTGACCCCCATCTCCAGAGAGGAGCGCTGTGCTGCCGGTCACGGTAACAATAACCATTGCGGGGCAATGCCGCGGCACACTTCTCGACGGTGCCACGACTACCGACCATCTGGCCACAGGAGAGCAGCCTCTGCTACGAATAAGAGCGCAAGCCCCGTGCCAGGGTGGGGCTCTCCGCTAAAGCGTAAGCGTGCGCCCCTCTGGTGGGTGCTTAGTAAGATTTGGGACGAAGCGCAAACGCAGGCGCTCACCCCGAGGCAATGCAGATTTTGGCCGCGGCGCCTTTACCAGCAGGCCCCGCCAGCGCTTCAGCTTCCTTTGGGCAAATTGGATGGAAAAACGAGACTTGGCCGAGGTGCTCGCGCCCCCACCTCCATCTTTTGCGCCCTCAATGCAAAGGGGGGGCGTAGGGCGTCCGGTGTTTCTATTTCATGTTCGTCATCTGTGCACAGATGCCACCAAGATTGCAACTGTTTTGCGCTTCTAGTGTTCGTCATCTGTGTCATCTGTGGCATCTGTGTCATCTCACATCTGTGTTATATAACGCGTTAATAAAGAACCATAAATATCCAGGACTGCAGCTTGTCTCTCCACGCTGAAAGCGTGTCGTGTCCCTCTTCTCAACAAACCGACAGCGGGAGCAGCCTTGGCTACGGAGATTACTTAGTACTGCGGAATAAATGACGGCAAGAATACTTGTTTCTGGAAACGGAAAAATACAACCGGATTTTCAGAATTGCGGAACAACAGGCATGCAGGAACTTGGAGAGAAGTTCGACTGTCGAAATTGCAATGAGTCGCTCATCTCGAGGACCTATTTTCTCCGGGCGGACAAAACCGCGAAATGTGATGTAGTTCTTGCTGCCCAATAAGACTCTTTGTTCATCTTCGCATCATGTCTTGCCTAGCAGAGCTGCAGCTTCTGCTCAATCCCTGAACATGATTTTCTCATCACTTTTACTCCATCGTCAAAAAGGCTGCGTTGTAGATGAAAATGTCTTCATCTTCCAACATTTCCTCTCATCTCAGGGTGGTCTTTGTCTTACATCAAAAGCCAATGAGCTCCTGGGAGGTGTTGGCGCGGTGGTCCCTCGCTAGGCGGCTGTAGATGTAGAAATGCAGTGCGTCGTAGCCGTGGCTGGTCGTGTTCGACCCGCGGATCTGTAGAAATGCACGGCGGATCTGCGTTCGCAAGGGTAACGGGTTCGAACCGCCAGTGCCAAACGACCCTCCTTCCCAAAGCAAGGCGAGACCGCATGATTCCATACTCTCGCTGCTATCGCCAACGAGAATACAATCAGGGCTGCCACCACTGTCCGCACCACGGATAAACCAGAGATACCCAAAACTGTCCGCAAAGCGGATTGCGCCAAACTTTCCGCCGCACGGATGAGACGAAACTCTCCGCCAAGCGAATCTATAGCCAGAACTTTCAGCCGAGCGGATGAGGCCAGACTTTCCGCCAAGCGGATAACCAAACTTTGCGCAAAGCAGGTGAGACCAAACTTCCCGACCAGCGGATAAACCGAACTTTCCGCAGAGCGGATGAGGCCAGACTTTCCGACAAGCGGATAGCCAAACTTTCCGCAGAGCGGATGAGACCAGACTTTCCGCCAAGCGGATGAGACCAAACTTTCCGCAAAGCGGATGAGACCAGACTTTCCGACAAGCGGATAAAAGAGACTTTCCTGAGGCGGATGGACCAAACTTTCCGCAAAGCGGATGAGACCAGACTTTCCGACAAGCGGATAAAAGAGACTTTCCTGAGGCGGATGGACCAAACTTTCCGCAAAGCGGATGAGACCAGACTTTCCGACAAGCGGATAAAAGAGACTTTCCTGAGGCGGATGGACCAAACTTTCCGCAAAGCGGATGAGACCAGACTTTCCGACAAGCGGATAAAAGAGACTTTCCTGAGGCGGATGGACCAAACTTTCCGCAAAGCGGATGAGACCAGACTTTCCGACAAGCGGATAAAAGAGACTTTCCTGAGGCGGATGGACCAAACTTTCCGCAAAGCGGATGAGACCAGACTTTCCGACAAGCGGATAAAAGAGACTTTCCTGAGGCGGATGGACCAAACTTTCCGCAAAGCGGATGAGACCAGACTTTCCGACAAGCGGATAAAAGAGACTTTCCTCAGGCGGATGGACCAAACTTTCCGCAAAGCGGATGAAACCAGACTTTCCGACAAGCGGATAAAAGAGACTTTCCTGAGGCGGATGGACCAAACTTACTACCAACGGCAGGGGCGTTACTCCCTGAGGACAAGAGAGAGAGGAAATAAACTTCAACCCAGAACGGGAAGAGGTTCACCCTCACAGTCATCAGATCCCGGCTACCGGAAAAGGGCGAGGCTCGGACAGACATAAAATATCGCCCGTCCAGCCCCAGCCTAGGCTCACAGGCTCGCTAGCCTGCTACTGCCCGGGCATACATTTATTTGTTCTCATCACTTTTAATACTCCATCGTCAAAAAGGCTGCGTTGTAGATGAAAATGTCTTCGTCTTCCAACATTTCCTCTCATCTCAGGGTGGTCTTACATCAAAAGCCAATGAGCTCCTGGGAGGTGTTATGAAAGTGCACAACTCCCCCTCCCCCTCATTTGTCATGCAAAATACCGATTCCATGCTCTGCCTTTTAGCACTGTTTGCATGACAAGTTCTGGCAGCCCAAATAGCACTACAATGCTGTGCAGATTTGTCATGCAAAACCGGCATTCCTGCTGACGCTTGTATTCCTGTTATCGCAATACAAATGAGGGGGAGGGGGAGTTGTGCACATTCATAGCTGTTGGCCCGGTGGTCCCGCGCTAGGCGGCTGTAGATGTAGAAATGCAGTGCGTCGTAGCCGTGGCTGGTCGTGTTCAGCCAGCCCATACCGTCGGCAAATTCCTTGTACAGGGTTGCGTACCGCCGGATCAGAGCCGACCCCTATCCTGAGTAATAACGTCCCCACACGACCATAGTTGTCATGCAGATTAGCAAGCACAGGAGCATTTGTGATGTGGACCCCCAAGAGAGGCACAACTTTCAATCGTGTTTTGGAAATTGCAATGCTAGAAACAGGATGAGGAGATGGATTTGCTATGCGGATTCCCTTGCTAAACTGCACTACAATACAGCCTGCAATTTGTCATGCGTGACTCGCAAAACTTCTAGGTTTGTGTTGCAAAATCTCTATCTTGACAGACTATCGGGTCGTGGGGACGTTTTTACTCAGAATAACTCCCCGTCCGTTCTCTCCTTGGCCACTTTGATGGTGCCTTATCAAATGTAAAAATGTCTGGGTCTGGAGGATTGCAAGGTTTGTCATGCACATTTTGCATTACCCGTGATATCTGTGATGTATGCACCAGCATCACAAATTTTTTGCGGGCATCTTGATGCCTATCCCGCATGAGAAATCCCCTCTCCGCGGAGCAAAAACTGGACGCCTCTTGTTGCTCATGCAATACAGATTTTTTTGGATTCCAAAAATAGCATCACAAGTTGCATTCTTCCAGACCCAGACATTTTTACATTTGATATGCCTTCTTGCCGTGCCATCTCCAGTACCAGTGCAGCGTCTGCGTCTGCGTATCCTGTGCAAAAGTATCGTACTCGTATAAATGCAAGTCTTGCATTACAAATCTTTTTATTAAGGCAAATCCGCATGACAAATTCCATTTCTCATGCTAGGGGAATTTGTATTGCATTTGCAATTTATACTAGTACGATACTTTTGCAGTTCATACTGCGAGGGCCGTCACGAGATTTTTCTGCGCCTGCCGGATGGAAACCTGATGGTGGAGTTTTAGGTAGTAGACCTCCACATCAGGACCTCTTTTTTTACTCGATAATTTCATTTCCCTCACGATCATCTTCGAACAGCACATCAATCAGCCTACTGTCGTCAAGTGTGTGTGAGGATGCGAGCTAATTCTGACTCTGAGCATATTGAAAATGATGTAGGTACAAAAAGCCGCCATCATACATCAACATGAAACCTGCTGTCTATTCCTGGCCTTCTGTCGTCTTTGTTTCTTCAGGAGCTTGGCAATGACAGCCTCGTCAAACGCCGATGGCAGCGAGATCTTGCGCAGCTGAAAGTCGACCATCGTGAAGAACCCGTCACTATGAAGTGCAAAAATCTCTGCTTTTGGAAGAGTGTGCTTCTTTGTCATGCACGTGTTGCATGACCCATGACGCCTGTGATGCGTGCCCTTGCATCACACATCTACTTTTGAGGGCTTCCTGATGCCGACCCCGCATGACAAATGCCCTCTCCGCGTGGCAAAAAAAACTTCCTCTCGGTCTTGCTGCTCATGCACTACAGAGTTCCTTTAGAATCCAAATGCAGCATCACAACTTTCACAGATTATATTTGCAATGCATAGTCACCCTCCGAGGCAAACATGGTCCCCACATCGTTCCGCAGCTCGTTGCATCCTGTGCAAAAGTCTCGCACTCGTAGTAATCGCAATTATGCATGACAAGTCTCTTTCTCAAGGTAAATCAGCATCAGAAATTCCTTTTGTCATGCTTAGCAAATCAAAATTTGTAATGCGGTTAGTACTACTAGTACGATGCTTTTGCATTTGATACGTTGCTGATCTGCACGCGTTTCTCGAAAAACTGCAGCGTGTGGAAGCGCACCGAAACCTCCTTGACTTTCTTCTCGATGATCACCCGCAACCAGTCGCGCCACCGCGTATGGAAACGGTACGAAAAAAGGTCGTCTATCGCTTTCAGTTCGTTATAATCGGCAAGTAGTGTAAGAGAGGCAAAAGCCGAAGTGCATTCTGAAGATTCTTGGACTTCTTCCTGCTTCATGAATCTCTACCTTACGCTTGTTTTCTTTCTCATATTCATGCGCATGAGCAGTACAATTGTAAAATAACTTACTTGCGATGAAAGAAACTACCTTGGCGAATGACTACTATCTATGTGGCATGAAAAAAAGTGTGACGAACTGACAATGATAGGAAGAACATTCTTCGTGTGCATTTCCATACTGCAGTCCCCAGGCGTAGTAGAGTTGCGGCAGCATTCCTCTCACAAGCCGGATTGCCGTATCCAAGAAAAAAACCCGCGTTGACGGTGTCAATTTGTAATTTTCGAGAGCAGCGCACGAGGAACTCATGGTCATGTTTTTTCTTTTCTCCAACAAGAATAAATATAGATGGTGCTTCTCATTATTCGACTGAAAAAGCTTCTGACACGACAGAGGATTTTTCTTGGATACTGCAACGACAGCTGTTTATTTCATGGGCACAAGGCCCAAAATTTGTTCGGAAAGAGGTCTAACAAATCTATTTTGCGCTTCAGTCTTTCACAAGGAGATAGATGACTCATTTTCTATTTTCATCAGATGAAAGCATCATCAACTTCTAACTATGTCTTCTAACTTCACCACATGCATTATGCAATTCCAAATCCGAAAAAAAACACGCATATATCAAAATTTTGAAACAGAATGTAGTATATTACGTCGAGAAACACGGACTGCCCGTTGCTCGTCCAGACGGACATGCTGGAGCCGTCTTTCCCACTGGGCAGCCACTCCAGGACAATTAAACTCTGCGAGTAGGATATTACAATGAAAAATGCCCCCGTCCCTGAACTTGAAAGCATTTGTATTGCAACCCTTTCCAAATGAAACATTCGCCCTCTTGCATGTATCAGCGTCACATATTTCCGATCGTGAATAGCAAAACTTTTTATTGCAAAAGATCCCAGCAAGAGCGGTGCTTGTCATGCAAGCGATGCGAAATACGACTAGAATCTGCATCAGAAAGATTCATACTCCTTTCATGGATGACAAAAAGTTTTCATTTGGAAACATCGCATCACAAATTTTTGCAACTTTGGGGGTGGGGGGCGCTTTTCACTGTAATATAGGACAGGATCGAGCGGCCGAGCCCGATGAGAAACCGGCCGGAGACATCCTGAGTAAAAACGTCCCCACCCCATAGTTGTCATGGAGATTTGCGATTACAGGAAGATTTGTAATGCGCATCTTCGTGAGAGGCATTTCCAATCGCGCTTTGGAATTTGTAATTTTTCTGTAAACGGGATCAGCAGATGGATTTGTGATGCAGCTGCACTTGCTAAACTGCACTACACTACGGACTGGAATCTGTCATGCGTTGCTCCCAAAGCTTCTGGGTTTGTGTTGCTAAGTTCCCAACTTGCCAACTGTGGGGTGGGGACGTTTTTACATATGATAGGAGTCGTCGCGCGCCTCCCGCCGAATTTCGTCGCGCGATACGGTTTTGAACGTGTCATCGTATACCAATCCGTAGTACCGGGGTTCCAGCACGTCAAATGAGCAAGCAAACAACACGATAGACGTGATGAAGACGATCAGGCAACAGCCACCCGCGAGGGGCACATCGTATTCACGAAACTCGCCCATAGTTGTGCCCTAGCCAGTCTAGTTTACTGATTTGTGCTGCACTTTATGACTGCTGGACTTTCAAGAAGCAGAAGCCATTGACATAGACATTCTTATCGTCCCCACCGGTAATAAAACCTATCAAACCTGGATAGCTGGAAGTAGCTGCTCCGGTGGAGGTCCTATCTGTCACTGTACCTCAGCCAGGCACTCTGTGGGCGGGAGGTGGAAGCGCCTCGTCTCTCAAGAACTTCCTTTTTTGCGAGGCCGTGGGCCAAGCGGTTTTTCATAGTATAATTTCTGCTTCCTGCAAAGCACTTGTTGTCCTCCCGGTGGAACCCATACATGCAGGCCAAGGTTCGCACTAGCAGATATTTAGTGTCGTGTACACAGCGAACCTGCCCTTTGCTGGGAACTACTGCCTGGGCGAACTAAAAAATTGTTGCAGCACGATCTTTTACTAAACACCAACACCAGCCGCTTAGGACTCATAGCTACAACACACTGGCGGTCGTTTTTTCTTTTCATTTGCAAGACCGACCAGCGGCTCCAATCTATCATAACTTGAAAAATTCGTCACACAAAGGAATCATTCTCGTCGGTTATGCGAATTTGTCTTTCTCTTTCAAAAGTGCACGGTACCACGGGTACGGGTATTAAAAATACACACAACGCTACAAAAATTTCAAATTTGTTTCATTCGACTTCCTCTATTCGAACCCGCCATGCCGTTCCTGCCTAGAACCTCCCGCGCTTCCCGACGCTTCACCAGCAGCGAGTGCGCCCAACCCACTAGGCCGAACTGCAAGAGAAAGGCGGCAATTTCGTCCGCGTGGTCGACGCAAAAGAGCATCACAACGAAGAAACCCGCGCAGGCTAGGAGCAATAGGAAGAACAGACAGGCGTTGGACTGGAAGATGGATTTTTGCTGCCTGTACTTCTCCTCGTCCGCAATCACCAAACTGGTTTTCCAACGCAAAAGTCCAATTACATCTTCAACGTGGAGGTAGTACTACTCGCGGTGAAGTAAAAATGTAAATCGCGGTAGTTTTTTTGAATGACACACTTTTCTTTTTTTGTTTTTCTGCACTTTACCTGACACAGCACGACCAGGTCGACGGTTTCTGGGCAACCTCTATACGAGGTTGATCATGCAGTTTGAAATTGAATTTATCTGAGTAGTACTTTACTACTACGATTCTATGTGAAAGAACTTTGGCACGGTCGATACAGTCGACGGGGGCGCAAAACTTTCGCCGTAGCTTCACCGACAAGTCTCGGATATTCTCGTCCGCTACTCCACTGCTCCTATCCACCGGGTAACACGCGAGAATGCTGGTTTCGCACTTCTGCCGGACGCTTTTCAGCCGCTGGCAGTGCGCATCGTGGCTGGACCGCTGCTCGCTCTCCGTCGGCTGTGCCTCCGCCGCGGGGAGAGGTTGCAGCTCGTCGGGGCTGCTGTTCACATCTTCAACGGGCGCTGGTCTTTCACCTGGCGGTGGCACCAGGGATGAAGCAACTTCCTCCACAACCTCAGGTGTAACTGAGGACTGCTCCCGTTCTGGCGGCGCTCGTTTCTCGGCGATCGTCTTCGGACACGCGTCAAAAAGTTCGCAGTAGTCCGCTATCAAATGCAAAAGTATCGTACTCGTTTAAGACTAAGTTGCAGTCATGCATGACAGATCTGGCTTCTTAGCAAATTCCGCATCACAAATTCCATTTCTGCTTCTGGAAAAATTTGTAAATGCTATTTTTAAAAATTTATACGAGTACGATACTTTTGCGATTCATATCCGCACTGCACGCCTTATTTCTCGACGCGAACACCACGGAGTCATTGTCGTTGTTGCTCTGCGGCTGCTCGCTTTCTCCTTCGAGCAGCGCACCGTTCGCCGCGTAGGTTTTATTTGTCGGGTTCGCTTTTGATGTTGCAGCATCTTCCAGTTTATTTTTTTCTTGTGCTGACGACGCAATACTGGCGGAGGAGCTCCTGCTTGACGTCAGGGTTCCGGAAGTAGCACTGGCGGCGCCGACCATGGGCTTCGTGTAATTTCCGTACAGGTCGAAATGGACCGTTTCCAAGTGCAGGTCCATGTAGTGCTCCGACCGGAATTTCTTGCCGCAGATCAGGCACTCCCAGTTTGCGTAGGGCGCGTGGCCGCCGCCGCGGGTGCGGCGTTTACGCAACTCCTGCTCGGCGTAGAGATCGTTCGTAGCGAGGAAAGGACACGAGGCGGGAAAGGTGTAGCCCAGTTGCAGCCCGGGCTGTGGAGTGTTGTTTTTTTTGTACGCATGTGGTGATGAAAAAATACGAGGCTCTGTAGCAATTGCAGATGCACAATGAACGACTTGATTCCTGTGGTTGTTCGTACGGAATTTTCATACAACCCCAAGTGGGTTCTTCTTCTTCAGCACGAGCACGACTCTGCCCCCCGCGTAGATGATAACAAGAGAAACTACGACGTTCTTTTCTATCATAGGTACCTGCAAAATTTGCTTTTCAATTTCCGTGCGCACCCGGCGCGACAGCGGGCGGCTACAGGGGTGCTTCAGCGCGGTGCGCTCGGCCGTGTTGGTATCGCGATTGCGCGATGCGTGGCTGGACAGGGTCAACAGCAGGATGCGGGTCAAACAACTCTTCACGCTGAAAGCAGACATCGTGGCGCCGGGACCGCGCAAGGGACACGTCACAGGAGATCTTGTGTTGCGCACGAAGTACTTCTTACTTCTCGTGCCGAAGCTGCTTCTTGTGGCGCCAGCGCAGCAGCTCCCACGTATTTTCCTCCTTGCTGCCATTTTCAAGGACATTTTTGTGGTCGTGGTTGCTGTTGACTTTCTACTTGTGCTATCTCCTCTGGTGGTCGACATAGGGTTGCCGTAGGCCTCTTCCGTGACGTCTTTCTGAGTCCTTGTTGCAACTCTTTCAGCCGGTCTCCTTGACGTTCCGCTCAAGCAATGATCTTGACCACCCCGAAGATGACAAGATCTCCTCTTTGGCCGGCGTTCGCACCAGCTCCGAAATCTTCTTTTCCGACTTGTTACGCCGTCACGCGCACTGGCACTACACCACCTAGACCTGCGCCGCGATGGCACAGAAGTGGGGATGGGGATGAAGAAATTTCTGCTGTTACAGCGCCGGTGCCCCCTTACGTCCGGATAACGCTCTGTGGAATTATCGTTTTGGCAGCTCCCGCTCGTCCATGTCATCTGCTGGTTCTCAGAAACAGAGTCTAGAGCAAGAGCGGGGTCAGGTCTGCGTTGCTGCATTTCTAGGCGGGAACGATACAACGGTCGAGCAGTACCCCTCCAGACTTCCTCCTCTCGCCCTCTGCAGCGAGAAACTGCGCGACCTGTCGCTATGTGGTCGCTCTCGTGTTGAATATTTCCACGTGTCGTGCCACGACTCGTTGTGCCTGATCGTCCCACCAGTGTTCCTCCTGCTGGCACCATCGTCGTCACTTTTTCCCAATTTTTCCAGAAATTGCCGTCTCGTAGCTGCGTTGTCAGTTGTCGATGGCGTGGTCTGGTTCTACAATAAGCTCAGGCAGACGATATCAGCACAAGCAAACATGTTGGACCATCTCGTACGACGAAAGCAAAAGAAAAAACGAAACGACTATTCCAGCGCGGTAACGTGAATCATGTTGTCGTTATTGCTGAATATGATTGTCTTCGCACACAATCTGATCAAACGCAAGGTGTGGTGAAGTACTCTACTTATTTGTAGTGAAGTGCTCTACTTATTGTACTTAGTATCCCCTCTGACGCAAGGAAATAAATGTCGGATCACGCAGCACAGACACAGAGCCGAACCGAACCGAGCATAAAGACTCTACTGGACCTCCACAAGGTGGACACCTGTCGATGCAAAGAAAAAACGATGAAGATGAACATCCTGCATAGAATAACGACGAACAGTACAGTGTTTCTTCCTACTTGTCCAAGAACACGACTGAGAAGAAAGTCCTCGCAAAAAGTAGCCTAGGCCCTGAAACAAAATCATTTTTAAGCAGCTGATACACTCCCTTTTTTTGACACATCTTCATTGCAACAATGCTACACGGAATCAAGTAAAGGAGTCGCAGCTGTTCTTTTTTCTCCTGCTCGAGATTTTCGCGGCTTTTTGCACCTACTTCCTGCCTTGTGCTGTCATGCATGTGCTGACGATGTTAAATATAGGCGTTTTGCTAGAACGCAAAAGCAAGCCCTGTCGTGCTACTTAATTTTTGGTACAAGTTCATTCTCCAATATTGTGCTAGAACTGGAATCCCTGTAACTACTTCTACCATGAGCATTGGATTTGAAACCAATCCTGCCAGCAGAAGTTACAGACCTGTTCCTGCTTTTATGTTTCTACCTCGATTAAAATCCTCCATTCTGTCATTTTACAAGAAGTTTACGATGATCAAGCGTGTTCCATGTTGCTCACAGACCCTTCTTTAGTTGCGTTGCGTACTATCACTATGCTTTCTGGCTCGGATGCAAAAAGTCAAATCATGATGAATCAACGTCAACCTGACGAACAACAACATAAAGACTTGTGTATATGTTTTGTGTACTTTTATGTTTTCAAAGTCAAAACTACGAACCAGGCATGAAATTCCTCCACTTCTCGACCTTATTCCCTTCTGTCCCAACTGCTTTTCACATCTTGGAACTACGGTGAGACACGCGGCGCGTCTCAAATTAATATCATTATTGTAATCTCCGCCCTAGAAATGCTCTGTTTTGATGCTCCGGGTCCGAGGGCGAATTGGACGGTGACGTACTCGCTTCCGAGAGCGGACCTTTCTGTCCCTCTCTTGGCGCGTGAGCTGGCAGATTCTTATTGATCCGTGTACAAGCGTCGAGGAGCTGTTGAGAGATACGCAGGCTTTTTCCGTTATGTCCTTGTTCCCCGTTGTTCAACAAGAATTCTGGAGGTGGTGAAACTCCGCCGTTCTCTACTGGGGCCGCCCAGGCCGTTCTGTCGTCTTCTTCAGCCGCCGGCGGTAGTTCCATAGGTGGTATGTACCCGGTTGCAGGAGCTCCAGGTAGGAAACAAGCGGGAATTTGCGAAGGTGCAGTAGGCAGTACCGAAGGTCTAGCTGCACTTGCTGCTGCAGTAGAAGATGTTGAGCCCAGATACGTATTAGAAGCCATCAAAGTTGTAGAAGCATCAATACTTGTTCCCTCGTGGTTTCTACGATTCTGTTCTTGTTCTACGCTGGAAGAGCTTCCAAGGGTACTGTAAAGTCTCCATGCCGGTGTCCCGTGCGGCGTCGCCAGTCCGTTTGCCTCCGATACGAGGCCGAAGAAAAAAAACGCCCGCATCGTGCTAATCATCGTGGTACTTCTGATGCTGGGCCGAGATTGATGCAGTGACATTTTGTTTTTCAGTTGTGTCCGTCTTTGTTGAATGGTGCAAAAAAATAGTACTTAAACGGATTTAGAACTTACTCGCGGCGTCGTGTTGGAACGAATCGGAAAGCAAGCAATTGCACGAAATTTTTTCAAAAGAAGTTGTACTTTCTCTAGTTCTTTGAGAGGACAACAATGCAAGGAAAATCTTGATGCAGAGAATGAAAAATAGAATTTCACTACTCAGTTAATTATTCAACATGTAATACATAGCTGCGGACGTCAAAAAACCTGCGGTTCATGAATGGCACAAGGGCGGATCCGCGGACAACGGTCCAAGGCAAAAGAATCGCACATCTCCAATGCATCTCTAGACACTGGTTTCCGGAACAGCAGAGGCACACGCCCAACGACCGTAACATTTATTACGGGATCATCTTCTTGACCTTGAGCTTTCCCTTTTCGATCTTTCGACATTTTTTGGAATCGGATTTTGAAACTTTTGGTTTTGCATTCTCTTGCCTGATATGTTCGCCGTTTTTTACGCGTGAAAAATCATGCACTTGCCGCGCCACCGCGAGACGGGAGAAGCTGAACTATGCTTGCACGATGATCGGTGGATGAGATTTTTTTCATTTTCGCATTGCTAGTGTTGTGACGAAAGAGCAGTTTAGCATTTAATATTCTTTGAGAATTATTCAAAAATTTTTCCATGCGGTAGAACTAGAATCTGGGAGAAAGTAGAAACTGAACCCTGACTGTCATCCACGCTATCGGTTCCAGGCTCTAGTAACCATGCGTAACATTGTATACGTTTGCGTATCCATAAGCGTACTAGCGATATAGTGCCGTAACTATGTCATTAATTTTCGAAATTTAGAGGTAGCGGTAGCGCATTGCCTATGCATAATTCAGATCATCACCTCACGTTTGAATTGTAATTGTGAATGAGTTGAATACGTTTTTGCTTTCACCAAATTGAGTAAAACCAATCATGACGGAGCGAGCACATTCATGATACTTTCCGTCAGGAGAATAGTCCATATAGTTGCTTCCAGAATATCATGATGCGTATTTTCATCTTCAACCGAATATCTTACAGTGAATTAGGAATCATGCAGACCACATCTTCCAATTCCATGGTTGAGTCAATGTAAAACTTAGCGCCGATAACTTTCTGTTATGCAAAAGTAGCAGGAATCATGCAGACCACATCTTCCAATTCCATGGTTGAGTCAATGTAAAACTTAGCGCCGATAACTTTCTGTTATGCAAAAGTAGCAGAGGCTTCGTCGTAGCGGCAGCGGAACGGATAAATATTAATGATCGACTCCTTCTAGGAAACGTCGTCTCGTTGATTATCATGAAAATGTAAATTTAAGTTTATTCATGGTCTGCTACCGTCCTTAAAGCGATACAGAAACAAATGGAAATATCGGATACGTGAGTGAAGCAAAAGCTATCTTTAAATCTCATGTACTTTCTTTTTCGTGATTTTTTCTCAATGCGGATCTGCCTGCGGATACTCTGTTCTACTCACTTTATTCTTAAAAGATTCTACGTTATCTGTCGATCACGGTCTACGCATTTCTAAGTAGCTGCTAAAACGTAAACCTGGCTGTGCCTCGTTCAACCCCAAGTACCTTGTTGCTCATTGAAATTAAGTAATTCCTGAGGTGTCGCCACTAAATCATCAGTATAAGTGGTGAAGCGGCAGACAGCGACGCGCGCCATCTGCCTCTTCGTCTTGGCAACGGCAACATCCTTCTCCTCATCCTCAACATAAGCTCTTACTATTACATTTCACGACAAGACAACATCTGTAATATCACCATCACGTGCTAAGTCGCGGGAACTTCTACGTCTACCATAATTTCATTTTTCATCATACTTGTCCAGAACTGCCACGGGCCGCACGTGTATTAAATACTTCGTCCGAAAAGTACCAGATTTCTACACCGAGCGTGACCTCCCGTTCTTCTCGCACGGACTGCACCGGGCAGGATATGAGAGCGCACAACTCCCCCTCCCCCTCATTTGTATTGCATGAACAGCAACCACACAAGCGCTGGCAAAGAATAGAAAAAGATGCGGCTTTTGCATGACAAATTCCTAGAGGAGCGCAGTAAGTCTTGGCGTTCGGCATCTGTCATGCAAACAGTGTTAAGAGGCAAAGGTTGGATTTGGAATTCTGCATGACGAATGAGGGGGAGGGGGAGTTGTGCACTCTCATACAGGATCGTTGTAGTTCAGAAACGTATTTTTCACCCGCATGGATTTCGACGCGGCTCCCCGCACCGTATCAAATGCAAAAGTGTCTGGGTCTGGAAGATTGCGAGATTTGTCATGCTTGTCTGGCATGACCAAAAAGGTTGTGATGCGTGTCCAAGAAGAGACCCTTTTGCCTGTCATGCAAAAACGCAGTTTGTCATGCGAAACACGCAACACAAAGAAGCGCAGAGATTTCTCATGCTTGGCTGTGCATTACAGAGCATTCACTATTCCCAACGCAGCATTACAAGTTTCCACATCCAGACACATTTGCAGTTGATACACCGGACTCGCGAGCAGCGTCGGACCAACGACAGCGGACACAGCCGACAAAGGAGCTGGTGGTGTTTTAGGAGTTAGACATTCACTCACCACCTCCCTCTGGGCCACGACAGTAGTTTTCCCCATTATTATAGTCGCACGACCGACACACAACGATCGACCCCGCAAATACACATTGTCAACATCGTGCGGAAGATCATCACGCTAGTCCTGAAGTCTGATCGTAGTTCAATGCGTAGAAAAAAAAAGCAAAAATAAATACAGCTAATTTGTTGTCCTCCTCTTGCATTTGCGGCCACTGCGGTGGGGGAGGGAAGCAACGGCGGCGGCGGGTTGATACCGCTTGCAATCGCCGTTGTCGCAGTCTGGTAGCAGTTCGCAGCGAGGGCAGCAGCAGCGGTTGCGGGGTTGTTTACTGTGCCACTACTGGTTGCACTGATATGCATGTGCAAATTTTCTATCAACCCTGGTCTGGCGGAAATGATCTTCTCGACAGCGGCAGATATGCTTCTTGCAACAAAGATTTTCGTCTGGCATTACACAAGCCATGATACAGCATCACAGATCAGAATTTGAATTCTTTTCATCTAGGTCGATAGAAATATTTTTGCACTTGATAAGCGAACTGATCATACGAGTGCTGATGTGCGGCGGCTGCCGCTTGTACGCCCGCCGAATAGAACGCCGAAGAGGCAGCTGCGGACAGGTTTAACGAGCCTGGCATGTTGTGCGCCGCGGCCGCAACATGATTAGCAGCATGGTGGTTCGTCGTGCCAAACTGCAGGTGGTCGAGGTTACTAGCAACATGCTGATGCGCAGTAGCTCCTATTCCTCCCGTCAAATTACTTGCATTGTTGTTCAGGTCAAAAGCCGCGGCGGAGAAGTAGCTGAGCAGAAAGGGGTCAAATGCGCTCGCTGGCGGCGGGGGCAGCACTGGTACATTCGGATTAAATTGGTTCGTCCCCGCCGCAGCTGCAGCAGAGAGATGGTGGTGCGCGGGTACATGATGCGCTGGTGGGTGGTACTGGAGGCTGCTGTTGAACAGTAAATCACTCAACGTACTCGCCGAAACAGCCGCGTGGTTGGGCAGGCAATTGTTTTGGGCGGTGGTCGAGGGTGGTTGTAGTAGCATTGGATTGTTCCCGTTGTTCCAACACGGGGAACCTCCGACGTTCTGGTGGTTGAATTGGCTGCTCAAATGGTTCAAGTTCGCGCCGAGCGGAAGATCGTGTTGAAGTTGATGGTGAGTGGGAACGACCGCAGAATTTGTTGTGCATGTGCCACCACCAGCCACTGCGTTGTAGTAATTATTCCCCCCAAGAACGGCACCTCCACCTGCCGCTCCTCCGCAGTAAAGACTGTTGCTCGCAGATGTTGCGGTGCCGAAATGTCCATTGGCTAGATTCGCGAGTTGTGGCGCCAGGTGGCCGGATGAGTTGTTAGTATTTTCCAGGCAGGTGGAATTGTAACCACCGGCGGCTAGATTGTTCAAAACCGTGGAGGCAGCATTCTGGCTGATATTCATTGCAAATATGTCTGGGTCTGGAAACTTGTAATCCTGGATTCGGAATAGTGAATGCTCTGTAATGCACAGCCAACCATGAAAAATATCTGCGCTGCTTAGTGTTGCGTTTTCCGCATGACAAACTTCGTTGTTGCACGACAAGTACAAGGGTCACTTCTTGAACACGCATCACAAACTCTCCAGTCATGCCAGACAAGCATGACAAGCCTTGCATTCTTCCGGACCCAGACATATTTGCAATGCATAGCTGAGCAGCTGCTGCAGTTGTTGGGCCGCGTTTGATGCATTGAGACTACAGCTGCCCGTCGGCATCAATCCCTGTGGCTGCGGTGGTTGTGGCACGTCGTGGACGATATGTTGTGAACAACTAGTTCCACCTCCGCCGACGGCCATCGCGTTGTTTGTGCGCGAAGAAGGCAAATGATTCAGAGATGCGTGGTTCGTTGTCGCTGTCCCAGAAGTTTGGGACAGAAGTTGCTCCAAGAAATCATTGGACAGTAGCCCTGTCGCAGACGCTCCTCCGGGCTGTTGTTGTTGATGCGACTGCACTTGCAGTGTGGATGTTGCAGACGGCGGAATGTGCGACTGAGCGATTGAGCCACACAGGTTATTTGGGTTCGCAGTTAAGCCTGGTGCTCCACCTCCCGGGAGGTGGGCAGCCGCGGTTTGACTGTCCATACCCGCTGGTGCGGCGGCCGAAGATTCAGCGTTTCCTCCAGTAGCGGGACGACCCGTCGCGGCGCCCCTGTGGTCGTGCTGCAGGTTAGAATTATTCGCCGGCGGTTGTTGTGCACCTCCATTCTGCTGGTTCTGCTGGTTGCTACTGGTCTTGTCATCGCCAAGAGCAGTGGTATTGCTCTTGTCCACAGAAGTTGTCTTTTCACCAGTCGTTGTAGCGGAAGAGCCGCTAGCTGTTGTACCCGACTCCACAGCTCCACCCGTAGGAGCAGTAGTACCACCAGCACATCCGGGCGGCGGTAACAGTGGAGGCAGCGCCGGGGGCTGCGGCGCGACCGCCGGGGCGGCGGTCTTATTGGCGGTCGTGGACGAGGACAGTGTTCCATTTGTTCCGCCAGCAGTAGAAGTACAGCTGGGAAGCTGCTGGTGCAGCATCTGGGCAAATTGCAGGCTGTTCTGCTGCAGCTGCGTCGTGAGGCTCGTGCTATCCAATCTGCTTGGAGGCAACATCGCTAGTACGCCCTGATGTTGATTCCCGCTCTTCATGAGCGCCGCCGGGTCAGCCGGGAGGGAGAAGGTGCGCTGCAACTCCCGCGATTTGCCCGAATTCCGGGCGGCCGGGACGAAACCAGCCACGCCATTCGCGTTCGGGGCCGACTGCGCAGAGGGCTGGTCCGGAAGCTTCGGCAGCGGGTGAGAAGTATTATTATACTGAAGATGGTGCGCCGGCAGGGGCTGGCCAGTAGTCGAAGTCGTGGTTCCCCGAGCGGTAGTTGCCATTTGATCTGAGATTCAGTGTTCATCTTTTTATCCTCGCAAGGCTGAGCAATTGCGATCGTCTACAAGATCACTAAAACAACATCTTCGGTACTATATCAATTTGATTGACCAGAACGAAAAATCCCAAAATTTACCTTGTCCGTGTTCGGCCTTCTTTGCGTCCTCGCCGGTAGAGGTTTTCATCCCCTCCACTCTCGAAGCATTTTGTCCTGGCACGTTTTGTTCGCCCTGCTGTCCATTTGGCGACGCAGAAGGCAACTTGAACGGTGGTGGGGGCGGTGGGGGGCCTGAAAATACTCGCTTTATGTTGTATTGATGTGATAAATATGTCGTGTGTGTAGTGGCCACCTCGCAGCGGTGATGTACAACTTCGTAGGTACGTGATTCCGTAGATTTCTTTTTCAAATATGCATCGGACTGACAAGGAGAGGCAAACAAAATTGTGTCAGTACACATTCCCTTCTTGGTCAATCGCCTCGGTGGCGGTCCAGCGGCCTCTGGAATGAACGGTGCCAGCACAAGGTCGTTCGGAAACGGCAAGAGGGTATGAGAGTGAAAAGAAAATTAAGAACTAATTTCCTTTATTGTTATGTCACTTTCTGATCAACTACACATCAGTTCATCCAGAACGTGAAATTCCCTTCTGCGAGTAGTATCTTGCTATTATGCCAGACAAATCGAGAACCAAACCCCCTTCTAAAAAAACGATGAACAGCGGGCAGTGCGCTAGTGCTGTAGTACTGTCACTCACGAGTTGTATACATCAGTCTTGCTTTAGCTTTTTCTGGTGCATGCTGACAATGTATGAATTGATAGTGACAGGCTGAAACGTCACTTAAGCGGGATGAAAGTAGTTCTCCTCCACTTTCGTAGGCAGCTGGCAGCGGCGTAAACCCCGGGGTCGTGAGCGACGCGTCTGTAGTGACGTCGTGTGTAGTGTCTTCTGATGTTGTGAAGAAGACGGGATGAAAGAAACGCCAATGCTATATAAATAGCTTTCATCAAGGTAAATAACAATCTGTACCCGTGTGCATCCCGGTGAGCTGGCTCTGGTTCAGCATGTGCGCTGCCGCGGAGGAGACCATCGCTATGGAAGCGTCAGGATTGAAATCGTCAAAGTTGAAATAACTTGTAATGCATAAAATCGATACCAGTTGGAAGCCCACTTTCTAAGCGGCTTTTGTCATGCTGCTTTGTCGCCGACGACTGCTTTTGTCATGCTACTCTGGCAGCTCTATCGCAGACCCAAAACAGGCTGACAGTCGGCCGCGCTTGCCGTCCCTGCAAGAGAGGCACTTCATGCCTTGCAGTTTATGCATGAGAAATTATTTCAACTTTGTCGATTTCGATCCTGACGCTTCCATAATCGCGGCCGTAGTCGTAGAAGTGTTCAAAGCCGAAACCGTATGAGAGTGCACAACTCCCCCTCCCCCGCACTTCTCATGCAAGATCCCAAATGCAAGCGCCGCTTTGTGGCACCCTTTGCATGACAGACTTCGCCGGAAGAAGGCGCCCAAAGAACAGTACTACAACACTAGGTGCCTGAACTTGTCATGCGGAGCCCCCACGCGCGCTGGTGTTTGTATTGCTGTAGTGTATGCCATACAAATGAGGGCATGGGGAGTTCTTGTGCATTCTCATAAACCGGGGAGGCGAGGGCGGTAGACTGGTCCGCGCGGTTCTTTAACTGCTGCCCATAGTTCGGCACGTGCTTCTGGCGCTGCTTCCGCGGAAGCACAATGGCGCAACGGAGCTCGGCTTCCTGTTGAAATGGAAGTAGTTTTGTTGGACGATAAGGCCCGCGTTTATTCCATTTGATTTTTACCACAAGTACGTTAGCATGATAAAAGCGTTTTTTGACTCTCATTCTTCATTCCTATTTCTTTCCCCGGAACAAGTGGAAACACTGTACTGTTGTACACTATGAGCGTAGCGGCAGTTGGCGCCGTAGCTGCACTTTTCCGGGTTGTTGCACATCTTGGTTTTCATAAACGCCTTGGTCGACTGCAGCTCCGACTTCAAATGCGCATACGTACATATCCTGTGTAAACACGTCCCCACCCCAGAGTTGTCATGCTAAACAAAATGCGACACACTTTGCCCCCCCATTGTACCATGGCCGTCATGCGGATTTGCAGTGACAGGAAGATTTGTAATGCGCATGTCCATGCCAGGCATTACCAATCGCGTTTTGGAATTTGTGATGCTCTAAACAGGATAAGCAGATGGATTTGTGATGCGATTGCCCTTGCTAACATGCACTACACTACGGACTGCAACTTGTCATGCGTGGCTCCCAAAACTTCTGGATTCGTGTTGCTAAGATCCCAACTTGATTTTCGCTTGGGGACGTTTTTACATATGATAGTACAGTAGGGGTTGTCACACCGGTCCCACTTCAGCAGGTCCGGACACATGGCAGTGCGGGTCTGTGTAGAAGTTTTTGCGCTAAGTAATCTTTCAGTTGTCACTCAATTCGAATTTTTTCAGCCGTCCCATCATGATGGGTGAACTGATAGATACCCCCGTTTTGCTCTTCAGTCTCGCGCTCCTAAACATGAATTTGTATAAGCAAATGGAAAGACAACTATAATCCGTCGTAGCAAACAAAACAGATAGTGCAGCAGAATGTTCATTCTCATTGAAACACTCTACTACATATAAAGATACAAGATCCGGCTTGGGCCGCAGCTCGTCGTAGCTGTGCGCGTGATGGCAGCTTTCCCCCCACCGGCACTCGCCGTTTAGGTGATAGAAGCACATTATGCATTGCAAGCATGTCTGGAAAAATGCGCGATTTTTCATGCTAGTATGGCATGACACTGAGCTCTGTATTGGGTAGGGCCAACATCGGTCACGCACAAACGCTGCTTCTCATGCGAAATACGCAACACAGAGCCACGGAAAAATCTGTAATGCTTGCTGGCGCAACATAATTACAGTGTGCTTTACTAATCACTGACATGCACCATCACAGGTTTCCAGAAAATCCAGACATATTTGCAATTCATACACATTTGCGTCTTGTAGAGTTCCGTGTTCGCCTTTTGCCGTATGGAAGCGTCAGGTTTGAAATCGTCAAAGTTGAAATAATTTGTAATGCATAAAATGCATGACCCGAGGCACGTGTGTTGCAGAGCAGGCAAGTGAGGCCGATTGTAAGCCTGTTGGGGGCTACAGCTCGAGCTGCTAAAGTAGCATGAGAAAATCACTCTTCTTTGCCTAAACAGCGTGACAAACTGGATTTAGGGACCACCGAAATTTGTCATGCACCACTTGGAAACTGGGTTCCAACTGGCGTCCATTTTATGCATGACAAATTATTTCAACTTTGTCGATTTCAACTCTGACACATCCATATGCCGTTTTGTCGAGGTAGTGGCCTGTTTAGAAGAAGGCATGAGCAGTCCACCTCCACCGCCACCGGCAGTTGCGCTGTTCATACCAGCACCCATCCCTTGTTTCCCACCATTCCCAGCCCCCAACGGCGCGCCGGTTGGGCCACAGGGCGGACAGATCAGAGGCGGTGGCACCGCCATGGTCCCCATTATCTGGGAAAACGGATCCATTCGTGCGCGCTTGTCGCAACTAGCGCGGCTCGTTGTTGCTGAAGCGGCCGCCCAGAAGTACTTACTTCACGACCAGACGGAGCAATAGAGAATCGCCGTTTCTGAAACGGCAGACGCAGACACGGATCCCTAACGTTGGTCTTGGTTTCTCGTGAAGAGAATAACGCAAACAAAACCAATAGGCGGCTCTTGAGAACTTGTACTAAGTACCCGACCTCCAACTTGTTTCAGCAAAAAAACTAGACCCTGCATAGTAGGGGAAAGACGCACTCATCGCTCTGCTTTTGTTCTGCCATGCGCCTCTCGCTCCTCACTTAAAAGAAACTAACCCCCAAAAGTTCTTTCGCTTTGCATTTGGTTTCAAATTCAATTTCAAACATAAGTAAATGCGCGGGAGGTCCCCGGATTCCTGCAGGCAGATTTTTTGCAACCACGAATTATTCCTGGATCAACAGATTTCCAAAACTCTATGGCCATGGTGGTAAGTAGGGTGTGCTTCTTTTTGCAAGTACTCTCCTACTTCATTGTGCTTTTTGTCCCGCAGAACATAACAACCCGTATAGCGATGACCTAGGTCGCGCTAACAGGCACCGGTAACTGCAGTTCCGCAGGTGGAAACAACACTGTGCGGTAAAGTTAAAGATATTCCGGCTCAACGATTTAGATTTACTACATTTTTTACACTATAGGGATTGTGCGCGGGTAACTTTCTTTTTTCTAAGTCCAAAAACAAATAATTTCGCCAGTAGAGTAGGTCAGTGTCGCAACAACGACAGATCATGACAAGAACATCGGAATCCATTAATACTTGTATCAAATGTCCAACTCTTTCCCCCAGGGCCCGAGTTCCTTGACCCCCTCGATTGTCGCGAAGTAGCTGTCTACCAAGGCCTTCGGGACGTCCTGGACTTTTTCGTGCGACCACTTCGCCGCCCGCTTTTCTAGCAGCAGTGCCGACACCCCCTCCGCAAAGTCCGCCTCCGGTTGAGGCCGGAGGCAGTGCATGGCCATCTTGTACTCCGTTCGCAGCGCGCTGCGGAGCGTTTCCGCGTCGCTCCGGTGTCGCTCCATCGCCGCAAAACTCACCTTCAGCGACAGGGGGGACATGTCGCGGAGAAGTTTCAGGTACTTTTCCGCAAAATCAGTTTTCTCGTCCTCCAGCCGTTGCATCACCGCCTCTACCGATTCCGCACTGTGTCCGAAGCACCGGGAGATCAGTTCCGAGTCCGCACCGGAGATGGTCGGCTGAACACCCACAGAGTCGAGTTTCGAGACCTCTTTCACCACGACATCCTCCAGTTTTTCCAAATGCGACTGCACGGCGGTCGGGGTGACTGCCCCGGTGAAACTTCCCAAGTGGGCCTTGACCGCCTCTAGATCCTGCTGCTTCACGAAGTGCGTCCCCACACCAAAATTTACGCAGTCCGCGGCGTTCAGTCGCGCGCCTGTGAGCCCGAGAAACCGGGCGATCGCAACGGGACTGCGGTTGGCAAGGCGCGACAGGCCCCAGGTCATGCCCACATCCGGAAACAAGCCGATCTTGGTTTCCGGCATGGCAAACATGGTTTTCTCAGTCACAATGCGGATGGGGTTGTGGAACCCCAACCCAACGCCGCCACCCATCACGATCTTGTCCCAAACGGACACCGTGACGACGTTCTCCTGATTCTTTTGCGCGATCTTGTAGTCCAGCTTGTACTCCTTGTGGAAGAACTCCCCGCCCAGAGTGCGATCGGCGCACTTACTCCCTATCCTGAGTAAAAACATACCCACACCAGAGTCAGGATGGGGATTTTGCAACACAAACCTAGGAGTTTTAGGAGTCACGCATGACAAGTTTCAGTCCGTAAGGTAGTGCAAGTTAGCAAGGAAAGCCGCATCACAAATCGACCTTCTGATCCTGTTTAGAGCATTACAAGTTCCCAAACACGATTGAAAATGCCTGTCATAGTCATGGGGTTGCGCATCACAAATGTTCCTGTCATGGCAAATCTGCATGACAACTCTGGGGTGGGAACGTTTTTACACAGGATACTCCCGCGCAACGCTTCCGCCAGGGCCGCCACGTCGCCCCCGGCACAAAACGCCTTCTCGCCCGCGCCCTCCAGCCACACGATGGCGTCTTGGCGCGGGATGCGGTTCTCGTAAATCTCCTCGAGAAGTTCAATCATCGTGAGGGAAAGGGAATTCAACTTTTTCGGCCGGTTCAGGGTCACGCAGTGCAGTTTGGATGAAGTCGTCGAGGATGTTGTTTTACTCGTACTCGTAGGATCGTACGGTGCATACAGTACCTCCGCCTCGGTTGTACTAGAGCTGCTTGCGGAGCTGAACCGGCGAGAGGTGGCAGAGGACGTCGTGGTCGTCGTGAGAGAACAAGGAAAGAGTCTTCGCTGCTGCAGGTTCATCTGCCGAGAAGAAGTAGAGGAACCTGACGCCAGAATCTGATGCGAAACCTGCAAGACACGGGTCGCAGGGCCGCGAAGGGGGGAGCAAGTTGGCGACATTTTTCTCGGACAAGGTTTTGGTTTATTTTTATACAGTTTAATTCCGTATGTAGTTGTTCTTCACTCGTTGTCGTGTTCTCGTCCCCGTCAGGTTAGGTAGCTTGGAGAGCAACAAAAACTTTCTAATCGGGTTAGGTGCAGGTCGTGGATGTTTACCTTCCATTAATGTTCGCATGCCGGTTTCTAATTCTAAGTGCTTTACTTTGGTGATGCTCATGCTTCGTCTTTGCATCAACCGGAAAATAAACCAAGACACTATGACTGACACCAAAAAACATTTCACCGCGGCCACGCTCGCTCACTCTCTTCGTGGTTAGCAGGGACTTTATTGCTTGTTCTAAAGTAGACCCTTCTACTCCAAAAACAACTAGCCGAGGGCTTACTCAATGTGTGGCCCGAACATCATTGAATGAAAAAACCAGTAATTTGGATCCGCAGCAGCCCTCATCGCGGTGAAACAACAGGAGCAGTAGCTTGTGCTAACATTTTTTTTTGAAAAATTCTAATTTGACGCAATGAAAGCGTGACCGCCACGCCGCGAGTACTATTCTCAGTACAGTCCTACCGCCGTTTCCGTTTTCAAATAGTGTACCACAGACAGCCCCAGTCGTGCTGTTCCGTTCGAAACAAATGTTATTTTCAATATCAACCACAAACGCTAGATACAATTTTCTGCAGCAGCGAAAGCTGCTCGCCCCGGAGCAGAGATCATCTGCTACGCCTGCTCTGCACCTGGAGGCTGCAGTAGCTAAAGTACATTTAATCAACTCCTAATTGTCAAGTGGACAGGTTAATTTTCGACGCAACTGCCATAACCAAAGGAGATGGGACCTATGGTACATTTATTCTCAACTTCAATTGAAAAGGAAACTGTATATTGTACAATAAACATGGTCAGTCTAGGTCTTTTACTAGTAAAATAAACATCCCGGCATTTTTATACTGCAGCGCCACTGCAAAAGTATCGTGGTTGAGAATGAAAATCCATCTCAAGAGAAGCACAAACCACATCAAACAGCGGCACCACTTATTGATTCTACTGCGCATCATGCCTGAAGATCTGAAGCCCTAATGAGTAAGCCCGTAAAAGAAGTCTCGCCCTGAAGATTCAGCAGTCTAAGCGCAGGACGGCGCCCCCTCTATCAGGACTTTATTTTTCATCATACACAGAAGTGGTTCTTGTTACAGTAAAAGTAGCACGATATTTGTTCTTCAAGACAGCACCCTTTCAGCCACGACGTTGTACCAGTCCTGACTTATTCATTCTTACGGGTTGTTCTGCAGTGCCCCGGGGTGTACGCGGAATCTTGCTTGAAACAGACACTCCTCGACGTTCAGTAGCACCTTCGGTTGGTCAAAAAACTTCCCAAAGTGCTCCTCTAACACGTCCAATACCTCGCCGGTAGCGTCCGCGGCCATTATGCTCAGTCCCCGCTTTTTCCACGCCTCGAACAGCTCCTTCAGCTCCTTCAAAGCCGTCGCGTCGATGGAGTTAACCTTTGTAGGGGAACGAGTGATCGAATGTGAATGAGAACAAATACTTACAATATGAATCGACACAATAACAGAGATAAATCCGGCGCATCACAACCACTGCGTATCTTCACTGAGTGATGCAAGAAAGTAAAAGAGAAACATCCCATGAAACAGGAGCTCGACGCCAAGGCGATAGACCACAACGACCAAGAGCAAGACCAAGAGGTGCTGGCGGTATATGCAACAATAAAAATGAACTCTCTCCTTCTACCTGGCTCCAAACGGTGACGATGACCTTGATTTCTCTCCACTGCTTTTCCCGTTGCAGCATTTTCTCCACTTCCTCCCGAATAAACTCGATATTTGCGAAGAACATGGACTATGCATTGCAAAAGCTGCATCGTACTTCTAGTATAAATCGCATGACAAATTTCCTGAGCATGAAATGGAATTTGTCATGCTGATTTCCCTTGGGAATCAGATTTGTCATGTAGATCTGCGATTAGTACGAGTGCGATGCTTTTGTATTTGATATGGACGCGCCGAAGGAAAAAATCACCACACCCTCGAATTGGTGCACGGTAATCTCCAGTTTTCGCCCCCGCTGCACGTCATACAGAGACGAGTGCTCGTCCAGTTTGCCCATTTGCGACACGCGGGGAAATATGGAATGCAAATATGTCTGGGTCTGGATGGATGCAACTTGTCATGCGAATCCGAATCATGCAAAAATCTGTGTTGCATGAGTGCCAAAAGCTGTCCACTTTCGACCAAATTGGGAGAGAGTTTCTGATGCAGGATAGGCATGACCACAGAGACCTCACAGAGTCTGCCATGCTAGGTTTCGCATTCCAGACTTTGACTTCAACTTCATGGGTCATGGAAACCTTGCATGACAAGTTTACACTCTTCCAGACCCAGACATATTTGCAATCCATAGGAAAGACCACGTCGCTGATCATAATGAAGAGACTCAGCGCGACGGAGAGCGCCACACCCTGCAACACACCCTATGAAAAGGAAAAATCCCCCCACCCCATATCACAAAGGAAGTCTGTGATGCTGGATTTGCGTACACAAATCAGATTTGTATTGCAGGAAGGCATTGCGGCCAGATCCCCAGGCTAGGGCGGGGCGTATGGATCTAGTTGGTCAGCATTGCAAACGGCTGACCTTTAGGCCCAACAGCATGACAAATCGCTTCCATGATGGGGCGGAAGCTTCTGCCCTTGTCTTCTTGCAAGACAAACATGATTTGTGGCCTCAAATCAGCAACACAAATTTTCGGAAACATACCCTTTCGATATGGGGAGGGGGGATTTTTCCTTTTGATACGCCCAACAGAATGGTGCCACCACAAGCCAGGACCCAGACCTGCGGACGAAAAGTTTCTTTTAGGTTGAGATTCATTTCATCGGCGCTGAGCATTTATTTTTCCTTGTCGTTCGTGTCCTCAGCAACAGATTATTGTGTTCTTTCTAGTCGTATCTGTACCAAACCGAAATTATGCAGCACACGACCAAACCAGGAAAAAAAACGCTGCTAGTAGAATTAAGTACATTCAAAAAATTTAAAGATGAGTACTAGTTTACTACTGTACCAAAATATCCCGGTAGAATCCCACCACCGCCGTGGTTGGTAGCTTTGGTATATTTATTGTGTAGTCGCTCGTGCTGCCGCGCTGCACATCCCCTCCACCTCCCGATTGTTGTACTATGGATTGGTTTGTGCCGCTGCCCTCCTTTCGCTCTTTCGATGGGGAAAGCAAGGCCGACCGCTGGAACGAGGGAACCTGCTTTATCCTGGCCTCGGCGAATTCGGTGGCCATTTCCGCAAAGTCTGCGTCCACCCCGCCCTGCGTGAGCTCGCCAAGAGACCCTAGATTCTTGTTCAGACCGCCGTTGGTTCCGACGTTTTCCGAGGACAATATTCTCCGGATACCAGAACGCGATTTGGACACACTCAAGGGAGACGACCGCGGGGAGAGTCCTGCGGTCAAGGTGTTGACGCTTTGCGAAGCCGGGATGTTCATGTTTAATAGCAGGGGCTGCTTCAAATCAGCAACGTTTGCCGTCGGAGAGAGCGCATTGTTGGTGTTGCGGGCCGGGTTGCTTGTGTCCTCGTTTGCTGTGGTATAGGTATTGAAATCAGTAATTTATCAAAATTGGAGCAGAACAAATGAAGGTATAAACGAAAGCAAAACTGACTCGTCACAGCCAGCACAGTCGGCCGCACACTAAAGCAGCATGACTCTTGTGTGATGATCATATATCCATCCAAATTGTATTCATTTCAAGCTGCTCACCTGGCGAGCTATCCGGCAGAAGTGCCCCGGGCATTTCTACCATCACCGGCAAGTTCGGCGAAGAGCCTGCCCTGCCAGAAGCGGACGCGCGGGCAGGAGACCCAAGGCCGTCCTTCAAGCTGGAGGACGGCGGGCTGGGTTCCCGACTGCTTATCCTCCGGACCACCTGCTCCACTTGTTCCTTGGTTTTCTCCTGAATTTTCGACGTTTTTATCAGCCAGAAGAGGTAGGGGAAGTCCTGGAGATTCGTGCACGCGAGGATGATAATGCCGGACAGCATATCCTATGGGAAAACGTCGCAACCCCATAACTGTCATGCAAATCTGCATGCTGAAAATGTTTCTCATGCAGAGCCCCATGACAAGCGTGGCTTTCTATTCGCGTTTTGGAATTTGTAATGCTCCAATCAGCACAATAGGCTAGGTCTGTGATGCTGCTGAACAAGCTAAACTGGATTACACTACAAGGCAAGACTTGTCATGCGCAAGAACCAAAGGTGGCTGATTTGTCTAGCAGATTTCCCATCTTGACTATCGGATGAGGACGTCTTTTTGCTCAGGATACAGCACACACTTGGGAATCCAGAAAATGGCGGACGAGAAGAAGATCTATCCTGTGCAAAAGTATCGTACTCGTAGTAATTGCATTCCTGCATTACAAATTTTTTTCAAAAGGTAAATCCGCATGACAAATTTTATTTCTCATGCTGAGGAAATTTGTATTGCATTTATACGATTACGATACTTTTGCAATGCATAAGATCAGGCCGCTGGCAACGACGCAGGTGGCGACCAGCCCGCCGATCTGCGAATTGATGCCCAACATCGGCAACAACGCGGCACGGGAGAGGGAACCGGACACCGGAAACGACTGGAAAAATCCGCCCGTGATCCCCGCGATCCCCAGGGCGATGGCTTCCTGGCTTGCCTTGATACTGTACCCCTGTTGCAGGGCGACCCGGCGGGAGGAGCTGAAAGTGGTGATGAACGAGGTCAGCGCGATGAGCAGGGAGCCGGGGAGCAGGGAAACAAACGTGACGGAATCCGGCACGTACTCCCAGGGCGGCGTGAAGCCGGGCACGCCTTGCGGCACCGGGCCGACCACGTTCACGACCAACCCCGTTTCTTGGCTGTCGTTGACCGCGCCCGGGGTGCGGAGGGAATACACCAAGCCGCCGAAAAACAGTACGACAAAGAGCTCCTTGAAATCCAGAGACTGCAGCAAAATTTTTGCCCAGGTCTCTTCCCGCTTCTTTAACGAGGCCTTCAGCTGTTAAGGATAGTGATCAAAAAAAAATTTGAAGAAATGCCGGATCTGCAGAAGATGATCATGCCGTACAAAATCTTAAAAGCAAAGTACAAATTTCTCATTCACACCCTGGAGTCGCGAAATTTGAATCATTCCCAGGAAGTTGCCCTAGTTCTTCTTGATGTCAACAACATAGAAAAATCACATGAAATTACAATTAGAATTGAACCCAACTATAATACCGCTTTCGATTTGTGCAAGACGGCCATGACACAGAGCCCTATTGCCACCGCCGCCCAGTTCACCGCCGTTATGTTCGCAAAGGTGCCTGTCAAAATTGGCACCACGCCTTTCGCGTTGTACAAATGTTTGTCCAGCCCCGTGAGTTGCTTGCTCTGCGTGGCTGCAATGATCAGGCTCGCGCCGGAAATGAAGCCCGACAGGGTCGGCTGGGATAAGAACCGGACCAGAAACGTCAGTTTCGTCACCCCGAAAATGAAAATCAGCAGCCCGGTGGTCAAGGCCAAGTAGCTCGCGACCCGGGTTCGCACCTCGATGTCCCCGTACTTGGACAGCTGGTCAGCGATCATCACAGCAGCCACCGCACCGGAGGAGATGGAGGCGTGGGGACTAGTGCCAAAGATCGCGTACATGATGGCCGGGCCGAGGGCGCAGTAGGGCCCCTGCACCGTGACGGTGGTCGCGATCGCGGCGTGGGCCATGGTCTGGCAGATCAGAATGAGCCCCACAATCACGCCGCCCACAATGTCGCCCTGCAGTTTTTTTCCGCAGTCGTAGTCGGGGAGCCACTTGGTAATCGGGACGTGGTCATTCACAAATTTTACCATCCGCGACTTCCCGATCTTGGCCTTTTCCTTCAGCGATTTCCTCGCTTTCTGCTCGATTACGTCCTCGACGTAGGCCAGCGGCGGGGGAACAATCAGGTCGTCGTCCTCCAGGTGGAGCATGTCCGAGCGGTCCATGCGGGACCGCGAATACGTGTAGTGGTCTTCACCACTGATGCGCGCATCCACCATCTTTTCGTCGTCTTGCGCACAACTTCTACGCAAGTCGCGCTAGACAGGGTCCTCGTGAAGATCGTCCTCCCGCGTTCAAGTGTACTTGCAGTCAACAGGGCGCTGGTCGTGGTCGTGGTCCGTGGTCGTCGTGAAGAATTTCAATTTTCCGACGACTTCTATAATTTAGGTGCGAGTAGAAGACGAGACCTGCACTTCTATGAAAGGAAGCACTTAGATAATCAGTAGAAGAGGTATTCGAAACTACATGGGGTAGGCAGAAATAAAGGGATGAGAAAAAGCGTGAAGATCAACTTCGTCAACAGGGAATCTTTTTACTCATAGTGTACAAAAAGAAAGGAAATATGTGCAAAGGCTTCATAGGAAGGCCGCCGGGACGTCAAGAGCACCTCAATAGAATATCAAGAATGTGGTCCTGGACGTAGAAAGCGGTGTATAGATGAGACAAAAGATCCCTAAGTACTTAGTTCCACACTACTGCACACTACGTACCAGTTTCTTCCACTTAAATTCTTTATTCTCCCACCTACTACAACTGCACCGCACGACGACCTCTATTTCACACTCTCCAACCGCGCCGGACTTCATCTACACAGATGCTGCAAATGAGGGGCTGCACGCCGTGTCTTGTTGTTGTGCCAGCTTACACATACACACCGAATATATAACTAGCAACTTTTAGTGCTCGTAATTCGTTTGCAACAGAAAAGCGCCACTTCTTCTAACCGACTTGGCTCAGCGATCTGTCACTGACAACAGGCGTCGCCAGCAAGCTACCAAAGAGCAGCACATACCGACTTTTTCGAAAATTCTCTATCGCTGCAGTATACCGACTCATGTCATGACCTTCATCACCGATATATGGTCACTCCTTCCAGAGGAAGGTAAAGGCGGGAAGTCGGGTTTTATCTTCCCGCGTTCCTGTCGTGACGACAGCCATTATTTTGCTCGTGCCCCGCCTATGTACCTATTTTCAAACGAGCAAGAAAGCTTTTGCTGTCCAATAGCTCCACTTGAAAGAACTGAACATGTAGATGCAGTTTGCATGCCTAGTAAATCTGCGGCACTGCATCAAGGCCCCGCTGTAGTCTCGTCTGTACTCCATCACCCCCGACTCATGAGCCGGTTCATTTGTTGCAATTCCGCCGGCTTCGCGGGGGCACTCAAACTCCAGGGCAGCGCGAACACCTTGAGCAGGCCCTTGCTGCCCCCCGCGGCCAGCAGTCCCCGTTGCGTCGGGTTGAAGCGGACCCGCGTGACGTGTATGCATTGCAAAAGTGTAGTCTGGGTCTGTAAGAGCGCAATTTGTCATGCGGCTTTCGAATTCTGAGAAAATCAGTGTTGCATGAGCAGCAACTACAGAAGTTCCGCTTTATTTCCTACGCGGACGAGTAGAGGGTACTTACTTATTTCTCATGCGAAGTAGGCAGCATCAAAGAGCCCTCAAAAAATTTCTGATGCTAGGACATGCATCACAGACATGATGGGTCACGCAAAACGTGCATGACAAAGGTTGCACTTTTGTCCGGATGTCTAGACATATTCGCAGTGGATAACGCGCTCGGAGGTTTTCTCGAACGGGATCGCCACGACCGGTTCGTGTTTGGACTTCATCAGATATGCCTTGCAAATATGTCTGGATCTGGAAGAATGCAAGTTGTCATGCTAAGTCTCGAATCGTGCAAAAGCCTGTGTTGCGTGCTTACCAAAAGCTGTCCATATCATTTGCCCAAGTTGAGCGGCAGTGGTCTCTCATGCGGGAGAGGCATGATAGAGACCCAGCAGAATCTGTCATGCGAAGTTCTGTATGCCAGACATCACGGGTCATGGAAAATTAGCATGACAAGTCTTGCAATCTTCCAGAGGACCCAGACATATTTGCATTTGATATCAGGTCGTAGATCACCAAACTGCCCTGTTCCGGCGCCACGGCGAACACCAACGGTCTGGCGTGACTCCAGGCCGCGTCGGCGAGCCCCACGGAGGCGCGCTGCTGCAGGTTCAGATCCCGGTTCGCGCCGCCGCCGACGGTGAGCAAAGGCGGGTAGAGTACGTACAGAGGGCGCTGCTGCAGAATGTCGAACAATTTGACCCCGCCGTCCAGGGCCGCGGTCAGCAGCATCTTCCGGTGAAACGGGGAAAACCGCGCTGCGACGATGGGCCCGCTGTGCGGCTCGAGGTCGGTGGTTTTGGGCTGCGGGAACAGCAGGTTTGGGTCGGGTTTCGACTTGAAAATCAAGGCCGCCGTGATGTTTTGGTCCTTTTCGGTGGCGGCCTGCCGCTGGAGAAAGGTCTCCACATGGTGCTGGATCCCCATCCGACTGGATACCGGGACGGCATCCAAGATCCGCAACGCGCTACCCTTCCACTGCCGGGCACGCTCGCCGGAAATCTGTCGTGAAAACAATTGCATAATTCACGAATCAATTATGAATAGGGCTGCAGCAACCAATGCGGCAATTATCGGAATACGATGAATCAATCATAATGTCACGTAAACGACGGAAACGAAGTAGAAGTTGCGGACAAGTGTTTCTCTCTCTAATGAAGTCAAATACTTGTGTGCTATCCGCGAGCACTGCGGGGCACATGCCTCGGATCAACGAGCCCGTTTCTGAGCCCACCACAAACAGGGAGGAGTCGAAAGGGGAAAACGCGAGCGCGCGCCCACCGACGGTCCTCTTTCGCTGCAGCAGCGTGAATCCGCGGGAGGGGAAGGCGAGGTTATCGGCCACGTCCCACAGCAAGATGCGGCCGTCGCCCGACACGGTGGCCAGTAAGAACTTTTTGCCTTGCTCAATCCAGGAAATTTCGTGAATGGCTTCGCGGTGAAAGTAGTCGTCGATACCTGGTGGTGTAGTGTTTGTGGAAATTCATATAAATTCTATGCGTGAACTCTTCATCTGCATCATCGAGAAGCAAGCTTTTTTTGGTGTTGGCAGCTAAACACAGAACAAAAACGCCGTCATGCGTGCAGCAACTGCAGAGCTTGGCTCTCCTAGAAATGACGTATAACAGTACTTGGAGTTACACGAGCAGCGCCGTGGTGCATAACGTTAGACGTCACATATGATATCATCTGCATACTGCATGTGTTCCGCAAGTACTTAGGAAGCACAACTACACGGTTGAGTTTATTACGAAGTTCCAATGAGATGTCAGTCTCACCATGCCGTCGCGCAGAGGGTAATGCACGACGGCGCTACAACGTAGGCAGAAATGATTTTGATTTCCGCTACGAAGCATTATACTCGACATCGCGATTTGTGGGTCCGTGCTCGTCTGACTGGCATCCCAGAGAATCACCTCCCCGTTGTAGCTTCCTCCCGCAAGGATATTGGGCAATCTTGGGTGAAAGGATGAACTGCAAATGTGTCTGGATTTGCCATGCGAGTTTTGCAGGATATGATCTACGTCAAGATGCGTATTGCGTGACGCGGATTGGCGACTTTTTTGGTTGTGCGAAGAGCTAGTGTGGCATGCCAAATACAGAAGAACCGAAATAGATAGACCCGTGAGGCGCTCACACGACCTTGCCGGAAGTCCCTCTGACATGCGAGAGGTTTGACCACTCCGCATGAAGTAACTAGAGCCAGACACATCATGTTTTCATTTGATAGAAAGGCAAGAGACACGACGTCGCCCTGCACTTCGATTTTTACGTCGGGAGGCCGCTCTCGACTCGTCGTATCCGAAGGTGCGGAGGGACCGCCGCCTGATGTTTCGATTGAAGATGATAGAATTGAGTGCAGCACGTCAATTAGCAGAAAATGTAAAAACAAAAAGAACTTGTCGAAAGTTGGTAGTTTTACAGATGTTGTACGCGACCAGCGAGCACCAGTTGCATCAAAAAAAAAATATCAGAGCCGCTACAGATGAAACAGATGAAGATGTACTGGAGCCCCACTATACGTTGAAAGACGTGCCAGACGTGGACATAGCTGCTGTATTCGCACCAACCCAGCGTGTCGAGCTGCCCGTAACTGGCAGCGAGAATGTTCCCAGTTGCGTTCCAGGCGAGGTCCAATACCGCCGTGTTAGTACCCTGCTCCGTCGGTCCCTTCAGTAAGTGCACCGTTCGCACCGCCTCCTCCCCTTCCTCCTCCCACTTTGGTTCGTAGTGAGCGAAAGCCGGGAACTCCTCCTCTGCCGAGTCCAGCTCCAACAACGTGGGCTTCAGGACCTTTTTCATATGCAATGCAAAAGCATCGCACTAGTAGTAGTAAACTGCATTACAAATTTTTCAGCATGACAAATGGAATCTGTCATGCGGATTTATCTTGAAAAGCAGATTTGAAGGCCCTAAAATATCCACCTTTTCGCCCATCTTTTCAAATTTTGGCCAGTTGATTGCGCGGCGCCCTCGCCGATTATCGCGTAGCGCCTCTTCGATGGCGGCTGCGCGTCCGCCTTTGCAAACGCGCCAAGCCGGGCTGTTCTATTTCTGCCCCGAGGCCCGGGGCAGAAACGCAAGCCAAAGACCCCAAAGAGAAAAGCCACCCAAACGAGCCTCCCAATCATATGAGGCCATGGACCCTGAGCGCGCCTCTGCTTGCGCAGGTAAGGCAAGGCGCCCGGCAATAGCGACAAACGCGGAAAATGCCCCCGGCGAATTTACCCTCCACAAGGCGCAGCCAAGCGAAAGGCTGCGCCCCCCCTCTTATCAGCCCCGGCCTGGCTTGGGCCTGATTCGGAAACAGCGCCCACCGCATCTTTTCAAAATTTGGAAAGTGAGCAGCCACCTATCAAATTTTGAAAAGATGCAGAAAGAGCATCTTTTCAAAATTTGATAGCTTTCAAAGTTGAAAAGATGAGCACTTTGCGTGGCTGCATCTTTTCAACTTCTTTCTCGGCCGAGTGAATGCATTCTCCCGGTTTTGTTCTTGTTTCTGCATGTCGCGGAGATGTGCATGACAAGTTGGCCTCACAACTCCTACCACACTCCTCCACCAAGCTGCAAAAAGAAAAACAAGACCCGGAAAATCTGTCAGGCAATATCGCCAGCCAGGATCTGCGGTCGAGCTGCTCGAGAGGCTTTATGTATGAGAATGCAACGAAATGGCGGCAAACCGATAGAGCAAATTTTGAAAAGATGGGCGTAGAGATGGATTTTTTAGGGCCTACAAGATTTTTCATGCATAGTTGCGATTTTTACTGCGAGTAAGATACTTTTGCAATGCATATTTCAGAAAATGCAGCAGCTTCTCGTCGGACACATTGGCTTTTTGGTTCACCAGCCAGGTGGTCGACGTCGAGCTCGCACTGTTGCTGGTTCCAGTAAGCTATGAAATGCAAAAATGTCTGGGTCTGGAAACTTGTGATGCTAAAATGTGCTTGATGAAAACGCATCCGAATGCAGTCCGGCATGACAACTTCCCAAAACGCTTTCTCATAGGCAATCCGCATGAGAAACTGCGTTTTTGCATGACAAAAGCGGCTGCGACTTTTGTTGGTTATGCAATGCAGATTTTCTAGGTATGAAAAGCTAGCATTACAAGTTGCAATCTTCCAGACCCAGACATTTTTGCAATCCATATGAGCGGTTGCAGGTCAATCAGCCCCTGCTCGACCTGCTCAAAAATGTCCGCGGTCTGTATCGAAGCGTCAGGATTGAAATCCTCAAAGTTGAAATAATTTCTCATGCTGAAATTGCAAGGCATGAAGTGCCTCTCTTGCAAGGATTGCAAACGAGACCGATTGTGAGCCTGTTTCGGGTTTGGAATAGAGCTGCTAAAGTAGCATGACAAAAGGCGCCTGCTGTCCCTAAACAGCATGACAAACTGGTTTTAGACGGTGCCGAAATTTGTCATGCGCCGCTGGAGAATTGGGCTTCAGCTGGTATCGATTTTATGCATTACAAATAATTTCAACTTTGACGGTTTCAATCCTGACGCTTCCATAGTCTGGGTCTCGATCGTCTTCAGATTGCTCGCTTGAATCCGCATGTTTCGCAGCCCGATCTTCTCGGTCTGCATCTTCTGCTCGGCGACCTTTGGCTTCCGCTCCGGCTTCGACGGGATCGCAAAGGACTCCACGTCGCTGTGCGCAAAGTTCACGCGGGAGGGACCGGTGGCCGGCATGGTTTTTAAGTTCGTTGTACAACCGGCAGTCAGCACGGTGTGAAGGTGAACTTCAACTTAGATATTTACACTGCTAGAGCTAGTGGAAAAACCACGACAACCAAGAGGACAACGAAAGAAGAAGAACTAGCACTTCTCGTACACTCGCAACCTTCGTAAGCACCACAACCACAGCACGCAGCAAAGTTTAAGTTTTTGTACTTAGTTTTAACCTTCATTCTCTCGCTCTCCATGAAACCGACGCGGAACCACCGTCCTGTTGCTGTTGTGATTGATGCAATACAATGCATGCCAGTCTGCAGTAGACTTCTCACCATATGTACCTTTTCTTCGTCTCTGCACTCAAATGCAGACGACAGTATCAGCTGCAAAAACTACAGGTGTTGGTTTTAGTCACAAGAACGTTCTTTCAACAGTTGTATCTTCACTAAGACGTCATTTTGACATCCTCTTTGTGCTGGTGAGTCGCGGCCTTCGATAGTATGAGTACCTCCCCCCCAACTACCTGCATTCGAACGATGCAAGAGCTTGAGCGGTCTGGTAAAGCACACTTCGAAATTTCGTACATGTCAAAGTCGCTGTCGTTTCGGCTCCTGTACTTCTTGCGTTCTTGGAGCTCCTGTCAAGTCATGGGCTGATGTTGCTGTTCCTGTACCAACACTTTCTCCACTAGCTGTGCGGGTGGGATTCCTCGTTTCATCTAAATTCCCTGTCACTTTATTTGCACGATGATTGTTCTTCAAATGTTTCACTTTCTCCCGCACCATTGCCACTAATCTTTCCCCGTCAGCGGGCGTGAACCCGGTATTTCCATCCGTCAAGAGAAGCGTGCTTTGGTCGAAAGAGTCCCGCAAAGCTTCCATGTCGTCGACTATGATAAAGTTGTTCGTCAAACAACTAGAATTCCCACATCTGGAGGTTGCGGCACGTAATGTACGAGTTGCCTGTTCACGACCCCGAGGACCTTCAAGTACTTCAAGCAGACAATTTTCCGCGGCGAAGTTCCGTATTTCCAGATGCCGCATGTCATACGCTATCTCTTCCGTCTCTCCGCAAAAAAAGTCGGGTCGCACCTTGACCTTCATCCTCTGCAAAAATTGTTGTACCATTGTATTTGTAAGCGTAACTCGTAGCGTACAAATTCCCATGTTGTATGACAGAAGATCTTTTTTCCTTTCGTATCAGAAATCCTTTATTCAGCACAACAGATTTCCTTTTTCCTTCCCAAAAAAAAATTGTCGATGGAAAAATTATCAAATTTCGTGTTGTACAATAGGTTAGCTGGTGTACGATACACCTTTACAACAACTTTTACACCGGATAAACTGTCTCTCGAGGTATTTCTGCAGTTTCAGTTTTCTTATCAGTCGTGTGCGCCACGAGCTGGAGAGGACGACTTGGACTTGACACTGGGGAATATTGTTCAACACAGCATCATCACAACTATTCGTCCCCATGTTCCTGTCACTCAGCACAACTTGCTCCGCCTTCTGAACCGCGGCTATGAATTCTCGGCAGTTGTCCTCGTGCAGTGTGAGGGCAAACCCCCCGAGTTTATTCAAAACGCCGTCGACGTCGAGAAAGATTTTCAGCGATGTACTCTGCCAGTGCCGTCCCCATCCGACTTTTGTCACCGCAAGCAGCTCGAGCGCCGCTTCGATCAAGTCTTGCTTTTCCGTAAAGTTGACTTCGTTGTTGGCGTCGTACTCTTCCCGGTGCAGCAGCAGCTTGAGCTCCTTCACGGAAAGCTTTTCGATTTTTCGTCTTGCCTCGTCGTAGCTACTTTTAGCGACTCCTGGATTAGAATTTACTGCATTTGAGGAAGAAGTTGCGGCCTCATTGGAAGTGGCGAGTGCCTCAAACACGAGCTCCTGCATTAGACGACCTGACACTTTTACTTAGTATTAATTTACTCGGATATTATATCTCTCATGCTTATTGATCTTGAGTTTAGAAATCTTTCTCAGAATGCGTTTCTACACCTCATGATCCGGGAACTGGTCACAAGTAATTTGCGTCACAATGCTTGGTTGAGCAGATACGGTCACTCCTCTGATCCCGAGGCGAGCGTACAACCAATGACGAGTGGGCAACGGCGATTTATAGTAGACTCTACTGCTTCATCTGCTTTGGGTTTCTATCTATTGCCGATATCATCAACAAGAAAGGCGGTGTGACATCATCATCATAGAAAACAGTCATAAGAATGATACCGAGAAATAGAGATAGGACACTAAACTTGATGTCCGAAACCCGTTGCAAATAGCAGAACACGTCGCCCGCAAGTCTGATCTGCACGAGGCAGTGCTAGATGACTAACCCTGCCGCTACTTGCTTGAGGCAAGTTGCTTCCCGAGAACAACCCAAAGTTGTTGAGGACCTCAGGCAGCCCGTGTTTTATTCTCATTTACATGCATTTTTTTTCTTTCTAAACATACACCAGAAACGGAAACCCTGTGCTTTATCATAAAATTACTATCTTGCCAGCATCGTCCTCCGAGCCACTGTTTCTATCCACAGACACCTCGAAAATACTCAGCAGTGCTTTTTTAAATTGTCATCTGACTGGTCATTTATTTTACATGCTATCAAGTCTTTTTTATCCGTTTCGGAATCTCAGGTCCGACTCTGCAGCTACCTTCGTGGAAGTTGTAGGCAGTAGTTGCGAATTCCTCTTCTGGTTCAGCATCTGCAGTGCCCGCGACACTTTGGACCGTCGCTATCAAATGCAAAAATGTCTGCGTCTGGGGGATTGCGAGATTTGTCATGCTAGTCTGGCATGACTCTGAACTCTGCATTGCGTGGCCGCGAAGCGGTCCTCTTGGCTGTCATGCAAAGACGCAGTTTCTCATGCGGATTACGCAACTCAGACCCACGGAAAACCTTCTCATGCTTGGCAGCGCATTATAGTGCGCTCACTATTCCCTGCCTTGCATCACAAGTTTCCAGACCCACACATATTTGCATTGGATAGTCGCCCCCGGTAGACAAACTTTTCCTCTTTCCGCTTTTTCGCGAACAACTTCGGCCCGGTGTAGTAGGGCAGCGGCTTGTAGAGCGTATCCGAGTAGCCGGGATGGCCGGCGACGCAGACGAGGTTGACGTAGTACCGTTTCCCGCCGTGTAGACTGTGCGGGTCGTCCGGGATATTGTAGCCGAGGTGGGTACTGCTGCCGTTGTTGGAAATGGAGCGGAGCTCGGGCGTGCCACTGGTCTCGTTCTGCAGGATCACATTGGGCACGTCGATTTCCGGATTCAAGAACGTCTCGTTTTCGTAAAACACCATCCACCCGTAGTGTAACGCGTCGAACCAGAATTCGGTCCAGTTTCGGGGGTTGTTCCCCCGGCCGGGGATCTGGAACACCGGAAGGCTCCCATTGCGGCTGTCGTAGAACACCATGGGATGGGCCTGGTCGTAGGCCAGTATCAAAATGAAAAATGCCCCCTCCGCATATCAAAACGAAAACTTGTGATGCTGATTTGTGGTCGTGATGCTGATTTGTGGTCACATATCATCTTTGTCATGCATTTAGCGCCATAGGAGCCATGTGACGCATTCCAGAGCAAGTCTGTCAATCATGCGCTTTCGACTACTGCAAGCCTGTTTGTCATGCGCAATTGCTAGCCTTCTGCATACCCAAACGGGCTCAGAAAATGCCGCCAAGCACTTTCTGCAAGACAGATCTGATTTGTGTACGCGAATCCAGCATCAGAAATTTCGTTGCGATATGGGGAGAGGGGACTTTTCCTCTCAATAGCCAGGTGCAGATCCCCGTAAATGCCGTTTCGCGGGTACATCCGCTGCCGAAAATACCACGCGGGTTCCTATAAATTGCAAACTTATCGTACTAGTAGTAATTGCATTACAAATTAGCTCAGCATTACAAGTTGAATTTGTAATGCTGGTTTACATTGAGAAGGAGATTTGTCATGCGTAATTGCGATTAGTACGAGTACGATACTAACTTTTGCACGGGATAGCTCCATAGCGCCAACGTTTTGCGGGCAGCAGATCCGGTTGGCGGTCAGCCAGTCTACTTTCCACCGGAGCTTCACCGTTTCGTTGATGCAGATCTGAATCACGTAGGGGGTGGTTGTGGTGGTTGTTGTGGTGGTGGTGGTGGACATCTTGCGGCACAAGATGTAGTTCGCCTTGGGCTTGCCCCCGCCAATAAATTTGTCGGTGTACAGCACGCACTTGTTTCCGTTGGTTTCCAGGGCGACGCAACTGGGGTAAATCCAGCAGTATGCATTGCAAATATGTCTGGGTCTGCAAAGTTGGAACCTGTAATGCTGGTTTTGCATTCCTGCGGAACCTGTGTTGCACGACCAACAAAAGTCGCAGCCTCTCCCGTCGTACAAAAACGCAGTTTCTCATGCGGGGCACGTATGAGAAAGCGTTCTGCAAACTTGTCATGCTTTCCCGCATAGGGAAGTGTTTTCATCATGCACGTTTTAGCATCACAAATTTCCAGACCCAGACATATTTGCATTTGATAAGCACATAGCGCCACACATTTCGATGTCGTCCACGTTTTTCGGCTGGACCACCAGGTGCTCGTGCGGCGTGTTGTACCGGGTGGGCGGGTTGGCGTAGATGTGCAATCCGGTACTGTCTATCAAATGCAAATATGTCTGGGTCTGGAAGATTGCAACTGGACTCTAAAAAAATTTGTATTGCATGACCAGCAAGAGGGGTACAGTTTGTGCCACACGGACAGGGGGGCATTTCTCATGCGGAAGGTGCATCAGGAAGCCCTCTAAAAGTCTGCGATGCTCGGTCATGCATCACAGGCATCATGGGTCATGGGAAATATGCATGACAAGTCTCGCATTCTCCCAGACCCAGACATTTTTGCATTTGATACTGTCCGCGCCGGGGCGGGGTGTTGGGCGGTACCCCGTGGGGCAATCGCTTGGGTCCGGACCTGGTGGGGGTGCAGGTGAGAGAACTATAGTACTTCAGTTTCAGTATTTGCTGGTCCTTTCTCGTGCAAATAATTGAAATTCGATAGTAATATCAGGAGGCATGGTTATATACGATCACAATTATCAAGATCCAGTGTAGATAAGCACTTTCTTAAGTACTTACTATATACCCTTCGGCATGTAGAGGGCGATGCTGTCGTTCGCACCCACCGGCCCGTCCGGCGCTCCGCGCGCGTGGAAGGCATTGCAGGAGGAATCCCCGGCCCAGTCGTCCGTCTATGCATTGCAAAGATGGCTGGGTCTGGATGGATGCAAGGTTTGTCATGCTTGTCTGGCATGACTGAAGAATTTGTGATGCGTGTCCAAGAACAGATCCTTTTGCTTATCATGCAAAACGCAGTTTCTCATGCGGAATTCGCAGCACTAAACAGCGCAAATATTTCTCATGCGTGGCTGTGCATTACAGAGAATTCACTCCTCGCAACTCAGCATTGCGAGTTTCCAGACCCAGACATATTTGCATTTGATACCGCCGTCGCATATTCGATGTTGTTCGTGCACGAGCAGTAGTCTCCGAACCCGGAGAACGGATTGCTGTGATTGTTTTTTACCCCGAACCAGAAGAACGGTTCCAGCTGGTTGGTGCCCGCCAAGGAGAGGCCGAAGCTGGAAACAAGGAACTCCTTTCTCTTCGTAGGATCCGACAAATCCGCGTCTAAAATGTTGTTTCCGTTATACACCAGTTCGTCGCCCAGCGGGTTCCCGGGAGCCGGGTGGTTTTCGTACACTCCGGGGGTTTGCCCGTGGCAGTACTTGTGACAGGCGTGAAGCTCGTCGTTTTCCATCTGCAGTTTCCCGGCGCCCGAGGGATCGTCTTTGGCGGAGCAGGTGGTGCCGTACCCCAACCACCGGGAGAAGCGAATGGCCTTGATTTTGTCGTCCAGACTCGTGTCCTTAATCTGCATCCGTATGCGTTGAAAACATGTCTGGGTATCAAAGTCCCACGTTTGTCATACGCATTTTGGTTTTGCTTGGCCCATGATGTCTCTGACGTATGCCCTAGCATCACAGATTTTTACAGGGCTTCGTTCTTGATGCGCATATATCCCGCATGAGAAATGCCCTCTCCGCGTAGCACGAACTGAAACCCTCTTGCTGGTCACAATACAGATTTTTTACAAAATCCAAAGGCAGCATCACAAGTTCGCATTCTTGTCGAACCAGACATATTTGCCCTTCATAATCCGGTCCTCAAGCCGAAATTGGTCGTACCAACAGCCCACGTAGATGTACTCTTTGTTGTCAACGGTGACCACCGTTTTGTTGAAGTGGGTAGGGTCGATTGTCGTCGTCGTGGTTGTCGAGGCTTCGATCTCGCAGTATCAACTGCAAGTACAAATCCGGATCTGGAACAAGACAAATGCCGACTTTTGTAAGTATATGCATCTTTCGGATCACCCGAATGGTGTCTGATGCACGCAAAAGCTTTACAGTTTTTGCGGACGCCTCTTGGTCTCTCTTGAACGTGATGCCTGCCTCGCGTGAGATGAAACTGCCGCCTTGCGTAGCTAGCAGGAAGTGGGCACCAACTTTTGGCGCTCACGCAACACAAATCTTTGTGTGTTCCAGAATTTGCATCACAAGTTTTCGTCCTTCCAGACCCAGTCATATAATTTGCCATTCATATACAGCCCACCATCTTGATCTCGTCCCCGGGAAACTCGCAGTAGAACTCTATCGCAAGAAAAAACTGTTTCACTGTGAACTTGTGATGCATGGAATGGAACACAGAACGATTTGTCTTGCTACACCCCCAACGCATTGGATTTTTAAGCGTGTTTTCCCTTGGGAAGCGCGCATGGCAAGTTTTCTGTGTCATGTGTAGCAAACTTGTGATGCGGATCTTGCAAAACCATCACAGTGAAACAGTTTTTTCGTTGGATAAACTCCGGGTCATGTGTAACGTGCTCAGCTGTTACAATCTCAAACGTTACGATAGTAATGGAAATTTGTGCTGCAAAAAGTGCATCATCTACCGAGTGCACTCTCACAGGATTGCGCATGACAAGTTCCGGAGTCCCAATCCGCGCTAGAATCTGGCAAATTTGTATTGCAGAAAGTGGAACGCTGTGCGAGTCTGTCATGCTCAACATCTTCATGCAACACGACACAACCCAGATTCTATCCATTGCAACGTTTGAGACTGTAATGCTTGTTGAGCAGGTCATATCATGCCCGACCCAATTCGACTCGTTGCAGGTTGCCTTGTGCAAGTCCGTCCCCACAATGGTGCCGTTCACGGACCCGTTCGGGTGCCCAACGTACACGTGAATCGCGTCGCTCTCGTTCATGGGGGGCAGCTATGCATAGCAAAAATGTCTGGAAACTTGTGATGCAAGGACGGGAATGGTGAGCCTGAGCACATCACTGTAATTGAAATTATGCGCTGCCAAGTATGACAAGTTTTTCCGTGGTTCATCTGAAGAGTTGTGTACTCGGCATGTTGAGATGAAACTGCGTTTTTACGTGAGAGGCAAGAGGAGCTCTTTGATGATGCGGCCACGCAGCACAGAGTTCAGAGTCATCCCAGGAGACCCAGAAATTTTTTCAATGCATAGCAGCATCGACGTCAGCTCTGCCTCCCAGTCAATCTGCTCGTAGTACGCGATCCTGATTTTAGTTTAGTTATGGTTCAATAGTTTTTCGTGTTCCATCCGCTTGTTTTTCTTCTTGATGACATAATTCATGCAGAGATCAGCTACTCGTGGGAGTTGTAGCGAGAGTATATCGTACGTGTTTTCAACAAAGATCTTCGACGAGTATTCTTTATCGATGATTCTTGAACTTGATTTGTTCACAGCTCTACTGATAAGAAGTCTTAAACGACTGGCTCTACTTCTGGTTCTGAATCTGATTAGATGTAAATTATACTTCTCCGAAACATTGGAGTCGTTTGCCGGTGCCTTGCAGCCCTCCTGGCAACAGTAGGTGGCGCACTTGGCCGCCGGAAATTGTCCTGTGTAAAAACGTCCCCACCCCAGAGTTGTCATGCAAATCTGCATGCTGAAAATGTTTCTCACGCGGAGCCCCATGAGAAGCATTTTCTAATGCGGTTTGTAAATCTGTAATGCGCCAATGAGCATGAGCTACTAGATCTCTAATGCTGCTCAGCTAACTCAAACAGCACTACACTACGCGTCCAAATTTGTCATTCGAAACAGCCAAAGCTTATGGATTTGTCTAGCGGATTTCCCATCTTGACTCTGGTGTGGGGACATTTTTACTCAGGATAGAAAGGTGCCATTGCTCAAAGCCTGTTCCTGCGTCAGCCCGGCGCAGAAATGGTGCGAGTACTGCGGCACGAAGTAGGCCTCGATGCCCATGTAATCCCGCACGGCCGGGCAGTCCACGCCGGCGCACGTGGGAAAGCAGGACACCTCGTGCGCCCGGGGGTAGTCCTTGCGAATTTCGTATCCCACATCGCACTCGTAGTACTCGTCGCACAACTGGCTGTTGTTGTGGGGACAGGGGTCGTACTCGTTCAGAACTCCGTTGCTGCAGGTACAAATGTTGTCGGGGTGGTAGGTTGGCTGCGTCGCATTTGTACCAGTCGCGTTCGCGGTCGCGTTAGTTTTGGTCGACGAGGTGGTGTATCCACTGCAAAGAAATCTCGAGCTGGGTCTGGAATGATGCGCATTTCAAATCGAAGAAAAATGTGTTTTATGCAGAAAGAACAAAAGTTGTTTATTTTTGGTCATGGTGAGAGCGGATTTTATTTTCTCATGCAGAGTATAAACATTGCGAAGCTCCCGAAGAACCTGTGATGCTGGTCCTCCCTGCATGCCAGACACATCTCTTGGTCGTCATGCAAAGGCAAAAGAACCTGCATTTGCAAACATCTGCGTTCATCATCATCCAGACCCAGCCATATTGGCAGTGCATATGGTTGTGGTGGAAGTGGTCGTCGTGGTTGTGGTAATGTCCGTTTCCTGAGGCAGGATTTTCGTGGCATTGTTCGCCTGCTTGAACTCAGTGTACTCCGTCCACATGTTATCCTGAGAAAAAAGTGTTACAGTCACGCACCCTGATGCAAGACAAGCAAGACAGACTACAACCTCTGTCATGCAGGAAATGCTTGCCACCGTCATTTCATCAATGTTTCCCCTTATAGTCTATGCATATACAAGTTTTCTTTGCCATGCAAAGCAAATTTGTCATGGTGAAATTCCAAGAAAAAGAAATGGAAATGCGTAACTGTAACACTTTTTTCCTAAGATACATGTTCTCGAGCTCTATCTGCGACAGCGCACTGTGCCCGTCGACGGATTCTGGCACGAAGTTGCCGTTGCTGTCCTTCACGTGCCCGTTGTTGTAGGTAACGTGCCAGTATGGAATGCAAATATGGCTGGGTCGTCTGGAAACCTGTGATGCTAAAAAGCGTGGACGATGGAAACACAAACATAACACTTCCGAATGCAGCCCAGCATGACCAGTTTCCAGAACGCTTCTCCATAGGCAGTACGCATGAGAAACTGCGTTTTTGCACGACACAAGAGGCTGCGCTTTATTTTGTTGGTATATGCAATACAGATTCTCCAGGATTGGATTGTATTTGTAACGCTAGCATTACAAGTTTCAACTTTCCAGACCCAGATGACATGTTTGCAATGCATAGCCAGTCCGGAACGACGCCCTCCCACGCCTGGTCCTTGGCAACCGTCTCCCACTCGTATTTGGTCAAAGCTTCCAGGTTACAGTCCTTGTCGGAGTTGGTATCGAATGCAAAAATGTCTGGGTCTGGAAGATTGCGAGATTTGTCATGCTTATCTGGCATGACAAAAAGGTTTGCGATGCGTGTCCAAGAAGAGACCCTTCTGCCTGTCATGCAAAAACGCAGTTTGTCATGGGAAAAACGCAACACAACAAAGCGCAGATATTTCTCATGCTTGCCTGTGCATTACAGAGCATTCACTAGTCCCAACGCAGCATTACAAGTTTCCACACCCAGACATTTTTGCAGTTGATAGTTGGGGCCGGCCAGCCAAATGTTGCTCGTCTCCATGTACAGCCAGGCGGGGTATCAACTGCAAAAATGTCTGGGTCTGGAAGAGTCGCGGCTTGTCATGCACATTTTGCATGAGCCGTGAGGTCTGTGATGCTAGTCCTAGCATCACAGATTTTTTGAGAGCTTCTTGATGCTAATTACGCATGAGAAATGCCCTTTCCTTCGGCGTGCCAAGAACTGACTCCTCTTACGCTACTGCTCAGGCAAGAACATAGATATTTCTAGAATCCTCGGACAGCATTACAAGTTCCACTCTTGTTCCAGACCCAGACATATTTGCAATCCATACGGGGTCCACGAAGTCCGTTTGCGCGGCGTTGATGCGGTGCCGCACGTTCATCAGGTGAAACACCAGATCTGCGTCGTCGCACTCTATCAAAAGCAAAAGCACCCCCTCCCGATATCAAAACGAAGTTAGTGCTGCTGGATTTGCGTGACAAACCGCCTCTCTAATGGATGCGCCGCATACCTCGGCGCCTGCCTTCTTGCAACACATAAACTGATTTTCGACCACAAATCTCGTGCATCACAAATTTTCCTTTTCGGTATGGGGAGGGTGGCGGGGGATTTTTCCTCACAGTACACTCCGTGCCCTGGCACCCCTTGTCCACGAAGTACTGGCTCCAGTCGCTAGCTTTGATGTAGTACCTGGGATCGCTCGCGGGTCCAGTCGTCGTAAATTCGGTGAGGCGGAGGTAGTTTTTGCCAATAAGGTCGAAAAGCTGGTCGAAATCCGGTTTGTCGGGCACTTTTGTCGGCAGAAAGACGGTCCGCTGGGGATCGCCGGGCTCGCAATCATCCGTCGCTCCTTTTCTCTCTTCTTCTTCTTCTTGTTTATTTCGCGACGTCTTCAACCTCTTCGTCGCGTGCGCTTTCTCAAAGCGAGAGGTCGACTCTGACATTCCCTTGGTCAGCTGGTTGATTTCAAAGCGATAGTTTTCTTCATCACCTCCGCCGTTCTTTACGCCGGGAAGAGTAGTTGTGCTGGAGGGGGGTCGTGCTCCTGGGGCGTCCTCTTCAAGATGAACCTCTTCTTGCGCCGGCGTTTTTCCCCCTCGTCCCTGCTCTACTTGGTCTTCAAGAGTTGTGTACTCGTCGTCACCTCCTTCAGAAGATGCGGAGAAATCCGATCCCTGCTGGTCCTGCGCGCTGAGTTCTTGCTCGAAGAGGTCCTCGTCGGAATAGGAGGCCACCGCCGCTTCGAAGTCCTTGTCTTGATCGTACTGCGCCTGCTCCGCGTCACTGGTCATTTTCCGCTGGAATTCCTTGCGTTGGAGGTTCTGAAACCCATTCGAAAGGCTGTCGTCCAAGCTCGCAAGTGTCGCACTTTTCGTACTTTTCGTCCGCTGCGACGTCCTCTGGCCCATTTTTGCTGCTTGCCGTCCTTGCTGGCCGGTCTGTAGTTCCTGCTGCTGTTCGACCCGCATCATCGAAGCGGGGGCTGCTGCGGCAATTCCCCCGCTGGCGAGGGTTTTTGGTAATACTTCGACAGGCGAAGACCCCTGCTGCTTCATCCCCAGCTCCAACCCGACGGGCGCTTTCTTTACCCCCTTTGTCGTGGTCTCCCCGGGGGCGCTGGCTGGAGGGTGTGGTGCAGCAGGCAGCGACCGGTAATCTGAGGTGGTTACCTCTGTTCCTGCAGTCTTTGTAGTTGTCCTCGTCGCGTCCTGCAGAGTACGAATGTGTTTCTGATCTTCGCCTTGCCAGTCGTCATCCTGGAGGGCGGCCTTGTCGATAGCTGTTCCTGTACTCCTTGTAATTTCGGAGCCTGGTGCAGCTGTTGGCTCTACTTCGTTTTTTCCTAGTTGCTCCTCCACCGTGTGTAGAAGCTGCTGACCACTTCCAGCGTGAAGAAGACCACCCTCCTCGTCTTCCTCTTCCTCTCCGCCACCGTCTACATAGTCATAGTCGGTGTCTTCGTCTTGTTCAAGTGCTGGCGCGTCATTTTGTTGAAAAAACACGTCGTCGTCGTCGTCGTCGTCGTCGGCCTCCGTCCAAGAAGCGTAGTTTTCGCCCTATCAAATGCAAATATGTGGTCTGGGACGGGATGAAACTTGTGACGCTAAAGTGTGGAAGGATGATGGAAACACGACTTCCGCATGCCGCCAAGCATGACAACCTTCCGGAACGCTCTCACGCGCATGATCCCGCATGAGATGAAACTGCGGTTTTGTTTGTACAAAAGAGGCTGCGACTTTTGTTGCTCATGCAATACAGATGGAGATTTATTATGCGAGGCCACCAGCATCACAAGTTTGCACTTTGCAGACCCAGACATATTTGCACTGAATACGGGTCCCACGTCGTTATCAATCTTGTTTGCCGACCGCAGGAGCTCGGCGAACTTCTTCAGATTACTTAACTCCGCGGTACTCTTGCTTGTTCCTTTCAGTATCCAGGAAAAAATAAAGTGTGTAAGTGTAACTTTCTTTGGGGAACAGCATCACAAATTTGCTCTACATGACAGAGAAAACCTGTCATGCGTCACTTGTAAGGGAAAACACACATGAAAATAGGACTTCGTGGCTGTCTGGCATGACTGGTGCAACTCTGTTGCATGTTCTGCAACACAAATTTACACTTGCACAGTTTTTTTTGTTGCGATATTCAGGACCCGTTCTCTGGTAGTTGTGGTGCTCCTCCTGCTCTCTGTTCCTTGAGAAGTACTCGTCAACGATCCTTCGAATTTTTCTTCCGATCCCGTTTTCATCATCGCCGACGGTGCTTCAATCTTGTTTGCCGACCGCAGGAGCTCGGCGAACTTCTATCAAATGTAAAAATGTCTGGGTCTGGAAGAGTCATGCTGTTTTTGCATGACAAAGAAGGTCTGGCATGGAAGCTCTAGCATTACAGGTTTCGAGAAGCTTCCGCAATGCCGAATCCGCATGACAAATCCCACACTTTGGTGACAGAAAGTGGGCAACTTTTGCTGCTTATGCATGAGAGATTTTTCTGTGTTCTGAAATGCGCATCACAAGTTTGTATTCTTCCAGACCCAGACATTTTTGCAGTTGATAACTTCTTCAGATTGCTTAACTCCGCGGTACTCTTGCTTGTTCCTTTCAGGACCCGTTCTCCAGTTGTAGTTGTGGTGCTCCTCCTGCTATCCTGAGAAAAAAGTATTACAGTTATACACTCTGATGGAAGAGAAGCAAGACAGACCACCTCTGTCGTGCAGAAAATACTTGCCAGCCTCATTTCCTTCGTGTTTTCGCTTATAGTCTGCGCATCACAGGTTTTCTTTGCCATGTCGAGCAACTTTGTGATGCAGAAACTCCAACAAATGTGTACCTGTAACACTTTTTTCCTGTAATACCTGCTCTCTGTTCCTTGAGAAGTACTCGTCAACGATATCCTGAGTAAAAACGTACCCACACCATAGTTGTCATGCAACTCTGCATGCTTAAAATGCTTCTCATGCGGAGCCCCATGAGAAGCATTTTCTAATGCGGTTTTGAAATTTGTCATGCTCCAATCAGCATGAGAAACTAGATCTGTAATGCTGCTAAACTAGCTCAAACAGCACTACACGAGGCGTCCAAATCTGTCATGCCAAACAACCAAAGCTGTGTGATTTGTCTAGCAGGTTTCCCATGTTGACTCTGGTGTGGGTACGTTTTTACTCAGGATAAACGATCCTTCGAAGTTTTCTTCCGATCCCGTTTTCATCATAGCCGACGGTGCTTCGAATTTTTCTTTATTACAATGAAAAGTGCCCCCATCCCTGAACTTGGCAGCATTTGTATTGCTGCAAACCTTTCCAATAGAAAAATCCCCCGTCTTGCATATTATCAACATCACAAATATGCCGTGCCGCATGGCGCAAGTTTGTGTTGCGCAAGAGCCCAGCTGCAGCCGGGCCTGTCATGTTGGAAGGCTAAGGGCTGGGCGTCCCCTCGTAAATTAATTCGACAAACAGTAGCCTGAGGTCCTGAGGTCCTGAGGTGGGTGACGCGCCCGAGAGCACAGACACCGGCGGAATGGTGACGACCGAAAGGGTCAGGAGACTCACCTTTTTCGCGAGAAAGAAGACTGCTGAACCCGCGCGCGAAACTTCGGCGGGCCGACGCAAGTGCCGGTCTTGTAATGTAGAGCAATCAAAAATCTAACGTCCCTATGTTCGCTGTTGTTAGACGAGGAGACAGTCCGAACCACGGAAAGGAACAACAGCTCCAGGGCGGGCCTGGGCGGAAAATGCATGACAAACACCGGAAGTCGAAACAGATCATGACAAGGAAAGGCCAGAATGATACTAAAGGTGGCACCAGGGTGGAAAAATAAAAGCTGGCCTTGTTCGTCTCCTTGGTCTCGTTCCCAAAGCCCAAGTAAATCTAAAGTAATTTTTTAAAAAATAATAAAGCTTTACTCTACGCGCGCTTAAGTTACTTTGTCTAGACCGGTCGATCCACTTCTGCCTGTACCGTCTCTATTCCGTTTTCTCTACCACCCTAAGAAGTGGCGAGCTTATGCATAGCATGCTTAGGACATGCAGCCGGGCCTGTCATGTAAAAGATACCTTACTCGCCTAGATTCTGCATCAGAAAGACTCGTAGTCCTTTCATGCAAGACAAAAAGTTTTCATTTGGAAACTTTGCATCAGAAACTTTTGCAAATTTTCGGGTGGGGGCATTTTTCATTGCAATATTCTTCCGATCCCGTTTTCATCATCAGCGCCGACTGGCCAGTCTCCGCTAAGCCAACGGCCCCTGTTTGATGTCGTGTTCTCGGAGGTTTCGTGTTTTTTTCATGTAGGAGCAGTGCCTCGCTCTTGCTGGCTCTTTTCGTGCCGCTTTTCTTGTTCTCCATTGAGGGTGGAGCAGGAGCCCTACCACGGTGGTGTCCACGCCCTTTGTGCCAGATGTCATCAACAACCTTAATATCATTGCGGCCTTTATTGCCTTCCTTGTTTCCCGTCGTAGCTGCCTTGTCGCGAGCAGATGATGATGCTGATGATAATGATGGTGAGTGGACGCGCTGGACCACTCCTACTACTTCGGGGTTATTTTCATTTTCGTCTACAACCTCCCGTAGTTGTCCATGATCTAGATCTTCGTGCTTTGGATCTTCATGCTTTACTTCCTTTATTTTCTGGTATTTGAGTCTGTGGTGGTGATGGCGGTGCAGGTTTTTCGCCGAAACGTCTCTGTGCTTTTTCGCGGCCTTTATCAAATGTAAAAATGTCTGGGTCTGGAAACTTGTACTGCTGCGTTGGGAATAGTGAATGCTCTGTAATGCACAGCCAAGCATGAGCAATATCTGCGCCTCTTTGTGTTGCGTTTTTCGCATGACAAACTGCGGTGTTGCATGACAGGCAAAAGGGTCTCTTCTTGGACACGCATCACAAACCTTTTAGTCATGCCAGGCACGCATGACAAGTCTCGCAATCTTCCAGACCCAGACATTTTTGCATTTGATAGCCTTAACGATCAGATCATTCTCTTTTGCTCGGATCACCCCCTCGGCGGTCGCATCTACCCTCGTTATGCACGGTGCAAATATCATCTTCCACCCTGGATCATGTCTGGAAAAGCGCAAAAAACTGCTCATGCGTCCTTTCGTGGGTCCTCATACAACAAACATCTGTCTTGCATGATTGCCACAAGTTGCCCACTTGTGACCAACTTGGTACGGGGTTTTTATTTCTCATGCAGGATAGGAGTCAGTAGTAGTAGTAGTATTACCCAACAAAACGGGGTAAAACGATAATTAGATGCGCTATCTATTTATTATCGTTAGTATTGCTGCCGGAACCGCTATCACTGCTTTCAGCTATTTCAGGCTCGTCTTTTTTCTTCTTCTTCCCCCGCGCAGGCTTATTCTTGCATTTGTCTTGGTGTTTCCGCATTCTCCCAACGTACCAGTTTAGTGCTCTGTTCTGGCTGTGCCACTCTTGTTCGTTGTGCTCGTATCGCAACTTATAGGTCCTACAGTGCCTGCACCTCAAGTACTGCTCTCCTGCTCTGTTCGTGAACATGTTAGCGGTAGGAACGCAAATCTTCCACGCCTTGCCTTGGCCTCCATATGTGTATCGGCCTGCTGCGCTACACCAGTAGTGATACTCCGATCTGCACACGCTAGGAGGATTCTGTGACCCTGGTGGCCTCTTGTCCAGCGAGGAGTTGTAGCCTACTTTTATGAAGTTCCCAGTCCTATGATCCTCCGCATGCCTCTCCATAGCGCCTGCCGACTCCACGAACGTGAGGCCGCACGGTATGCAGCGAGTTTTCTTGTGTGCGTGCTTTCCGCCACCTTTTTTCAGTTCGCGAATTTCTGGATTCCGCTGAAGTACTTCCATCTTGACTTTCTGGTCAAGCAGGGCATCCTGCTGGTGGTTTACGTCCAAAATTCGCTGTAGCATGGGGTCATCGGCAACAGGGTAGCAGGCGGGATGCTGTTGCTCCAGGTGCTCGAGAAGGGCCTCAGGCATGCCATCAGCAGGTTGCTGCTCAGCCAGTTCATCAAAATACTCTCTGCGGTCAACTTCAGACTGCGGGTCAAGTCCCAAAAAACACATGATGTTACGCGAACACCAAAAGCACTCCTCACCGCGAAAAACTTGCTCTGGGGCGCCGTCTGGAATCTTCATCTGTTGTATCATTTCCTCTACGGTGTCGCCATCCCATCCCAACTCTTCGCCGTCTTTACGAATTTTTTCCTTCATTTTCCCGAGCGACGACGAGGAAAAATACTTCGCTGCCAGCTCTTTCTCCACCTCAGCCCTTAGTAGTCGGTCTCCGTCCGCCCAGTCATCTGCTGTATGCCGGATGAAGGCCCATCGAGTCAGACAAAAATAAACCTTTTTGTTGACATTGTAGCACGACAGCTCGTTTCCTTGAGGTGGGGGTCTCCGCGTGTCCGCCTCCGCCATGGACTCCCACAGCAACTGAAGAGCCTCCGGACCCAACTTGCACTCTTTTCGAAGAAACTCCAACGCGTCCCCAAAAAAGTCAGGAATTTTCTTGTCTCGCGCCTCCACCTCCTTCAGGTCCTGCGCAGACCTGTAGAAGTCACGCAGCCTAAGTCTCGGCACACCCAAGGCGTCTGCTTCCGCTGGTGGGCTGGCTCGCGGATAAAACTTGCCGATCAGGGCTGCTCGTACCAAGTCATTTTTTGGCTTCCGCATGGTGTGCGCAATTGTCTTCAGTTGCAGGTATCTGACTTGCGCACGGATGGGAGGAATCTTCATTCTGCGCCGCAGGCTGCGCGAACTGGCCTGGTTTTGGTCGTGTACCCATAACGGTATCCCCACGAACATCTTCATCATTTTTGTTTCAGCCGATTGTAACAAATTGAAGTGGTCCTCCCCGACAAAGCGAACCTGCAGGCCGTAGATCATGATGGAGCGGACCATAATGATCAATAGTTCCCCCTTGCGCTGCTGTGTCAATCCGGTTAGCCCCGACACTGTCGACTTCAGTGCATGAAATGCCGACCAAGCCTTTGAAATTTTTATACGGATATCTGCGTCGTCATTTGTGTTCACGCCAAGGTTCCGGGTTTGAATTTTTGTGATGTCATCCATGATTCTCTTGCTCAGGTTCTCACTCATCCCGCACTGGTTCAGGACTTTGCTCATCAGCTCTGTCAGTTCGTTGTTAAGTGGCTCAAGCTTGTTCTTGATCCGCTCGCTATTGTCCTCCACCTGCTTCAACACCTCAGCCGCCTGCCCCTGCGAAAATAGGGTGGTATCATCTGCGAAGAGAAGGCGGCCCAACAAGAATTTTATTAGCGTGTCGTCTTGGTTTTCGCCTAGCAGGACTCTCCTTCCCGCTTTCACCAGTTCGTGTATTTTTTCCTTCCGCTCCCAGTGCCACGCCTTGTCCATTGCGCTCAAACTCACACCCCAGGCTTCTTCAGGTAACTTCCGCCGCTCCAACTGAAAAATCCGCATTACAGCCGAATAGCAAACCAAGAACAAAAGGGGGGAGGATACGCAGCCTTCTTTTGTTCCGTTTTTCACGGTAAGCGGTATGCTATCTTCAAACATATGCACCGCGGATCGGTGTGAGCACCTTATCACCTGCCAACACCTTGAGTTGCCCAGCCCGAGTTCACGAAAAACGCCTTCCATCAGTCTCTCGTCGAGGCTTGGGAACGCTTTGCGTAAGTCAATGAGCGTCGCCACTAATCGGTAAAAGGTTGGAGACTTCGAAAAATGTCGGAAGTCTTCGCGCATCCGATTAAACACCAAAAGGCTGTCAAGCGTTCCTACTCCCGCTCGGAAGCCAAATGGTTCGGCGTTGAAGTATCCGACGGCCTCGAGCGCCTTGTAGAGGCGGTCCGAATAAATTTTCGTAACCAGTTTCATGAGTAACGGACTGATTACCAAAAATCTATAGTTATCGGCCGAGCTTCTTGCACCCTTGCCCTTGTACAACGGAATGTCGCGACACAAATGAAATTTTTCTCCCAGTTCCGAGAGAGGCCTCGTGTCCATCTCGGTGTTGATGATTCCCGCGATTACTTCCACCGAATCCTCACTGAAATGCTTCAGGATTTGTGGGGTGAGGCCGTGCACGTCTTTGGCCCTGCCTCCTTGCGCCATGTGACGAATCGCCTGCGCAAGCTCTTCTGCCTCCACCGGTGCGTCCAGCTCCGCTACTGTTTCCGGCAAAAGCTTCTTTACTACTTCTTTCAGCCTGCTGTCGATCGGAAGCGCTTGATCCTTGTGGAGAGGCGAATTCCCTACCATGTTGTACTGGGCGCGGGACTGGGCAGGGGTTACGTAGCACGCGCGGTCGCTCTTTCTGACCTTTTCTTCTCTAAAGAGCTGCCACATGTGCGCCTTTGCCTTGGCCGATTCCAGCAGCTGTTCAGACGTTGCGCGCGGAATTGTTTTTCTTGTTTTCCCGGTCAACATAGGCGCAATCTCAATTAAATAGTCCTGAAGCTGCTCCAAGTTACTTATTTTCCCCGCACTGTGGCGTCGCTGCAGGCACTTGTTGATGTGGTCCCTTGTTTCGCCCGAAATCTCATTTAGAATGCCCTTCGTTAGCGCCTTCCTCGCAACTCCTTCCTCACGCAGCCTCTGGAAGGATTTCACGTCGCAGGCAATCTCGATGGCGGAATGGTCAAAAGATACTTGCGCATATGGGGCTGTGCCGTCACGGTTGCGGCCCTGTAGTGAAAATCTCCGATACGAGCGAACTTTTTCCGCCTGTTTCCCCAGTGTCAGCCAGTGGCCAATTTCCGTTTTCCCCCGGTAGGTGTGGTAGTTGTCCGCCTTGAACCACGACCCGGCCAGCACCAAACTCATGGACATCAGGTTTGCTGCGACCTGGTGCCCTCGCTGCGAGGTAACCTTGCTCCCAAATCCACCACTGATGCAGGAGCTGGCATACTCGTCGGAGCCTGCACCAATGTGAGCATTGAGATCGCCCCCCATCAAGAACATTTTCCACTTCTCTTTTTTCATTTTTTTGAAATCCTTTACCGTGTTCGAAAGGCTGCGGTCAAATGCTTGCACTGCATGGGGCTTCGATCCCGATGTGGGCGCGTAGTATGCAGCAAGGACGATCTCCGGCAAAGCAACTGCTACCACCCGCTCTCTGGCACGTACCAAATTTTCCGGAATGGGGCCCGATCCAAGTTGTTTTCTCAGTGTCAGCCCTGTTATGAGAATCCCGGCGCCGTTTATCCACAACAAGTCGAAGTCTTTTTTCCGAAGCCACCGGTACTTCTCGCTGCTGCTACCATCATTCGCGTGTCCGCTTACAACGAGATCTGCATCATCCTCCGGAATGTCATCGTCGATCATCTCCTCCACTCGCTCATCCTGGTGCAAATCAGCGTCACCATAGTCAGGCACATCACCCCCATGGGCATCATCAACCCCGTCACCAGCATCGTCGGCATCGAGCGCGCCTCGCTTGTTGAGTTCAGCAACAACAACTTCCCCCCGGGTTCTGGAAGAATGAAGAGACTTTTTACGGTACTCAAATTCACTTAACATGATTGCATCCCAACGCCGAATGCTTGCCACCCGCAGCACATGCCTAAGCCTGTCACTGTCTCTGCCTGCGCCACACATGTTCACGCATGAGAGCTTCACTCTTCCATGCCCTACAAGCGGTGGTGGGTCGTGCACACTTTCGGCGAGTTCAGGAAACGGCTCCCAGTCGACTTCGGATTTTTGCTGTTCTTCCCACTCCTTGAGAAGTCTTTTTCTGTCCTGTTCGATCTTCTTCATTGCGTTTTTGTGTCCTTGAATTTGCGGGTCGCCATTCCCTCCCTCATCACCACCAGCTGCTACTGTTACACGCGGAGGCCGCTTTGCAGAAGCTTCGTTCCCAGCTGCTTCCTTTAAAAGCCGCATACTGCTCTGCTCCTGTCCAACAACAGTGTCATCATCTTGCCCTGATGTTTCAGGTTCAGATGGCGTGGCTGTCGTACTTCCCAATGAGCGGTCATCCTGCTCGGAGCCGTCGTCTACACAAGCGCGGCGGTGATGCCAGCTGGTCTGGCCGCTACACGACGGAGCTACAGGATCAATATGGTGAACTCCCGAGCCAATCACCTCCCGATTACCATCGTGGAAGGCCTGCTGATAGTCTCCTAACCACTGCGGAACGCGACTACTCGATCCCGCCGGTGCCGGATGTTCACGATCGTTTCCTTGCCGGTCGCCTGGTTCTGTCGAGCTCGTCCGCGAACAGCCTACCAGGCGCGAACTCAAAATGTGCCCCGGTTTGCCGTTGGGTAAATCATCCGCTTTGCCGGTTTTCGGTCGTGTTTCTTCACTGTCCCGACCGCCCCAGGTCGGTGTAAGTAGAGCACTTTCGTGATTTTCTTCTGATTGGCAAGACCAATACTTATCGCAAGTTGAAGTCGCTGAGCCAATGCGCGGGTGAGTCGAAACCGCTCCTCCAGGTGCAACAAGAGCTCTTGACGCGGAATTCGATATTGCTAGAACCGCCTCCGGCACTACTGAACTCTCACTGTCTCCCCATGGCGATGCGACATACTGTTCACCAGTTTGCACCGGTCGCGAGCTCGACCACTCCGTAGATCCACTTCCATTCGCAGTAACAGTGAAATCGGGCTGAGTATCTGGACAACAAACCCTTTCTGCGCAAACATCACAATGACTGGACTCAGGTCCTGTTTCACTTTCGTGGCGCATCCCAGAAAAACCGTCCACACCTTCCTCAGCTCCTGAGCCGAGTGGCAGCAATTCACTGTCGTCCTGATGCCGGTCCGACCGCTTCCTTTTCCCCCTTCTCCGATTAATCTCAGTAGCGGCTACCACGCTGGTGTCACGAACCTCTTTCTCGTTCTCAGGCGTAATTACTGCGTCGTACCCGCACCGCGCATATCTAGGGAGAAGCCAGTAAAATGGTAAACTTGGGCCCCCGCTCGTCCCGGAGGTGTCGGCTATGTTTTCGACTGGGCAACGAAGGTCATGAACAAGCTGCCCAAAGGAGGTAGAAGACGTCTTCTTGCAGTTCGAATCTCGCATGTCGATGCTGCTTCTCCTTTTCTGGTTATGCTCTGGCGAGGATTCTGCACATGCGGTTTCTCGTCCTGTAGCGTGAAGATTACTAGACTTTCCACCAAATTCCCGCAATAATCGCGAACCCCGGCTTACAAACCAACAAAAAATTCTTCTGATGCTACTGGAAGCCATCGCTTTTCTGCACCATCGAGGCATGAATTTATGATGAAGCAGAGAGGGAGATGAGGACTTCGTCGAAGCCGCTGCATGCTGGCGCTTCGGCGTAATATGGAGATGAGGAAGCCAGTGCGTTCGCAAAAACAGTTCTTCCTCCGAGGTTACTATCTTCATCCGAGCGTCGTCAGTTTCCGTAGGCTGCGGTAATAGGTTGATGTATTTGGTGGCACAGGTCCAGCGGCCCGCACGGCGGCTCGTCCTAATTTTCCTCCACTTCCGATGCCAGTGCGATTCTCCTTTTGCTGTGTGAAATACTTTAGCCTTCCTGACGAAATCCCGCATGTTCAAAATCTCGATGTCGTGTAGAATCTTGCGTGCAGGAATTCGAAATTTTTTGGTGTCGCGGCGGGGCTGCACAGCTGCAGCGGATGCATCGACTGAGGAGAAACTCAGAGCCTCTTCTTCAACGTCGACCATTTTTCTAGTCCCTGCAAGCGCTCCACTTAGTGCCTGCACAAAAGCCATGAGCAGTGCCACTACTGCTGCTATCGCAATTTCAGCTCCACCACTCCCGGCCTTGACCGACGACTGACGATTGCGATTAATGCGACAAGATGGCCCCTCAACGAGGTTGTTGCGCAACGACCGCACTGCACGACTCAACTTTCCCCAACGACAGAATTCATAACTATAGTTTGTAATCGGTGGACAATGCATATGCGTGGGGGAATCAAGCACAAAAACAAAATGAACATTGTTGCGGGATGCGCTCCGTCCTAGGTCAGGTCTGCATTCAAGTCCACCACTGCTACTATGATCAGGAGCACTGCTGGGATGGTTACTAGTGCTATTGCTACTTTCTATGTGCGTGCCGCGTGTGACGTTGGACACAGCACTTTCATCAGCATGGTGCAAGTGGTAATGTGGATTCTTCTCAGAACTGTTGCTGCGAGCAAGTGCCCGCTTCAGCTCATCTTCTTTTTGTTTTTTCGCATTGTGCTCAAACATTTTCGCACCAAATGCCGTTTTCATTTCTACCAAAAACGCAGAGGATTTTTTACCAATCATTGACCATGCTGTTTGTAGTTCAATTCTGCCTCCATCACCATCATCATACAACCCTTCGCCATCTTCCTCCTCTACTTTCTTGGTGCCGTCACTGCTTGCTTCGACAATTGCATTAGTTCTCATCTCCGGCTCGTTTCGTACCCGTTGTTCATGTACTGCATTATTTTCAATCCGATAGATCTCCGCGATAGGCCGGACTGCTGGCAAAGACGTGCTGACCACGATTGTATTTCTTCGCGATATCGCATGTCCAACTTGTAGTAGTTTGCTTCTCGAGTAATAGTTTTGATTCTGCTGAATTAAGGTAGGCGACGTGCTGTTTACTGCTTTACAGATTTTTTTCTCCTTTGTTCCTGTGCATCCTGAATTACCACCATCGACTTCCGATTGAGTTACTGCTGCGAGCACGCTTCGCTCTCGGACGGCTTCGGCTCGGACGCGGCGGAGGGACCTGTTTTTGTTCTTGTTATTGTGCGAGAATTTCCCATGCAAATGTCCACGCGATACTGAAGAATCTGTCATGCATGTTGGGGCAAAAAGAGTATTACCATTCGTGATTGCCATTTTGTCGGCTTTCCACTGCGGGGCGCCTTGCTTCGGATCATCGTCAACACAAACCCCACCTAGTGCACGCTTTAACTCCTCATCTTCATTCACATCACTGATGCGCGGCAGAGTAGCCCTCTGATTCTCCATCTCCTTCAACTCCTCCTCCGTGGCGAGCCCCTGCTTGAGTGCGAGGCGGTGCAAAATCAAGTTGCTGGGCTTCATCGCGTCGTTGGTCGACTGTTGTAAAAAAGAGCGATCTTCTTTGCGTTTTCCGTGGAAGTACTTGCAAGCGCTGAACAGCTGAGAGCTTTGCCGCTTTTCGGATTCAGCAACAGCATCACCAACCATCTTCTTCACCTTCTCCTCTGTCAACCCGGCATCATTGGTCATCTGGATCGGTTCTTTTTCTTCAGGCTCTTCAGGCATACGGCAGGACGGATGTTGCTTCACGTACCCAATGTCCCCGATGTTCATCAGAGTTTGAGCGCGAACGCGGAGCGTCGGCTTCCCCATGCGAGTGTGGCCCCACACAACTTGCCCAGCGTAGAAGGCCCGCGGTGTCAGTCCAACCGCATCATCGATTTCACGCGTAAGGCAGGTAGCCACATCCGACGCCTTTTCGTAGCAGCTCAGGTGCGTAGAAAACAAGTCCTCCGGCGGGCCCACTGTGAAGCGCGTAATTCCCAGTCCTCCCTGCTCCGTGTCTTCTTTGGTAGCAACGCACTTCAGGATGTGACACGACGGCGGCAAGACCACAATGCCCTCGTCATTGAATCCAATGACATCTTCAACAACCCGACAGGCCGTGATGGGGATGGGGGTGTCGCGCACAACTAATCCCTTGCCCCGGCCTTTCGCTTCTTCCTTGTTCCAGTCGAATTTGAAGGCCTTGGCTTTTACCAGCGCGTTGACGATTTCGTATAGTTCCGGTAGATTTCCCTTGCCCCTGATCAAATAATCATCAAAAGTCTGCACCGCGTTGACAACAGCGATGTGCTGGACGTCTCCCATCTCGTAGGCATCACTGATCTTTTTCGCGCATTTTTTGTCGGCAAGCTCGTGGTACTCGTTGATCGACTCCGGCGTGTCCAACCCGCCAAGCAACGCAAACCCCTTGTCCGCAGCGATTAAGAAGTTGTTGATGATTCCCACTGCGAACGCGATCCCAACATAGTCAAAGTGGATGGAAGTGACGGCCTTGATGATGTTCTGGATTGCTTCCCCATCAAAAACGTCAATCGCAATCTTGTCCATTTCCGCATCATGGATTTTGAATTTTTCGAACATGTCCATCTGGTCGCTTAGGCGGTACGGATGCTTTTTGGTGTCGGCCAGCACTGCCCCCGAGCAGTGCTCCTCATCCTCCTTCTCAATTACTTCTTTACTTGCTTCCACCGTTTCATCAAGCGTTTCAAATTCCATTTTTTCCTGCTTCTTCTTGTACGCCGCCACAGCAGCTGCTTCGCTCTCCTTGCAAAACGCGGATGTGATTTCTTGCAGCGAGTCACCGGAGGAAGAGGAAGAAGAACTCCCAGGCGCAGGGGTTACTTCCATAACCTTGTCATCGATGAGCCCGGCGAACATTTGGTGGAGATTGGCGCACACAACGTCATGACTGTGCTTCGCAGCAATGTGGTGGTTGAAAAGTTCTTGCACCTTCTGTTTTACTTCTGCTTTTTTCGTTTTTTCAACCTTGATGATCATGCTCTTGTTCTTGTCACCCGCGACCCACATGACGACAAAGTTACTGGCCTTGTCCGCCTTGTCCTTGTTGTCTTCAGGCGGGAAACGTCCGCTCCGCCTTGGTTTCTAAAAAGTCGCTAATTTTTCCGGCGGTTCGTTTTTTTCCGGTTCCCGATTCCGGGGAAGACGAGTGAACAAAGAAGACTCCCCAAAGAAGAAGAACAAAAGAGGCCCAAACGGAGAAGGACCAACCTGGTGGCCGGTAGAAACGAACCAAGACCCTTCCAGTGTTTGGAAGTGGATCTTCCCCACTCTGGTTGCCCAAAGACCCAAAATACACAATACCCCACCAGCGAAATCCCTCCTGACCACCGTCGCACCCCAGACATGTGGGAACACGATGAACATTTCCCCGGGTGCCCCGATCCACGTCTTCTAATTTGCCCTTCTAAAAGTTCCTTCTAATTTCATCTTCTAAAACCTTCTTCTAATTTCCCCCTTCTAAAGCCTTCTTCTAATTTCCCCTTCTAAAGCCTACTTCTAATTTCCCCTTCTAAAATGTCTTCTAATTTATCTTCTAAAAGTGCCTTCTAAAATGGCTTCTAAAATCCCTTCTAATTTGTTTTCTAATTCTTCTTCTAATTTTCTTCTAATTCTCGTCGAAATCCGGAGGAAATCCGGCTCCCCGGAGCATGTCCGGGGAGCTTCTAATTTCCTTGTAGTGCAAAATCCCATTGGATTTTGCATTTTTGGATTTCGACGGCAGAATTAGAAGATGATTAGAAGTCCGGACAGGACCATCAAAATGCAGGTTTAGCCGACATCTTGATGCTCTCCTTCCGAGTTCTGAAACCCCGTCACCCTCTCATCCTCCATTTCCCGAACAACATGATGGTTGAAATTTTTCAACCATCACATTCTTCGGACCCAAAACATACACAAATATCCGAAAAAGGCGAAGAACATATCCCCATGAAAGACACAGACATCCACAACACCACGGGGATAGGACACACCCACGCCAACCACACGGTGGAAAAACCACCCGGATATGTGTCGGCTCATCCTAGAACAAATCGACATCCCCTGCACATCCGAGATAACCCAAAAACCTGCCGCAATTTTTAAATTTTAATTTTGCCGAACCACAAGACCATGGGTCGAGGCCCGCCGCGAATACAATCGGCGGCCGGCCCCAAGAGAAAGTGGCGGCGAACAAAATACACCCAAAATGGCGAGGGCGAGGCGTCGCCGGACGTAACGCTTGCAAACACCTACCGGGCGGGATTGCAGGCCAACGCCGGGGAATTTTTGAAGCGCCGGAAATTTTAGCGATTTTTTAACCAAGAAAACGGAGCGGGGTGCTCCCGCCTGATCTGTTGCCGGCGGGGCGGCCGGCTCACAGAGATCCCCACCCGCTTCGCCGCGTCGTCGTCCGACATACAGCGACAGGGNCCCGGATATGTGTCGGCTCATCCTAGAACAAATCGACATCCCCTGCACATCCGAGATAACCCAAAAACCTGCCGCAATTTTTAAATTTTAATTTTGCCGAACCACAAGACCATGGGTCGAGGCCCGCCGCGAATACAATCGGCGGCCGGCCCCAAGAGAAAGTGGCGGCGAACAAAATACACCCAAAATGGCGAGGGCGAGGCGTCGCCGGACGTAACGCTTGCAAACACCTACCGGGCGGGATTGCAGGCCAACGCCGGGGAATTTTTGAAGCGCCGGAAATTTTAGCGATTTTTTAACCAAGAAAACGGAGCGGGGTGCTCCCGCCTGATTGTCTCCATTTTTGTCCGGCTTCGCAACCTTCTTGTCAGCAGCAGTGCCGCCTTTGATTGTGGCCGAGGGCTTATTTTTCGGCGGCGCCATGTTGAGCGACTTCCGTACCTTCGGGAGGTCTCCTTCTTCAAATTCAGCGTCGAAGTCTATTCGTCGTTTGAGTGTGCGATCCTTAAACGCCGAGGTTGTGAGTACTGCTGTTGCGCTTGTTCTTTTCCGGTCCGCAGGGGATGTCCATAAATTTTCGTTCGTGTTTGACATGTGAATAAAAATCAATCCTATAGCGCGGCGGAATCAGAGATAGTCTGAGTGTGTTGTGGTGATTAGCAAGCGATACGGGTTCAGATTGTACACAAGTATTTTCGATTCAGATAGCAGTAGACAAAGAGCAAGGTAGTAGTAAATCTTAAAACTTCAAGGCAGGTGAGAAATCGCTACGACACCAACACGGCTAATCTAGGGTGGAGGTTGTGATCGTGATCTCACGCAGATCTTGTTATTTCGTTGGATTTGCAAATTAGATTTTGTTGAAGCTATTCACTTTTTTTCGTTCTTTCGTGTTTTTGATTTTGTAGTGAGGTGCAGTATATCTATCGTTATTTCCGTGTTGGTGATAATGTCAATAAATCTTAAGCAAGTGATCTGGTAAAGGCTAACGTTTCTGATCTACGTTGTCGCTGTGGTGATATTAATACTCTAAGACCCCCCCCTCCCACCAGTAGGCGAGGAGAGAATTTCAAGGGTGCCTTGAGCCAAAAAGTCAAGATAAAGACCTGTTCACCGAATCTGTCATGCCTTCCAGACCTCCTAGTGTGCCTCCCTGCGCCATCGGCCACCTGCATGACACGTTTTATTGCACCCTTCCAGACTTCTCAGATACAGATGACAAATATTTGCATTTCACACTCGTGCTGCCGCTGCCCTCTCTACTACTAGTACTCGCTTCTCCCTGTTCCGTCGAGAGGTGCGCTTTGGCAGCACTGATCGCCAGCTGCTCCTCGGCTTGTTTCGTCCCGGCGTGAACACTTGTGCTACTCCGACTTGAGAGTTTATCTTTACTCCGGCGGTTGGCAGAGGTTCTTCGTTTCCGTTTGCTATAATTTTGCGTGGAAGTAGATTTGTTTTTTTGCAAGGAGTGCGTGAGTGCCGCGGTTGTAGAGCTGCGTGGTCCCGCTATCATGTGGAGGGAAATCAGGCACGCGCCGACGGACCGTAGGACCCGCAGCCGGTGGAGGGACTTCTTGCTGATATCTCGCGAGAAGAGTGCAGGTGGAGTCATCGTTGCCAAGTCAAGCTGACACTTCTACACGTCAAATATGAATAAAACACACACACGAGCTGCACGATCAAAACCAAAACCAAAGCCACGAAAACACGAAGAGAAAATAAATACAACCTGACGTGCGCTGGCGCTACGTGTAAGAATCAGAGTTAAGCACTTCCTCTCCTATCTGTGTATGCGGGACACGACCCGCTTCTGCCCTCAGACCTCAAAACCTCGCCCCTTTTTTTTATTTTCATCGCGCTTCCTCATTTGACTGCTTTTTATTCAATCTTCACTCGGCGTTCGCAAGTACAAGCAAGGACAACACAAGGACAAGCAGCTTGGGCGTGCACTATTTGATAGGTAACTGCAGCAGCCCCTTCGCCATGCACTTCTTCATCAGGGTCGCATTGAGCGCCGCCTTCCTGGCATTTCATTGCCCGCTCAACAAAGGTTTCACATTTTATCGTGCTTCTACATCGATCTGCAAGAAGAACTTGCGTTCTGAGTTCGCGTTGATTCCCGAGCTGTAGTGCTGTCAAGAATTTATCTAACATCGTGTCAAGAATTAATCTCTAACACACTTCATCGCTGGCTTCCAAAAGCTTAGTAGAGAGGAGGGTCAATCTCGATGTAAAAATATTTCGTCCTCATCAGTCCGTCGTCACTGCCGGTGGCTTTCCGGCCACGCAAATCAAGTTGATGCAATATCGGTCTTTCCCCTCCTGGTCCTGAAATTTGTGCCCCAGCTTATGGTCTCCTAAACGGCCGTTACATTCTCAAGAACTGTTTTTCTGAACAAGTATCTGTGAGTGGGAGCCGAGAAAGTTTTTTCATGGAAAGCGAAAGGCACGATCAAGAGAGTTCTTCGCATTACAAATTCTCAAACCTGCAAATCTCCTTAGCTTAGTCAACTGTAATATGTTGAGGACGGGCAAGGTGACGCAAAAGTTGATTACAGCATAACAGTTTATAGAATGCAACACCTGCGGAAGCTATCGTAAGAAAAAAGTGTTTCACTGTATCAATCTGTAAGGATCTTTTAAGTGTTGCATATACAAGGTCGCTACACATGACAAAAAAAAAATTTGCCATGCGTACTTCCTAAGAGAAAACACGTTGAAAAACCCACGATTGTCTTGCATGTGTAGCGAGACAAATCAATCATGCGTCTGTGTATGTGTTGCATTCTATGTCGATGACAAGTTTACGTACAGCAAAACAGTTTTTTCTTGCGATAGACTGAAGATAAAAATGCGTTCCAGCCTTGGACAACACCTCGTGGTGGTAGTTCGAAGCCGGGTATCAAATGCAAATATGTGTGGGTCTGGAAACTTGTGTTGCTGAGACTTGCATTGCAGACTTGGTCCTTGTACGGCATACTAGCATAACAAGTTAAACTCGGCTTATTGCCGCGGATTCGTTCCTCGTGTTTAGCATTACAAGCTGGCTTCCAGCACGAGGACAAAAGAAACGGCCACTCGTATTCATGCATCACAGATCTTGTTGTCCTTGAAGTCTTGCATTGCAAATCCAGACCCAGACAGATTAATTTGCAGTTAGTACCGGGAGCTCGGTAATATTTTCCGTGATCACTTCCCCCGCCCGGAAGGACGGCCAGCCGTGCTGTATTCTGAGAAAAAACGTCCACCCCGGAGTTGTCCTTGTCACGTATGCAAATCTGCATGCCAAAAGCGTTTATCATGCGGAGCCCCATGAGACGCATTTTCTAGTCGTGATTTGGAGTTTTTTATGCCAGCATCAGCATGGTGCGCTAGAACTGCGATGCTACTAAACTAGGTATAAACAGGATAACACTATGAGGGCAAAAAACTTGTCATGCGAAACAACCAAAGCTGGTTGATTTGTCTTGCAGATTTCCCATGTTGACTCTGGTGTGATGTGGGCCCCGTTTGTGGTCAGGATATGCTGCGAGCTTTCCTCCTTCCACTCCTCGAAGCTGCGCGGCGCGGCCGCAGCATTGCTCGCCGCGGTGCCGTATGCACTGCAAAAGTACCGCACTCGTACCAGTAATTGCAGTTATGCATTACAAATCTAGGTTGTTAAGATCAATCCGCATTACAGAGTCAATTTATTTGTAATGCTGAGCTAATTTGTATTGCAATTCATACTGATACTAGTAGGATACTTCTGCAGTTCATATGCTGGTCTCTTCCTCGGCCGCGTCTTGTTCTACCTCCGCAGTAGTTCCATCATGCGTGGTCGTTCCCTCGGCGTCCACGGTCAAATTCTTGGCCGGGAAGCGAAACACTATGGATTTGTCAGGCTAGAAATCGGCAAAGGTGAAATGTTGACTTGTCATGCATAAAATGCGACACAGAGACTGATTCTGTTGCACAGGACGCAATGGAGGCAGATTGTAAGTAATGCTGGCAACGGTCAAGAGTTGGGCTGCGGACTAGCATGACACAAGGGAGCTCCTTTGCTCTGAACAGCATGACAGAGTCGCTTCCGGCGCGGAAAAAATTTGTCTTCATGCGCCGATTATAGTCTTTGGGATTGGGTCCAACTCCAACTGTTATCAATTTTGTGCATTACAAATTATTTCAACTTTGTCGATTTCGACCCCCGAACCCCCATAAACACCGGGGTCCCCGTATCCGCCGCGTCGTAAAACAGCACCGGTAATCAACCGCAAATATGTCTGGGTCTGGAAGTAGAGTCCGAGTTTGTCATGCTAGGTCCGATCGACAGAGAAATCTGTATTGCATGATCCGCAACACCAGTGCCAACTCTTCCGTGCCCAAAGGCAACACTTCTCATGCGGAATTGACATCGAAGAGCCTTCCAAAATAAACTTGTGATGCTGGAGCCCGCATTGCAAACCTTCTCGGTCATGCGAACCCTGCATGACAAGCCTTAAAGTGCTCCTGACCCAGACATATTTGCAGTGGATCATACCGGTTTCTCCGGCGTGGCGTGCTTCATTTCCTCGAACAGCTTCTCCCGGCCCGGGAGCGCGTGGTCGAAGTAGCCCGCGTTCTCCGCTCCGTCGTGGTTGTTGCACTATCGTAGGAAAAAATCCCCCCTCCCCATACTGAAAAGGCATCCTGCTAAAAATTTGTGATGCAGATTTGTTACGACAGATTCTCTCTCTCTTGCAAGGGGACAAATGCAAAGAGTCCGCCGCTTTATGCCAGCGATTTGTAATGCTGTTGCGCCTACATCGAAGGCCTCTGCTATTCTGAGCACCTACACAGAAACCGCCCTACGCAGCCTGAGGCTTTGCCTGCAGTGCCTCGTTGCAAGACAGAGCTGATTTGTGTACACAAATCCAGCAACAGAAATTTACGCTTCAATATGGGGAGGGGGGATTTTTCCTCTCAATATGCAGCAGATAAAGTTCGCGTTCGCCGTGTCGTATCAAAAGGGAAAAATCCCCCTCCCCATATCGAAATGGAAATCTGTGATGCAGGATTTGGGTACACAAATCGGATTTGTCTTGCAGTAAGGCATCGCAGCCAGATCCTCGGCCTAGGTAGGGGCCTATAGGTCTAGTTGCTTAGCATTGCAAACGGGCGTACCCTAGGCGCAACAGCATGCCAAATTGCTTCCATAATGGTGCAGAAGCCTCTGCGCTTGTCTCCTTGCAAGACAGACGTGATTTGCGACCTCATATCAGCAACACAAATTCTCGGAAACAAACCATTTCGATATGGGGAGGGGGGATTTTTCCTCAGAATATGTCGCTGCCCCACTTTAGGCTGCCCGAAGTGACGTTGCAGAAGGGCTGGCGGGCGGTTGCCGCGGTTTTCCCCGTCGCCGCTGCTGCAGAGACGACCTTTCCAGCGGCAGTTGGGCCCGTGCCGGTGGCCGGTGGGTCGGCGGTCGGCTTGTCGTCGGCGGAAGCAAGGAAAGAAGTAAAGTACGGGTCCTGTTTGGGTTCGTATCTCGTATGGTGTGCAGAAGTTGTACCAGCGACCCGCTGCTCGATGCGAACTGCAGGAAGTGACTCCTCGGCTGCAAAGGACGTTTCTACACGAAGCGCACTCGCAGTCGCAGCTTTCGTGGCGGAACAGGGCACAAGGAGCGGTTGGCCGACGAAGAGAGAATGCAATGCTGCCTGCTGGGAGAACATGTTTATTGCATCGAATGGAGTTGTTTCATACGGTTACGGATACGCGGATATAAATCATCTACAGGAATTTTCAGAACGCAATAAATGTTGAATCGTGATCGTCTTAGTTCGTTGTTTAGAAGCCGAAGCATAACGCTGGAAGATGACTACAGGTCGTCCAATTTCGGACTCACCTCAATCGGAAAGAGTTGGAAGCAAGAAACAAGTTCAGGCACAAATACCGCAAGAAGCCTCGCTGTAGTTAAGACCTCCCTTTCACTTAGTAAGCTCATCACTCCTGATGATCGCTCCATGTACTCGCACACGTCCGACCGTCTGTTATTTCATCTACCACATGATCCAATATGTCTGGGTCTGGAAGAGTCCAAGTCTGTCATGCGCGGCTAGCATCACTCTCAACTCTGTGACGAGTGAGCAGGAAACGAGCCTCTTGCCTGTCATGCAAAAACGCAGTTTGTGATGCGCAAAACGAAACACATAGCAGCTCCAAAACTTGTCTTGCGTCGTGGCTGCGTACTGGAATGCGCCTACCATAATTCACAGACTTGCATCACAACCTTCCAGACCCAGACGTCTTTGCATTTAATATACCAACTGCTCAATCGATTAAATGCAACTCTCACGCGAGACTGACGAAGTCCGGTACAACGTCGACGTGTTACAAAGAGTACTTGCACTTCTCATCGACGCTCCAAGTAATAGAACAATGAAGACCACGTATTTAATTGTTTCATGACTTCATCTGATCTCCTCGAATAAGAAGTTGGAAACGGTATTAACGGATCTTCCCAAACACACAAGACAGCTCTACTACTTGTTCCTTGACGCGATTTGCGCACCATGATACCGCCGTTCCTTATCGCGACGCTGCAAACTTGTTTAGTTCCCCTGCAATTCCAATTCGGCAAGCGAGTCGTGAAAAAAATTGCAATAATTCAGTAGACCATGACTAAGATAAATACAGGCAATTTGGCGCTTTGCTGCATTGCGCATCCACTTCAACCTAAGAACCCTCCGCCCTACTGGCTATCGTTGACATTCCACATATTCTTTCCTGCTATGGTTGGAATACTTACAGGAGCCTCTGTCACTTACTTAATTCCTCCGGCGTAAAAATATGCAGTCCCAGTGTAAGTAAAGTATCTTTATCGCGCATTTCTATTTCTAACCGGTGGCGCATCCCCTGGGACGTTTGCGGACCCACTGTGAATGCTTAAGAAAGTTAACATCAACATTCATCCCACGTCCATTCGTAGATGTGGAGAGGGAGGAAAGACGGGAAATAAATGTCACCAGCAAATAATTGAAGACAGAATTCGTAGAACTATGTCGTATATGATAATCAAGCGCGTTTTTGAAAAAAGTGCCGACGCGAAATGCAGAGCGTTCTTCTATCTTCTTTCGGCTGGCGCTGGCGGCTTCAACCTACTTCAACTTCTTGTTCTTCAATTATTACGATTACAGATACAAAAAAAAAAAAACAACTATGGCTTTTGCTCGGAAACAGTTTCTTTGCGTTGTGTGCACTTAATCTAAGTCCGGATGCAGTTCGTGAGTACTTCATGCTGCTTGCTGCTGCACACAGAGAAAAAAATTGAAATTCGTTTGAGTTGCGTGTGATTCAGAAGAAGTAAAATAATGAATACGGCATCGTGAAAAGAACGCGACGCTATTCAAACAAAGTCTTTTTGCTTCTTCACCATCGCAGAGCGAGATGGAAGAATGCGCCGACTTTTTTGATACTGTGGTGGTGAAAAGACGCCAGTACTCATAATGATAAGAGAAAGACAGCAATAGCATAGCAATCCGTGAACAGGCCTACAGCATGTGAAAAATTTTAAGTAAAAAAAAAACAAACTTCAGGATCCTCGAGTCGTCTCTGCGAAAGTAACTGATTGGACGGACCCATGAAAAAAATATACGAAACTAGGCGGACACCTCTGTATTATTGCGGTGGCCGTGGTACAATGCAGAGGGTTAAAGAACGAGTGGGTCCTGTCGGAAATCTCGAGTCTTGATCAAGAAGTGCCGCTAGGCGTACAAGTGTAAATAGAGATACAGCAATTTTGGCCTTAACTACTTAGAGAAGCCTTACCCTTTTCAGGGCCCGCAGAAGGGGGCCCGTCTAGGGAAAGCACACGCCCCAAACCGAACGAGGGACTGCCGGCGGAGCTACTACGAGGAGAAGCGGTACTTGTACTACTAGCATTGCTATCGTCATCGTCCAGTGTTTCAGCCGGTTGCTTCTGCGTCGCTGTCATTTTCATTTCTACGTCGCGGACTGTCCAAGACGAACCGCTCGCGCGCTTTGCGATGATTTTAAGTTTGTCGCCCAGCGGCTTTTGAGAAAATTCGAGCAATTCCTGTTTTTTCCGTAAAACCACCTCCGTGGTTTGTCCCATTCCGGCAATTACGGAGAATACATTCTCCGCGAAATTCGCGAAGCGCTCAATCGGAATTTTTCTTTTTACTTGTGACAAAACCTTTCTGAAAACATCGGCCACTTGTTTACCCAACGCCTTGCCAAGCACCTCGATAAGCTTCGACCTCTTTTTGCTACTCCAGTTGATAACAAAGCACTTGCCGTTAGGTCCTCCAAACGCGAGCGCCCACAGAAGCTTATTCGGAGATGATCCTGCAGTTGAAACCTTGGGGCCACTGTCCGTCTTCGGCAAATAACGAGTTCGGGTTTCCTTTTCCAGGTCTATAATTAATTCAAGTTCCCTCCGAACTCGATCATCAGCAGAAGCTTGCAGCGTTTCAAGTTCAAGCTCTAGCTGCCGCTGCTTCTCCTGCAAAGAGCGTATTTCTGGGCTTTTTTGAAAAAGTATTCTTTCTGCCTGATATTTTCTGACGTCCACGCCCTCCTCAGTCGACAAAGGTCTGTATTCATGATGACCTGAATCTCCTGAATCCACATCGACATCGCCCTGATCTCCCTGAGGCGGAGAAGGTAAAGTAGGAGTCTTTCGCTCCTCGGCACGTTTGTGTATCCGGCGCACAAGAGTCTTCCGAAGAGCTTCATATGTTAAGAAACCTTCTGGAGAAAATTCTTCTTCTTCATCGGCCGCGTGGATTTCCTTAAGCAGCTCCTGCCCGTCTTCATCGAAAAACCGAAAGTTCTCTTCCATTACCAGCGTTTTCTGGTAAGCGATAAAATCCAGAATCTGTCGGTCGAGTTCTACTAGTAGTTCTCCGGACATTGAAGAGTAGAAAGTCGCGAAGAGGCTGGAAAGAGACGGACCGAAGAGTGGCACAGCTGCAAGTGCCGACCGCACAGGTGAAAGGATACGATCTATAACGAGTTCTTTCAGGGCCTTCGTGAACTCGTCGACGCATATGTCGCCGCTGTTGTCCGCGTCCATGTTGGGCATCTCCGAAACGGCGATAGACTTGGCCATGTCGGCCATCGACTCGGGCATTGCATCGAGTATCTTTTGGAGGCTATCGGCCAGGGTAGCCATGAGACCCTCGGCGTTCTGGTTCATCAGTTCATCGTACTGGGCATGTAGGATATCGAAAAAACTCGGAATCGGTAATACCAGGTAGCCGTTTTCGTAATGTTTGTTCATGATCGCTTGTATTTTTGTTCTTTTATCTTTTTCAGACCCATCGGCTTGCGGATACTGAGCGCCGCTTTCAAGAAGTTCCATGGTTGCGCTCCATTTAGCACAACCATGCAATGCGGAGATTTTCCGCGCTATTCCAGTGACGTACTCCGCTTCGGCCATGTCGTTCTTGACTCCGTAGGAGTTAGCGAAAAACATGTACATGCACCGTTTTCCCTTCCCCTCTGGCGGCGCGGCCTGCACGTCCCTCGCCTGACGGGGATGCAGTACTTCTGCGATTGCTTCGTCGAGAGCGTGTGTCGACGCGAGGATTTCCCCCATGTCCTGCGCACGGGACCGGCGATCCGGGTTGTCTCTCTGTGATGCTAGATACGTCAGAAGCAAGTACGGGTCGTTGCACTTCGGCATCCAAAATTTTTTTAGATTTGCTTTGTTGCTGTAATCTCCATGGATCCCCGCCGGCGAACAGGCCTGTGCGCCGATCATTTCAACTGCGCTGGCTTCTTTCCCGACCCTGTGATAACGTAGATAAGGGCCAAATATTCATCTCGCTCGATTAAAACAAGAGAGGACGCATCGTGTGTGCACGCAATATTGTTTGCAAAGACAATCTCCAGGATGGTGTCCTCCGGGGGAGGGCAGACCGCAATGTAAATGGGCATCTCATACCTGCCGTTCCCGTTTCTAGTAAGTACTACAAACTTCCCTATATCAAGCTCAAGCGTTCGCTCACGTCTGCGAAAAACAAACTACTTACATACTTTTTGTAGTCTGCAAATTCTTGTTGCTATTCAGAAATAATTCGGCACAAGAGACTCATGAGCCTTCATATATCAAAGTCCAACAAGTGTAGACGTCTTGTTCTCGAAACCAAATTAGTAAAAAAGTGAGCAAGTAGCAACACCCTTTCTCCTCGCTTGATGTGGCCGGCGCGAGAGGCTTCCCCGTCGGATGCGCACTAACGTCGCTGTGCCTGTTTGGGTTTACCTGGAGGTATAGGGAATTATATATTTTGCAGGTTCTTCAATTCAACACTGGGAAGGGGAGCCCGGACCTCTAGTTTCTGCAGCCTCCTAATCTATATCTATTCGCCGCGGTTCTACATCTACTCCAGCTCCAGCAGTAAAATACAGAAAGCCAAACGAAAAAAACAGCCATGCCATAACGGAGAGATGAAGCTGGGAGACTCAACAGTACTTAAGGCGCCAAGCAAGGGCCCTGGTTTTCTTAGATAAGCTCGTTTTCCCGAGCGTCTGACAGAAAGCCAAGTGGTTGGGGTGTTCTCGAAGTGTTTGTGCTTGTACATATTAAAGCTTTGTTTACAGTGAAGCCCACGTGTAGTGCCTGACTACTTATACCTCCCGAAAGCTTTCTCGTTCCGCAGGCAGGTCGCCTCCGCCATTCGCCTCGCTCGGGGCCGAGTCTTTGTGTTCCGGTTGGGCGACCGCGGTACTGCCACTGGTCTCGTGTTTGGACCTGGAAACAAAGGAAATTGGAACTAATCTCACTGCTCCTTTTCAACCCAAGAAAGCGCCTCTGTGCTATTGCTCAAAACAGACAGGATGATGCCAGTGGCACTAGCCCTGGTGACAAAATAGTTGCGAGCAGTCGGTCTGCGTCAAGGATCTGGGCCTTTGCGGTGAAAAAAGGACCCAGCATTGAGCTGCACCTGCAAACCGAACGCCCTTGTTCGTGGTAAAAAATTTTCGACTTCGAGGATAAACATGCAACTCATACAACATCCACTCACGCTTAATACCCTCCGGCTTCGCTTGGTGCGGCGGGTGCGAGGGGCTTCTCCGCCGGCGAGTCTTTTGGGCCCGGGACTTTCTCTGTCTGTTTTTTGAATTCGCCGGACCTGTCGCTGTGTGGGTTTACCTGGTGTGGGATTTCCAACATCAACTCAAAGCAATCAAGCCCGAACTACTTCGCACTTTCTGCAGCTTTGTAGCTGTAGTCCGTTATCGGAAAATTTACAAAAGACAGCAACGAATCAAACGAAAACAACAGCGATGAAGAAGTGGTTGGGTGCCGCGCGCTGACAATCATGGTCTTTCTATATATTATATGCACAAAGAAGTCGTGAAACGTACAAACCGCAAATGCTGCTGCTGCTTTAACATTACTATTATCTTCGATCTATTCCTGGGCACGCAAAACAAAGTAGAGAGCGTTTCGCAAAATTATACATAGAGTTCCCCTTACAACTACTTAGGCCTCCGCCTACTTCCTGACTATACCTCGCGAAAGCTTTCTTGTTCCGCACCTAGATCGGCCGCGCCCGTCGCCTCGCTGGGCACCACACCCCCTTGTTCCTCTTTAGCGACCGCGGTACTGCCACTGGACTCGTCTTTGTACCTGAAAACAAACGAAATTGAAACTAGTCTCACTGCTCTTTTTCACCCCGAAGCGCCTCGGTGTCTAAGTCTATGACGAAAGCACGCTATTTAATAAAACAAACAGGACGACGTCACTCGCCGTCGCTCTGTTGATGAAATAGTGATGGACAGTTGGTCTGCGTTCAGTCTTAATTGGTCCTCTACGACGAACAAAGGCCGAGCATTCAGCAGCACGTGGAAACCGAGCCCTTTTGTTTCTGTTATATTAAACTTCAACTTTCGGCTTTGAGGATGGACATGCAATTCATATACGAAATTCTACTCTCCGCTAACGCTTAGTACCCTCGTCCGGCGTCACTTGGTGCAGCGGGTGCGAGGGGCTTCTCCGCTGGCGAGCGCGAGTCTTTTGGGCCCGGGGCTTCCTGTGTCTGCTCCTTGAATTCGCTCGTCGAGCTGTCGCTGTTGGGGTTTACCTGGTGTGGATCATTTTGTGAGGTTTTTCAACTGAAAATCAACACTGGTGAGAGACCAAGAGCTCCCACAACTTTCTGTAGCCCTACAAGTACAAGTACTTTCTTCGTGACATCAAAACACTCCTGTACACTTACAGCGAAACTGCAACAGCGCTACTAGTTCCCACAGGTAAAAAAGTACCTCGAGAAAGTTTTCTCGTTCCGCAGCCAAGTCGTTCTCACCCGTTGCCTCGCTCGGCGGCGAGTCCTTGTGTTCCTGTTGGCCGACTGAGGTACTGGCACTGGTCCCGTGTTCTTTATACCTGAACAAAGTTCATAAGCGCTTTTTCATCGCGAATTGCCTCGTCATGTGAAGCTAAAACAGACTCGATGTTAGTGTTACACGACAAAACAATAACGAGCAGAAGTAGTCAGGCTACTTTCGATTTCAAAAATTTAACCTTTACGAAAAAGTCCAAACATTCAAGTGCAACTGCAAGTGCAAGAAAAATTACGACTTTCTCACGGCAGTCGAGCATGCAACGCGTAGAAAATCTACCCTAGTCTAGTGCTTAATAGTACCCTGCCACTTCGCCTGGTGTGGTGGGTGCGAGGGGCTTTCCTTCCGCCGATGCCTTCGATCCCGGTACCGGGGCCGCATCGACCTCGGCGTTGCCGCCATTCTGGTGTCGTGCTCGTGTGTGCTATTTTGAAAGGTTGACACAAATATAAAACTTCAAGAAGCGCACAGTCATGCGCCAAGATGTCAAAGGAAGTCACTGAGTGAGACAAGTTTACTGACTACTAACTAAAGTGCGTTGTTAATATATAGGCGTGAAAATTTGGTTTCCCATACAGTAAACGAAGGGTAAGCTATTTCATCATGATTTATGCTACGTGTAGTATACATCGCCAGTAGCCAGTATGCATTGCAAATATGTCTGCGTCTGGAAACATGCGAACTTGTGGGGCCCTCTGTCGGTGCCAGTCCCACAAAAATATATCATGCACAAATAGCACAAGCTTGCCACTTCTAGCCACACTGAGTAAGGAGCATTCCTCATGCATAGTAGGCATCGCAAGACCCATCGCCATGCAGAAGTACCTCCGTCCTGCATGACAACGCTCAGCGTTTCTATTCCAGACCCTGACATATTTGCAGTTGATAGCCACGTCCGCCTCGCCTTTCGGCTTGCTGACCTGCGAGTCGGCACCTTGTTGCTGTTTTTGTATCCCATGAAAAAACTGCTTCACTGTGATCTGATGGCATGGCTTTACAAGATCATTTGCATCACATTTCAGTTTGCTGTTACAGAAACTTTGCCTCCCAAGGGAAAACATGCTCAAAAGTCCAATGGTCTGCAATTGTAACAAGACAAATAGTTCTGTGCTCCATTCTATGCGTCACAAGTTCACAGCAAAGCAGAGTTTTGTCTCGATATCTTGGGACAAGGAAGTACTAGACTGCTCCGTTTGCGTGTACCTATCGGCGAAAAAAATTGTGTTAGTGTAGGATAATGATATTATTTGTGAAATTAAAATATTGCCACACATCTACACTTGTCATACCAGACAAGCACGAAGTCCCTGTTCTTCATATGCGACGACGTTTGGACATACTTACACTTTCCGCCCGGCAGGGAAGCAAATTTGTCATGCTTTCACAGCAACAATTCTGCTGCACTAACGCTGTCTGGTTTCCTCATGGATAATATTAGTACCTCGAAGAAAACAGAGGACGAGACGTCGCGACAGAGTTCGCGGGTAAAGACTTGTTCACTTTATTGCGCAAAGTTCGTCGGGTAATTCCTTATACTTACCTAATATCATGAAGCTTTAATATATTTATATTTGTTGTAAAAAAACCGCGTACAGTCGTATCCTGAGTAAACACGCACGCACCCCAGCGAGCTCGTCGTACTACAAATTTGGATATTCTAAATTCGAACAAAAAAGTGGATCTGCAGTGGTGCACCTGCAACTGCTAGCTTAAAATTATGACTAGATCCAACTGGTGTCTTGTCATGCACGATTCGCAGAGCTGCTTAATTCGTCGTGTGTAATCTTGACTCTCTGCGGCGGGGTCGTGGGTAAGTTTTCACATAGGATAAGTCGGATTTTTTCTTCCATCTTTGTTTCGCTTCGTGTTCGTCGTTGGGAATCATACGAAAAAAGTGTTTTATCACTGTAAAATAAGGATTTTATATCCATTGCAAATTTCGCACGACAAGTTTGTTCTATTTGAATGATACACGTTAGCACCAACATTTCTGCGACATACATTCATCTGGATCTGCATTTAAAAAAGTTTACAGTGAATAAACAGTTTTTTCTATACGATAGGGTGCGTAGCGACTGTTGTGTAACGCCGCCAAGTATTCGATTGAAGGCCCGGCGTATGAGAGTGCACAACTACGTCCCCTCCCACTCCCCCTCGTTGTGTTGTGCATCACAGTAGTAGTACCAAGCCCACTTCACTGCTTGGCACTGGTTGGGCATGGCACTGGTTGCGCATGGCAGGTTCTAGGAGTAGCGGGAGGATCCGAAGGACCGCGGCACAAACCTGCGTAAACTTGTCACACAAAATGAACTTGCACTTTCGCCAGCCCTTTTGTTGTTACGAAAAAGAAAAATGCCCCTGAAATTATGATTCGGAGAGGAAGAAAGTTGTGCGTTCTCATATGCTCCTGCCGCCAAGGCTCGCTTGTCCCCCGCCCGTATCTTGTTCTGCCTGTATGTATGGGCAATTTGGTAAAGATTTGTTTTTACTTTTAGCGAACGCCAGCTACTTCTATTACACGTTGACTCGATAACTAAAAATGCATACAAGAAATATACGAGTTGTGGGTACTATAGCTTTCTCATGGAGAGAATGGCTCCCTTCGTGTCATGTGCAGTTGGTCTTGGTGGTCTACTTAGCAGTATAGTAGTTATTAACCACTCTTTTGAATTTTCATCTTGATGGAGAAACGACGCTACCGAGGAAAGATACCTTTTCGTTCCTCCTGCCCAACGCGGCGACGAGCGTCGGCCCGCCGCCCGTGCCGCCCCAAACGACCAGAGTTGTAAAGGTGAAGAAGAACTGGGACGCGCACCAGCACGTCAGGACCGCGAGAAGCTTGAACATTTTCATCTCCTGATGGATCGCTTTAGTTTTATGCCATAGAAAACGTCAAAGCACACCCGTTTACTATGATTCGTATTCTCTTACTCACCGCGAGATGCAAAAGTTTTATTTGCCTGCTGTTGTGTCTCGTTGGCTCTGTTTGGCATCATGACGGGTTGTTTTCTTGGCACCGTTCTCATGCCACATGTTCCGAGTTGCATTCTCGATTTTGCATCACAGAAAGTCGACCCTGCAGCGGATCATCAATAACAACACTTTTTTTCTGTAAAAGCAACACATTTTTTTTCTTCTTAAAGGCATGGGTGTTGTACTTTTTATTTTCTGCATGATACGCTTGCTCCGTTTCTTACACCACGACGGGAAAAGCTATGCTCGACGTTGTGAAAGAAATTTTCGAACCAACTACACGGAGACCGCTTGGTGCGCCAGCACCTCCCGTGCCAACAAAGTCTGCGCGAAAAAACTACCTTACCTCTTCAGCTTCTGAAATCATAAATTCCCGAAGAATAAAGCCAGAATGTTGAAGAGCAGCCCAACACACTTTTTAATGCAATTACAATTCGAATTTGATGATACCGTAGTTTGTTCAAGAAACAGCCAGTTTCAGTCCGACGTAAGTCCGGCGGATCAATTAAGTTTGCGTCCGTCCGATGTGAGACCAGCGGATGAGAACTAAACAAAGAGGAAGCCTGCTGGAGTAAGATTAACACTAATTTCATAATTTCAATTTTATTCATTGGAGAATAGTACTACTATTCACTACGCCTTGGTCTGGTTTATGCGGGGCGCTCCTTCGATGTGTTTCGAAAGAAAATGCGCTGAGTTCTTCGGTAGACACGGCTTGCCCGCTTTACTTCTCGGAATAATTGACAACTTCGTGTCGTGAAGAAACGTTCTACTTCCAAAAAGAGACCCAAGCTCGCTTGTTTCTTGCCATTTTCACAGGAAGATCTTCTCGCGCACGCCTCTATGTAAAAACCACCTGGATCTTCACAACGTCTTCAGTTGCCGGAGCAGCTCGGCTTTTCTCTACTGTCTGTCCTTGAGATCGCTTGTATGTTGCACATCAGCTCGGTCTATTATGTAACCTTGATCAATTATACAGGGAGCACAGTTGCACCCCTCGTTACAACTTCACTCAACGCAGGATGAACCTGTTTGATCTGCCGTTGGTCTCCTGAAAATTATGGTATAAGTAGTACTTCTTCGAAAATCCAACATCGCGCGGTTCAGGTTGACAGGTCTGACAACTTCCTTCTACTTCTTGTCTTCGTGATACAACTTTTGTCATTCTCGTCCTACGATCTTACATCTACAGTGGTAGTATAGCGAAGTCTTGCAGTCGCAGCTGTCAAAATTGAAGAAAAATCATTTCATCCGAACCTTCTTGTTCATAGATATATCAAACAAACGGTTACTTTCAATGTCCAATTCAAGTCATGCGTGCAGTCTGATTTTTGCTCGCGTCGTCCTCCGCGTGCACACCGAAACTCACTGTTGAAACGAAACCATCGTATACTGATGTAAGGAGCATTGAAACAAATTTTGCAGCAAGCAGGAGCTTCACCTCTCCTCGTTGTGCTACTTTCTTCAAATCTTTTCTAGGAATGAATTCGTGTTTGAAGACTGCTCTGACGCCGCGCCGTCCCCCGTAGCGGCTTTGGCTTCCGCGTCGGCGGCCCCGTCCACCTCCTCGTTTTCATCCTGCATGAACGCGGTCTGGCCCTCGTTGTCAACACCCTGCTCCGCGCCATCATCATCTTGATCATATGCAGTGCAAATATGTCTGTAATGCTGCGCTTGGTGGAATTGGATTCTAAAAAAAATTTGTATTGCATGAACAGCAAGAAAAATCCAGTTTGTGCTAAGTACGCGGAGAGGGCAAAATTTCTCATGCGGTAGAGGCATCACGATGTCCTCTAAAAAACTGTGATGCTAGGGCATGCATTGCAGGCTTCATGGGTCATCTTCCAAAATATGCATGTCAAACTTGACAATCTTCCAGACCCAGACATTTTTGCAGTTGATAGATCACCGGCCTGCTCCATTTCCCGTTCCTCCTCCGGTAAATTGGTGCCGTCACCCGGGTTATCAAGTGCAAATATCCCTGGAGGTCTGGAAACTTGTAATGCTGGATTGGGAATAGTGAATTTCTTGTAATGCACAGACACGCATGCGAAATCATCTCTGCGCTGCCTAGTGTTGCGTTTACCGCATGACGATGACTACACACTGCGTTTTTGCATGACAGGCAAAAGGGTCTTTTCTTGGACACGCATCACAAGCTTTGCAGTCTGTGACTGTGTCTGTCATGCCAGACAAGCATGACAAACCTTGCATTTTTCAAGACCCAGACGTATTTGCAATCCATACGGGTACTTGCCCGCGATGCACACGAGGTTGACGCAGTACCGGTTTCCCTGCTCGTCCGGCATGTTGTGGCCCAGGTGGATCGACGGGATCTCGATCACTTTTCCCACTTTCGTGTGGCTGGTTGGCATATGCATTGCAAGAGTATCGGTATCGCACTCGTAGTAATCGTATACAAATCCTATTCTCAAATTGATGTCATGCGCTTTTATACTAGTAAGTACGATAGTACTTATGCAGTCCATATGGCACCGTGATGATCTCAGAGGGCACCGGATTCAGATTCGGCGACACCTGGCCCCGGTAGGAGGGGTGCCGCAGCGGGTTGTGCTCCGAGACCGACTTCGGAATTGGCTCACCGCCCCCCGTGGCGCCGCCGAAAGACTCCGGGTTGGTTTCGTTTGCGGTCACATTCTATGCATTGCAACTATGTCTGGTTCTGGAAGGATGCACGGTTTGTCATGCATATTTTGCATGGCCCATGACGCCTGTAATGCATGCTCTAGCATCACAGATTTTTAGAGGGCTTCCTGATGCACATTCCGCATGAGAAATGCCCTGCCCGCGTAGCACAAACCAGACTCCTCTTGCTAGTCATGCAATACAGATTTTTTTGGAATCCGAAGACAGCATCACAAGTCACAACCTTCCAGAAGACATATTTGCAAGGCATACGTTCATCACGCGGTCGAAGTTCACCTCGTCGTCGCGGAACGAAGGCCACCCGTGGTACTTGGACTCCAGGTAGAACTCCAGGTAGGACCGCGGGTTCGGCCCGAATCCCGGGACCCGGAACAGCTCCTCGTTCGGGTCAGAAGAGGAGTAGAAGCTCATGTAGGCGGTGCCGTTGGGGAGCTCCTCGGGGAGCGCGTACCCGGTGCCGGTGAAGTTGAGTCCCTGGTAGAACGAGGCCTGCGGCTCGGCCAGGCGCTGGGGCACGGTGCAGCACACGTTCACGGCCGTCGCCTCGTCGACCAACCAGCGGAGCTGCGGCCGCTCGGGCAGGCAGGACACGGCCCCAAAGGGAACCTCCTCCGGTTTGGGGTACTCCTTCTGCTTCTTCCGTTCTTGCAGCGTCGTTTTCTTCTGCATCACCGAGGACTGCGGATCATTCCTGGCATCCTCGACCGCTCCGTCGACGGGGCGCTTCTTGTCGTTCAACAAATCTTTGGCGGTCCTCGTCTCCTGGTTACTTCGCTCGTCCTCTTCGCTGTTCCTTGTCGTTGACGTAACTGCATTATCAAATGCAAAAATGTCTGGGTCTGGAAGATTGCAACTTGTCATGCTAAAGCTGAAGCTCATGCAAAAATCTGTCTTGCATGATTACCAAAAGTCGTCCAGTTTTCACCAAGTCGGGAGGGAGTTTCTCATGCAGGATAGGTATGAGAGAGATCGCACAGAATCTGTCATGCTAGGTCCTGCATTCCAGACCTCATGAGTCATGGAAAAGCAGCATGACAAATCGCGCACTCTTCCAGACCCAGACATTTTTGCATTTGATATGCATTCGGGTTCCTCACCGGTGCTCCTACGTTCGCCGCCCCTGCTGTCCCCACCTTGCTACCCTTGGGTGGCGAACCCGTGAAAAACATCTGCGAAGGCGGAGGGGTGTTGTCGCGAAGCCTCCGCAGGGCGTGGGCGACGTGTAGTGAGGCTGGGGATGTCAGTGACCACGGCGTGAAGGACACAAGCACGTCGGTGCACATCATGGCTGAACAAACCCCGCCGAACCGCAGGGTCCGCCGGACGACGGTCCCGCTCCTTCGTGGACGCTGCCTTTCCACTGCCGCGGAAGCCGACGAGGACGACATGGTGATAAAAAATTTTTAGGTTCTGTCTCGATAAAAATGATCTCTACTGATGCGGACCAAAACTAGAGATTCTGGTCTTCGGCAAGGACTTCAAATTCTGCAGTGTTTCCTCTGACCGAATTATCTCTCGACAACCTTCTGCACAGGAAGCAAGCGCTCAATTTTTAATAGACTTTGGAATCAATCACAGCACCAACGGATGAATGTACGTCTTTTCCCTAAGTCAAATTCTTCTTGAGAAAACAAGAACGAAATATCTGCGTATGGTCTTGCTCTTCTTCCCCTCGAAATGGTAAGTCGTGCTTTCAATCATTTCGCCCGCCCCTAACATCATCACCTGCAAACGCGACAACCTTGCAGACATTGCGCAGCTCTCGCGTTCGCCCGAGATAAATCAAATGCTCACAACAGTAGTACTTCAAACGACAAATTCACGGTGTTGACCGAGTTTCAGAGTTCTTCAGCAAAAATATTCACGACGGAGAAAGAGTGTATTCTCGGACGCGAAGATGCAACGGTGATACGGTATCATACCGCCCCCGGGTGAACGTAAAGATTTTTCGCGAATTCATTTTCCACAGCTTTTTTCCTTTTGTTCGTTCGAAGTAGTAAAATGGAAAAGAAAAGAACTTTCGTCATTTACTTTCCGGGGCTTTTTGCTTCCACCGGATGATTTCCACTGCAAAACCAAAACCACAGTACTTAATTAGTCAAAGTCTCCCGACCGCTTCTACATACATTTCAAAGTCTCCCGACCGCTTCAACGTACCACCCCGGTACCTGGTAAGCCACGCCATCCCCGGGCGGCGGAACGAAGGGCACGAACCACAGAAGCGGGTTGTTCCCGAGGGTGGCGCACAAATTGTTGTACACACCGATGTCGAATTTGTGACCCTTGTCCGCAAGTAGGCCCGGATCCTCGGGTAAGGACGCGCCACCACCTCGCTCCCGCTTATTCGAGTACTGCCCCGAGAACAGCTCGCTGGCCCCGGTGTCCACATCCGGTCGGTCGCTCCTCTTGTTTATCAACTGCAAATGTGTCTAGTCTGGATCAGGACGAGTTGTGCTGCGCTAGGTTGTCATTGTCATGCACGTTTTGCATGACCAATGATGTCTGTGATGTATGTCCTCGCATAACAGATTTTTTGGAGCTCTAGCTCTTTGATGCCTACCCCGGATGAGAACAAGTGCTCGCTTCGCGCAGCAAAAACTGCACTCCTGCAGTTGCTGCTCATGCAATACAGGTTTTTTTCGAGTTCATCAAAGATAGCATGGCAAGTTCTTGCATTCTTCCAGAGGACCACCTCTCAGATGTTGACACAATGATCTTTGCGAATTTGATATGGTTGTGCTTCTCGCAGAACTCAATGGTGGTCATGTTTTTGCAAACCAGAAAGGTGTGAAACAGGAAAAACGAGGTCACAATCCCCGCCACGAACACCGCCAGCGACTCCGCGTAGAGCGCAACGAAGACTTTCAAGCCCTGGTCGTTCACCGTGTCGTCCTCGAGGTAGTCCCGCACCGTCTCCCAAAACGTCAAAGCGATGAGCCACAAAACCGCAGAGGAATTAAAGAGGAGGAGGTAGAAGTACTTGTGGTTGCCGTACCCGATGGTATTGTAGACCCACGGGCAGTGGTGGTCCATGCGGAGCACGCACCGGCCCAGCACCCGGCAGTGGTGCGCGCGATCCGGCTTGTACTTGGTGCACCATTTGCAGTGCCGCAGCTCCCCGTCCTTCTTGGTTTCAAAGACCACCTTCCGCACCTCGTCTCCCTTGTTCTCGTAAAAATGCCCCCAGAGGGCCGTGTCCGGAATGCCGCCAGGGTCCGTAAATATACACAGGTAGTAGCAGTACAAAAGCTGCAGGGTGAAGAAACCGAAAAGCGAGGTCAGGATAATACCTCAGGACGCGTTTATTTCCATTGATATTATACTCAGCTGCTTGAATTACAAGCTACTTAGTTAGCTACTGCTGTTACGACTTATGCGATTACATGATCATCAATCGTGAGCCATGCTGCAGGCACAAATTGCAGCAAAAATCGACATCCACTTAGCCGCCAGCATGCACAAGAAAAAATAACCTGAATAGTTAAAACCCATCGATAAATTCAACGGTCGTGGAAATAAACAAGAGAACCGCTCGAACAAAAAATCCTCGAAAACGAACTGCAAGTAATTACCTTCCTGCTGCACATCCTATTGAGAGGAAAAATCCCCCCTCCCCATATCGAAAAGGTATGTCTCCCAAAATTTGTCTTGCTGATTTGAGACCACAAATCACGTCTGTCTTGCAAGAAGACAACTCCACAGGCTCTGCCGCATTATGCAGGCGGTTTGTGATGCTGTCGGGCCTACAGCATAGACGTTTCTCATGCTAAGCGCCTAGGCCAAATCCTCTCTACTCAGGCTTGGCAGGAGCCTGCAGCCCCCTACTGCAAGACAGACCTGATCTGTATACGCAAATCCAGCATCAGAAACTTCCGTTTGATATGGGGAGGGGGGATTTTTCCTTGTGATACATCCTTCTCCGCGTTTCCAAGCCGCGGCACCAGGTGTAGTGTGACGTAGCTGCTGGCAAGGTAGGTGACAAGCGAGTATGCATTGCAAATATGTCTGAGTCTGGAAGCTTGTAATGCCAAAAGTGGATGAGAGTTCCACTGCAATACGATGCCAAGCATGACAAATCTTTGGGCTCTTATGTGTTGCGTGTTCCGCATGGCAAACTGCGTTTTTGCGCGACAGGTAACAGGACCGCTTCGTGCCCATGCATCACAGATTCTTGAGTCATGTCAGACATGCAAGACAAATGTAGCAATCTTCCAGAGGACCCAGACATATTTGCATTTGATAGCGAGAGAATGAAAACGATCGGAATCAGCTTGTTCACGTCCGGACCCTATGCACTGCAAATATGTCTGGGTCTGGAAATCTGTGATGCTGAATTGAGCATGATTGAAGCGCTTGTAATGGCAGCCAGGCATGACAAGTTCTGGAGAGGCCTGCTGATGGTGATGCCTACTACGCATTACAAATTGCGTTTTTGCAAGACAAAGCAAGCTCCTCTTTTGCTGCTCATGCAACACAGATTTTCCAGGAATGCAAGACACGCACCACAAGTTCCACTGTTCCAGACCCAGACACTTTTGCATTTGATAGACCCCGCTTCCTGGGCGGCCCGGGGGCGCCTGCGCCCGGCCCCGCGGCGCCGTACTCTTTCATACACTGTTGTCACCGCATGATATTGCAATTGAGAATCAAAATAGAAGTTTGAGTAGGTCACTGTAGCCGGAGCGAAGAACGACACTTGGATTGCTTCGCCTGTCGCTTTGGGAGGAAGAGAAGAAAGCGAAGCGAAAATAGACCAAAGGTAAAACGGGCGCGGCACGCGAGTGGATACTCGTGCCCACGGGGTCCCATGAGGCTGAGGCAGAGTTTTTACCTATCGAAACACAATGCAGCTCCGACGGGCTCTTGTCGGCACATTCGAGAATAAAACCTGGTGCATGCCCCAGTGGTCTCCCGCCGGTGTTCTCTTTTTTCTTTCGTTGTGAAGAAATCGAGAAACTCTCTGTCTTCGCCGCTGCGCGTTGTTTTTCATACTTTGTACATCGACGTTTTTCATAAAAACGGAAACGAAAACACCAGACTTTCTCCCCTACACCATATTGTACTGTAAAGGTAATAAACAAGAAGCATTCTAACATTTCTACCTTACGCCGCTTTTGAAGATATCTGGCGTTTGTTGCCCGAGCTATCGCCCGTTTGGCGTTTGTTGGCCAAGAAGATATTAACTAGTCAAAAAACCAAGTTAGATGCCCCTCGAGGGGGTTGGGGTGGACGAGAAAGATATTAAGTTGAATGTTTGAGTAAAGTTTCTAAAATGAACATTTGCATCAGTAACACTTAGAGTAAACGGAAACTACACAAGAATGGACGTCAAATAATCATGTCGGCAGCTTCTAGTACAACGACGAGAACTACTATATACTGCTAGTCCCCCTCCAGCTGCGCTGCTGCAGATATTGTCTTTCGACCGAAATAAATCCGTATCCAAAAAAGTCATCTTACATGACCGCACAGAACCCGGACGAGGCCCCCGACCCGCTCTTTTTTCCGCCTCCCATGAAAAAGGCACTCGAACTGTGCGGCAGCTCGGCCGAGGAGTCCATTCCCGCACCGACAAATCGGGTGAAATCCGCCCCGTCACCATCGATCCCCGCGAGCAGTTGCAGCTCCTCGCCGCAATCCGCCGCCGCCTTGGAGAGTTTCGGCCACACCGCTGGGTCGTCCTATGCAGAGGAAAAAAAGTGTTTAAGTGTAAGAACTTTGGAGGTTGAGTAGCATCACAAATTCGCTTTGCGTTTATAGAAAAAACCTGTCAACATGATGCGCAGGTAGCACGTCAAAACGCGTATGGTCTGACCCTATGACCACGCACATCCAGCATGACAAGCGTGACTGTCTCGCATCATCTTCTGCAATACAAACTTACACTTACACAGTTTTTTTCTTGCGATACGTCCGGGTGTTCGTCTAAACGGCTGTGGACGTCGCCTTTTTCCACCACGTATTGTGAGGAATAATCCCCCCTCCCCATATTGAAAGCGCATCCTTCTGAAAAACTGTGATGCGGATTTGTGGCCACAAATCCTGTCTGTCTTGCATGCAAGCAGATCCAGAGAATCCGCCGCATTATGCAGGCGGTTTGTGATGCTGTTGGCCCTAGACCATCGACGTTTTTCATGCTAGGAGCCTACGCCAAAACGTCGTGGCTCAGGCTTGGCGTATGCCTGCAATCCTCTATTAGAGGATTGCAGACAAATCTGCACGACAAATCTGATTTGTGTACTGAAATCCAGCATCAGAAACTTCTTTTTGCTATGGGGTGGGGGGATTTTTCCTTTTGATACCACGCCGTGGAATTTCAGTTGGTCCATCTCCAAATCGTAACACCGGCGCCGGTACGATACCCGAATGTCCGTTACGTTGGACTTGTCCGTATCCAAGGAAAAGAGTGTTACAGTTACACATTTGTTGGGCAATCACAATCAGCAACACAAACTTTCTCTGCATGACAGCCGAAACTTGCAATGCAGAGATCATTAGCAAAAACACCTATGAAATCAAGTACCTGAGCACATTCGGCATGACAGACCTTGTCTCTCTTGCTTTGTCTGCAACACAATGTGTAACTGTAACACTTTTTTCTTCCCGTAGTCCGAGTGGTTCCAGTACTTTGACTTGTGCTTCCACGACTTGTAGACGCAATTCGGCCCGAGGTATCAAAGTGAAAAAAGCCCCCGCCCCATATTCAACAGACAATTTGTGTTGCTGGATTTGAGTACGCAATTGAGCTTTGTATTGCAGCAAGAGCTTGTCAGCATATTTTAAGTCCATGTGGGTACGCATCCGGGTCGCAGCTGAGCATGAGCAACAAGTCTGACATAGGCGGAAACGGACGACAGACTCGCTGCACAATGCGCCACATGGGTGCCGTTTGCCTTGTACGCAAGACAAAGTTGATTTGTAGTCACAAATCAGCATCACAAATCTCCTGTTCGATATGGGGAGGGGAGATTTTTCCTCACAATACGAGGAGCTGCTCCTTTACCTGCGGGTCCAGCCCGGACTGGAGGACGGAATTCTGCGCGATCTCGCAAATGTCGGTCAGGGACATCTTCCAGTACTGCTGCGCGATGGTGTACTCCTCTAGCAGCGGGTGGTCGGTGGCGTGAAACAGGAGTGGCTATCAAAAGGAAAATAAATCGTCCCTCCCCATATCAAAACGAAGTTTCTGACGCAGGACTTGCGTAGACAAATCAGATTTGTCTTGCTGGAGAGGATGAACACAGGCCCATACTAAGCCTAAGTGGAAAGGCTTTGCTCTAGGCGTCTAGCATGAGAAGCGTCCGCGCTGTAGGCCCATCAGCATCATGAGCGCAAACCTTCTACACAATGCTGCGGAGCTTGTGGAGTTGTCTTCTTGCAAGACAGACGCGATTTGTGGTCAGCTCAAATCAGCAACACAAATTTTCGGAATAAACGTACCTTGTTGATATTTATGGGGAGGGGGGTTTATTTTCCTCGCGATAGTGGCATGTCGGTCGACAGGCTGACGTTCAGGCCCCACCGGAAAAAGTCGTAGAAGGGAGAATTCGGCAACCGCTGGAACAGGGCGTTGTTGGACAACGGCGACAGGGCGATCCCGATCTGGGACAAGTAGTAGACGTACGCCAAGTATCAAATGCAAAAATGTCTGGGTCTGGGAACTTGCGATGCTAAAATGTGGATGATAGAAACAGTTCCGAATGCATCAACCCAGTTTGACAACTTTCCAGAACGCTTTCTCATAGGGAATCCGCATCAGAAACTGCGTTTTTGCATGCACAAAAGAGGCCGCGACTTTTGTTGGTTATGCAATGCAGATTTCCTACTTATGGAAAGCCAGCATGACAAGTTCCAACCTTCCAGACCCAGACATATTTGCAATCCATACTAAGGGCGGACTGGACTTCAGCGTGAGTCCGTGGGAAATGCCGTTCGCCAGCAAGTACCCGCAGGCCAAGTGGTCCACGGACCCGGTCATGCCGCAGTGCGGGCGGAAGGCGAGCGAGTTGAGGCCGAAAGACTCCCGGATCTTGGAGAGAATGGACAAATTTGCGTAGAGGAAGTAGAGGTAATACCGGTAGTTGACGTGCTTATGCGTCTTCTTCGTCAGTTTCGCGGGGTCCGAAGGCCCGGCAGTATGCATTGCAAAAGTATCGTACTCGTAGTTGTGATTGCAATCATGCATTACAAATTTCTTTGTCATGTCAAGATAAATCCGCATTAATCTCTCATGCAGAGGAAATTTGTAATGCACTTTATACTAGTACGATGCTTTTGCAGTTCATAGGCAGCGAAGGTCGTCGACATGGACTCCTCTCCCACGGAGTCGAAACCCGACACGTGGTAGAGCAAAAAATCGTAGAGCGCCGGATCCGAGTCCGGATTCAAGGTGACCGCAATCAGGGGCTGGAACAGGTTTCCCAGCCACTGTTGGAAGCTGTTGCACACCTGAAACGACCGCGGAATCTGCACCAGAAACTTCGCGTTTTTCCTGGACGCGGCGGCCCCTGCGGCTTCTCCTTTGTGCGTCGGGAAATTTTTCTGGACCCACTGCGCGACCGAGGTCCATTCCTGCTTCGAGGCCCCCGTGACGGTGATGCGAAACTCCGAGTAGGTTTGCTTGTGCGCCTTGTGCAGCGCGGCATTCGAGACCAGGCGCCGCTTCACTGGGCTGCTAGGAGTTGTTGCTGCTTTGTTGGCTGTTGCTGATGTTGTACTTCTAAGACGTTCATTATCTTCGCGCTCGTCACTGTTGCTATTTCCTCGGGTTAGCACCACCGACTTGAGAATCTCCGCGAAAAAATCTTGCTTGTTCATTTCCCCGACGCCGTCGCTCTTCGACGTAGATGTTGCACTCGGCGTCTTCATTAAGACCGGCTTCAGAAACCGATCCCGCAAGCGCCGACTGCCGTACACGTTCTTTTTTTGTTGAAACAGTTCAAATATCAAATGCAAAAGTGTCTGGCGGGTCTGGAAGAATGCAAGTTTGTCATGCTTGTCTGGCACGACTCGAGAATCTGTGTTGCGTAGGCACGAAAGAGCCCTCTTAACTGTCATGCGACAAGGCAGTTTGCCATGCGGAATACGTAAGACATGGCAGCCACAAAATTTGTCATGCATACCTGCGTATTGTGGCGCGTCAATCATTCACTTTCAGCATTACAAGTTTCCAGACCCAGACATTTTTGCATTTCATATCAAAGTTCTGAAACAAACTCTCGTCGGCCTGCACCTGCAACGCGTCGACCGTCATCTGCTATCAAATGCAAATATCCCTGGAAGATGTCTGGAAATTTGTGATGCTGATTGAGAAAGACGAGGGCGCTCCTTCAATTGACGGCCAAGCATAACAAGTGTTGGAGGTACTACAGTGTTAATGTCTACTCTACACGACAAAGCGAGCTTCTGCATGACAGAAAAATCAAGCTTTTCATCTTGGGTAACGTGCATGGCAGATTTGCGAATCATGCAAGCCAAGCATGACAAACCTTGCATCTTTCCAGAGGTGGACCCAGAGGACATATTTGCAGTTGATATCTGCTCCTCTTTCTCGATCCCCGCGTGGGCAAACTCCTCCCGCAAAGTGGACGGGTGCCCAGCGTCCTATTCGGAGTAAAAACGTCCCCACCCCAGAGCTGTCGCGCAATTCTTTTTTTTTTTGATTAGGCCCCATTTTCATGTATGTATTGTATGTGATTGTGTGACGGCGGGAACGGCACCCGCCCGTTGTGCTTAATAATGCGCTCCCACGCGCGAATTTCCTTTCATCTTTTGCATCACCATCATTTTCTAAGCTAGGAGCCGGTGTGCGTTACTTAACATGTGAAATCTAATCTCACGAACACCGAGCTGTCGCGCAATTCTGCATGCCAAAAAAGTTTCTCACGCGGAGCCCTATGGGAAGCATTTTCTATTCGTGTTGTCGAATCTGTGATGCTAGAACCAGCATGCTATGCTAGATCTGTGATGCTTCTGAATTACAATTAGCTAAACAGGATTAATACATTACGAGGACAAACTTGTCATGCCAGACAACCAAGGCTGGCTGATTTGTCTAGCACGTTTCCCATCTTGACTCTTGTGTGGGGACGTTTTTAATCAGGATACGTCCTGCCACTTCTTCTTCGTGAACTCCAGCAACTCCCGGGCTGTCATAGCGCACGCGAGCTTCACCTGCGTGTCCACTTTGCCGATCGAGTAAAAGTCCTGCTTCGTCATCTCAGCAGAGTCCTGCTCCAGCTCGTGGTTTAGGAACATGTGCAAGTCAAAAAGCCTTTCCAGCAGCTCCAACCGTTGGTAGCAGAAGGACCGGACTGCCGCAGCCTGCACGATCTTGCTGGTCGTTGCCAAATCGTATCCACAGAAAAAAACCCATCCACATCCATTTTTTGCATGACAAACACGTGACTTGATAGGTGTCTTACATGACAAATTGGACGTGGATGTGTTTTTTCCTGTGGATAAATCGCTGAGAAATTCTTCAAAGGACGGCACCTTCAGGTTCTTTGTCATGATCTGCGAGGAAGATGAAGAACCTCCTGTCAGCGTCAAGATGCCCTTCGGGAAGGAAAACTTCAAATTTTTCATCGACCCCGGTTCCTGGGTCGGCGGTGCACTGTTATGCATTGCAAATATGTCTGGGTCTGGACGAGTGTACTTAACTTGTCACGCTACATCTGGATCGTGGAAAAATTTGTGTTGCATGATTAGCAAAAGAGGTCCACTTTTGAGCAAGTTTAGAGGCAGTTTCTCAGACAGGAAAGGCATGAGAGAGATCTCACAGAACCTGTCATGCTAGGCCGTGCATGCCAGACCGCCTGGGTCATGGAAAACCTGCATGACAAACCTAGCAATTTTCCAGACCCAGACACTTTTGCATTTGATAACTGTTGCTGGTCGTGTCCGCGATTTTGACCGCGTATTTTGACGTTTGCTCCTGCTCCTTAGGACTTTGGTCTTCTAAATTTTTCGTGACCCCGGAAACGAGCGTCCGGATTTTTTTCGCCCCACCGGTGGTCTCGTACAATTTCGAGCGAAAGCAGTTATGCATTGCAAATATGTCTGGGTCCTCTGGAAGGTTGGAACTTGTAATGCTAGCTTTCCATACCTAGGAAATCTGTATTGCATACTTAAGCTTGACCAACAAAAGTCGCGGCCTCTTTTTCACAGAAACGCAGTTTCTCATGCGGATTGCCTATGAGAAAGCGTATATGCAAAGTTGTCATGCTGGGTTGCATTCGGAACTGTTTCTATCATCCACATCCTAGCATCACAAGTTTCCAGACCCAGACATATTTGCGTTTGATAGCAGTACTTGCCCCGCAACGCGATCAGGTGCAGCAGCGCCCGGCAGATCACCTTCCGCTGCATCAACTCCGTCTCCGTGAAAAGCTGCTTACTATCGGGCGACACGTGTATCCTGGAATAGTGCTTTTCCTTCGTGGCGAGCGCCGCCAGCTCCTTGTATTCTATCCCGTGTAAAAACGTCCCCACCCCAGAGTGGTCATGATGCAGATTCGCGATCACAGGAAGATTTGTAATGCGCATCTCTATGAGAGGCATTTCCAATCGTGTTTTGGAATGTGTAGCGCTGTAAACAGGATGAGCAGATAGATTTGTGATGCGGTTGTCCTTGCTCACAAGCACTACACTACGGACTGCAACTTGTCATGCGTGGCTCCCAAAGCTTCTGGATTTGTGTTGCTAAGTTCCCAACTTGACTACGGGGTGGGGACATTTTTACATATGATATATTCCTGGGCCCGCTTTCGCATCAATCGGATTTCGTCCAGTTTTTGCGCGTCGGTGTTCGCCGTCCCGACGGAAAACACGGAGGAAAGGCGGTTCTCGATCCCCGTGGGGCTCTGGTCCTTATCAAATGCAAATATGTCCGGGTCTGGAACATTCCGAGACTTATAATGCTCTGCTAACAGGAGAGAAAGATCTGTCATGCATGTTGCGTTACCGCGCTACCTCTTTGCAATGCAAAAACGCTCTTTCTCATGCAGTTTACGCAATACCTAGTCGAAGCAGCAACTTGTCATGCGCGTCCCCGTATTGGAGGTTGCTCATGATCCACTAACTAGCATCACAAGTTTCCAGACATCCAGACATATTTGCAATTCGTAGTCCTCCCCCTCCAGCGACTTCTTTTTTTTCACGTCCGTGATCACCCGCTTCGCCATATGCTGAGCAAAAACATCCCCACCCCAGAGTCAAGAAGGGGATTTTGCAACAGAAACCTAGAAGTTTTGGGAGGACTCACACATCACAAATTGCGGCCCGTATTGTAGTGTAGGTTAGCAGGGACAAACGCATCACAAGTCCATCTACTTCACCTGGTTACAGCATTACAAATGCCAGAACACGACTAGAAATGCCTCTCATGCTCCTAGGGATCCGCATTACAAATGCTCCTGTCATTGCGAATCTGCATGACAACTCTGGAGGGGGGACGTTTTTCCAAATGATAAGCCACGTGCTTCATGATTTTCGCGCCAAAAGCGGTCTCGGTCTTCTCCACTGAATCCATGTGCATCGCCAAGGCGTCCTTCAGCGTGGGCTTCACGTGCGGCAGCCCCGGGAGCTCAATCTGCTCCAGATTCAACGTGCGCAAAATCGAAAACAAGCGGTCCATATCAAGTGCAAAAGTGTCTGGGTCTTGAAGCTTGGAACTTGTGATGCTAACGCTGGACTCTAAAAAAATCTGTATTGCATGACCAGCAAGAGGAGCCCAGTTTGTGCTACGTGAGGAGGGTATTTGCCATGCGGGATAGGCATCAGGAAGGCCTCTAAAAATATGCGATGCTAGATATTGCATTACAGAAAGCCTAAGTCATGCAAAATATGCATGACAAACCTGGCAACCTGCCAGACCCAGACATTTTTGCAATTGATAGTCCATCAGGGTCTCGTACCGGTAGCGACACCGGATGTCCGGGATGTTGGTCACGTCGGGGTTGTATGCATTGCAAATATGTCTGCGAGGTCTGGAAACTTGTGATGCTGGGTGGCGTATTGTGAGGAGGCCAGAAGTGCTGGCTCGGCATGACAAGTTGAAGTCTCTGAGCTCCTGCGTGTTGCCTATTCTGCATGACAAACTGCGTTTCTGCATGACAGAAAAATGGAGCTGCTCTTGGGTAACGTGCATGAGAGATTTAAGAGTCATGCCAGACAAGCATGACAAACATGCATTCTTCCAGACCCAGACATATTTGCACTTGATAGGTTATTCGACCGGGGAAACGGGAACAAGTTCCACAGGCTGGTACCCAGCTGCTTCGCTTTGGTCGCGTCCGAAAACCCACCCTGGAGGCAGCTGTTCCGCGCGATCTCGCACAGGTCGATGTTGCTGTACTTGTACAGCTGTTTTGCGACCTGGTACTCTTCCAGAAGAGGTTCTTCCGTCTTGTGGAACTGCATGGGGTCGTCCGTGGACTATCCTGAGTAAAAACGTCCCCACACCAGAGTCAGGATGGGGATTTTGCAACACAAACCTAGGAGCTTTGGGAGTCACGCATGACAAGTTGCACTCCGCGGTGTAGTGCAGGTTAGCAAGTGCAGCCGCATCACAGATTGATCTGCTCATCCTGTTCACAGCGTCACAAATTCCAATACACGATTGGAAATGGCTCTGATGGGGATGCGCATTACAAGTCTTCCTGTCTTTGCAAATCTGCATTACAACTCTGGCGTGGGGACGTTTTTACTCAGGATATGGACAGGGAGACGTTCAGGCCCATGGAAAACAGCATATGGATGTGTCAGGATCGAAATCGACAAAGTTGAAATGATTTGCCATGCATAAAATGCAGCCCACAAAGTGCCTGTGTTGCAGAGTAGGCACAGGAGGCAGATTGTGAGCCTTTTGAGGGGTAGAAACTGAGCTGCTAAAGTAGCATGACAAAGAGCGTCTTCCTTACCCAAACAGCATCACAAGGTGGATTTCGGCTCTACCCAAATTTGTCATGCGCCACTTGGAAACTGGGACTGGGTTACTTACACCTGGAATCCATTTTATGCATCACAAATCATAATTTCAACCTTGTCGATTTCGATCCTGACACATCCATACAGCAGGTCAAAGGGGTTGTCCTTGTACGGAACGAAGAGCGCGTTGTTCGACAGCGGGCTCACCGCGCACCCGACCTGGCAGAGGTAGTACAGGTAGCACAGGACCGTATCCACTGCAAATATCCCTGGATGTTGTCCCGAAGAATGCAAGTTTGTCTTGCGTGGCTACCATGACACACTTCAGTCTGTCATGCACGTTACCCAAAAGCCACGGCTTTCCGTCATACAAAAACGCAGTTTGTCATGCTGGATAGACAATCCCTGGCATTATAGCTCAGAAATTTGTCATGCTGAGCCGTCATCTGTATCGTCCGAATCAGATTCGCCAGTCAGCATCACAACTTTATTCCCGACGTCCAGGGTGGATATTTGCAGTTGATAGACCGGCGTGTTGGACAATTGAATCCCGTGGTTGACGCTGTCCGCGGTCAAAAACGCGGTATGCATTGCAAACATGTCTGAGTCTGGATTTGTGATGCAGGACTTCAAGGACAACAAGATCTGTATATGCATGAATACCATTGGCCAGATTTATTTTGTCGTGCTGGATGGCAGGCAGTTTGTAATGCTAAACACGAATGAATCCGCAAGGAGCCGAGGGAAATTTCTCATGCCGTTATGCCGTACAAGCAGCAAGTTTGCAATGCAAGTATCAGCAACACAAGTTTCCAGACCCAGACATTTTTGCATTTGATACGCGGTGTTTAAATGCAACGGCGACCCGGACTCCCCGCAGTGCGGGCGGAACTTGAAGGTGTTCAGCCCCAGCTTCGAGCGGAGGGTGTTCAACACGTACAGGTTTGCGTGCATGTAGTAACACCAGTAGGCGTAGGGCGGGTTGTCGCTGTCCGTCGTTTTCTCCTTCGGCACGTCCTTCCCAAATTTCGGCGGTGGGGGGCAGTATCACAAGAAAAAAGTGCTACATTGTGTTGCAACCCCAGCATGACAGACCACCTCTGTCATGCCAGACATGCTTGATGTTCCGAGCTTCATGTAACACTTTTTTCCTGTGATAGGCAGGTGTCCATGTTTATCCAAGAAAAAAACAGTGTTAGTGTAACTTTCTTTGATTGCCAGCATCACAAATTTGCTCTACATGACAGAGAACATCTGTCATGCGTGGCTTGTAAGGGAAAACACATGTGAAAAGAGGACTTCATGGCTGTCTGGCATGACAGGTGTAACTCTGTTGCATATTCTGCATTACAGAGTTACAGTTTTTTTCTTGCATAAGGTTTATCTCCAACTTCGACTCGTCGTCCACGGAGTCGAACCCAGAAGTGTGGGTCCTATCCTGTGCAAAAGTATCGCACTCGGATTGCAGTCATGCATTACAAATCTTTTTCTTAGGGTAAATCAGCATGGCAAATTTTATTTCTCATGCTGAGGAAATCTGTAATGCAATTAGTATACGAGTACGACCCTTTTGCACTAGACATAGGTCAAAAATTCCGCCAACTTCGGGTTCGCCGCCGGGTTGATCGTCACTTCGAAAAGCGGCTGAAACACGTTGTCCAGTAAATCTTGAAAGGTTTCCACGAACCCCAATTTCTTGAACACGTTAAAAACCCGCGGACACTGGATCATCCAACGATTGTTTATCCAGGAAAAAAACTGTGTAAGTGTAAGTTTCTTGGAGGAATCGCATCACAAGTTTGCTCTGCATGACACAGAAAACCTGTCATGCGTAGTACCTAGTACGTGAAAACTACACGCACGAAAATTGCCTCTGAGTGATGCATGTCCAGCATGACAAGTGTAACAGTTTTGCGTTTTCTGCAACACAAAGTTACACTTACACAGTTTTGTTCTTGGATATTGTTCTTGGAAAACAGCTGGTTGTCCACCACCCAGTTCGCCAAATCCGTCCACTCCTTCTTATGAAACTGTCAGGATCGAAATCGACAAAGTTGAAATACCTTGTAATGCATAAAATGGATGAAAGTTGTAACCCAGTTTCCAAGTGGCGCATGACAAATTTGGCTAGAACCGATGAAATCCAGTTAGTCATGCTGTTTGGGTAAGGAAGACGCCTTTTGTCATGCTACTTTAGCAGCTCTACTTCTTCTACCCTCAACAGGCTCACAGTCTGCCTGTCTTGCGTACTCTGCAAGACAGACATTTTGTGGGTTGCATTTTATGCATCACAAACTACTTATTTCAACTTTAGCGATTTTGAATCTGACACTCCCATACTTCTTGTTGGTGCCGTAGATCGACACCCGGTACTCCGTAAAGATCGCCGTGTGCTCGTCGCGGTCCAGGATCTCTTTCGTCAGTTCCGCAAAATACTTGCCGTTCAGGTGGTTGGAGGATTTCAAAAACACGGTGCGCAGATTATGACTTGCTCAAACGTTACAATCTCAAACGTTAAAATAGAATCTGGAATTTGTGTTGCACGATGAGCATGACAGACTCGCACAGCGTTCCACCTTTTGCAATACAAATTTAGCCAGATTGTAGTGGGGTTTGGGGCTCCGGAACTTGTCATGCGCAATCCTATGAGAGTTGGCTAGATGATGCACTCTTGCATCACAGATTTCCATATTCTAGTGCAACGTTTGAGATTGTAACACCTGAGCGGGTTATACAGATCACTGTTGCCGAAGGGGTTGTACTTCGCGTTGAAGTGGTCAAACCGGTCGAACAGATTTTCCTCTGCCTGTATCCTGAGTAAAAACGTCCCAACCCCATAGTTATCGTGCGGATTTGCGATTAAGTACAGGAAGATTTGTAATGCACATCTCCATGAGAGGGAAAGGTATTTCCAATCGTGTTTTGGGGTTTGCAATGCTGTAAACGGGATGAGCAGATGAATTTGTGATGCGGCTGCACTTGCTAAACTGCACTTCTACACTACGGACTGGAATTTGTCATGCGTTGCTCCCTGAGCTTCTGGGTTTGTGTTGCTAAGTTCCCATCTTGACTATAGGGTGGGGACGTTTTTACAGAGGATAGCCTGCACGTCCAGACTATCCACGGTCATGGCGTCGGCGGAGTGGATCCCGGACTTCGCGAACACTTGTTTCAGCGTCAGCCCTATGCATTGCAGAAATGTCTGGGTCTGGAAAAGTGGAACTTGTGTTGCATGTCGTGCATTCCTGAAAAATCTGTGTTGCACAGCCAGCAAGAAAGTCGCTACTTTTTCGTCCTGCAAAAACGTAGGTTGTCATGCGCGCTACGCACCAGCCGGCGTCAAGTATACTTGTCATGCTTGGCTGCACTTGAGAGCGCCAGTTTTATATAAACTTTAGCATCACAAACTTCCAGACCCAGACATATTTGCATTTGATAAGCCCCTCCTTCGTTTTCCGGTCAACCAACACGATCTCGTCGCCGTGTATCAAAAGGAAAAAGCCCCCCTCCCCATACCGAAAAGGTATACTTTCGGAAATTTGTGATGCTGATTTGTGGCCACAAATCGCGTCTGTCTTGCAAGAAGGCAAACTCAGAAGGCCCCCCGCATTATACCGGTGGTTTGTGATGCTGTTGGGCCTACAGCATGGACTTTTGTCATGCTGAGCGCCTAGGCCAAAACCTCCCCCACTCAGGCTTGATGTGGGCCTGCAGTCCTCTACTGCAAGACAGAGCGGATTGTGGCCACAAATCTGCATCACAGATTTCCGTTTTGATATGGGGAGGGAGCATTTTTCCTTTTGATACCGTGCTCCCGGTACTTCCGTTGAATGAAGTCCAGCAGGTGGTTGGCCGTCATGGCCGCGGCCAGGTGCACGTGGGTATCCACTTTCGCGAGGCGGTAGAAATCCCCCTTCGACTGTTGCACCTGCCGCTGCTCGCGTGACTGACTGTTCAGCAGTTTGTGGATGGAAAAGCTCCGGGCGAGCAGCCCGAGCTCCCTCCTGCAGAAGCTCTTCACGGTGCCGGACGTCGAAATATTCCGGAGTTTGGCTTCGTCCTGGCAGAACTCGTGAAACAGCGCCGGCGGCAGGATTTTTCCCGTGCTGTTTTCGGCGGTGCTGTCGGCCACAAGTTCCTGGACCGTGAAAACCCCATTCTCGCACTCGTAGGAAAAGGCATCCGCGGCCGGCTTTTCGAGGTGTTGTCCCCCGCTCGCTGCGGTTGATGCGACCACCTGGTTCGGAGGGATGTAAAGGTACTTGGAGCGGAGCTTAATCGCATACACCACGTCCGCACAGGCTTCGGCCGCGCCCGGTGCATTTTCCTCCCCGGTGACCACGCACCGCACGTACTCAGACATTCTTTCCAATTCTGAAAATGATCCTAGAATGTTGTACTAAATGTTGTAAAATCCAAGGATATCAAGCGGTGACAGTTGCTGTCAGTAGTTTTAGGGCTGCAGTACGCCCGAGGAGAGCAAAAATATATGAACACTCGCTCAAAAAGAGGATGAATATTCTTTCAGTCATTTCTTCTGGTAAAAACCGTCGCATCACGGAACGACAAAAGCAAAATAAGAGGAAGAAAGGACGCAAAGAAATTTGAAGAAGAAAACGCAGCAGCACAAAAGATATGATTTATGGACCACCTCGTGCTGCGTCAATACCGTGTAAAAAGTAGTACTTTCTTAGTACCTTTCAGAAGTTCTTTCAAGTACTATGAATGAAAGCCAAAAGAAACGCATGCAGAAGACGACCGTGAAGAACTTCTTCAACATCCCTCAAGCCACACAGAATTATCAGAAGGCCAACATCTACCCATCGCTTTATTTTCAGTGTCTGTCTTTGTCTCTCACCTGCGCAAGGAAAATCTACTTGTTTGCCTGGTGCTCCACTACTTGAAAACTCTTTACCATGTAGTTCACACCTCTCGTCCCACCACTTCCTCTGAACTGTCGCTTGTTCGGGGGAACAACGAGAAGCAAATTTCGGGATCATCCGCCTCCACGTGCCGAAGTGAAAATAAACAACTCGGCGCAGAAGTAAAGCTTGGCAAACGAAACTCAAGTCCACGCCACCGTGTTATTTTCCCAGCATTACAGATTACTTTTAAAAGGGAAGATGAATGTAGTGTGTCGTGTCCTGTTTGAAAGAAAGCCGCAGCTTCACTTTTTTTCGCGGACGAGATTAGAAAGGGTTTGTGAAGAGGACACGCTGTTCGCGCCTCTTCATTGCGAGAGGGGGACATGGAGGAGTGTTTAGGAGGGTGCTGAGTAGCGACAAGAGCCGCAATGCCAAATATGCTGAGTAGCGATGAGCTACTCCCTTTGACGTCCAAACTCGGAGGAGATGATAGCGCCACCCAGCAAACCGCGTCGCCTCGACATCCTCGGCCCGGTTTGACTGTTTCTGCCGCGCAAGCTAACTACAGGCGACGAGAAATCCGCATCTGTAAGAAAGCCCCAGCTTCACTATTTTTCGCGGACGAGATTAGAAAGTAGGGTTACTGTTCCACTTCCATATCGTCATTTCGTTGCGTTCCTTCCGCACGTGGATATTCTGACGAACCCGAATGGCCCATTGGGCTGAGCCGTTGGGGCTGGGTGTCGCGCCCCTGGCACCCATGACCAGGGGCCCCACCACCACCATGCCGACTTGGCAAGACCTCTCAGAACCCCACGCAACAGTGGTTGAATGAGAGGGGCACCCAACCCCACCCCCATCTGCCAAAGGGCAAAAAACGAAAAACAGAAAAGCCACTGCCCACCAGGAGACGTCCTAACACTTTCACGACGGAAGACGCCCTCACACTTTCAAGGCGGAAGACACCGGACCAGAACACACAGTCAGTCGAAATAGCGAAAAAGCGGCAAAGCCGGCCGCGTCCCAGGGGATCTGAAAGCAGAGAGCCTGCGGCCTGCTGCAGAGAGCCAGCCGCAGCTTCACTTTTTTTCGCGGACGAGATTAGAAAGGGTTACTGTTCCATATCGTCAGTTATAAATCCATATCGTGATTCAAGAAGTCACCTTGTCGCCGCTCTTCTCGTCACATTGTCGCCGCTCTTCTTGAATCATCCAGAAGTAGAGCAAATCCAGAAGTAGTGGAATAGCTTTTCCTCTTTCGCAGTAGATTTATCATTTTGGAGCTCTACCTCTACTTCTTCGTGTGTGATCAGTCCTTCTTGTCGTGAAGATGATTAGAAAGACATCACTGTCATTCAGATTAGGATCTGAATCTTCTGCCGGAAAATGGTACAACAGTCCACCTAGAAGCCGTCCAAAAATCGTTGGTAGTTGTCGTTTTAAAGGTATAATCGTGGAGGTGGAGGTCGAAGATATCGTGGGGGTTCTAAAGGTATAATCTTTTTGCTTTTGGGGGAGTTTTGTATAAGGCGCTCTACTAGAAGCAACAGGTAGCTACTATAGTCCTCTAGCTCTACTGTGAAATGATACAACTTCGGGTGCCACCACAGTTGCTTGTCCGCTTCTTCAAAAAAAAAGGTTCCTTGGTGGCACTCCCGTGGTTAAAAAACAACACTATAAAAATAGCAGCTTCATCAAATCATTCCTGTCATCCGCGCTCGCGCAGAAGTTTGTAGGTTGCAGTTGCTACTGGTACTTACAACTATAGCGGTTATTTTCATCGGGCAGCTGAGGGCCATTGCACGCGGACGCTCACGCTTCGAGTTCGATCGAAAGCGAAACTATAGATTGCATAACTTATTGTTCGAAAAATTTAAACTTTGTCGTCGTTCGCTGGTATTAGTTTGTCATGGGCGACAACCTTGAATGGGATATTTGTGCTGTCGAAGACTTGAAAACCGTTCTATTCGTTTTCGGGTATAATTCCGTTCAGGATAGAATTTCTTTACACTGCTGGAAAAAAATCGCGGATTCCTTCGCGAGACAAGGATGTTGCCTTTGATATTCGGCAGCTCCGAATCCACCGGATAATTCTATACAGAAGCAAAACTGCAAGGTGTAGTTGCGCTTCCGTGGTCCGCTGTCGTTAATACACTAGAGCTAGACAGCAAAAGTTGTTCTTGTCCTGAAGACGGAAATAAATAAGCCCAAATTTGCAAACAAGCTACTCAGTTTAGAAGTAGTAGTGCCCCCGAATTATTGCGTACTTGAAGCTAACATAAGCAGCGGTGCCCAACTTTGAGCTATAATTTCCGTCTTGCGCCAAGCTAAACAGCAAAGAAACTTTTTGTTGAAGAATGAATATGAGCAAGCGCGACTCTCGACTTGTTCCAACACAGCTGTACAGAAACAACTGTTTTGGAGGTCTGCTGCGCATTGGTTTTCGCTTACTAGCTTTATAAGGCTCGTCGAAAAGAAGATTTGATACTGCTGATCAGGGCTGCTGCTGCGTCTCGCCAAGGACCTAGAAATAATGAATTCTAGAGCAGAAAAAAAGCAGGTCCGCTTGCAGGAGCCCTTCATTCATCATAGCGGGAAGATTATTTTTCCAGATGTAGGAAACAAGGATCTCAACATCGATCTGGGACGGCCGGGGAAAATGGGGAACATTTCAGTGCTGGGAATGTCGTTTTCGGTTAGAAATAGCACAATACTGTCGTTTGAACTACGCTAACGTAGTACTTCTACTGAGATGACGAAAGTAGTGGACTGAATCTAATCAACAGATCCACACCTTAGTACGACGTGTACGGCCTACTGGCTGGTCCTGCTGTTTTATTTTCAGTGTGGAAATAAATACTAATAGCACTGACCCTGACGTGACAGAAGATCTGTGCGGAAAATTCATTCCAACACTATGTTCCACTTTACCACTAATTGAAATTGAAATACGCTCCTTAATATAAGAAGCAGAGTAGATGAGCCACACGCGCGTCTAGTCGTCCTCCGGCAGGTAAAAGTGGAAGAAATCTTCCGACAGTGCTCGTTGCGACGAGAGTCGGTATGCATTGCAAATATGTCTGACGGTGGTCTGGAAATTTCATTTTGTGTTGCTGATAATACTTTCATTGCATAGTGGGAGGTCCACGTACCACATAACAGCGTCAGAGATTTTTTCGCGAAGCCCATACGTATCCATATGTACTAAAACGCTTCCAGTACGACAAAAAAACAGAAACAAAAAGTGGCCGATTGCCTTCCTGCATTACAGATTTTCTTACTCGTGAGATCTCGCATCACAAATCGTCCAGACCGCCCAGATCGACGATATTTGCAATGCATACTCGGTTCAGCGGATCCACTGTCAAGCACCTCTCGCAGAGGGTCCGAAACGGCCGGGCGTGGCCGTTGTCGTGCCCTTCGTAGATGAACCTGGGGATAATTAAGTATTTCAACGGATTTTTTATACCGTTTATTTGTGTTTAATATTCCGACATAGGATCGCTCCTCGACCTCGTCGACCTATCCTTCTACATGAAACAAGAAGCCCCACTTCAACAAAAACACCAGGATAGTGTACTTATTAACTAAAAGATAACGTACGGGAACAACGAACTAGTACAAAAAAAAACCAATGTACTAGCACAACTCAAAAGTAAAGATATTCGAAATCTCGTCTCAATCTCGTCTCTACTACAATCAGAAGCATCGTAATCGTATAAATGCATATACAAATTTGAATTTCCAACTCAGCATGAGAAATAAAATCTGTAATGCTGATTTACCTCAAAAGAATGCATGACCATGATTGCAAGTAGAAATAAAAAAATACTCGTCCAGTCTTCCCAACACGAGGGGTTGGCAGGGTTTCACCTCGTAGGTGTAGTACTTGCCGTGATTGTAGGGAAAAATTCCCCTTCCCATATCGCAAAGGAAATTTGTGCTGTTGTATTTGAGTACACAAATCAACTTGTATTGCTAGAAGGCCAAGAGACAGAGCTGCTCCCTCGTTTGCAGGCCATTTGTCATGCTTTCTCGCGTTTCCAGTTGCTTCCTGTCATGCTGAAGACGAAAGGCTTTCCCGGCGCGCCGGCCAGCACTCCAGTCCGCATCTCTTCCCTTCTAGCATGACAGCGCTGATTTGTGGCCACAAATCTGCATCACAGATTTCCCTTGTGATGTAATGGGGAGGCGGGATTTTTGTTCTTAATAGCCGTCACTCGAGCGTGCCGGATTCCGCCGGTGTCGGAAGGCCCGGCGGAACGTGTATCAACTGGAAAAGTGTCTGCGTCTGGAAGAATGCAACCTGTGATGCTAACTTTGGACTCTAAAAAAATCTGTATTGCATGACCAGCAGGGGGAGTCTAGTTCGTGCTACGCAAAGAGGGCATTTGTCATGCGGAGTAGGCAGGACGAACCCCCCTAAAAATCTGTGATGCTAGGTCGTGCATTACAGACATCCTGGGTGGTCATGCAAACTATGCATGACAAACCCGGCAACATTCCAGACCCAGACATTTTTGCAGTTCATAACGTGGAGTCCCGCGCCACGCGGAGAAAATCGTCGCTGAAGCCCCCGTATCAAATGCAAAAATGTCTGGCTCTGGAACGAAGCAACTTGTCATGCTAAATCCGAATCATGTAAACATCTGTGTTGCATGATTCCCAAAAGCTTTCCACTTTTGACCTAATCGAGAGGAGGCAGTTTCTCATGCAGGATTATAGGCATGATAGAAATCTCAGAGAATCTGTCATGCTATGTCCTACATACCAGACCTCATGGCTCATGCAAAACGTGCATGACAAGTCTAGGATTCTGCCAAACCCAGACATTTTTGCATTTGATACCCCGCCTATGGTCTCCATCTGCAGCAGCTGCTGCAGATCCCGCGGGTTACTCGACCGGAAGTCGCGGCTGCGTCCGCTACCCGAACTCCCGCCGCCACTGCTGGTCAAGTTCAAAATGTCACCAAGGTATCTGTATTTAAGTGTGTTGATCAAGTGAGTTTGTGTTTGATATATAATTTTAAATTTTCGATACTTCTTCTTCTGCAAGAACTCATCGACACAAGCTGCAGGAGCATGATCGTAGTTATACTTCTTCAAGATGAAAATTGCAGCTACAAACATATCATGATCCAACTGAAACATCACTCAAAAGATCAGTATACAACTCCATCAGTATGCATCCGAAAGAGTAGACGTCCGTGCGCGCGTCCCACTGGACGCCAATCATCACTTCGGGACTGCGGTACTGCCGGGTGGAGATCACCTCGCTCTTTCGGTCCACGTCCTCAAAGATAGCCCCGCCGCAGTCGATAATCTTGATGTTGGCGTACCGCGGGCGGCGGTACTCTCCGTCCTCGAAGCACCCTTGCACCAATATCAACTGCAAAAGTGCCTCCGTCTGGAAGAGTGCCAGATGACTTGTCATGCAGGTTTTCCGTGACCGATGAGGTCTGGTATGTAGGACATAGCATGACAGATTCTACTGTGAGAATTCTATCTATCACGCCTATCCTGCATGAGAAAGAACTGCCTCGCCTCGATTAGGTCAAAAGTGGAAAGCTTTTGGTAATCAAAATCATGCAGTACAGATTTTTACATGATTCAGATTTAGCATAACAAGTTGCTTTGTTCCAAAGCCAGACATTTTTGCATTTGATAACCAAGACCCCCTCGCGGTTCCGACGGCTCGGGGACACGCGGCGGCCCAGGAAACTGTACCGGTACTTCCGCTTCCACCGGGTGTACTCATCGCCCCCGACTTGCTGGGCCTCGTACTCTTTCCAGCACCGTTTCGGCGGGTCTGCAGTGCGGGTTGGTGAATACTCGAACAGAATATTCTCCGGCTTCAGGTCGGTGTGCACGCATCCCAGCTGATATTTAGATCGAGAATTCTTTACAGTTCAGTGCGGCAAATTTTATTTTACCGATTTTATTATTTTTGTTTATATCCAGAATGAAGGGTCATGCAAAATTGGAAATTACGCTCCGTTGCGGCCTCTACGTTGGAGCAGACGAACTAGTGATTAAGTATGTTGTTGGTGCAGAAATTTAATATCTTCGAGGAAAAAAGCAAAACTGTACGTAACAATAACAAAGAAACGTACGTTGTGCATGAAGGTTAAGGCATCGAACCCATCCTTCCCAATCTTCTGAATATCCCGCAAGTACATCGGGCGGTACTGGTTTCCGGTCAAGTGATCGTACCTGATTTTTCGTATATATCATTTGGGTGACTCTTTCAGTTCCATATTACTCCCCCGCACGCAATAAACTGTCCATCGGTAAAATAAATGCTCGCCATGATCTAGTACCATCTTCAGCATCAGATCATGCACTTCTACAGCATTTGATCATTGCGTCCGACTGCCAACTTCATCAGCACGTCTTGGAACACACAACCAATGCGCGTCGAAAAACAGAAAACAATATCAGTACAAGCTGACGGAAAGTTTCTCGAAGACCATTACAAAGTGCGACTCCTGGTTGGGACCGGCGGGGTGCATGAACTGCTCCACTAGGTGGACGATTTTGTGCTTTCCCTCGCAATATGGATTGCAAATATGTATGGGTCTGGAAGAAGGGAACTTGTGATGCGCATTTCACAACACACAGAAATCTCTCATGCATAGGCAGCAAAAGATACCCACTTTTTGTCGCCAAAGTGGGGGATTTGTCATGCGGATTAGGCATTGCAGAACCTTCTCGAAATCTGTGAGGCTAGGGCTTCCATGCCGCACCCTCTGTGTCATGCGAAAACAGCATGACATCTTCCAGACCCAGACATATTTGCACTTGATACGCAAACGCCGTCCAGGAACCGACTGGATTCGTCCTGTAACCGCTGCAGTATGCGGAATTCGTCTTCTGCGTCGGTCCGGTACTTCTCGCCCGACCGAATCACCTTGGCCGCGTAGGACTTTTCTTCCTTGAGCCCCCGCGCCTCTCGCTCCTCCGGGGTCCCCTCGAAGCTCACCTCGATCACGCGGCCGAACGTGCCGTCGCCCAGATGCGCCCCGATCCGCCACTTGCTGTCCGTGCCCAAAAAGTTGAGGTTTGCAAACTGGAAATGCTCGATGTCGTCATTGCTGTTGCTGTGACTCGTATCCAAGAAAAAATCTGTGTTAGTGTAAGTCTTTTGGGAAAACAGCATCACAAGTTTGTCTGCCATGACAGGACAAACTTCTTGCTATGCGTAGATACAAAGGGAACACACATAGGAAGCGAGCCAGACATGCATGTCGAGCATGACAAGTGTAACTGTTTGGCATGTTCTGCATCACAGATTTACACTTACACAGTTTTCTTCTTGCATAACTCGCCGCCCGATCGTGGTCTTCATGCTCCTCGTCGTCGTCGTCGCGCCCGCTGCGCTATCAAATGCAAAAATGTCTGGTTCTGGAAGGAAGCAGCTTGTAATGCTACCTTTGGATTCTACACAAAATCTGTATTGCATGAACAGCAAGAGAGTCGCAACTTTTGCTACGTGGAGAGGGCATTTCTCATGCGGTATGAGCATCAGAAAGCCATCGCAGAATCTCTGATGCTAGAGCATGCATCACAGACCTTATGGGTCATGCAAAATCTGCATGACAAACTCCAGCATTCTTCCAGACCCAGACATTTTTGCAATTCATATGCGCCTACTGCTCCGGCTGTACCTGCTCCTGCGGTGGTGCGACCGGGACCGGCGACTATCCTCCTCGCGTTCTTCGCGATTGTAGTTGCGGCGTCCGCGTCGTGAGTCGGCGTTGCCCCGGGCTGCAGCACCAGCGCCGCCCCTCCGCTCTGACCTCCTCCGCCGGGAATCATCGGCATGCTCTACGCGCCGCGCTCCCAAGGATCTCGCACGGCTCGCCCGACTTCTTGGTACGCTCCGTCGCCGCCGGTCGTGCTCGACAGAGAACCGCGCAGCAGTTATCCTATGTCAAAACGTCCCCACCCCATAGTCACAAATTTGGAGTCGCAATGTAGTCCTGTTTGAGGTACTTCAGCACCATCACAGATTTAGTATATCATGCTGATTGGCGCATTACAAAATCCAAGACACGGCTGGAAAACACTTCTCATGGGGCTCCGCATGACAAACAGTTTGAGCATGCAGATTTGCATGACAACTCTGGGGTGCGAACGTTTTTACACAGGATAGCAGCATCACGATCTTCAGCGTCCCGCTCCCGCTCCTGTTCCCGCCACTCCAAGGAGACCGGACGCATCTCCACGTCCTCGGCTTCGCCGTGCAAGAGTCCTGCAGCTCCGTGCTGGGGTCCTGCTTCTGCATCTTCACGGCCATGTTCTACTTCCTCCCGCCCCAGAAGCTGCTCGGGCTGCTCCTGCTGCTCGTGAAGAAGATCTTCATCCTCATCCTCGTCGTCATCATCATTTCTCGGATTGATCAAAAACTCGTCCTCCTCCTCGTCGCTAATGGGGTCGTCGTCGTCGTGCTCCTGGGGGTCATCTTCCGAAATGTTCTCCCCGTCGCCGGCCTGCTCGGGCGAAAATGATAAAGCGTTCTCGCCCTGCTCCTGCTCTCCGCGAACCGCCACGGGGCTGGCGCTCAAACTCAGCGACGTGTTTCCCCGGGCACGACGATCGTTTGGTGCGATTGCTTCCTCCCCGTCGAAGATGTTCTCGATGTTCTCGTCCAGCTCCGCGTCCTCGTCCTCCATTGGCGCTGCATCATCATCATTTTTATCCTCCTGCTGTTCGTTTATTGACAAAGACCCTCGATGATCTACTCGGGAACCACGACCGCTTGCGCTTGCGGAAAACCGTTCTAGTTGTTGTCCTTGTGCTTCTCGCCGAGGAGTGCTTCTATCGTGGTCCTCATTAATGGTGCCTCTATTTCTCCTGTACAAGTTTCTGGTGCTCCCGTCCGCGCTGCGATTGTTGGGGCTGATCTGGAGCGAGTTGATGTTGATGTTCGCTTGAAAATTATTTTGTGCGTCTTCATCGTTATTTTTATCCTGGTCTAAGTTGTTGTGCTGCAAAAGTCCTTGTGGTCCCCTTCCGTGCGAAGAACCCCGTCGACTGCTGTTGTTCCCGCGCGGACTTTGGTTATTGGCCGCGTCGTATGCATTGCAAATATGTTTGGGTCTGGAAGAATGCAACTTGTGATGCTGCATTTGGAAACTACAAAAATCTGTATTGCATGAACAGCATAAGAGGCCCAGTTGTTGCCACTGCGAGAGGGCATATGTCATGCGGTCTAGGCATCAGGAAGCCCTCACAAAACCTGTGATGCTAGGGCATGCATCACAGACGTCAGGAGCCATGCAAAATGTGCATGACAGACCTTGCATCCTTCCAGACCCAGACATTTTTGCAATGCATACGTCGCGGGACCTCGCCCGCTCGGCCTCTTCGGCGGCCGCAGCTGGCGCTGGTGGTGCTGCACGGGGACTGAGGAAGAGCTCGCCACCCGCTGCGTCGCTCGCGCGCCGGCTCTTGTTCGATGGAGTGGTGGTTTGCTTCTGCTGCTGCTGCTCTACAACTTGTCCCACGGCGCCCGGGGCTGTTTTTTCAAAGTGAAAATATTGCTTACAAAACAAAAATGGAGATGCTTTTAATTTCATAAATGAATTCAAAATCCTCGATGATGTAGTTCCTGTTTTGTTTCATCAAAAAACATTTTCAAAATACCGGCCCCTCCTGTATCGTTCTCCCGCAGCACCGGCAGTGCCGACGATGCGAGTTCTTCCGCCATTTTTCCGGTTGCAGTGTCCTTGTCTTCCACACTGCTCTTCGCGCCTCCAACCACCGCGACGACGTTCGGCGAACTCTTTCCCGATTTCAGCATTTGCAGGGCCTCCCCCACTTGCTTCGCGACCTTCGACCCGTGCAGCTGGTCGTGCACTGCTGCTGCGGCACTACTTGAGGCGGACGCGGCAGCAATATTCTGTGTAGTGCCCACAGCTGAAGAACTTCTGTGCGTCCCCGACGAGTTCCCTTGCCGAGAAAGGTTGGGCAACTGAAAAGAGCGGTTTCGCTCAGACGGCGAGGAGACCGGCGCGGCTGCACCGATGTTGTTTTCATTCGCAGTATTTCCACGTCCTTGTTGCGGACTTTTCTTAATGTTCTCGCCGCGGCCAACTGTCGTTTTTTTGTTCGTGCTGCCGAGGTTTTGGTTTTCCTCTTCGTCTTGGCTCATGATCTCATCCGCGCCCAGGAGGTCCTCGCTGGCTTCGAAGCTTTCACTGTCAGCACCGTCAGGGTCGTGCTGGTCAACACCCGATTCTTGTTCTGGGGAACGATCGACGCGACTGTGTGCGTCAGTACCAGCTGGACCTTCAACCGATTTGATTTTTGGATTGGAATCTTCTTTGAAAGAACAACCAATGCGACCAATTTTCTATTTCATCTGCCAAAAAGATCTAGGAGAGCAGGTGTGTCCAGCTGTAGAACTCCGCCGCTCTATAATTCCATAAATAAACAAAAGTTAAGTTACTTAAATTTTTACCGTCCACCCCCATTTGACCATTGTTCCCCTCTCGACGCCCTTGCACCTGCTGTTCCTGTTGTCGATCCCCCGCACCATTCTTGCCCTTCCCTTTCCGCTGCGGCTGCGCAGGAGCTCGTTGGTGGTTATTCGGACCACGGCCGTCAGTCGTGTTCCTTCTTGCATGGTTCCCAAAATAATTGCTGTTCCTCGCTCGGTTAATATCATTGTTCCCGCCCGCCCGATTCCGATTGATGTTCTGGTTATAAGTATTCGTAGTGAAGAATCCCCGATTATGTTGGTCTTCGCGACGACCATGATGATCCTGATTCCGGTCATGATGATAACTACCCGCACCTCGTCCTGGCGACCTGTCGCGCCGGCGGGGGTTATGATCATTGCGACGATTGTTGTTAATCGGGTGGTAGTCTCCTCGCCTCCGACTCGTGCGCCCGCCGCGGGGGTTGTTATCATAGCCGGCGCGAGAATAGTCGTCACGATGCTGGTGCTGCTGATCACGTCCGCCACGGCGGTGATTATCCCCGGCGCCACGACGGCGATCATGATCCTCACGGCGCCTCACCGGGATGTTGTTATTGTTCCCCGGAGGTCCACGACCTCGCTGATTCTGATTGTACCCGCCCCGAGGGCCGCCCGGGAAATTGCTGAAACGTCTGTTGTTGTTCGTGTGGTTGTTGGTGCTAAACCGCCGGTGGTTCCCTCCGAAGTTCATCCCGCCGCGGGGTCCTCCTCGGTTCGACCCGGGCCTAGCTCCCGGTCGATCCAGGTTGTTCGTGCTTGGCCGAGGTAATAAAGCGGGGTTGGTGTTGTCATTGGCGTTGGTGCCGGTGTTGCTGTCGTTGTTGTTGTTTTCCCCGCACTGTGGATGTTGACCTCCCCCGTCTACTGGGCGGACGTTGTTATTGGTGTTGCTGTTGCTATTGGTACTATTGTTGTTATCAGCAGTCGGGTCCTTGTTTATAATTCCGTTGTCGTTTCTATCGACATTGTTCACCGGTACAACCGGGTTCTCTTTATTCTGCGTCTGCCGGCCGTCGCGGCCCACATTGTTCTGCCGATCGTCGCGAGTGGTGTTGTTGTTGTTCCTGTGCCGGTCGTTGTTCTGCCGAGACCGCGGGCGGTCGTTGTTGCCGCGATCCGTGTTTCGATTGTTCTGGTGGTTCTGGTTGCCTCCCTTATGGTGGTTGCCTAAATTGATTGTGGTTTGTTTTACTAAGTAAAAGAACGCTGAAATAAAATCCAATGTCTTGTGCAGGTGTAGCAAGGAGAATAGTTCCGCGCGCGCATTTTATGCATCACAAGTTCGCAGTGTTGAAACAGTTTTTTGGTACGAGACGTAAGAAGAACAAATCAATACCTCCACCACGGTGGTCACGCCGGTTAGAATGCGGCCGGTCGCGTCCTCCGCCGCGATGGTACGCGCGATCTCCGTACCCCATCGTGCTGTAGTTCTTCTTGTTGCCCGCTCTTGTTTACGAAGCGATACCGACCGACGCAAAAGAATTCTTGAATTATAGTTATTTTTCTTCACGCGACCCGCTTCCAGAAGTAGAAGTTGTTGCGAAAAAATATTGAAGCGTGAAGTTCTTGATCACGCCGTGGTCGTCGAGAGAAATCTTCCAAAAATTTTCTGCCGTGGTGGAAAGGTTCGCTATCCTCGGAGGTACCGCAATGTTTGTAGTCAAGGTCAAGGTTGAGGTCGAGATCCACTCCGTTGGTACAATTCTTCTCTTGGTCGTCCCCGATGGTGCTTATTTTGGAAGCTAAGACACAACTGAAACAACTTGAACTATTATCCTTTTTACGACACTAGAGAATATCAATATTTTTGAAGAAACGTAAATCCTTGCTAGTCTCGGTCTCCTTCGATCTTCGGTTACAGGACTTTGACTCCACTACTTTTATTGTTCTAAAAATTTTATTCGCCGAATTACTAAGCCAGCACCACACACTTCGTTGTAACGAGAAAAGAACCTTCACTTTTTGTTGATTGCAGCCGCGAGACAATTTCACTACTTGGATATTTTTGTTCTTTTTTGGTCTGCGCCGCGCCGGAATCATTTATTTTCGCACGTACAAAAAATCTCCATCATTTTTCTAGAGATTCAGCACACACCCGATTTCCGTCATTAACAGCATCAAAAAATTCGGATTTAGTGCTGTGTACGGTAATTCTAGTTCATTTTCCATCTTTACCCTTGTGCTTCCACTTGAGAAGTACACGGTCTGATTTCGTTCTTCTGCCAGATCATCTGAAGCATAAGCATCAGCCATTAGTAGGAGAAGAATACTCATAAGTAGATCCATGTAGAAGTTGCTTCACAACGTGTGTGCTTGTTGAGACATCAGTGGGAAATAACTATCAGTGAAAGACCACCAAGCCTCTTGTCTGCTGCTTTTCCTCTTGTTAGGATAGAGTACTTACTTTCAGAGAAACCACTTTCCACTGCTGCAATTATCAAGAGGAGTGCGGAAGTTGTGACCACTGGCAAACACAATGTAAGACTAGCACAAGATTAGGCATATTTTTACCATGGGATAGCAGGATAGGTAAAGCCACAGGTGCTTACAAGTAGAACCTCTCTCAAGCAATAAGAAACCAACGCACAGGTTATTTACTGAGCACTTCTGACCGGTCGCAGTTTTGAGTGAAAAGCGGTGCGGCGACACCATATCATCAAGAAGAAACATTTCGTTACCCGGATAGAAACGTGTTGAATACCCTGTAGGAACACGGATTGACTTCCTGCGACAGCCAAGTACTACTCCACCACCTAGGAGCTGCTTTCATCGTTTTCACGGATCTTTCATAGTGTGTTTCAGACTGTCTGTCGACGCGCTACTGGTTTCTAATACGAAAAAAAGCGAGAGTCAGCACAGTCGCGCAGCTTGTTCTTTCCTTGCTATGCAACGGGTTCATTTTGTGTCACCGCCCGGAAATTCATTTTACCGGTACCTATAATGCTTGTTACCTACTATGCACAACCCGCAGTTCCAGCATCTAGATCATGTACGTCTAGCATGATATACAAAACTTCACACATCTTGAAAAAATCATAGGCCATCAGACAGCAAAAACCTATGGCATTGTGATCCAGCGCTCGCTACAAGCTAAGACAGGTAGACGATTTTATTTTCTAAATTTATGGATACACGACGAGGAGGCATGACACCGCCCTCGTAAAGAAAAATCAACCTGACACAGAAACTGTGGCATGGGCGTGATGAGCCACGTGTTCGCTTCGTTAGGAATAAAAATTTATCGATCGGTTCATTTTTTACTGGGCCAACACTTATATATCATTTAACCGAAATCTTACACCTATTTGTTCGTTGAAAAAGTGTGAAAAAATGAGTGCAATAAGCTGCCAATCTTTTATCCTACATAGTGTCGTGCAGTTTCATTTCATATTTAAATGTCATGCTCTACCCATAGCCACCTCGGTGGACAAGCTCTACTCATGGTCTAAACGAACAGTCCCTCGACGTCGGCGAGGCTGCCCTTTCGACTGCAAAAGTCCGCTACGGTCGACAGCGACTCGACCCGCTGCATAATTGGACACGTTTTGTTCTTTTTTCCGAAACAGCTCGTCTCGCTATCCATCCCCTCGTCCAACAACTGTGGGGGCTTCTTGCGAAAGTACCCAGTACCTCCTCTTCCCGTTGATGTGCTACTGGGTTCGGTCGAGATTATCGAGGTAGACAGGCTGGCGGAGGACGTCGACGAGGACACGGATTTTTCCGAAAAGCAAGCCGGTGAGAGCGCGACTTCTTCGGATGTTATGTCGAAAATTTCCCCCGTGCTTTCGAGCTGCCGCAGCCGCTGTTGCGTCTCTTCTACCACGTCGTACCGGACGTGGGAGAGGAGCACGGAACCCGGCGAGGTCGCCATGTCGCGCGTGATTGGCAGCCAACCACCTACGTTGACGGCCGGAGAGAATTTGATGACCGCGGGCAGGGATGAGATCTAGGAGAAGTCCGTTTTATATATATTTTTTTACTATTGATTGTCCTGTGTCAAAATCATCTCAATGTCGCCGCGAAATGGGCATGACGTCAAATAAGAACTCATCAAAAGAAAAAGTTTGGAAGCTCAATATGTTCCCCGAGCGAGCCTGGTGGAAACTACTTACATCACAACCTACTGACTCCAACTCCTCTTTTCAGCTCTATATACCTGTCCATCGTGATCCAAATCTTTGGCCAAGGAGCCTTCCTTCTGTGTGTTCCGCAGGTCAAATTCCACACACCTGCGCTTCAAAACGTACCGAAAGTTCCGCTCGAGCATCTGTCGAAACAGCTTCCCCTCGTTGACGAGCACGTCTGCGAGCACCTCGTGGCAGCCCGTTCCCGTGGCCTGCTGCACGAGCCACGGCCCCGCGCCGCCCTGCAGTCGCGCGCCGACCTCGATCAGACAGGGTCCGGTCTCGGTGAGCATCACCTCCCCGTGGCTTATCCTGTGCAAAAGAATCGCACTCGTGTGTTAGTAATTGCGCCTATGCATTACAAATCTACATGCTATAGGCAAATCAGCATGACAAATTCCATTTGTGAAGATGCTGAGCTAATTTGTATTGCAATACTACGAGTACGACACTTTTGCAAAGCATATGGCTGGCGCCGAAGTGAAAGCCGAGCGCGTCCAGGCAGGCGTGCATGTAGGCGATCAGGAGATTGGCGGGGGACTCGCACTATGCATTGCAAAAGTATCGTATTCGTACAAATGCGATACAAATTTCTGCAGCATAAGTAATGCAGATTTAGCTGTAATGCATGATTGCAACACGAGTACGATTCTTTTACACAGGATACGCACGCATCGATGACCTCGACGGACTCGTAGGTGATGGAGTTGTGTGCGGGGTCAAAGTGCTTCTTGTAGCGCAGCAGGCCCGTGACCACGTGGCGGCCCTTGAAGGACACACTGTTGACGACAAACTCCGTGCCCCGCAAAAACTCCTGGGCGAGCAGCTTCTCGTTGGTTTCGCCGTTGCAGTTTTGTTTGCTCTATCCAGCGCAAATATGTCTGGCTCTGGAAGACTGCAAGGCTTCTCATGCAGGTTTCGCATGACCCGGAAGGGATAGAGTGCGAGCCTAGCATCACAAGTTTTGAGAATCCTCCTCGGTGCCCATTCTGCACGAGAAATGTTGCTGTCTTGTAAGTGTAACCGATAAACTGGGCACCTTTGTTGGTCACACAATACAGATTTTTGTGTCGATCCAGCCCAACATGACAAACTCAAATTCTTGCAGACCCAGAGCACATATTTGCAATGCATATGTTCAGCTCTTGGTAGAACGCGTGGTCAATGTCTGCAGCGCTATGGATGTGTCAGGATTGAAATCTTCGACAAAGTTGAAATATTAACTTGTCATGCATAAAATGAATGAAAGTCGTAACCCAGTTTCCAAGTGACGCATGATAAATTTGGGTAGAGCCGAAATCCAGTTTGTCATGCTGTTTGGGTAAGGCAGAAGCCTTTTGTCATGCTACTTCAGCAGCTCAGTTTCTACCCCTTAACAGGCTTACAATCTGCCTCCCTCGCTTACTCAGCAAGACAAGCACCTTGTGGCTTGCATTTTATGCATCACAAACTATTTCAACTTTGACGATTTCAATCCTGACACTCCCATACGTGCTGTGACACCAGTACACGCCGTCCGTGCCCCCGGAACAGGCTGGCTTCACGATGATGGGGAAGGAAATGTCGGCTGCTTCCATCCAGTACCGCACCTCTTCGGCCGTCGCGCAGTAGCTCTGCCGGATGGCGCGGAGGTTGCGGTCGCGCAGCCGGGCCTGCTGGTCGAACTTGTGTCGCCGCCAGGAGCTCGTTCCTGCGTCATTGGAAAACTTGGGGTCGCCTAAAACCGCTTGCAGTTGCTCCGCGACGACGACCCCCGGCTCGCTGCCGGCGACGACCGCGTGGATGGATGATGGTGCACAAGCTGACAGCGTGTTTGAAAGAAAATTTCGGATCTTCCGCGCGGTGTCTTCCACGGTGCTGAACTGCACCACCGCAGCGAAGTCCGCCGGCTCGAGCTGCCGCAACCAGAAGTCGGCGAGCTGCAAACTGCTCTGCACCGCGATCAGCGTCGCACCGGCCTCTTTCAGGGAGGCAACCAAACTGCGCCCGGTCGAATACGGGTCTACGACCACAATAACGCAACCACAATAGCGCGGATCGTGGGAAGGGGCTGCAAGATTTTTTGACATCTTGTTTTCTTTTTTGATGCGCAATAGCTGGCCCTGCACGTCGCGGGCGACCTCCAACCAAAGGCTGGAAGATGATTTACCAGGAAGGCTGTAGGAGATAAGTATGAGATTGATAGGAATAAAAAATCCCCACTGCAAAAAAAAACCTGCACCCGCACTCAGTTACAGAAACGACCCTATTTACACGTATACGCGCTTTCACTCAAATACGCCGCCGGCGGAGAGAAGAAAATTTGAAAGGGGTTAGGTTCTTGCGCACCAGCACTCTGCCTCGGTTCGGCTGTACTAAGTATACGCCGGAAGAAGAAAAACTCTCAGTCTGAACAACAAAAGTAGTTGCATCAAGACTACTTGAACACTCGAGCTGCAGACCGAAAGCCCCTCAAACACCAAGTAGGCTGGCCGGCGAGGAGTAAATACATCAATATGAAATCGGCTTATTGCTCTAGTACTACTCTGTGGTTTTTACAGGCAGTGCCGTCTTCACCCAAAGTTGCAGTCCCCGTCAGCGTTCATCGTTCTCGCCTGCGCTTCAAGATGATATTGACAACTCTGTATATTGACAGCGGAAGCAAAAGTAGCATACCAGCGGATCCGGATGATACAGATTAAAATAAAAGGACCATCAAAGTAGTGGCCATCACAGATGGACGAGCCAATTATCCCTACCCTAACCTACGAATCACAACTCAACGGCGCAGGAGTTCTTAGTTCCGCTGGAAAGGCAAACGCCGCGTCAGAGATCGTCCAGGTAGGGCTTGGAAATATTGTGGATATGTTCCAAAAATTCTGCGTCGGATTTGGTTTCGGCGGCTCCATATTTTTTCGTGATCAGGTAGTCGGTCATCTGGACGAGCTTCCCAACGCTCTCCGCCGTTATCTCCAACAGCTCGTCGGTGAGAATGTTGTAGAGCAGGTAGCGGAACTGCACTTCCCGCTCTTCCGCGCGCCAAAAGAACTCCTCGCGGTTCCCCCCCGTGAGAAACCGGTCCACAAACGTCTCCGTCTTCTTGCGCAGCTCCGGCTCGGTATGACTGTGCACAACTTCCCCTTCCCCTCACTTGTCCTGCATGAACAGCAATACAAACGCCGGCACACTTGGAGCGATCGCATGACAAGTTCATGCGCTGATTGTAGCTACTGGTACTGTTTGGCGGCTTGCAGAATTTGTAATGCAAACATTGCCAACAGGCAGCAACTCGATTTGGGATTTTGCATGACAAATGAGGGAAACTACAAGGGGGACGGGGAGTTGCGTACTCTCATAATCGGTGCTCAAAATTTTCGCCAACAACTTGCTGTCGAAAACACAATTGCTGACAATCATGGATGAAGTAGATGCTCCAGATCCAGATCCGCTCTTTCCTGCCGTCGCACTGTTATCGCACATTTCCGGGAATAGATGGGCCGCAGACCTCTGAATCAAGTTTGCTTGCTCGCTTAAAGTTGTAGAACTACACACTTGATCTTCTTCTTGTTGTTGTACTCCTGAACCTCTAGCGGCAGGAATAGCGGCCGGAGAAGTATCTCGTCTCCCCGCCCGTCGTGTTTGTTGATGCCCGTCACGGGGGCACGCTCGGTCTCGTACACTTTTGCAGCCTTGGTGAAGAAGTAGAAGATTTTTCTTGCGCAAGCCTTCAACCCCAGTAGTTTTCGTGGTACCACTACCGCCGCCGGCTTGTCGCCTCCCGCCGTCCGATATGTTAGTGAACATAGCTCCCCCTCGTTCTCATTTCTCATGCAAAATCCACAATTCCAGTTGCTCCCCTGCGTCACTATTATGCATGACAAATGTCGAAAGCCCAAACAGTACTACAGCAGGTACATAAATTTGTCATGCACAGGCTCCAGGGTCGCTGGCGTTTGTCTTGCTGCTCATGCAATACAAATGAGGGGGAGGGGGAGTTGTGCACTGGCATATCCAAACTCTTTTCGTCTTCCTCTTCCGCACCGCCCACCCCGCTTCCTACCCCGTAAAGAAGCGCGTGCTCATCCTCATCTTCGTCGTCGTTTTCTTCGTCGTTGTCAACCTGCGAGTCGCCTTTTTTAGCACGACCGTGTAGTAGTAGTTTTTTCCCGACAGAAGCATCCTCATCCTCCCTGATGTCGTCCTCCTCCTCGCGCTTTACCCTCTTTCTTTTCGGAGAACCTGACGACGGTGTCGGTGGCCGGGAACAAAATTCCTCGTCCGGAACCGACGAAACCGGGGTTGCAGGCCGAGAATTCGAACAAGAAGACGGTGTGTCTGGGATGACGATAACTTCTTCCGTCTTAGCTTTATCGTAGTTTATTTTCTCGTCCTCGCGCCGGCCCTGACAACTCCTCGGCCTCTTCTTTTCCCGCCCTGGCGGGGCGACGGGCGCGGGCCTGCTACAACTTGATGACGCAGGTAAAGAAGACGAGGAAGCTGCATCAGCTGTGCCAGCTTGTTGATTCCCTACGGGCCGCGGTGGTCGTACAACGACTGGCACTGCCGCAGCGGCAGCAACTTCCAAACACTCCGTCAGAGCGGCTTCCAAACTGTCGTTGTGTTTCGCGAGAATCCGCTCTACCACTGCCGGCCCGAGTTGCGGACACATCTCTACTAGATGCGCGACATTTTGATTTGTCGCAGCGCTGGTTCTTGTGTCGCGGTGCGCCGCGGGAGCTTGTTGAAACGAGAAGTCTACCTCCGGCCGCTTCGGCGAGTCGTCTTCATCATTTCCACAGGGATTATTTGAGGGTGTGCTGGAAAACTCGGAGATCTCTTCATCGTGAATGAACTTTGCGCGCAACGCCTGAACAGTTGGAAAGCAAATCAATCCAGTTTGAAGTCGTGGTATATCATCCTACTAGTCCCGAATCGCCATAGCCTGTCATTGCGTTGTTGCCACACCAGGAGATCTGCAGGAGAAGAACTTTTTATCACAAAGGGAATGGAGAAAAAAACAGGGGAGAAAAAAAACCTTTTCAAACATTTACGAACGAACCCTGGGAATGAAATCGCACTTACCATGTTCGCGGAAATCCCCAGAGTTTGGCCATTTACCAGAAGGGGAGATGAGCGCGACCAGTATCTGTATCTGTAGAAGCGGGAGTTTGGCCATTCACCAGAAGGGGAGGGTCGGGAGTTCTACCATTCACCAGAAAGGGAAGGGCGGGAGTTTGGCCATTCACCAGAGGGGGAAGGCCGGGAGTTTGGCCATTCACCAGAAGGGGAAGGCCGGGAGTTTGACCATTCACCAGAAGGGAAAGGTCGGGAGTTTGACCAGTCACCAGAAGGGGAAGGTCGGGAGTTTGACCAGTCACCAGAAGGGGAAGGCCGGGGGCTTGACCATTCACCAGAAGGGGAAGGGCGGGAGTTTGGCCATTCACCAGAAGGGGAAGGGCGGGAGTTTGACCATTCACCAGAAGGGGAAGGGCGGGAGTTTGACCATTCACCGCGCAAGCAGAGTGGAAAGGCCAGGAGCTGGACCATTCACCGCGCAAAAAGGCTGGAAAGGTCAGGGGCTTGACCATTCACCACGCAAACAGAGTGGAAAGGTCGGGAGTTTGGCCATTCACCAGAAGGGAAAGGGCGGGGGTTTGGCCATTCACCGCGCAAACAGAGAGGAAGCGCCGGGATTTGCGAAAGCGCAAAGGCCAAAGCGCAAAGGCGAAAGCGCAAAGGCGAAAGCGCAAAGGCGAAAGCGCAAAGGCGGAAGCGCAAAGGCGAAAGCGCAAAGGCGGAGGCGCGGACTCCGTTTCCCTTTTTTCGTTTTCTGTTCTCTGCAAAACCTCACAACTCGCCCCGCTCAATGCTAGGAGCTATATCATCCTGCTACTACTACTAGGCCCGAATTGCCAAAGCCTGCCATTGCGTTGCCACACGAGCAGATCTGCATGCTCATCCTAGAGCAATCTTCTTATCACAAATGGAGAAAAAAACAGGAGAGAAAATAAATGTCATTCAACATTTACGTCGAACGAACCCTGTGCAAGAAATTAAGCTTACCATGTTCGCGGAAATCTTCAGCCTTGCGCACAAACTCTCGGGTCGTGGTCCCTCGTCCCCCCCGGAAATCCCCACCAAACTCGATGAAAACAGATCCCGCAACTCCGCTCGGGCTTTTTTCTGCTCTTCCTCGATCACGGCCAGCTCGTTCAAATAGGCGTACAGCGCCAGCTATGCATTGCAAATATGTCCTCTATGTCTGGAAACTTGTGATGCAAGGAAGGGAATTATAGTGAGCTCACAGTAAAAATGCGCTCCCAAGCACGACAAGTCTTTTTCATGCTTCTGAGTTGCGTGTTCCGCATCACAAACTGCGTTTTTGCACCATGACAGGGAGGAAGAGCTCTTCGCGGCCACGCAATACAAAGGTCAGAGAGAGTAATGCCAGACTAGCATGACAAATCTCGCGATCTCCCAGACCCAGACATTTTTGCATTTGATACCAGCTGGATCTCGTGCACCACTTCCAACTTCTGCACGCACTTGAATTCAAACACGCACTTTACTTATGGAGAGAAAAAAGTTGGTCACAGTCACTAAGTTGCAGGTTTTGCATTACAAATTTTTTGAGCATCACAACTTCTCCTTGTATTGCAGAAACACTAAGGAAATCCCTGAAAAAGTGTGGCTGTGATGCATTTTTACGCATGACAGACAATTTTGTATTGCAAAAATGCCCATGAGTGATCGTGACGAACTTTTTTCTTTTGATATTACTTCTTTCGACTTCACAAACAAGTCCAGATACCCCTCCAGCCGCCGGTCCTTCAGCTATCAAAATGAAAAATCACCCCTCCCCATATTAAAACGGACATTTGTGTAGCAGGATTTGCGATCACAAGTCAGTTTGTCATGCTAGAAGGCAAATAAAGATGCGAACTGTAGAGCTGTCTGGTATGGGAAAGCCTTGCAGCTTCAGCATGACAGAAGGCAACTGAAAGTGGAATACAGCATGACAAATCGCCTGCAATTGAGTCCGCCACTGCGTCTCTTGGCCTTCTACCAATACAAGTCGATTTGTGTATGCAAATCCAGCATCACAACTGTTCTTTTCTATACGAACAGGGGGAATTTTTCTTCACAATATCAGCTCTCTCCTTCCTTCGCGGACCAGCTTTTTCTCAAACACCGCGGAGTGTTTATCATTCATAAAAACGTCCCCATCTTGCAAATCTTCATGCATAAATTGTTTCTCATGCGGAGCCCCATGCGAAGAAGTTTCTAGTGGCGTTGTGAGATTTGTCATGCTCAAATCAGCGCGGCATGCTAGGTCTCTGATGCTGCTGCACTAGCTAAACGCGACTACACTACGAGGCCAAACTTGTCATGCGCAACAGCCTAAGCTGGTCGATTTGTCTAGCAGATTTCCCAACTTGATGACTCTGGAGTGGGGAGGTCTTCACGCAAGATAGTGTTCGGTAATGGCGATCTTCGCTGCTCTGTCCTCGTCCCTCTTGCCCTTCTCGTCGTGTGGTTGGTGGGCCGGCGAGGTACAGGTACCCGCCCCTTCCCGCATGTAATATGACCCGCTCAGGTGTTACAATCTCAAATCGGTTACCATAGAATATAGAAATCCACCAAATCTGTGATGCAAGAGCTGCAGTATCTAGCTAACTCTCATGGGATTGCGCATGACACGTTCTGGAGTCCCAAACCGCACTAGAATGATCTGGCGAAATTTGTATTGCAGAAAGGGGAATGCTGTCCGAGTCTGTCATGCTCATCATGCAACACAAAATCCAGATGCAATTGTAACGTTTTAGATTGTAACGTTTGAGCAGGTCATATGTAAGCATCGAAGCTTTTGGTTTCCCCGAACACGGCCTGTTCCTCCTTGAAGAATTCTCGATTATGCATTGCAGAAGTATAAAAAGCATCTAGTATAAACAGCATTACAAAGTTGCTCAGCATTAGAAACATAATTTGTATTGCGCAATTACTTTGAGAAGTAGATTTGTAATGCATGACTGCGATGGTTACCACGACCACGAGCACAATACTTTTGCAGTGCATATCGATTCAGGGAAAACAACCGCTCCGAGCACCGCTCCAGCTGCTGCTGCGGCAGCCAGGAAAAGTCGGTGATTTGGCTCAGCTTGTGCACAAAACCGGAGGTCACGGCCACGTATTTGGTCGCAATCTGCAGCAACTCCTTGGACGCAAGCGTCGCTTTGACCGGGAGCTCCTGCACGTCGCGCCTCCTTGCACTCGCATTTTCTCCGGTAAGAAGTACGACCGGACTGTCCACGTCGGGGGAGCCCGAGCCGCCGCTAGTACAGTAACTTCCGTCCCCCGCCTTGTCTTCCCCAACGCTGCCCGCGGACAGGGAGCTGCCCCGAGGCTGGTCGCGGGAGTTGTAATGGTGTTCCTGTTGTTCCTGCGAAGTTGTAGCAGTGGTTCTTACGTTTTTTCCGCCACCAACGTCCTCTTTCATCTGCTGCTTTCGCAGCAGCAATTCTTTCCCGACGTTCCCGAGCAGCATTCCCTTGCTTGCCGTCTTCTTGTTGTCCTTTTTCTTTTTCTTCCCGAAACCAGCAGCCTTGTTTACGTTTTCTCTTTCCTCCAGCTTCCGCCTCCTGGTTTCGGCCCGGTCTTGCTGTATAACCCGCTCAGGTGTTACAATCTCAAACGTTACAATAGAGTCTGGAATGCGCAACATCTGGCCTACTGCCACAGGAGCGCACATGACAAGTTTCGGGGTTCCCAACCCCATGAGAATCTGGCGAAATCTGTAGTATTGCGAAAAGCCCAAGTCTCTGTATGGTACGTCTCATACTGTTCATGCAAGACAAATTTCAGCTTCTATTGTAACGCTTGAGATTGTAACATCTGAGCAAGCCATATGCTGCTCCTGCACCTTCTGTGCGATATCCGCCAGGCAGTAGGAGTCGCGCACGATTTGCACCAGGCTCTGGTCGGGATGCCGAGCCTCCGCGCTGAACAGCGCCCATCCTGTGTAAAAACGCCCCCACCCCAGAGCTGTCATGCTAATCTGCATGCTGAGAATGTTTCTCATGCGGAGCCCTATGAGAAGTGTTTTCCAGTCGTGTTTTGGAATTTGTCATGCTCCAATCAGCGTGATATACTAGATCTGTGACGCTGCTGAGCTAGCTCGGACAGCACTACAATACGAGTCCAAATTTGTCATGCAAAACAGCCAAAACTTGTGGATTTGTCTAGCCGAGTCCTCATCTTGACTATGGGGTGGGAACGTTTTTACATAGGATAGCGCCTGCAGGATCGCCAGACTGCGGCCCTTGGTCAGCTGAAACTCGAAGTAGGCGGGAATCGCGGTGCCCGTGATTTCGGACACCGTCTCGTGCGTCTCGTGCTGTTTCGTCTTTCCCGAAATGCTGATCGGCTCCTTCGGCAGGCGGATCTGCTTCGTTTCGAAGTATTTCTTCGTGCGCTCTAGCACCAGATCCGGCAGGTGCTTGCACAGCACCGTCACCGGCGTCTCGAAGACCTTTTTCCTGTTCACCCGGCCGGCGGCGATGTCCAGCACGATCTCATCCCAGGGCTTGTCGATGTCGAAATCGTCGTCCGACCCGTCGTCTTTCTCTCTCAATTTGATATGAGAGTGCTCAACTCCCCCTCCCCCTGATTTGTCATGCCAGTTACCAAATCCACGCCAAGTCTTCGACCTCTGTTTGCATGACAACTTATTCTGGCAGATTAAACTAGCACTACATGATGACTACTGTGCAGATTTGTCATGCGAAACCTGCATTTTTGCTGACACTTGTATTGCTGTTCATGCTATACAAAAGAGGGGAAGCAGGGGGAGTTGTGCACTCTCATATTTGATCTCCGCATCCTTGACGACCATCGCGTGCGCGTCCAGCGCTTCCTTATTCAGGAAGGGCAAGTAGTCGTTGTTGCAGTGGTGCAAGAACGTGACCCGTTCCAGCGACCGCGTGGCTGCAACATACAGTTCGTTCGGACACAAGTTTGGGTTCTTATCCTTCTTGTAAAACTCAAAGTAGGAATTGTCAAACCCATACACGATCACCACCTTCCGCTCCAAACCCTTCGCCTGGTGGAAGGTACTGAAGACCAGCTTCTTTTTCATCACGTCGCTGTCCAGCTTCTCCTCATCGTGCGACGGTACGAACACGTTCACGCCGCGGGTCTCGGTCCGGCTCTTCAGCATGTTCTCCAGCTTGCGCACGGGCGTTTTTTCGCTGCGAATGGAGGGCGCGAGAATAAAGATGTCCTCGGGCTGGTAGCGAAACGCGGTCAGATACATTACCACCTCCTCGAAAGCCTTCCCCGGCCCGCGGCCGTCGTGCGCATAGTCGTTGCCGAAAGATATCCATAGTAAAATCAAAATTCCCGCACACGTACAAATGCCGTTTCTACATAATAAAGCTTTTTCCCTTCAATCCTATTTAGCATGACAGGTGGTGTCTGCTCATCTCAGTTGGCGAAGTTTGTGATGCTGACTGTACTTACATGTAGGGGAAATTTGTATTGCATAAAACAGTTGCAAATCACGTAACGCGGCAGAAAGTTGGACTTCTTCTTCGAGACCAATCGAATGTTCGCATGCAATGCAAATACGTCTGAGTGTGCTGCAAGCCTGTGATGCAAGTCAGGGAAAATCAATGCGCACACTTTAATGCGCTGTCAAGCATGACAAGTTTTTCCGTGGTTCTGAGTTGCGTGCTTATTGTTCCGCATGAGAAACTTCGTTTTTGCATGACAGGCAAGAGGAGCTTTTTACTCTTGCAGCCACGCAATACAAAGCTCAGAGTCATGCCAGAGTACTAGCATGACAAACCTCGTCGAAATATTCCAGTTGACCCAGACATCATACGTATTTGCATTTGATAGTTCGCTTGGTTGTGCAGCAGCACCTCGTTGACAAAGTCGGCCACCTCGATCGGACACCGGAAGGTTTCCGAGAGCTGCAACCGGACCCAGTTTTGATGTCGGAACATCAAAGGGTTGTCACGAGTTTGCGGCCCACGGCCGTCGTCGCCGACGATCTCGATTTCCTTTCCTTCGCGGGTAAACGTTTTCCGCGGCTTGTTGAACTTGAACAGCTCCGGGGCAAAAACGATGAACCGCTCATCCGCCAGGTTAAACTGGTAAATGGACTGGTGGCGGTCCCCCATCACGATCAGCTTTGGCATGAAACCAAATTTGTAAATATCCTGAGTAAAAACGTACCCACACCAGAGTCAGGATGGGGATTTTGCAGCACAAACCTAGGAGTTTTGTGAGTCACGCATGACATAAACAGACTGTGCTACTGCGGGCGAGACATTGTGTATCAGGTGAATTGATCAACCCGAAGACGCCGCCTCCCCGGGCCCTACGGACCTGGCACTCCCAACTATACTCCCCACACGAAACGCCACCAATACAACTGTAGGACATTGCCAACCACCCCGTGAGTCACGCATGACAGGTTGCACTCTGCAGTGTAGTGCAGGTTAGCAAGTGCAGCCGCATCACAGATTCATCTGCTCATCCTGTTCACAGCATCACAAATTCCAAAACGCGATTGGAAATGGCTCTCATGGTCATGCAGATGCGCGTTACAAGTCTTTTTGTCTTTGCAAATCTGCATTACAACTCTGGCGTGGGTACGTTTTTACTCAGGATAGTAAAAGTGGTCGCGGCGAATTTTGCACACGAGCTCGTAGTACAGTTCCGTCAGATCCTGCGACTCGTCGAGGATCATCAGATCCCATCTCGGTAGCGGCTGTTTCGTTTTCGTGTCCTCTATGGATTGCAAAAATGTCTGGGTCTGGAAGATTCTTACATGTGTCATGCATGGCTGACATGACTCGAGATGAATCTGTGATGCATGGGCACGAAAAGGCTCTCCTATCTGTCATGTAAAAAACGTTGTTTCTACTCTCTCATGCGGAATACGCAACACATAGCAGCTCAAAAATTTGTCATGCCTGGCTGCGTATTGCAGTCCAGCTATCAATCATCCACTTTTAGCATTACAAGTTTCCAGACCCAGACATTTTTGCGGTTGATATCCTCCGGTTGGCAACGATACAAACTCGGCTGCGCCGAAGACGCAAACTGACTACTTGTCGTGACCCGCGTGGCTTGCGACCCGCTGGCAGCAGGGATTGTTCCATTCTCCCCAACTCCGAAAGGTGGGTTCGAAGAGGTTCCGAAAAAAACGTCTTTTTTGCCAAAACCTTGTACTTGTGTGTGAGTTCTTTGATTGGGATTTCCATGTTGTACTAGCCCAGAAGGCGTCCTCGTGGTGGTGCCAGTAGCAAAAGGTTGATTATTCGTTCCGAAGGACGATCCAAATGTCGCTGCGAATGAGCCAGGCGTTGCGGAGGTAAAACCGGCAGCTGTGCCGAAAGCCGGGGCCGCGTCGGTTCCAAAACTGGTAGCCCCTGGTTGTGCGGTACTACCGAAACCCGCGGACGCAGCCGGAAACGCGGGCGTCGCGCCGAAAGCGGGTGTGGCACCGAAACCCGACGGGGTGCCGCTGAAAAACGAAGTTTGCGAGCTACCTGCATTTGGCTGCGTGAAAGAACTGCCGAAACCTGCCGTCCCGAAGCTGGAAGTGGAAGATGCAGCGGAAAAACTCCCAAAACTGGAGCCAAAATGAAAATCCGCGTTCGTACTACTATTATTCCCGCCAAAGGAGCCACCAAATATTGAATCAGAGGACGGCGCAGTTAAAAATGCGGACGAGGACGTCGACCCAGGAACCGATTCTTGCTGACCGACCTTATTTTTTGGCCGCTTAGTTTCCAGCATTCTTCGCAGCTGATCGTCCCGAAAGGCCTTGTCCTCGTAGTACTTCACAGCGAAGGAATGGTAGGTGTGGCACTCCACCGTTTTGCCCAGCCCCATCTTGTCGATCTTCGTGCGCGTTTCCACTTTCAACTTTGCGTTGTAGGTCAGCAGGAGAATCTTCTTGTTCAACTTCACAAACTGCGTGGCCAAGAACAGGTTGCAGGTGGTTTTCCCCGATCCGGCGACAGAATCCACGACGACATTCGCGTTTTGTTCCAGCACAGCGAGCCCCACCTGCTGCTGCTCCGCGCTGGGTGGCGGGAGATCATACAACGCAGCGTCGCGCACGGCGGAGTTGCCCGTGACTTCTTGTTTACTGGGGACACGGTTGTCCCGCGCAGGTGCTGCTGCCCTCGGACCGCGACGGGCGTCTCGCGAAGAGCGACCCTGAAATCTTGCCGACCAGGAGGAGGCGCCTGACATTGTCCGACCGTTCTTATTCTAGTGGCATGTTGTGAAAAGAATGATGGTCATATAGGATTCATATAGGATTCTACTGTTCTTTTTCAACTACATACAATGAAAGAAAATGTTTATAACCACACGACGCAGACGGCAGTGGACTTCACTTTATTTCTACGACCGAGATACAATAATTTCTGAAAGAAATGCGATTCGATTTATGTTGTACTTATATATCCACATGATCACGAACCAGCGAGTGCTGATTTACTTCTCCATCTAGTTGTTTCTTAAGTGCACATGCACCTCCACTGAAGTCTACACTTAACGACCAATGAGCTGGAGCAAAGTTTGCGATCGATTTGAATTCGGATTTTGTTCACCCGCACAAGTAAAGTAATGAGCTCCGCAGCTCGGAAGAGTCGGTTCCTTTATCACGACCAAAGCAGCTTGCTTCCAGCATCAAGAAGCACAAAACGATTCAACCATAGCCAAATAAATTCGGCATGAGCGCGAGGGCAGTCGGGAGTTCGAAACAAACTCCCCCAAAAAGAAGCAAACAACACGACCATTGCCGTTTTTCAGAAGTCGCGTTTGCTTTTCCTTCTGCTTGCGGCCGCACAGGACGTTTGCCGCTCAACTGTTTTCCGCGGTGTTCTACAATCATTCGTTCACGACCAGACTAAAAACGTCCACTCAGCACATTGAAGTATGTCAACGTGGTTTTATTGTCATCCATCTTCACCAGTGCGAAGCAGGATCAAGGCCATCTTCCCTACGTGCGTTCGTTCTTCAGTTTCTTAGAGCTGATGTGTAAAACCCATTCTTGATCTTTCCTTCAAAGTGCCCAATCCTCGTCGAATCGAGACGGTAACAGTCAAGAGTCAACAGCTGCCTCAGCATAGCCAAAATGTCACCATCTGTACAACTACCGGCTAGTTGCACTGCTACTTGTTACGATGGGAGAGGACAATGCGAGGATCAAACTCAAGCAGACGGTCGGTAAAGCGCATTTATTTTGTCCCGCCGTGTAGCCAAGAACGCTTCTTGCTAGTGATGTTATTTTCCTCGTACATTTATGCTTCTCCTTCTTCTACGACGTTTCCAATCCCATCACTTCGGCGAAAAATGCAGTGGAAGTGCCAGGATCGAAATCGTCAAAGTTGAAATAGTTTGTCATGCATCAAATGCGACGCAGAAATTGTCTCTATTTCAGAGGACGCAAGAGAGGCAGACTGTAAGCCTGTTGAGGGGTAAAAATAAGGCTGCTCAAGTAGCATGACAAAAGGCGTCGTCCTTACCCAAGCAGCTGCATGACAAACTGGATTTAGATTCCAACCAAATTTGTCATGCTCCACTTGGAAACTGGGTTTCTAGGCAAATTATTTCAACTTTGTCGATTTCGATCCTGACAGTTCCATAAACGCAGGCAGACCCGTAGCGAGCCGCTTCCCCGGGCCGACCGGCTTCACCGGCACACCGCAGACTGCCATGATGTCCACTTGGTGGCTATCAAATGTAAAAATGTCTGGGTCTGGAAGAATGCAAGTTTGTCATGCTTGTCTGGCATGACTCTTAAATCTGTCATGCACATTACCAAAGAGCCCCACTTTTCTGTCATGCAGAAACGTAGTTTGTCATGCAGAATAGGCAACACCTAGAAGCTCAGAAACTTGTCATGCTGAGCCAGCAATTGTCGCCTCCTCATGATACGCCACACAGCATCACAAGTTTCCAGACCCAGACATTTTTACATTTGATAGTGGCTCATGTGTTGCTTGGCGGCGGCGCCACTGTCCCAAAACAGCGTAGCCCCGTACTCAATGGAGACGTAATTGTGTTTTGTTCTCGGATGAGTTGTCCTTGGACGATAGACCTCATTGTTGCGGCATTCCATCCTAAATTCGCGCGCATTCCTCATCCTTTCCCGCACCTCTTGCTGCTCCAGATCGAGATTCAAGAACGTGCCCCCAATCCGGCCGAAAAGATGGAGTTGCGAACAAGCGGAACCCGGCTCCGGGTCGCGTGGCTCGGAGAGAGTCAGCTTGAACTTGGGCCGGGGGTCCGCCGGGTCGGTAGAGGGCAACAAGCGCACGGTATCGGTCAAATTTGTCAGCACGGAAAGCTCGCAACGACGACCAGGCGCATCGATCAGGGCAACAGAGAAAGCCAGCGAGCTCACATGTACTCCGAACGGAGAATAATTGTCAAACACGTTCTCGAGGCTGGCATATCCGATCGCCATTTTGCACCTCCGTTCGTCGGAGAGTGCTACCTTCACCAATTTTGGCGGCGGAAACCGGGCCGAAGTCGTGATTCTGAAATCTTCCAAAACAAATTGCTCTCCGCTCACTCCGACACGCGCGAGCTCAAGCTGCTGCAAAATTCGGGTCAGCGGCGATGAAATCTCTTCCGCAGAGGTAGAGGACCTAGCCGGCTCGCACTGCAGAAAGGTCCATATCTTGCGCCCGACTTCTTGGGGCAAATAACAGAAAACCGCAGGATTTTTGCTCTTCAACCGCAGCTGCTGCTTCTCGAAGCACAAAAGTGCGGTTTTCACCAAGATAGCGTTCACCCGGCCCCAGGATCTCTTGCTCGTGTTCTGCAGCTCAGCTGCTTCGATCTGGTGGTATAACTGCTCCATCGAGAAGTCTTCAGGGGTGCCGTGAAAAACGTCGCAGGGTTCATTCTTGGCGATTCCGGTTGCAATGTGCAGAAAATTAGCCACAGAAGTCAGTGTTCTATGCCGAGTACGACAATATTCCACGTTGCATTTTGCTGCAACCAAACAAATCGCTACTTATGTCGTCCAAAAGAAAAAAGTGTGTATAAACCAGCGAGTCATCAGCTACAAACATACACAAAGCCTGCAAAGCATAGCAGCAACGTATTTCTCACTGAAACTGAAAAGATATGACTAGATTCACCTGTGAAGCCGTAAACAAGCGCTTAGCTTACTGCTTGTTCACAAAAGAAGTAGAAAATCAACACTACTACTTTGACACTCCTACAGCCTGCGAATCCTTGTCCGTGATCGTGAAAGAACCGCGACACTGCTATCAAACGGGTGGCAGACGCAAAACTGCACCGCACGCCCTCTGCACACCGTGAGATGGAACGAGTAGACATCAATCGCATCGCGGATAATCTTCAGTCTCAGCAAATTACAGAAGGATCTGTTGTCTGTGCGGCTCTTCAGGAAACAAACCTTTTGCAGCTTTCTGAAAGCTAATAGGCTCCGTGGAATATTCGTATGCAACTAGATTGATCTTCCGCAGCCAGAAGCGACAGAAACATGATGGAACATGTGGCGACTCCTGAATTACTCAGTCTCTTCCCTCGTGTGGCACAACTCCGGCCGCACCTATCGCACCGCCGGCGCACACCCGCAACAGAGAGTTTTTTCATTTACACTGTCTTCGCAGATCATCGCTGTCGTCTGTCAATAGACTGGAGTGACAAGATTACGCATCATACAATCGGCCTCGGCGATGAACTGAAGAAGAAGAAGTCCTTTGCATTTACTATTCCTTTATTTCCATTGGCAGACAATCAAAGTGAAACACGAGATCGAAACTTCGATCGCTACTTGCATGGTATTCAATTTCAAAATTACGTCAACTCCAGAAACAATCGCGTTAAAAATACTCATCCCCATTGAGAAGGTTTAAAGGTACAGATCATGCAGTGTCGACATGGATTAAGTATCGGAATCATATTAACCGCATCTGGCTGCTGCTGATCTTGCCGCTTCACGCAAAGCAGAACCACAACCCTGTGGAACCGACAAAAATTCCCTCCGCCCCCTCCCTTCAAGAAGAACTCGCTGCTTCACTTGCGGCGTCCTCCTCCCCGGTTTTGTCCGCAGAAGCCGGTGCTGGAGCAGGGACGAGCGCCGTTTGTTCTTCTTCTTGCAGCGGAGGTTTCTTCATCCATTCGGCAAACCCTTCCTTGTCGTACTCGTAGAAAAGTTTGTGCGGGTCGTCTCTGAGATTGAGCATGACGGCGCCATTCTCGTACGGCTTCGGAGGACGAGTAGTACTAGCATGATCATGAACATGATCTACTCCAGCAGGACGAATAGTACTAGCAAATAGCATGTAGCACTCGGCGAGCCAAGCCATGGGCCCCACCGCATCCGCTTGCCGCATCTCCTCGACCCCGGCTCGGGCGTGAAAGTCCTGGTACGACCACGCGGCAGCAAACCCGTGCAGTTTCAGACTGGCTTCGCCCTTCCCGAACTGGTAATTGATCGCGGCATTCTTATTTCGCGCGATGCCCTTGTGCTCCGTCTCTTTCTGGGGGCGGATCTGCACAGACATCGAAATCACTATTTTCGCCTGCATCCCCTGCTCCGCCCAGCTCGTCTCCTTGTTGCCCGGGTGGTAGTAGTACTCAAACACGTTCAACGCACCAGCGAGTGACTTTTGGCCGTGGTTGAAGTACAATCGCGCGACTTCGTGCAGCGTCTGCAATTGAAGGCTGCGGTTGCGGATGTTGTATGAGACGGAAATCAAATGAATCCCCCCTCCCGTGAGATTTGCATACCGAGTAGAAGAAGAAGTCCCAGGAGGTTCATCGCGTAGAATACACGACAAAAAATCATTTCTATGCCATTGCATCCAGGCAGCTTGTTGGGCAGATGGTGTATAGTAAGCTTGTGTCGCCATTAGATAGAAGTCTGCTTACAGCTGTTGGGCAGGGCAGACAAACCCTCCATCGAGTATAGACACATGGCGGGGGATTTTCGCTGTCGATACCTCTTCCCCAAAATCCTCCACGGAAATAGCGTAGGCGACGTAGTAGGGCCCGGCTTCCACCCCGGACGCCAGCTTCTCGCTTGCCCGCCACCACACCGCCCCCGGGATGCGCAACAGGCGGTGGCATCCCACCACGTCCTGGAAGGTTCCGTCGGGTCCGCCACAGCCCGGCTGGCCCGCCCAAGCCCCGGTCCGGAATGCCGCGCCCCCGTTGACGTGCACCCACAGAAGCTCCGTCACCCAGACCAGGGGTGCGCCCGTCGGGTCGACCGCCAGGCGCCAGATGGGCAGCAGACTTTTGTTCTTGATGTCTCCAGTAGTACTAGACGCCTCGCTTTGCTGCTGCATCGAGTCCGGACAGGGCGTGCGCGCACTGTAGGCGACAATAGACGGAACCGTCTTCGCAGAGGCCCCGGCTTCCGGGTGAGGGTCCACCAGGTCGTCTTCTTCGTACCAGTCCCAGGCATGGAACCAGAAACTCTGCCCATCCTATCAAATGCAAATAGCGATCTGGGTCTGCATGACTAAAAACCGCGTTTTTATTGCATCTCATGAAAGGGGAGGACCTTGCACTTGCTTTGCGTGGACGAGCATCACAAACCTGTGAAAATCATCATACAAGACCCACATCATGACAGATCTTGCACCGGTCCAGTCAGACCCAGCAATTACATTCACAATTCCTAGATCCGTCGCCGTTCCGAAGCGGATGATGTCATTGCCGTTCTTGTACTTTTTCTTTTCCTCGACCAGCTCGTGGCCCTGCTCCAGGAAGGCAAACTGCTGCAAGGCCCGCGCATGGTCGCAGTGCAGCAAAGAGCTGCAGCCGGTGGACAGAAGTATTAAAACCGCCTGCTTGTTCATTGCCACCGCGTGCGGCAGGCCGAAGCCACGTGGCTCTCGGAACTCCAGCGTCTAGTACCTCTGCGACATCTGTTTATTGCCTCGTCTGGAACTACGTTGCAGTTTAATGGATTTCAATTTCTTTTCTCCCTGTTTTTTCAGATCAAATCTCGTGCTATTTTTGCGGTTCTTTCCGAATAAACCGAATATGATGTAGTTGCGTGGTGCTCGGGCAAGTTTTTTAATTACACACAATAAATTATTTACGTTGAGTTGCGCACCGTGTCGAGGAAAGTAGAGAAAGTCCAGTAAAAAGTACCGGACTATGTGTTGTGTGCCGCAAGATTTTTCCCAAGAGGGATCTTGGAGGTGTCACCTTCTAGCCGATACTGTGGGAAGTCCACCTTGTTACACCTGTGAGTGTAACAACAAAACCGCATCAGGAGCAATTCGGCAGGTTGTTCTTTGGCAAGATCACGTGAAAAAGCGGAGGTCCGCGCATATTGCAACTACAGAGAAGCACATCCATGAGAGCTGCGGACAACGAGAACGACAACGACTTCCAATTTTCCTGCAAAAATAAAACCGATCCCGATTTTAAAAAACAGTAGCGTAGTAACTACCTCCCGCAACCGACGGGAAGCGGTAGTAGAAACCTTCAACCGACACGCTTCAAACCACAAGCTCGTAGACAAGATTCACACAAAGATGCGTACACAAATTACTTCCACGATGGGTTCTGCTGCGGGAACAATGAATCAATAGCCCAGGACTGGAATTGTATTCGGTTCTTCAACAGTAATCACCATTCAACCGTGCTATACTGCGCTGGAAAGCTTTATTATCTTTACGCACAGATCACATTAAGTCGTCATGTCGTCTTGTCGCTGGCAATGGGGATCGCGGCCTGAAACCAGGGGCGCTCTGAAGATTGTCTTCAAGTTCAAACTTGCTCGTCAGTAGCGCTACATTACAGTCGTCAAAAGCGAAACCAAATGAGTTTGAAACATTCATACCCGACTCGAAGATATAATCCTATTCGTACTTTACAAAATATAGCCGCCGGGGCGGGGGTAGTGAGGTCGTGGGCGTTTTTTTGCCGACCGCAGCCTTGGCCGCGGCTTTGCTTTTTATGGGCTCGCCATACCACCGTGAGTAACGTTATGCCGCACGGTATGGCGGCCACTTGGGAAACGTCGCAAATTTTGGCACATTTCCAAAATTCCTTTCCGAAAGCCAGCCCCGATGCTATGGGGCCGATCCGGGTGCCACGGGGGGCGCCCAAAAAGCGAAGAAAAACCGGGCCCATAGCATGCGGATTGGCTTTGCGCGTCTGGCGCGCTTTTTATTTTTCGCGTTTTTATTTTTCACGCCGGCGCTTTTTGCAAAGCTTCCCAGGCTCTAAAACCGGCGAAAAGGCGGCCGCTTTCGCGGCCACCCAAAATACTCCGAAATCGCGGCCGTGCCAGGCTGTTTCGCTGTTCTGATTTTGGGCGCGTTTTTTGCGCGCCCCTTTTTGGGCGCCCCAAATCGCCAGAAACGAAGGCGGCGGGCGCCTCAGAAGGGCGCCCCTTTTACCGGCTCCCCTGCGTCGTTTTATCAAGTGCGAATCGATAGTTTTCGACCTGGCTTGTTTGCCGCAAACGCCCCGGCCGCTTGATAAGTGAAAACTTTTTATGCTCAAAAACACTTCCGACCGCTTGAAAACTGCCGGTCGTTTTTCAGGGTATATGGCAAAAAAACTCCCTGGTTAGAACCGTTCGGTGACCTCACTACATATAAACGGTGTCTCAACCCCGCGAAAATCGCGCTCCGCCCTTTCGGAGCAAAAACCTCCGCTCCGCGCTCGCGATCGCCGCGACTGCATCCGGATTTAGGTCGTTTCCGAGCAATTCTGCCTGTTTTTTCCCGATCGCTAGCAGCCGGCCAAACTTGGAAAAGTTGCACATCGCGCTCATTTGCAGCAGGGATTCCAGCAAGTCCGGGTCTACTAGAGGATATTCTTCTATATTTCTACAGGATTCTCCTTCTCGCTCGCCCTCTTGGTAGCAGTGGTTGTCTTGGAGGTTCTGGCTCTCTCCACCACGTCGCGATGTTGTCGCACCAGCAGAGTCACTAGTGCATCCTTGTAGGTCCTGTACGCGAGGACTACAATCATCAGCACGAGCACCCAAGCTCTGTCTGTTGTTTCCGCTAACAGAAGGGGCAGAGCCTCGAAGAGGTGCGCTGTCTTCTGGTGCAGCGGCTGTTGCACCAGCACTTCCCTTGTTGTTCCCGCTCGGTGCTGGTGACAAAGACGAGCACAAGAGGACCTCACAGTCATTCCCCTGCTTTTCCCCCTGGTGGTTGTATTCTGCAACCTCCCGGAGCAGGGCCTGCTGCTCCGCCACGAGAAAGTCGAACAATCTGTCCAGCGAAAACGCGTTGAGCCAGTTGTATGGGAGTGTCACAATCGAAATTGACAAAATCGAAATGATTTGTCATGCATAAAATGGATTCCAGTTCGAACCCAGTTTCTAAGTTGCGCATCACAAATTCTGGCTGTGTCTAAATCCAGTTTGTAATGCTGTTTAGGCAAAGAAGACTGATTCTCTCATGCTGCTTTAGCAGCTCGAACTATAACCCCAAACAGGCTTACAATCGGCCTCAATTGCCTGCTCTGCAACTACACACGTGTTTCGCGTCATGCATTTTATGCATCACAAATTTTTCGACTTTGTCAATTTCGATCCTGACAGTTCCATAAGTTGTGGTTGATCGAAACCGCGTCGGTGATGTTTACCACGTCGTGCACCCAGCAGGCAGGAACGAAGAATAATTCCCCCGGGTTTTGCACGACCCGGTAGACTTGAGGATGGTGTCGTTGTTGTTTCCCTGATATTTCTTCTACCTGGTCGCAGTCGTTTGTCCTGACTTGACAACTACCGTCTTGATGTTCCCCATGATCTCCTGCAAATGACTCAGGGCCGCGATAATCGATCACATTCCTCTTCTCGTCCACCAAGCTCCCGAAGTCCGCACAGCTGAACAGCCGCCAAAACTTCCGCCCGCAAATGTTCGCCGACCAGCTGTAGCTGCAGAGCACGTCAAAATGCGGCGCCGTCGCCGTTCCCTTTCTCCCGGCGTAGCAGAACCGGTAGTCCTCCCCGAGCCCCACCGGCGGCGGGTGGTTCAGCCAGTCGAATTGAAAACTTTTCCCGAGAAAGTCGGGGAGCTTCTCTTGGTAGTCACACATCAGCTGCTGGACGGTCGTCGTTGTTCTCGAAGCACGGGACGACTTGGTCGCTGGGCGGGGTGGCTGTGGAACATCATCTCCCGTCGTGCAGCTGGGGTCGTCGCGGACAGCACCTGTGTTTGTTCTCTCTGTTTCAGCTTTGTTGCCCGTCATGGCTCCCGGGCGACCTCCATCCGCAGGAACTTCAAAACCACGACGGCCTGAAATAGTAGTAAGGTCGCGGCAGTAGAATAACGGTGCAGCAGCTTTCCTTTCCGGATGTTGATCACGGTCGTCGTCTTCCTCGGAGCTGGGCGACCTTGTCGTGCTGGGAGATGTTGATGAGACCGAAAGAGAACTTGTCGACCGCAGAGTGCGATCTGTGGAAGTAAGAGGGCACGACGTCGACGTTGCGGCCAACTCTATGTCCTCTCGTGGTTCACCTCGTGGCTCGCCCCGGATGGTTTGTTGTATCCTGATGTTTTGTTCCTCTATTTCTCTCTGTTCTTGTTGCCCACAACTTTCAACATCTTCAACCTCCACTTGGTCGAATTCTAGCCTTCCCTCCTCGCACAGCTGCTGCAGGTGCCAGTCTTTCAGGTAGGACGGCTGGGAAATAAATCGCGGGGTTGGTACACAACCAGGTAGACAAGAACTCGCTGGCACCGGCACTTGTTCCTTATCATCGCGAGATGAACTCGAACTTCTGGTGGTCTCCAAAAATTCCCGTACCGTGGTCCTTGGTTTGTTCTGGTTCAGCTCCTTCTTCGCAACTCCACAAGCTTCACCCGCTGCGATAATCTCCTCGGGCAGGATCACACTGCCGCACGACGCGAGGAACTTGTCGAAGCTGCGCCAGTGTTGGAAAACCTCCCATTTTATCGATTGCAAATATGTCTGGGTCTGGAAGAGTAGAACTTGTAATGCCGTCTGCGGATTCCAAAAATGTCTATGTTGCATGAGCGGCAAGAGGAGTCAGCTCTTGGCACGCAGAGAGGGTATTTCTCATGCGTAATTAGCATCAAGAAGCTTTCAAAAAATCTGTGATGCTAGAACCAGCATCACAGACCTCACGGATCATGCAAAATGTGCATGACAAGCCCCGACCCAGACATTCTTGCAGTTGATACATTTTTCCACGACCCCGGTGATTATCACAGGCTTGTTGGGGCGAAGAAACTCCGCACAGAACCGCTCGGTCGTCAAGTGGTCGATGGAAATTCGGGGGATCTTGTGGTCGTCGACATAGAGCCGAGAAGATTCGTCGCTGCCGGACTTGCTGTTCTTGCCGCCTCCATTGTTCTCTCCCATTTCGGCGTGGTCTGTGTGGTCTTGTGTAGGCGCAGCTTGCGGGCTGCGGCTGTGCTGTTAGGGAAGTAGAACTACGTCGGCCATGACTTCTTATTTCCTACATGCGATATTAACTTGGCTACTTAGTTTGATCGGATGTTGAGCGAAGCCTGCTGTGCCGATCAGAACCTCCAAAACTTCTTTGTACTTACACACTCTCGAGATCATCGTGCTGTTCATTGAGATCGCTTTAGTACTCCTGTTCGCGATTTCGGCGTTGATATGATCGCAAGCAGCTGTTGAAGGGAAAAGTGAGACAGATGTCGAAGGCCCGGTGCTTCTTATTCGTCGAGAAAAAGATTGATGATGATGTCAGGCGACTTGTATTAATCCTTTCACCAAAAACGACCTCCAGCGGCCGCACTCACTCTCGCGCATCGGTGGGAGCAAGTAGGGCAGGTGAAAACGTGATCTCTGAGCATAAAAACAACATTTTTTAGATACTTAAGTACTTATTTCCTTGGACGAGCAAAATTTGGAGGACCAATGATGATCTGTGTCACCTTTCAAACAAGAACCGGATTAAGCTACAACCTTCCTCTTTCCCGCGATTTTCTTTTTCATTTGGTCGGCGGGGACGGAGGAAAAAAGAGCAAAAAGACATTTGATGCCACGAATCGCATGGGCATGATTCTTGCACCCACGTCTAACGCGAGCCGATGACAATAGCTATCACCATTTCTGCTTTGCCTCTGTCGTTCTGTGATTTTTGCCAAGACGTTGGAAAAAAAACGCCACAACAACGGAAGATACAAATCTTCTACGCAGTCAGTAAAACCGAAAGGGCAGCTTCCTGGACTCGTCCAAGGCACGGATCCATTGCTTTTTCCAGGTTATCGTCCCGGGCAAATCGATATGCGCTGCAAATGTGTTTGGGTCTGGACGAGTCCGAGTTTGTCATGCTAGGACTGGGTGACGCAAAGGTTTGTCTTCCTGAGCAGCAGCAAAGGCCACCCACTCTCGGGCGCCCGAATAAAATGGCATTTCTCATGCAGCATAGGCATTCCGGAACCACCTTCCTGAAACTTACGATGCTCCACCTCGCATTCCAAACCTTCAGGGCCATACGAATTCTGCATGACAGATCTTGCAACCTTTCAGACCCAGACATATTTGCAGTTGGTAGTCGGTGTACTTGCGACTGTAGCGCCAATCCGGGATCAACAGCGCCATCGTCGCTTTGCGCAGCGGCACCAACCGCTCCTGTAGTGTTTTTGTGTTTAGTACTGTTTTAGCATGTCCCACCCTGACCACTCCTAAGTACTTTAACTTTACATTGAGAGAAACAACGTGTGTTGCGCATCCAGCTCTATAGATACGTGCAATTCCTCCAGCTCCTGCTCATTTTTCTCGATCGTGGCTCGCCAGGCCTGCTTGCTGACGCTCTATCCCCCAGAAAAAAGCCGGCAGGTCATATTTGTAATGCAAAAATAAATAGACAAAAAAATCTGTATTTCATGCCCTAAGCAGCATGCTATGGCCTCGCCCATGACAGATTTTCCTGTGTATTTATTTGTGCATTACAAATATGACCTGCCTGCTTTTTTTAGTGGGTTACGCTTTCGTCGTTGCCCATCCGCTTGATCTTCGCCTCCAGCAGCTTCTGCTCCTCCTCCAAGTGGAACCGGCGCGTTTCCAGCTGCTCCCGCACCACCTGATTGCCGCGGATCTCCTTCGCACGCAACGCCTGTTCGTGGATCTCCCGCCGGGATAACACGGTGAGAATCCGTATCAAATGCAAATATGTTGTCTGGGTCTGGAAGAATGCAACGCTTGCGTTTGTCATGCACGTTTGGCACCTTGAAATCCCCTACGTTTGTCATGCACGTTTGGCATGACCCATGACGTCTGTGATGCATGCCCTAGCATCATAGATTATGCGAGGGCTTTCTGATCCCTAGTCTGCATGAGAAATTTTCTCTCCACGTAGCACAAACCGGACGTCTCATCTTGCTGGACGTGCAAAAATACAGGTCTTTTTAGAATCCAAAGTAGGCAGCATCACAAGTTGTTGCAACAGTCTAGACCCAGACGCACTCCAATTTGGTAATCCGCTTCATGGTGAGTTTCACTTTCTTCAACCGTCCGTGGTTCCTCCACATGTTCGGCGTGTTCGAGGCTTGGCGGACGAATTGGCGCTCGCCAAGAAGGAAATTCTTTTCCTTCAAGCAAACATACCAGAGCTTGTGCAAATCCTCAAACGACTATGAGAGTGCACAGCCCCCCCCCCGTCCCCTCACTTGTAATGCAAAACTCCAACTCGAGCTCTTGCCCTGAAGCGCTGCCTTGCATAACAACCTGGAGCACTCAGACAGTACTACACTCCGCGCCTGGACTTGTGATGCAAACGCTACATCGGTGCCCCTGTCTCTATTGCTGCTCATGCCATACCAAGGAGAGCGAGGGGGGGTTGTGCAATGTCATAACGACTTCAGCCGCAGCAAACACGCGGGCCAAGGGTCGCCGGACTCCGACATTTCCGCCTTCTGATTGAAGTCGGTCTCCGGGTCCCCAAGTATCCTGTGCAAAAGTATCGTACTCGACGTCTTGCAATCATGCATTACAAATCTTGTTCTGAAGGTAAATCAGCATTACAAATTTCATTTTTGCTGAGGAGATTTGCAATGCATTTATACGAGTACGATACTTTTGCAGCTCATACCAAGCCCGCCGCGCCAAAACTCCTCCACACTGAAGAAACGTTTTTGTCGCCACGTGCTGCTCAGGTTTAAAGGAAAAGTAGTTTCCCGAGATGCATGTCGACCGACGGTGGACGCGGATGCTGCAGAAGCTGTAGATGGCGAAAATAAAGCACAGCCGCTTCCTGGTGCTGTCGCGGTCAAGAGCGGTTTCTTGAAAAAAATCATCGCCCGCGCCGTCGCTGTTGAGGAAGAGCTCGTGGAAGTACAATCACCAGTTCTTACCTCCGCTGCTGCCGCCCGGTGATAACTCATTATCCCGGATGTAGTGGTACTACTGCAGGAGTAAGAACGGCTGCTAGTGCTACGAGAACCCAAGGTGTGTGTTTCTGCAGCCCTAGAGCTGGTCGACAACAGACGAGGTGGCGGTCCGGGAACCGGAGCGCAAGACCAAGAGCTGGAGGACGAGCAGCTTTTTATCATACTAGTGGCACTAGGAACCGCCACGGTGCGGCGCAACGGAGGTTGCACACCGGCCATCTTGAGCAGAAGCTGGCACAGCTGATATAGGAAGACAACAGCTCGGAAAAACTGGGATGTAGTAACCGGCAAAAATGCGTATTAAACAACAGCTTTTTCATCATCAGCAGCTCTTTCCGACGTATTGAACAGGTGGCGTTTTTGAAATGGATTTTGAGTAGAAAAATTACAAATGAAGAACGAGGAATGTTGACGCAAAAAAAAGGAAACCAAATTAGTGCACCACGACAGGTCAAAACCGGGCTGCCACAAAATCATCAAAACACCAGGTTCACGATACACAATTTCAAAAACGAGTGAAAGTGCTGATCAGTTGATTCCGCAAAAGTGAGAACACACATTTGAAAACAACAATAAGGTTGGAAATCCTTTGTAAAACCGAGGCGCCTCCGGGCTTTCACCCGCGCCACTGCGGTTGAGGTTGGTTTTGAATTTAATGATCCCCCAATAAATCTGGCCCACTCAGCATTCTTTGACTATCCGGAACAGTCCCGTGCTCACGGCGAGACAGAGAATGAAAAAGCAGATCCTCAAACTACAACTACCCAACATACAAAACAAATCAATGCGACACATCATCTAGTATGTCGCGGTAAATATTAAACTGCAAGTATTTATATTTGAATGATCGAGTCCCTTGACAGGGGCTTCCAAAAAATTGTCGTCCTTGTGTAGTTTTTCCGAGTCGCTCGTGCGAAGTAGTCTGATTAGTATTACAGTTGCGGAGGTGGAGGTGCAAAAATCAAGCATAGTTGCCGAACGGCAGGAGCTGGGTCGGGTAAAAAATAGTAAAAAAAAGGGCGGATCTGTATATATCTTCGCAGGGAGGAGCTGTGCTTGTCGCTAGTTCGCTCGCTAAAGTAGCGGCAGCACGTGTACGGAAGTTATTTCTTGGTGAGTAGCATGTTCAACCTATGCCTCCACCTCGCGATTTTAATTTTTTTACAGATGCAGTTCCTGTTTTCACGCGGAGCTATGCTAGGAAATAGCTACCACGTCTAAGTTTTTTTGGTCGTGAATCAAAAGTAGAATACAGTCGCTCATATTGTTTTTGGCTTCCTTCCTCTTTATCATTCCAAGCGATCACGCAGCAAAGGCTTCAGTTTTGCTTTTGCTGACGCAGCCTTGTGCGTAAGTACGCAATCAAAACAAGCATATGTTCTGGATACAACTACTACCACGGCTGCTAGAACTGGTATTTAAATTTATTTCTACCTGAAACGTAGAGCGATCAGACGCTTGTTTATTTCAAAACCTGATAGCACGAAGATCCCACGACCGGTAGCAGTCGTGGTCCTCCAGAACTCGTCGTGCCTCCGTATTTTTTCTTGTACCGGTTACTCAGTCCCATTTTTCGAGTAATTCCCAAATATTTTTTGACGGCTTCTTTTCGAGCTCCTCGTCCTCGACCTCCTCCAGAACCTCGCCCTCCTCGGTTTCGGTATGCATTGCAAATATGTCTGGGTCTGGAAAGTTGTCATGCTAATGTTGGAATGATACGCAAACTGTGTTGCGAAGCTGTGCATGACAAGTTTCTGAGCGGCTATGTCTAGCGCTAAGCGCATGACAAATGACCTCTTTGCATGACAAACAAGCGACGTAGTTGTAGCGCAACAAGCATCACAGGCTTTTCTGTATTACCGGCCAAGCATGACAAACTTGTATTCTTCCAGACCCAGACATTTTTGCATTTGATATTCGGTCGTTTGCTTCGATTTTTCTTTTCGGTTTTTCGCCAACAACATGCTCGCGTCCAGCGATCCCGGGTTCTGGCGAATCGACACCGCTTCGGCCAGCGCCTCGTCCGCGAGCCAGTCCCCCAGCGTCTGCGCGAACGTTTCCACATATCCCACAGAAAAAAGCTGGCAGGGCATATTTGTAATGCAAAAATGAATACACATAGAAATCTGTCATGGGCGGCCTCATAGCATGCTATTTAGGGTATGCAATACAAATTTTTCTGTCTATTTATTTTTGCATTACAAATATGACCTGCCAGTTTTTTTCTGTGTGATACCACAGACCGGTCGGAGGAGTTGCTGGGTAGGTGTTCGTTCCGCAGCCACCTGCGCGCCACCTCGTTAGCCGCGTTGTCCTGTAACGCGATCTTCTGGCCCCGGGGGCACTGGCTCAGAAATTTGCTGCCGAGAGTATGCACTTGCAAAAGAAGTAGACAAGGAAGTGTCGAGATAAAGCCAAACAGCATTTTTCTACCTTGACAGCGAAATAGAATGACAATTGCTGCAGAAGTTAGTGGAGGTGGAACGCGAAAAACTAAAGTGTACTTGCATCTGCATGCAGAGAAACATCATGGTGAAAATATTCATAACGCGTTCCTATCTTATTTCACCCTCTGTCGATGTCACTCATCGGAGAACGCCTTGCACTTGCACTGTATCAAAAAAATGAAGGAACGAAGCCCCCAGACACTCCATGATCTACTTTTCATCTTGCAGTCCATACGTGTACTTTTTCAGCAAGTCCAGCAGCGGAACGAGTTCGGGCTTTGTGTTTTGCTTCTGCTTCTCCCCCTCATCGTCCTTGGTGCGGCAAATCATGGTTTTCTGGATTGCCTCGCCGCTCGGAATGTCGCTGGTGCTCCGTCGGGACCGCGACTTCGACGCTTTGCTCTTACTACTTTCCACCACCTGCAGGTGCTGGGATGATGAACTAGTGTTCGCCAGAGCAGCAGAACCAGAGCTACCATTTCCGCTTGCACCGCCGGCGAGGGGATTGTTGGCTCCGGAGGTGTTGCTGCTGGTTCGACTGTTTTGCTGCAGCGCACCAGCAGCGCCGTTGGAGGTTGTACTCGAACTATTATTCAGCGGCGGGGGGCCGGGAACGGGCTGCTGCAGGGGCGTCGTCAAATTCACCGGCTGCGCGACGACGGGCACCATAGGCGACGCGAGCGGGGGCGGGGGCGGAGCGGCCAGCGTGGGCTGCAGGATGGGCACCGGGAGCAGCAGGCCGTTCGCGCCGTACACCCAGAGCACGGCCGGCTGGGCGGTCGGCAGGGGCGCCGGCGGAAACGCGGATGCATTGCAAATATCGATCTGGGTGTAGAAATAAATTGGAGCTTGTGTTGCATGTCTTGCATTTATTTCAAATCTGTATCTTTGCACAGCCAGCAAGTAAGGCGTTTACTTTTTTGCCATGTAAAAACGCAGTTTCTCTTGCATGCTACGCATCAGACATGGCGTCAAGTACTAAACTTGTCATGCTTGGCTGCACTTGAGATGACCGGCGCCAGACAACTTATCCATACTTTAGCATCACAAGTTTCGTCCAGACCCAGACACATTTGCAATATCCATAACGCGGGGTTGTAGCCCATCATCGGAGTGTGCCCCATCGAAGCGCTCGTCGGCGTCGCGCTCGTATTGTTCAGCGTCTGTTGCTGCTGCTGCTGCACCACATGTTGATGCTGCGCCGGACCTGCGGAGGCTGGCGGCGGGCCCTGTACCGATGGCCCGCCGGCGACCGTGGGGGTCTCGAGCGGCAGCTCCAGGTTGTTGTTCGCGGTGGCGCGCGAGCTCGGACTGGGCGTACCCGTGATGTCGTGAAACATGGAATTTACGTAGTGGCCACCCCGCATCGACGACAACGCGTTGCACACAATGGCGCTGTCCGCACACATATGGATTGCAAAAATGTCTGGGTCTGGAAGTTTGCAACTTGTAATGCTGTCTGCGGATTCGAAAAATATCTGTGTTGCATGAGGAGCAAGAGGAGTCAGTTTCTCTTGGCACGCGAAGAGGGCACTTTTCATGCGTACTGAGCATCAAGAAGCTCTCAAAAAATCTGTGATGCTAGCACCAGCATCACAGACCTCACGGGTCATGCAAAATGTGCATGACAAGCCCCGACTCTTCCAGACCCAGACATATTTGCAATGCATAGCACATGATGATGGACTTCTTCTCCAGCCCGAGGTCGCGGCAGACCCGGAGGGCCGCGATCGCCGCCAGCAGGCTCGCCATGGACCCCGACGCGGTCGGCTGCTCCGCGGCAAAAAGCCGGCCCTGCTTGCTATCAACTGTAAAAATGTCTGGGTCTGGAACAATTCATGTTTGTCATGCTTGTCTGGCATGACTCTTGAATCTGTCATGCACGTTACCCAAGAGCTCCGCTTTTCTGTGATGCAGAAGCGCAGTTTGTCATGCAGAATTGGCAACACCTAGGAGCTCAGAAAGTAGTCATGCTGAGCCAGCATCTGTAGCCTCATCATGAGACGCCACCCAGCATCACAAGTTTCCAGACCCAGACATTTTTACTTTTGATACTTGCTCCGGCGCGCCAACTGCTGTTCGTCGGGCGGGTGAAGATGCTGTTGCCCGTATTGTGAGGAAAAATCCCCCCTCCCCATATCGAAAAGGTACGTCGCAGAAAATTTGCATTGCTGACTGCGGCCACAAATCATCTCTGTCTTGCAAGAAGGCAACTCCCCAGGCTCCGCCGCATTATGCAGGCGGTTTGTGATGCTGTTGGGCCTACAGAGCAGACGTTTCTCATGCTAAGAGCCTAGTCCAAAACCTCTCGGCTGAGGCTCGGTTTGGGCCTGCAGTCCTATCCAGCAAGACAAATCCGATTTGTGTACGCAAATCCAGCATCACAAACTTCGTTTTGATGTGGGGAGGGGGGATTTTTCATTTTGATAGCCCGCCACCCGGGGCGAGCGGTAAGCCGGTCATCGGACAGGAGACGACCGGGGTGTTGTCCACCGTCTTCTGGTCCTGCGCCTGGTTTGTGGTAATAACGACCTGGCCGCCTTTCAGCGCGGCCTGCATCGCCGCGTGCTCATCCGCAATCTTCCGCAAGAGGAGATTACTGCTAGAGGGGGCTCTGGACGACGAACCAGTCGCCGTCGCGGTAGTGATGTACTGCAGACTGCTGGATGGCGCGACCAGCGCAGGTCTTGTTTTCCTGTTATTTACCGGAGACGCCAGAAGATCGTGCTCCTGCAGGGCCGCGGCAGCTGCCGTTCGCTTCTTCTTCGGCGACGCGGACCGCCTAGTGCTCAGCGTCCACCGAAGACCGCCCTCCCAGATCTTCTGCACGCGGGGCGGCAGCACCGGCGCCGGCGGCTGCTTGTCCTTGTTTTTGCCCTTGGTCTTCTGTGGCGTCGCGGACGTCGCCGGCGCCGCCACCGGCTGCTGCTGCCCGACCGCAAAAATGCAGATCCCGATGGCCACCGCGTTGCCCACAATCCCCGAGGCGTTGATCAGCACGCGCTCGCCCCACTCCGGCCACGCCACACGGGGGTACACTGCGGGCCGCCGCCACCGCCACGTCGCCGCTGTGTGTGAAAATTGGTTCTCGTGCAGCGGTTGATGATTTTTTTTTCAACGAAAAAATGCAAAAAACAAAGATTAAAAACGTAGTTTTCATCTCTACAGCTGCAACGCGTGGCAAGAAAACTTTTCGCGGGCGACAGTGGGGTAGTTGTTGAGCCCCCGGCACAACGGACACATACGTAAATAAATCTTTGATATCAAAAAAAAAAACCTATAAGTAAGTACTTCCTTTGCTGTGTGCCTGCCAGGTGCCGTGCATGGAGCAGGCGTCTTCTTGCGTCATGCGCCACACGTTGTCGGTCCCGAACTCGGCAAAAAACACGCCCTCTTCGCCGCCGAAGGAGATCCGGCCGAGCAGCAAGTTGCTGGTACCGCGGTACACGCCCAACACGTGGGTGCCGTTGTTCAGTGCTGCATTCGGCACCTCCCAGACGGTCAGCACGTTCTCGGAGTCTTGTTCCATCCAGTAGCCCCTTAAAATGTCCCCCATGGCCGCGGGGTTGCTCAGCGGGCTACCACGACCACCGGCGCTGGTAGTATCATCAGCATTTTGATGATGCAAGTCGGCGGCGGATGTTGGCAAGTTGAGACCACTACTCGCCGTCGTGCCGCTCATGTTCAGCGGGTTGTTGGGCGTGCCAGATCCGCTGTAGGACGACACGTGGCTGCCGTTGTAGTTCTGGAGATTTGGCGTGCTCGGGAACTGTTGCAAATTGATCCTGCCCGCCACCCCTGATGGTCCACCGCTAGTATTCCCAGCTGCACTCGCCGCCGCGCCGAGTGCCAGCGCGCTACTGCTGCTGTACCCGGTGTACAGACCACCGTTATCGCTGCCAAGAGCGTGGTGGTCCTTGCGCCGGCCGCCGGCCCCGCTGCCGCCCTGCGTGCGGTACTTTCGCTTGCTCTTGCGCTCCGGCAGCGACGGCAGGAACCGGGAGGGCAGGCAGATCCGCGCCACCTGCACCAGGGGGTTCACGTTCAGCTGCATAGAAGATGAACAACCACCCCCACCAGCGCCTCCTCGGGACTGCTGCTGCACGACGTTGACCACCGGCGCAAAGTTCACCCGTGCCATCGCCAGCCAGTCCAGTTTTTGGAAGCCCACGCTTTGCTGCCGCACGATGCACCGCTCGGGGTCGTGTGCCCGCATCTCCACTACAAACAACCCCACGGGAATCTTCACTGCGCGAGGAGGAGAACTGCTGCAACTGCTCGTCGAACTACTGGGGTAGTTGTTCGTCCCGTCGCGCCCGGATGCAGCTCCTAAAACTTCCACTGTAGTACAACAACTGCTTGAGGTCTTACTTGTAGAAGCGCCACCTAGTACTCCAGCTTCCTTGTCTGCTGTTCCTGCTGCTGATTTTAGTACTGCAATTCCTGTAGTTGTACTGGTCTGTTGCTCCGTTGCTGTTCTTGTTGTCGTCGTCCCGTTGCAGTCGTCGGCGGCTGAATTTTCGGGGTGCAGCTTCGACGCAGGAGCCGCAACCGCACCAGCACCTGTGGTGCCCCCGCCGGCCGTCGAAGAACTGGAGGAAGTGCTTCCTGTTCGCTTCATACTGTTTAATACCCCACCTTCGTCGCTGAGCGGCGACCTGTCCTCGCCCCGTGGGCGGGCGATGGACTTCGAAAGCTTGTTCAGGGCGGACTGCGGCGAGCCGGGGCTGACCGTGGTGTCGCCCGAGCGGTGGGTCGCGTCCCCGGTGTGGTCTTTCGGCGAGCTTGTGCTGGTTCCAAGATGAACTGCGACTGCGTTATCTTCCTGTGCTTGTTGTTCTGACGTGGTGGTGGTGACCACCGCGCCGGTTTTGGAGACGGTCATCTGGGCACTCTCGGTGCGCTCCTATCAAATGCAATATATGTTTGGGTCTGGAAACCTGTAATGCTGGGTCGTGAATAGTGAATTCTCTGTAATGCACAGCCAAGCATGAGAAATATTTGCGCGGCTTAGTGTTGCGCTTTCCGCATGACAAGGTGCGTTTTGCATGACAAGCAAAAGGGTCTCTTTTTGGACACGCATCACAAACTCTTTAGTCATGCCAAACAAGCATGACAAACCTAACTTTGCATCCTTCCAGACCCAGACATATTTGCAATGCATAGCTCCTTTGTCTTCGCGATCTTTCCCGTCTCGTTGACCACCTTGGCTATCCTGAGTAAAAACGTACCCACCCCAGAGTTGTCATGCAGATTTGCCATGACAGGAACATTTGTGATGCGCAACCTCATGACAGGCATTTTCCATCGTGTTTGGGAACTTGTAATGCTGTAAACAGGATCAGAAGGTCGATTTGTGATGCGGCTTTCCTTGCTAACTTGCACTACCTTACGGACTGAAACTTGTCATGCGTGACTCACAAAACTCCTAGGTTGGTGTTGCAAAATCCCCATCCTGACTCTGGTGTGGGTACGTTTTTACTCAGGATATTGGCCACGGTGCTGCTACCTCCGGTCGCCGTCCCGCTGGTCGGCTCCAGGCTGTGTTCGTCCAGCTGCATGGTGGAATAGGGGAGGCCGACCGACCTCCCGTGCACCAGCAGAATATCGTCCCACCGCACGTCGCCCTCCTGCAGCTCCGAGGTGGCGGTGCGTTTCCACAACTTGCGCACGGCGAGGAAGTCGCGCCCGTGCTTCTGCAGGTACGCGACGGTGGCCAGGCGGATCATCACCAACTCCTGCTCCGTCACCCACAGGTCCTGGAACACGAACGTCATGTGGAGGCGGTCCGCAAGCACGCGGAAGGGTGCGGTGGCGGTGGTGGCAGCGAAAGAGCTGGTCGTCGCGGGTGGCGGCGGGGGCGCCAGACTTCTACTTGTCGTCGCTGCTCCTGCTCCTGCTCTATGCATTGCAAATATGTCTGGGTCTGGGAAGTTGTATTGCTGGCCGTGCATTCCTGTGAAATCTGTATTGCATGACCAACAAAAGTGGCAGCCTCTCTTGTCATACAAGAAGAACGCAGTTTCTCATGCGGAGTTCGTATGAGAAAGCGTTCCGCAAACTTGTCATGCTTTAATGGATAAGAAAACGTTTCCATCATGCTCATTTTAGCATCACAAATTTCCGGACCCAGACATATTTGCATTTGATATGCTCCTCCTGCTGCGCCGGGCGGGAGTTGTTCCGCGGGGGAAAAGGGCGAGGCGGCGAACCCCGCCGGACCGGCGCCCAGTAAGCCGGGCGACGACCGTATCAACTGCAAAAATGTCTGGGTCTGGAAGAGTCATGCTGTTTTTGCATGACACAGAAGGTCTGCCATGGAAGCTCTAGCGTCACGGGTTTCCAGAAGCTTCCGCAATGCCGAATCCGAATCACAAATCCCCCATTTTGGTGACAGAAAGTAGGCACCTTTTGCTGCCTATGCATGGGAGATTTTTCTGCGTTCTAAAATGCGCATCACAGGTTTGTATTCTTCCAGACCCAGAAATGTTTGCAATTGATAGACCGCAGCGTTGTCGCGGACGGCGGGGTGGGCAGCCCCGCGGCGGCCGGAAGATGACTGGGCGGCGGAAACAACGACCCGCCGGGTCGGTCGGTCAGCGGAGGCGGCCCGAGGGCGGGCGGGAGTGGCGGCGGGAGCGGGGGCGAGGAGGGCGACGTCGAGCTGAAGGCCGGAGACGCGCCGCTCTTCGGCTTCACCGCGGTCCAGGACGGCCGGCTCTGCCCGGTCGGGACGGCTGGGGCCATGGCGGGGGGCAGTTGGGGCGGGAGCTGGCTCGGGAGTTGCGGTGGGGGCTTGTGAAGACCGGCCGTGGTCGTGGTGGAGGGGGCCGCTGATGTAGTACTACAACTTGTTGGCGCGGCAGCAGGAGGGGGAGGACCTACGTGCGACAACACGCCACTCCGGCGGGCCGGCGGGTCGAATTGACTGACCGAGTTGTTCGACGCAGGAGTATTGGTGCCAACAAGGCCCGAAGAAGAGGATGCTGTAGCGGCTGTGGCCTCGCAACGTGACTTCTTTCTCCTGGCTTTCTTGATTTTTCCCCCGTCGGACGTACTTTTCATTCTAGCAGAATCTTTTCCAGTTCTACTTCCGTCTTCCGCTGCAGCTGCTGCCCCCGCGCGCCGGCTCGACGCGGCTAAAATGCTACGCATCACCTCGCCCCGCAGTCGGACCCCGCGAAAGCGGTGCGCCGCGGGCTCTTCCAAACTGGCCGGGACCTCCGCTGCCGCACTCCGCGACGTGGATGAAGAAGAACTGCTGGTGCTTATTGTGAGGAAACACTCCCTGCTCTCCCAATACTCAGAGTGCGAATCTGTCATGCGGATTTGTGGCCACAAATAATCAGCTTTGTGTTGCAAGACTAGGCACGCGCAGGAGAGGTGTGCGCCGCATAAGTACGCAGTATGCTGGGACTACAGCGGTGGAGTTCTTTGTCATGCTGAAAAACTAGACCCCGCGAATGGCCTAAACGGGCCGAGGCTCTACTGCCTGCTGTGGTCCCTTACTGCAACATAGAGCTCAACATTTGTGTACGCAGATCCAGCATCAGATGATTTTTTTTTGAATATGGGGAGGCGGGATCTTTCATTTTGATAGTGCTGGCCTTCGTACTGCTCTTCGACGCACCTCCACTGGTCGTCCCGCCAGCGGGGGCCGAGGCTGCAACAGATGCCGACGACGTCGACGTCGCTCGGCTACTGCTCGACACCGCAGTCGCCCCTCGACCAGACGCGCTGTTGGACGTCGTCGTCGTGCCTCCACTAGTACTACTACCTCCTCCAAGATGGTCACCAGCAGCACTTCCCGCCGCGTAGAAGTCCGCCGCGTCCCGCGTGGTTGTGCCCCGCGCCGCGTAGACCGCGACACTGGTGCGCTCCGTGTGCTGCTCCGTGGCCAGCGCGTCCGCCGGGGACCGCCAGATCACCGCGAGCACGGCGGCCTGCACGCGCAAGTTATAAAAGTGCACATTTCCCCCTGCCCCTCATTTGCATAGCATGAACGGCAATAAAAGCATCAGCAAGAATACCGGTTTTGCATGACAAATTTGCACTGGAGCGTAGTGCTGTTTGGGCTTCCAGGATTTGTCATGCAAACAGTGCTACAAAGCAGCAGCTGGATTTGGGATTTTGCATTACAAATGAGGGAGAGGGGGAGTTGTGTACTTTCTTACAAGTACACTTCCATCCACAGCGTCTCCATCTGCTTCTTGTCTTCTAACTGGCGGCGTTTGTCCCGGGTCGGCTTTTCAGGGAGCAGCGGAATCACCACCTCCTGGTGAAACCGAAACAGCGGTCGTGCCTGCCCTGGTCCCGCGCCGGCGGCTCCCGCGTGGTTGATGTTGGCGCCGGGAGGTCCAGCTGCACCCATCATCCCGTAGTTGTGCGGGGCGCCACTGCCAGGATGCTCGACCAGGGGTCCGGATGATCCCCAGCCGCCGGCGCCGTGGTAGGGGGAGGAGGACAGGTCGTTCGGTGGAAACCCGAATTGATGACCTCCATGTTGCATGTTAACCGTGCTCGCGCCGGTGACCGAGGTCCAGGAACTGGCGCCGAACATCCCCGTGTACTGCTCTGTCATCGGAGATGCCGAGGGCCCGCCCGGTCCTCCTGCGCCGCCCGCGCTGGGTCCGCCTGGACCCACGCCGGCGCTGCCGCCGGGCGCGAACGGTGCCTCGCCGGGAGCGGCGGACAGCAGCGGGATCACCTCCGCCACGCCGGCCAACGGCTTGCCCGCGTCGTAGAAGTGCGCCACCGCCGCAAACAGCAGGTTCCGCTCCGCCACGGATCCGGGTCGAAACCGCAGCTGTTTCGGCAGCCGGGGGTCGGACCCGCGGTGCGTGCTGTGTCCGAGGCGGCCGCTGATCACCGTTAGCTGGTGCTGCGCACTGGAGGACGAAGACGACGCCTTTATTTGACCGCCGAAGGGCTGCTGCGGGTGGTGCCCCAGCGGGTGTGGAGGTAGTTGTTGCACTTGGATCATCCCCAGAACCGGCGCCCCGGGGTGGCCGGGCGGAAACGGGTGCGGGGCGGAACCTGGCGGGGGTGGTGGCACGCCGCTCTGCGGTGTCTGCCCCCACGGTGGAGGGGGCGGACCTCCTCCGGGTGTCCCCACGGTGGTGCCGTCGTACATCTTCCCGTAGGGCAGTAGATTTGGGTTGTTCGTTTGCTGCTGCTGGTTGTAGCTGTTTAATATCGCACGAAAAAATCATATTTCACTGTATCTATAGTATGGCTGTGCGGAAGATGAATTTCTCGCATGAAAATTTCATACGTTCCACCTCCTGAGGGAACATGAAAATTTCATCCGTCTTTGCAACATCTCCGGCGACACATCGACTCTTTCTCCTGTGTAGAAGTTCATCCTGCATAAATTCCCTGTTATTGGTCGTCGTGCGTCACTAGTTTAATGCAACCGGTTGCCTACCGTACAACAGTGAAACCGATTTATTTTTCATGCGATACTGTTGTACATCAACGCACTACCCTGTGTGTGTTGCTGCTGCTGCCCATTCGGTCCAAACCTAGGATCCATGTTGTAGCCGCCCGGCATCTGGTGCTCGGGCGCCAGCATGTTGTTGCCACCCCGCATAGAAGTTGTAGCACTGTGCGCACCAGCACCAGCTGCACCAGTCTTGGGCAGGTAGGGGGTTCCCGAGGAGGACGCCGGTGTGGCACCAGCGCTGGGGTGGAGGTGCTGTGCGGCTGCAGTAGTCTTCGCCGGGAGGAGGTCCCCATGTTGCTGTAGATAGTGCTGGAAGGCCCGCTGGTGCATGGCCCGGCATAGCGCAACGCCCCGGCACGGCGGCTTCTGGTGCACCTTTTGCACGACCACTTGCTGGTCGGCCGACGGACCCGCCGCAGGCAGGAGATCGCTTGGCAGCGGTGGAGGCGCCATCTTCAAAATGGATGCAGCGATATCAAGTGCAAAAATGTCTGGGTCTGGAAGGTTAGAACTTGTCATGCTAAATCTGAACGATGCAAAGATCTGCGTTGCGTGAGTACCGAAAGCTGTCCACTTTTGACCAAGTTGAGAGGGAGTTTCTCATGCAGGAAAGGCATGATAGAGACCTCAAAAAATCTCTCATGCTGGGTCTCGCATTCCAGACCTCATGGGTCATGGAAAACCTGCATCACAAAACTTGCATTCTTCCAGACCCAGACATTTTTACATTTGATAAGCGAAGAGTGTCTGTTGTTCGGAGGAGAGAGTAGAGACGATGCTGCTACTGCGCGTCGTCGGAAACAAGATCCGACTACTTACTTATTTCACGGCTGGCTGTGGCTGCTCACAGTTTTTCTTTGAATAATTACGCCGCTGTGTCCTCCACCTCGACGCCTGCTTCGCAACAAGCTCGATCCGCTCCCAGATCGCGCCTGCAGTTCTGGGAAATTTTTGGAATGCCTGCTTCTCTAGGGAGATGAACAAGTAGACCACCACGTCCTCTTCAAAATTATACCGCGCCTTTTCTCATCGGTCGATTGTTCCTGGAAAATAGTAGAGGTTGCTTTGATCTTCGTCGTCGTGTGTGTCATACTTGTTGTATATGTATATTTCGGCTCTTCATAATTGCTGTTCAGCGCCACGAGGACAACTAAAGAAGAGTCTACTGATGTCATGCAACAACACTCGTGCCAAAATCTTCTTTTGTTTTTGCAGACAGAAACCTACACTTTCTCCCGTGAATTTCTAAAGTATTTCAAAAACGTCCTGCTCGTGGCCCTCGCTGAGGCGGTGTTAGGCGTAAGAAGAGTCATTCTGCTGTCTCGTGCTGGGTCGGCACGAGCTCCAAACGTTATTTGCATGGCAGAATAGATAGCGCACAAAGGAAAACGCGATCAATCGCACCCAAATCGTAAAAATTAAAATTCATGGTGCACCAATTATTGCTCTACCGTATGCTACCACCCAAAATTCACACATTAACGCTGCTGTATTCTACTTTGTACTATTTCGCTGTGGCGTTCGCCTCGTTCACATTTTCACCAAAAATTACACCGTTTTCATACTAAACTGTCAGCACAGAAAGGAAGTACTCTAGGGGTGTCGAGGCGATTGCACCACGACAGGATCGCACGTAATATGCTATGTTGTCTTCCGCACCAGCAGTTGGCTTGTATCTCAAGGCGGCTAATTGTTTATCATCAACCTAGTACAAGATGGCGCTACTAATCTGTTCAAATAAAACGTCGGATATGCTGCGTCTAACACTTCAGATGACGCTTACGCTCGCATGATCAATATCCACCTCTAGCAGTCGTGCCATAATACGTGATCCTCACTGACGTGCTCCACTACTAGCTAGAACTGTCACTGCAAGCCTTTATTTCATGTAGCAACCTACTGTATATTCATTCTGCCATCGCAACGGCTGGTACCAAGCCAGGTGGGAAGATTTATGCTCATTCTTGTACGGAACACAGTCGTCGTGCACAAAGTTCCTATTCTGCCTCGCCCCACTGTCTCAGAGCTGAGCCGGCGAAGGTTCAATAAAAATAATCCAGAATCTTCATGCGATCCAAGGCGGAAGTAGGTACTTCTTATTCGTCGAGTCAAACACTCTGCTTCACTTCTTGTAGAAAATTCTAAGCACAAGGCTTCTGCTCTTCCTCCGTTGATGTCTTCTATTTCATCATCCCACAATCTTCACTAAATGCACTTATGTTGACTAGTTCTTGTCCAGAGAAGTGAAACTGATCGATTTTCCAGTAAGATGGGGTACCTAATAGGAAAAACGATCAGAAGCTCAGCACGTGCGATCCTTGCTGGCTGCTGCACTGGAAGGTGAGTTCCTGCCGCTTTTGTACTTCTGGCAATGTCGACAGCTTTCCATCAGCGTCTTCGCCCATTCGATGCCGCTGTTCTCCCCGCCGTCGAGACCGCTTCGCTCCTTTACCTATCCAGATGAAAATTCTTCCCCCCTCCCAGTATACCTAAACGAAACTCAGAATGGCAGATGCCTAGCCTGTCGGCCGCCCAACAGGATCTCCACAAATCGCCTGCATAGTGCGGCGGCGGATTTGTGGTGACAAATCATCAGGTTCACAAACATAATCAATCTTTCCGAAACTCATACCTGATTTTGCAACGGGGAGTAGGGGGGATTTAGATTTCCCTTTATGATATCGCTTGTCGTGTGTTCAGCACCGTGAGCACGCCGTAAATGACCGGTTTTTGACTGTCCAGGTTGAGCCGCATGACGCCCTGCGTGGCCGTATCCTAAGCAAAATACGCGTCCCCACGACCCCAGAGTCAAGTTCAGGACCTATAGCAATACAAAGACAAATCCAGCGGCTACTTGAGGAGTCAGAGTCACGCATAACAAGATCTAAATTGTATAATTGTCGTGCATTTCAGAAAGGACAGCCGTGAATCTTCACAAAGCCATCTCCTCGTCCTGTTTACAGCATTACAAATGCCAAAACAGGCTTGGGAATGACTTTCATGGATATCGTGCGCATTTTTACAAGTGTTCCTGTAGATATGCAAATGTGCACGACAGCTCTGGGGTGGGGACGTTTTTGCTCAGGATAGACCGCCTCCGCGATGTACTCGAAGTGCATCGTTTCGCCCTTGACCAGACACCCGATCACCAGCACGCCGTCAAACTATCACAGCAAAAAGTGTTAACGTTAATGGAAAAATTTGTGAAGCAGTAATGCACCACTAAACGCGCCATCAAATTTTGTCATGCATAATAAAGCATGCATAATAAGCTCAGTGTCCATTTGTGATGCATGACTGCAATCGGTGAACACCGTTAGCGTTACCACTTTTTCTTGTGATACAAACTGGGGGAGCATCACGCTCGCGGCCAGTGGCAGCTCGTACGCGCCCGCCACCCGCTCGACCGTGACCTGGGCGCCCGCACTTTGCAGCGTCGTGACCGTATGCATTGCAAATATGTCTGGGTCTGGAAATTTGTAATGCCGGATTGTAAGTAGTGAATGCTCTGCAATGCACAGCCAAGCACGAGAAATTGTATTTGCGTGGCTTGGTGTTACGCTTTCCGCATGACGAACTGCGTCTTTGCGTGACAAGCAAAACAAAGGGTCTCTTCTTGGACGCGCATCATCACAAACTCTTTAGTCATGCCAGACAAGCATGACAAACCTTGCATCCTTGTTGCAGACCCAGACATATTTGCATTTGATAGACCGCGCCGTCGAGCAACGAACCACAAATTTCCGGATTCCACCGCGCGCAGACGATGCCGACCTTGATGCCCGTTCCGTCAAAGTCCTGCTCGGGCAGGCCACGCAGCGGATCCTTCGAGGCCATTTCGACGCTCCGAAGTACTTAAGTATTCTACTTCAAATTAGAACTACTCCTTTTGTTCAAAGTCCTTTATGAAAGAAAAAGGAGAGGCTCTTCAAATCAAATTGAAAACAACTGTTCGTGCTGTCGAGAAAAAAAAGCCACAAACCACGACCACTGTGACCGCCCTTGATGCAGTAAAGATCTATTTATGTAAAGAAAATTATACCATCGGCTCTGACGTAAATCTTCAATCATTCTTTATTCGAAAAAACTTTGAACCGCGATGAAGATGTCTTTTCCTGTAGCTATCGATCTTCCACCTCTGGCGCTTGTGATGAGCTCTTCTTGAGACCGAAAGGACACCTGCACGGTGAGGCAGCTAAAACGTCGTCAACAGAACACTTTTGACTTCAATTTTCGTCGAATGATAACAGCAAGAATGCCTGCTAGTTGTTGTTCGGCATTCTTATTCTTTTCCGTTCCATGACCCCTTCATCTTGGCTCAAGGTCAAGCTTCACTGTATTTTCGTCCAACGTGCGGGAAATTTGCTTGCCCTGCTTCATCATTGGAGGTCGGATAATAGTACTCATCCTGTAGTTCGTCGACGTGCTGTTCTTGGTCACTATTAATGTAATGAATCACTCACCCTCGTTCTTTTCTTGTTCTGGCCTTCTAGAAAAAACCGTTTAGCCCTGCATCCTCACTACCACTTTCACACCCGCTACACGTCACGTCCCCGACAAGCCGTAAGCCAGAAGCTCCGCAGCGAGCTGGTCGGCTGCCGTGAAGTCGTATCCCAGAGAAAAAAGCAGGCTGGGCATAAGCATATCTGTGATGCAAAAAGAAAATAACATCTGTCATGGGTGGCCCCATATGGCACGCTGCTTAGGACAGGCAACACAGATTTTTTTACCTATTTACCTTTGGTGCATTACAGATATGGCCTGCCAGTTTTTTTCTGGGAGATAAGTCGCCCGGTTTGCCCAGGAGCTCCACACACCCTATCACCTTCTTGTTCTTTTCCTCCTTACCTTGGTCTTCGTCTTCCTCAAGAGCAGGTTTGTCTTTGTTCCCGATAAAGAATTCTCCATTAGTCTTCTTTCCGGCAGTAGTTACGGGAGTCGGAGTTGTTGTACTTGATGAAAATAAATTCTCACTCGTCGAAGTGCCATCTTCCCCCTCGTGTACCATCGTGCCCCCATTCTCGAAAACCGGCACCGCCAGGACGCTCTCGCCCGGAGCCCAGATTTTGTCCACGGAGCCGGACAGCCGTACTGTCGTCCCGCTATGCATTGCAAATATGTGGTCTGGGAGATCTGGAAGAGTCTGAGTTTATATATCATGCTAGTCTGGCATGACTCTGAGGTCTGTATCTCTCTCGTCTGCCATTCATTTCATTTCACTGAGACGGGCCCCCTGTGGTCGTCCTCGCGGTGTCATCCTGGCCCTCGGCTATTTTGCACAAATGTTGGCTGTGCCCAGCAAGATGACGGCTCTGCATAGGCAAATCTTGGCAATGTCCAGCAAGAACGGAGTTTCTCAAGCGGAATACGCAAGACAGAACCACAAAAAAACTTGTCATGCTTGGCGGCGCATTACGGTAGTTGTGATGTGCAGTATTTGTATTACTCATTAACTTGCATCACAACTTTATTCCAGACCTAGATCGATATTTGCAGTTTATACCCGCCCGTGCGAAACACTTCTTCCGCCGCCGAGGCCTTGGCGGAAAACCGCGCGTCCCAGTTGCCCGTATTAGTTGCAAATATGTCTGGGTCTGGAAGGATGCGAACTTGTCATGCTGGGCTCGCAGTTTTCCTGTGAAATCTGTACTTTTGCATGACCAACAAAAGTCCTCGCAGCGTCTTTTGTCATACCAAAATGGAGCTCTTTCTCATGCAGACTGCGTATGAAAGTAAAGCGTTCTGCAAAATTGTCATGCGTGGCTGCATTTAGAAGTGTTTCCATCATCATCCATAGTTTATGTATAGCATCACAAGTTTCCCTTTCCAGACGTCCCGGGATATTTGCATTTGATAGCCGGTGGCAGCCCTCGCTACCAGCTCGCCCTCCGCCACTACCGCGAGGAAAAATCCCCCCTCCCCATATTGAAACGGCACGCACCTGAAAACTTTCGATACTGATTTGTTGTGGGCGCAAGTCGTGTCTTTCTTGCAAGAGGGCAAATAAAGAAAGTCCGCCAAATTACGCGAAAGGTTTGTGATGCTGTTAGACTTACCGAGAGGACGTCTGTAATGCTGAGCGCCTACCCCAGAACACCCCTGCCCAGGGTCCGCATCTGTCCGCAGTCCTGTACTGCAGGACAAAGCTGATTTGTGTACTCAAATCCCGCATCGAAGATATGGGGAGGGGGGATTTTTAATTTTGATAGCCGCGTCGTAGATGTACAGGATCGCCTGGAAAGTCAGCGTGGGTCGGTTGTAAACATTTTCCAATCATTTTTATCTTTTGTAGTGATCGAACAATTTCATCCTCAGGCGCGAATCAATTTTTATCGCCAAGCAGTGTTTCTTTTCACACGTGTGCACGAGAGCAAAAAAAATCTGGAACGACAAAGCGAAAGCACACCAATAAAACTGCCCGGCATATGAAATAATGTAGAAGACGCGTCAAACATTGTCGATTTTCAACAATCTGAATCAACTTCCTTAATACCCGCTTCGCGCCGAGCACGGTTGCGAGCATGCGGAGCCACTGGGCCACGAAGATGCAATCAGTACTGTCGGCACGATTGCTGCGGCCCTGCTCCACCACGTTCTGCGTAACGAAGAACAAAGCGATTGCCTCGAGCATGATCTTCCCGCAGCGCTGCGCGAACCGCAGCGCCAGGGGCTCGCCCAACAAGCACTCCAGCACATCGGTGTGCTCCGCCCGCTGCAGCTGCACCGCCACCTATCGCACGAAAAACAAACTGTTTCACTGTAACAAAGAACTTGTGATGTTGCATAGAGATAGAATGGAACACAGAAGCTGCGTTTGTCTTACTTACTTACACATGCAAGAGCAAGACGATAAATTTCTAGGCGTGCTGTCTATTCCCCCTAGGAGTAGGAACAATATCCTCGCATGGAAAAACACTATAAAGTTTTCTTTCTCATTTGTAGCGACCTTGTGATGCAGAACTCGCAAAATCTTTACAGTGAAACACTTATCAAATGTAAAAATGTCTGGGTCTGGAAGAACGCAACTGGTGATGCTGCATTTGGATTCCAGAAGAATCTGTATTGCATGAGTACCAAGAGGAATGCAATTTTTGCTATGCGGAGAGGGCATTTGTCATGCGGAATAGGCATCAAGAAGCTCTCAAAAAATCTGTGATGCTAGGGCATGCATCACAGACATCAGGGCTCATGCAAAACGTGCATGACAAGTGTCAGAATCTTCCAGACCCAGACATATTTGCATTTGATAACACTTTTTTCGCAGGATACCACCAGTGCGGTAAACAGCGGCCCGTACTCGAACACGAACGGCGCGTGGAGTAGCGACGAGTATGGAAGCGTCAGGTTTGAAATCGACAAAGTTGAAATGATTTGCCATGCATAAAATGCAAGGCATGAAGTGCCTGTCTTGCCGGGATGACAAGTGAGGCCGACTGTCAGCCTGTTTAGGGTTTGCAGTAGAGCTGTTAAAGTAGCAAGACAAAAGCAATCTTCTGTGCCCAAACAGCGTGACAAATTGGATTCCGGTGCTCGGAAGATTTGCCATGCACTGCTTGGAAATTGGGCTTCCAACTGGTATCAATTTTAAGCATTACAAGTTATTTCAACTTTGTCGATTTCAATCCTGACACATCCATAACGAGGGTCGTTCTCGTTGTAGTACCGAGGTGAAACATTACAATTGAGTAACTTACAACCACAGCATGCGCAAAAGATCACGACCTGGAGGGAGTTTCATACATCCGGGGGGAGGTTTATTAATATAGCCTTCTCCCCGCACAGAACTGCCGCATCTCCCCGCGCGATGCTCCGACGGGATAACGAGATTTACTCCCTCAAGCTGGCGGTGTGCAGCAGTTCTGAGTACAATAAAAGTACTATTTTCACATGACAGAGCGAATCGCGCACGCATCACATCTCCCAGGTAGTTCACAGTGTATTTTCCCTGCTGTAAGCAGCACATTTCATTTCGAGTTTGAGGAAGTAACAGTCAGTACTGCAATCATTCTTGTTCACTTCGATAGCAGAGGAAGAAATTGAATCTGACCCGTCCTGCAAAGATCCCCGAAAGATGTTCTTCCCCTGCGGATCCTCATTTGCTGCTGCCAAGCCACCGCTCCGCCTTTCCTCTCCGTCGCTGGACTCCAGTAAAGTTTTCATCTTCGCGCGCGAAGATCGCGCAGATGTTGATGACGCAGACTGATTTACGTCGCTGTTGCTGCCTCTTTGATGTTCTTCGGCGGAGAATATCAACTGCAAAAATGTCTGGGTCTGGAAGATTGCAACTTGTCATACTGTTTTTGGATTCCAAAAAAATTTGTATTGCATGACCAGCCCGAGGAATACATTTTGTGCTACACGACCAGGCCACTTCTCATGCGGAAGGTGCATCAGGAAGCCCTCTAAAAGTCTGCGATGCTAGGTCATGCATTACAGGCATCATGGGTCATGAGAAATATGCATGACAAGTCTTGCATTCTTCCAGACCCAGACATTTTTGCATTTGATAGAGAACACGGGCGTGCGCGTTTTGCGCACGAACCTGCCGTATCAAATGTAAAAAGGTCTGGGTCTGGAAGAATGCAACTTGTCATGCTGTTTTTGGACTTTAAAGAAATTTGTATTGCATGACCAGCAAGAGGGGTGTAGTTTGTGGCACACGGACAGGGCATTTCTCATGCGGAGAGTGCATCCGGAAGGGTTCTAAAAATCTGTAATGCTAGGGCATACATCACAGACTATCATGGGTCATGAGAAGTATGCATGACAAATCTCGCATTCTTCCAGACCCAGACAGATTTGCATTCCATATCCCGCTCCGCCGTCCCGAGCGCGACTCCTGTTGTACTTCTTCCTCCGTCCTCCCGTCGCTGGACGCGGGACGCGCTCGTCCTGGCGGAGCAAGTAGAAATGGGTGTGCACTCTCTTTTCGGTCTACCGGCGAAGAAGCTCCCACGCGCCCGTCATTTTTACCACCGGAGGACTGGTTGTGGTACAGCGGCTTTGAAGATGTTGTTGACCGCGGGGGTGAAGTAGGCGAGCAAGTTTTTGCAACTTTATGATCTCTGCTGCTGTCCAGCGGCGCGGTGTTTTTAGAGCCGGAGGAAGTAGTCGCGCCTTTGATATTTCTACCACAGTAAGAACCCGGCCGGGTGGTAGAAGAAGTCGAACTTGAACTGGTAGACGGCAGCAAACGCCAAGCAGGCGGCAGCTCCCCCTGCGGTCCCGGACGCGTGCCCCGCTTGTTGCTGGCGACGAAAGAGGGCAATAAATGATCGCCAGCGGCGGGGTTCGCAGCCTTCGTCCGGAAAAAACTTCTGCAGGGCCGTGGGAAGATTCCTTCATGTTTTTGCTGAATCGGAGAAGTTGAACCCATGCAACGACCCTGAAGAAGCCGCGCCCGCGGACATCACAACCTACTACAGCGATCTTCATATCTCGTCGTCACAACTTGAACCTATGCGAGCAAAAGAGGTACTCAAATATCAAACTCTACCTTCCTCGTCTCTCCCCTCCGCCACTTCACGATGAAGGTAGCCGTCCCGCTCCGGTGAAGCCATACTCTGCTCGCTTGGGGGATCGAATGCAGTCCGCTCATCCTCCTGTAGTTCCTGCCCACTGCACTCCGAGTTGTGTCCCTCCTCGCGCACGCGGTGCCGCAAGGCGTGGGTCAGTTCCTTCAGCTTTCCCACCTGCAGCTCCAAGCACTGGATGGTGCGAACGTGCGCGTTAATGGTGTCGTCCTTCTGGCGCAACCGCTTCTCCCAATGGGAGGGGGAGTAGACAGGCGCAACGCCTGGGACGAGCGGGAGGTCGTCTTTCCACGGGAAGGCATGACCGTCGCCGGGACTGGCCGTGCGGCCTCTGCTGGTGCCGGCGGCGTCAGACGGGTCGGTGGCGCTTTCCATGAAGGTGAAGCGTGTCAGCCAGAAGAGGCTGCAAACTCACCAAGAATCATTTTTTTTTTCTTTGGAAAAACCTAGTTAACGCAACACGGACACATCACAACAAACAACCATTCCGGGACGAAACAAACAGGCACAACGCACGGATATTACGGGACTCGTCGTGAACGGCACTCTAGAAATAAAACACGGGCACATACAAGACCTGGCGCAGGATTTTTCCGTTTTAACCAGCAGAACATCAAAGAGACCGACTTTCAACTGATTTCGCAACGAACACGTCTCTCCGGAGCAACAAGAAAAGGTCACCAGACAGTGCCCCTTACAGCAAACAAGCAAGTTGGTATGTTCTAATAGTACTCGGGTGTATACGGAAACACTGCCTCTGATTTCGGTTCGACTCTAACTCGCACAAAGATCCGCTAGTATTTTCTTATGCCAAAACCTGGAATGCCGTAGCTACACCGATGGATTTGGATTCTTGATTCTTGTGCAGTCGGTACTACAATGTAAATGCTTTGAAGGACAAAAAAGGAGTACATGATGAGCAAGGAGGTAGATTAGAGTCCGGATGAGGCTACAGAGACGAACGATGCAGTGAGTACAAAAAAACAACCTTTTCTCGGGACAATAGACAATAGAGATGAAGATGATCCGAGCATAGTTAATACACTGCGACAAGAACCTAAGGATCATCGCGATTTTCGCAGGGAGAGCACGTCAAATTGGAAGGTCGAAGGCTTTGACAAAAAAAAACCCGCTATCATCTGAGGAAATAGACAGTACTTCCTCTTTATGTTCAACGGCTCACAAAGATACGATGCTAGAAATTCTACTGCTTACGGACTTTTGACATCGCCTTTATTCCCCTCCATCAACTAACACCGTTCAACATGATCCGTCTTTCCTTCACAAGTGTTCCTTCATGGTCTGAAGGTACCCGTAGGCCAGCTTCAGCGCGCCCTGGCTGGTGGGGTGAATGTGCGTGACGTCCGGGGCGGAACCCACCAGGCCGAACAGCTCGTGCACCGCAATGGGCACCACCTTCGTTTCCGGCCACTCTTTCTGCAAGCTATTACAGTGAAAAGTGCCCCCCATCCCTGAAATTGCAAAAATTTATGATGCGAAGTTTCCAAATGAAAACTTTTTGTCATGCATGAAAGGAGTATGAATCTTTCTGATGCAGAGTATAGGCGTGTATCGCATCGCTTGCATGACAAGCGCCGCACTTGCTGGGGTCTTTTGCAATACAAATTTTTGCTATTCACGATCGGAAACCTGTGATGCTGATTGATGCAAGAGGGTGAATGTTTCATTTGGAAAGGTTTGCAATACAAATGCTCGCAAGTTCGGGTGTGGGGGCATTTTTCATTGTAATACAAGCGTGCGGCGAGCCGCTGGTGCGCCAGGTGGATGCGGCTCAATGTCGTTTCTATTGAGAGGAAAAATTCCCCCTCCCCAGATTGAAAACGCATTCGTCCGAAAATTTGCGATGCAGATTTGAGGTCACAAATCCTGTCTGTCTTGCAAGAAGGCAAAGCCTGAGAGTCCGCCGCATTATGCCGGCGGTTTGTGATGCTGTTGGGCTTACAGAGCCGACATCTGTCATGCTGGTCCCCTACGTCAAAACCTCTCGACCCAGGCTGGACATATGCCTGCAGTCCTCTCCAGCAAGACAGGCCTGACTTGTGTACGCAAATCCAGCATCAGAAACTTCGTTTCGATATGGGGAGGGGGGATTTTTCATTTTGATAGTTTCCAGAAACGCGTTCCCGCTCCCCATACCCAACTTCTGCGAGAGCCCGAACAGAAACCTGGTTTGTTGGAAGTGGAAGAAAATACAGATTCACTTTGCGGCAAGACTAAGATCATAAACAGCAGCACACTTTCAATATACTGGTTCTTTAATTTGAATACGATAAAAGACAAAACGATACGCAGAAAGCTTGAGGCTGGACTCCGGGTGGAAGTAGCTGGGCAGCAGGATGAGGCGGGGCGCGTTCTGCTTGTCGGGGCATAGCAGGTGGAGGTACTCCCACTTTTCCTGCTCGAACAATCGGTCGATCAGCTCCAGGTACAGCTCCTCGGAGGATTTCTTTGCCTCCGCGCCCTCGGCATTAAAGACCTCCGCGAACAGGCGTCGCCCCTGCAGCAGGTCGTTGCCGCCGAGCGACACGACCAGCACGTCGTTCTTCCGGATGTTGTATGACATGCAATTATGTCTGGGTCTGGAAGAACGAAAACTTGTCATGCAAAATTTCCGTGCCCAATGAGGTCTGGAATGCAGGGCCTAGCATGACAGAATTTGTGAGGTCTCTATGATGCCTATCCTGCATGAGAAACTCCCTCTCATGTTGGTGAAAAAAGTGCAACTTTTGGTGATCACGCAAGACAAATTTTTGCATGCTCCAAACTTAGGCATGACAAGTTGGAACTTTTCCAGACCCAGACATATTTGCGATGCATATGTTGCTGCGAAGAAACTCGTCGTGGGACTTCAGCCGCTCCTGCACGTAATCCGTGGCGAAACCCTGCTTCTGCACCAGAAGTCGCTCCTATGAGAGTAAACAACTCACCCTAGTCCCGCTTATTTGTATCATGGCATGAACAGCAACACAACCACCAGCACACGTCGTGGAGCCTGTACATGACAAATTTTTGATGCGCCGAGCTCTGTTGTACTGTTTAGCAGGCTCCCGGAATCATTTCTCATGCAAACATTGCCACAGAGAAGCAACTGGAGTTGTAATTTTCCATGAGAACAAATGAGGGGGAGAAAGGGTTGCGCACTCTCATAGCTCCCCCAGCTCGCTGCCCGCGATCGCGCCGTTGACAATATGAAAGCCTCAGGTTGGAAATTCTCAAAGTGAAAATAATTTGTAATGCAAAAAAACGACTCCAGTTGAAGCACCATTCCTAGTCGGCGCATGACAAATCTCCCGGGCACTCAAAACGTGTCTGTCATGCTAGTTAGGCAATGGGGTGCCCTTGTGTCGTGCTAATCAGCAGCCCAATTCTGAACCCGTAGAAGCACAATGGTCGGCCTCCATTGCGAGCTCAGCAATACAGGGCTTTTTGCGTCGCATTTCATGCATCACATCGGAGGTCTACGGGCAGTTCGTCCCTTGTGGCATCAGGCTCTACTAAAACCAATAAATTTATTCATTCACTCATTCACTCACTACCCTCGTGATTCGATGCACTTCTGATGGCACATGTGGAAACACGATTGGCACCAACGCACTTCTGGTGGTGCGTGCATTTACTTAGTCATAAAGTAGAAAGTATAACACGATGAGCATAGACAAACTTAAGCGCGAACTTTACGAAGTGCAACGTACGAGATGTGACGAGAGACGTCCTAGGACAGTGAAGCAAGGACGGCTACTGCCACACGGGGTCCCGCAGAGACCGAGCACAGGGCACCTGACCGTGGTACATCAAAGGCCTGGAGGTCTAAGCGGGTGCTCGCACAGATCGAGTCCAGGTCAACGAGTAGTACACCGTGGGTGCATGCTCACTACTACTCGAGGCCTCGATCTGTCGACAGCCCAAGCAACACAGGGGCGCGGCAAAAAGCGCACGACTGTCTACATACCGTGATGGTATGTACACTGTCGTCGCCAGCAACTGGCGATAAAAAAGCCTACAGACGATGGTACGAAACTACGAGCACGAGCACAGACGTACGAACCGATTTTTGTTTTTCGTTTACGAAGTCATACCGATTTTTTACATGACGATGCAATACCGAAAAGGATTTTGCACGAAGTGCCGTCGTGTAGCGATAAGAAACATTTTAGCAGCTGTTGCTTGGACGTATGAATCATCAAATGCTGCTTGTGGACGAACGAGCTACAAAACAACTACATGCATCACAAATTAATTCCACTTTGAGGATTTCCATTCTGAGGCTTTCATAGACCACCGCGAATCCGGAGTACCGGTGGCACCTGTCCGGGAAAATAATCCCCCCACCCCATACTGAAAGCGGAAACTTGTGATGCTGATCTGCGCCCACAAATCAGCTTTGTCTTGCAACATATGGGGCAAGAACAGGGAGCCGTTTCAAAACGCATTCCACGGCGCTAATCTGTGCAGCTGAGCTCTTGCCTACTGCAAAGCTGTCTGCCACGCCGAGCTGCTAGCCTTTTGCACAACTAGTAATCTTCAGGCTTTGATGAATATATATGCCTTCCAAGCGCTTGCTGCAATACAGCGCAAATTTGTGTACAGAAATCCAGCAACAGAAATCTCCTTTGTTGCATCTATAGGGTGGGGGCTTTTTTCAACACTTTTATAACTTTCATCCGCGGGGGAAGTTTTTGACGCCACCGCCGTGCTGCTCTTCTCCCCCGGTCCCATCACACGGAAGTCTTTCACATCGTACAGCAGCTGCATCATCCAGTAGGTGACGTCCCTTATGCATTGCAAATATGTCTGGGTCTGAAAAAGTTCAAAATTTGCGATGCTACCTCTCGAGCGGACAAAAATTTCTCTTGCATGAGTGCCAACGGTAGTTGCTAGCTCTTCTTGCGCGTGGCACGCAAAAAGCGAGCTTCTTATGTGGGAAAGCGCATGACCAAGCCTACTTCGCCAAACCTGTAATGCTTCGCAGACCATGTGTCCGCCCCAGAAGATGCATGGCAAACATTAACACTTGCACTCTTTCACACCCAAAAAACATTTGCGATTGATATCGCGCAGCACCTTTTGAATCTGCAGCGAGGGCAGAGCCTGCTCGTAGCCGTTCACCGGTTCAGCCCACGGCGACAGCGGGTAGTCGGGACCCATCATCACAAAGGCCTTGTTGTCCAGCGCCGAGTCGCCGCTGAGAAAGACAATGTCCCGCCCGTCCGCGCGAAAGGAGTCCGTCAGTGCCTGCAGATGCGGCACGTGCTGCCCCAGCTCGCTGAAGTGCTGTTTAGTTTTTTTACGGGGAGGACAGTGGACGCATAGTGGAGGTGGGTCGCCGCTTGTTGATAGTCAAGATTTAATACCAAGGATTAATAAATGTACATTTGGCACCACGGGGCGAAAAACTGTATGATGTAGCAGTTGCTTGTTCTGAAGACTACTAAATTCTAGAGGCTTTTGCTCGTTGCGGGAATATTACACGTAGTGACATCGTATCCATTATTGCCCCTTTTCCTTTGCACGTCCACAGCGACACAAATCGCATCTGCCTGCTGACGTCAAATGAAAGTCGTGAGGCGCGCTCGTAGTGGCTGCAATAAAGCGGGTTCAATTATTTATTTATTTACTGCGGAAAGTAAGTAGGTAGAATACGTGGATTTTTTCGTCTCGGTAGTAGGCTTCGTCCAGCCAGGCCCGGGTGACGTCCTCGGGCCACACGAAGTATCGCAAGGAAAAATCCCCCCTCCCCATATTGAAGAGGTAGGTTTTCGAAAATTTGTGTTGCTGATTTGAGGTCACAAATCCTGTCTGTCTTGCAAGAAG